TGTCATTAGCACATGTGGTTACTGTAGCACTATGACTAATCATGGATTAGTTAGGCTCAAAAGATTCGTCTCACAATTTCCATGCAAACTGTGTAATTAATTTTTTATTTTATCTATATTTAATACTCCATATATATTTATAAAGATTCGATGTGATGTTTTGGAGAAAAGAAAATTAAAAACTAAACAAGGCCTAATCCAAGGAAACCAAGTTACCAAGTTGGACCACTAAGGGCTTGTTCACTTTGCTACCATTTTCAACTTTACCAAATTTTGGCATTGCTAAATTTTGTTAAGGTTATCAAAATTTTAGCAAGGTTACCAAATTTTAGCAAGATTTCATATGTATTTACTAAAATTTAGCAGCAAATTAAACGTAGCTAAAATTTTGGTAACTTTATCATAAAATAATATAATTGAAAATAGCATCAATGTGAACCGACCCTAATATTATCCGCGGCTACTACACCCGAAAACGAATGTAGCGGCAACAGCTGAAAACGGCCACAGCCACGGCGGCTCCAGCGGCCAGCGTTTCCGATCAGCCCCCAAAACGAGTCGTGGAGTTGGAAAGGGTAAGAAATACATCACGCACCCATATTTTCGTCCCAATTAAGAGGGCGCCATTCCTCGATCGATAGATCCGGCCCCCTTATTCCTCACGTACGCGATCCTAATTAGCTACACACGATTCCTGGCGCTTTTATACACGGACCAGAGTGTACTAAGATCATCACATTTTGGACCATCAAATCTGGGATCGTACGCACGCAGCTAGTGGCGATGATCTATCTATCTGAGAAAACGGTGCCATCCCTGCATATATGCAACCCCATTGTGGAATAAGCAAACGGATGAAAAATAATTTCTGAATAAAAATTTTATATACGTGTTTTTAACGTTCTAAAAGCAAATGTTGAAAAATAAACTACGATGAAAAACCTCAAAATTAACTTCTAATTTAAAGTTAAAATTTTTAGATTTAGCTAATGTGTATAAGCATGTGAAAAAAAATGTGACAAATTGGCACCGCCCGGCAACGCCACCATGGTTGGCTCGCACGGTCGCCGGCCGGGCCACTTGTGTGTAGGCCCCCGGCCGGGCTATAACTTTCCTACCTGGCTACCTGCCTAGTGGCCCGTCCGTCCGTCTAATATAGTAGCTGGATTATATTGGTTTTGAGATCTCGATCAATCAGCTTCCAGTTCCAGCTCGTTTTATGGACTTGCACACTGTGCAATGCCTTGAGATATTGATTGGGTTGGTTGATCGCAAATCGTTCGTTTACTTCGTTTCTGTAGCTTCTTCATCAGGGCGCATTCAGCATGTCTAATCACATAAGTATCTTTCTTTTGAAGGAGATTTTGTTAAGAAACTCAATTAATTCAAGTCACGAACTGTATATGCTCACTAGTAGTACGAAAAATATTTGTTGTTACGGTCAAAACAGGTTTTTTTTCTGGTCTACTGTTCCGCTAGAGTCAAAGGTCACGGCCAATAGACTTCAACAGAGGTAGTGGCCAAACAACTATTTTCTGCCAACTCTGCTTCAGAAATCTCGAGACGGCCCATCACCTCTTCTACGAATTCCCGATCACGAGAACAATTTGGGACACTATAGCGACAAGGCTAGGCATTCCTCAGTTGCGACCGATGAACTGGCCCCACACATCATCCCTTGAGAACTGGTGGATCCAGACCATCCACACCATGGCTAAGGAAAAAAGAAAATGGTGTTAAATCACTCCTCATTATACTCACTTGGGAAATATGGAAAGAAAATAATAGCATGGCTTTCCGCAACATCGAAGCACTACCACAAGTAACCATTAATCGGACGATTGACGAAGTATAGCTATGGCGCGCAAGTGGAGCAAGGGCCATCCAATCCCTGCTTCTGGACACCTGTGAAACTACAAATAGCAATATGTAAATCATGACATGTACCCCTAACCCCTTTCCCCTAGCGATCCCCCATCCCTCTAAAAAAAGAGGCGAACATTAGGGAATGATCTAATATTAAATAATTATAAGGGGTTATACTTCGAACCCAGATTGTCTAGCTCACCATCTTGTGAAGTTAGATGGAAGACCCCTAGGCATTTCTCACCCTCCTCGTTTTCCTTTTGTTTTCTTTTATAATCTCCTGGCTTTAGAGCTATTATACAGTGTTTCCCCCTCCTTAATTAATATAAATACACCTTGTGGGTTTAAAAAAAGGTCACTAAAAATGCACCACGTTTCTCTGACTCCATGGTACTCTCTTTTTTCATATTATAAGGTGTTTGGTTTTTTTATCAAGTTTTTTTAAGTTTAAACAAATTTACAGTAAAATATAATAACATTTTCAATACAGAGCAAACATCGTATAAAAATATATTCAATATTTAATTTAATGAAACTAATTTGATGTAATTTTTTTATAAACTTTTTTTTTTTTGGAGAAATGGTGATTACTACTCCCTCCGTATTTTAATGTATGACGCCGTTGACTTTTTAACCAACGTTTGACCACTCGTTTTATTCAAAATTTTTGTACAAATATAAAAATACTTATGTTATGCTTAAAGAACATTTGATGATAAATCAAATCACAATAAAATAAATTATAATTACATATATTTTTTAATAAGACGAAAGGTCAAACGTTTGTCAAAAAAAAATCAACGGCGTCGTACATTAGGAGGGAGTACTGTATAAGTGTATATCCGCTGTGGCCGGCACATTGACGCTGCCGCCACAAAACCGCTCGATCGATCGATCGGTCGCAGTTCGGTTCGTGCGTGAGCTGATGATGCGCTGGCTGTCTTCACTCGTCGAAGCATAACTGCGTTGGCGCGCATCGATAGGGGGCCGATTATCTAGATGCTTATTCTTTCTACAGCTAGCGTCCATCATTTTACGTGATACTCCATATAGTGCTTCCTCCGTAAAAAAAAATAACCCTATCCAAAATCGTTATATCAGATTATGTCTCACCTAAATTTTAGGTTGGTTTTTTTTAAAAGAGAGAGGGAGTATATCAAGAGGTGAGCGTGATCTGAAGAGAGAGACGACTGTTATTAGAGTAGCCTACCCAACAGCGTGATCCGAGCACGTGTGGTTCACCTCACCGGCGCGCGGTGCCGGTGGGCGCGGAGAAAGCCGCACTCGCCGCACCGCGCAGCACGACGACCTAACGGCAATTTCGGCGCGCGCCGAGCCGACGAACGCCCAAGATTTCCTGGATGTGACGCGGTATTGGGATTTCCTGGATCTCGACCCGGATAACCGAAAATGATCAGATCAGCACGTACAGTGTCAGTATGAATTTTGATAAATATAAAAACGAGTAGCTGCCCGACATTAAGTCCGTGTTTAAATCCAGGGGTGAAAAGTTTTGGTACTCCCTCCGTTTCGAAATGTTTGACACCGTTGATTTTTTAGGACATGTTTGAACATTCGTCTTATTCAAGAACTTTTGTGAAATATGTAAAATTATATGCCTACATAAAAATATATTTAATAATAAATCAAATGATAGAAAAGAATTAATAATTACTTAAATTTTTTGAATAAGACAAACGGTCAAACATGTTTAAAAAAATCAACGGCGTCAAACATTTCGAAACGGAGGGAGTATATCACATCGGAGTATTAAACGTAGACTAATAACAAAATAAATTACATAATTCACGAGACGAATTTATTAAGCCTAATTAATCTATCATTAGCAAATGTTTATTGTAGCACCACATTGTTAGTCATAGAGCAATTAGGCTTAAAAGATTCATCTCGCAATTTACACGCAATCTGTGTAATTTTTTTCCTAAATTTAAACATGGCAAAAAGTTTTACTAGGAGATCCAAACAGGCCATAAAGTAACTTCAAATCATCTGAATATATTGATGCTTCCCGGTTGATATATACAATAACATATACAGCAAACTGAGAGATGTAGGCTTCTTTAAAATCAGAGTATTTTTACGCGCATTATTTACTTCGTTATAAATACTAAATTAATTTTTTTATGGAAAAACTTAGCAAGTATAGTTTGAGTTTTATAACAAGTGTGCAATATAGCAGGAAAACAATTTTTTTAAGAAATCGTATTTTTAAGAGTCTTGGAGTAGAGATTCCATAACAATAATTCAATAAAGTACCTATAAAAGAGTAAATTTTACCCAAAAAATATACAATTATTTAAACAAAATTACCACTTTGCTACAACTTTAGCTTTGTAGTATTTCACACAACTACAACAATAACAAATGATTTATCAAAAATCTGCAACTTATCCACTATATGGATATAACATATGAGCTCAACTTAAAACAATAGTACTACAAATGTACAGGACAAGTGGGACGGCACAATTTTACAATATAGACAAAAGATACAGTTTTACAATATCATATATTATTGTTGTACAAGTTAAACTTGTATAACAAATTGAAAATTTTTCACGAACACGTCAAATGATTGTGCGTCAGTATATTAGACGAAAGAGTTTTTATTACACAACGCAACTGGCCAGACTTTAGCGGGTCATTGCCGGTTATAGGAAGAGGATTCTGAGATGAAGAAAGAGATAAACTAAGAAATTAAAAAAAAATGCAACTCCTATCTAGCAGGAGGGGGTGGCAGCCGCCTAATCTCCCAATAGATCCCCCCAAGTACGCGGCACCAGCGAGGGACAGAGATGACCCTCAAACTAGTTTATCAAACCGATATTTTTGATAAACTAGTTATAGCTTTTTTAAATTTACTCAACATAAATTGAGAATCAATATGCAATACTAAAGGTTCAAGCCACAACAGTGAATAGGAGTACCACGCCACACACATGCGACCGACGACAGAATAATAACATCAACATTTCTCCCCAAAAAAGAAAAAGAAAACATCAGCAAACAATGCACACAGACATTGACATATCCATGGTCCAGGGAGCTCACCCGTCCAGCGTTTCGCCCCTTCACCTCCCAACCAACTCGTATTTAAACCCCCCCAACCTGTACTCTTCTTGCTCGCGTTCGCGTATATATCCCTCTCCTCACACACACAGGTGTTCGTCCAAAATTCCGAACACAACCAAGCGCCATTCTTGCAAGCGCGATTCCCTTGCCATGGTGCTCGAGGGGCAGGAGACACCGGCGGCGGCGGCGGTGCACGGGCACCGGCTGTCTACGGTGGTGCCGAGCTCGGTGACGGGGGAGGCCAACTACGACCTCGCCGACGCCGACCTGGCCTACAAGCTGCACTACCTCCGCGGCGCGTACTACTACCCCGCGGGCGACGCCGTGCGCGGGATCACCATCAAGTCGCTCAAGGACCCCATGTTCCCCTGGCTCGACGCCTACTTCCCCGTCGCCGGCCGCATCCGCCGCGCCGAGGGCGACGACGCCGACGCCGCCGCGGCGCGCCGCCCCTACATCAAGTGCAACGACTGCGGCGTCCGCATCGTGGAGGCCAGGTGCGACCGCGCCCTCGACGACTGGCTCCGCGACGAATCCCCCGACCGCCTCCGCCATCTCTGCTACGACAAGGTGCTCGGCCCCGAGCTCTTCTTCTCGCCGCTCCTCTACATCCAGGTACACACAGAAGTCCAGAACAATCTGGGTTTGAAAATTAAACTAATAGTATAGATTAGTTGCAGAGTTTATGGGGATTCTTTGATTAATTGTTCAAAAGTTCAGTGCAAATCTGAGTAATTAGCTTAGCTAGCTTGGATTTGTTGGTTGGTTATGACTGGTTCTTGAATTGGCGGGAGTAGCTTTCAGTATGGTTCGCAGCTGTTGCTGCAGCAGTTAACATTTACTACTTCTACTCCAGTACTCACCGTATTTAAGCTAGCTGAACTGGCAACCTAATCAGTGGCTGACCAACTTGGCAGACATTGCCAGCAAGCTGCGACTACTGTCAAAACTACTTCCTCTGTCCCAAAATAAATCAAAACAAATCAATCTAGAACGGGTAATATATCATAATACTATGAATCTTTGGTTTATTTTGGGGCCGAGAGAGTATAACTACTAGCACTAGTGTAACCGTTGATTTGAGAAACCATCACAAGATTCATGGCACCTACTAGAAGGATTAGCGGACACTTGCTGTCCGGATCAGGTAGCTAGTGTGAGGGTGGTTAGGCAATTATCCTGCAGTGAAACACCTCAGTTCAGTACGCACAGGGCTGGGCATGGAGGTTTTTCACGCGGTGGCCGTGTATTGTGCCGTGAGCCGGTGGGACTGTTCTTGAATTCTTAGCGGTACAGGTTCACACAAAGCTAGTGATGCGGTTTTGAGGGTTAACCGTTTCTCCTTTTTTTCTTTTGCCTTTGGAAATGGCCAGGTGTTTATTCAGATATCCTGGGAAATGACCATGTTTTTTATTGATAACTGAAGAGTTGAGATGATCAAATCAATCTTATGAAATGAGTAACAGTAGAGATGATGATACCGACCGGTGCTAGAACATGTAGAAATCAATTGGGGCTTGTAAAAGTAACAAAAGTAACAATTTTACTCCACTGCAGAGAGGCTATACAGTCTGGTAAAATCATTCATTGCTCCACCTTCACCAGATCTCTGAATCTAGAGTGATGGTATGAAAAAAGTGCTCTCTGAATCTGCCAACATGTCTCTACAGACTACAGTATTTGTGTACCATGGCTTCTCTGCTAGATTAATTGACCATTGACAGACCCAGCCCTTTTTCTGGAGTAACACAACCCCACCAACATTTACAAAGATTCAGCACAGTAGTAGTACTGTACTGTAGTAGTACTTGTAGTATCATACAGTATCAAATGAAAGAAAGAAAAAGATACAGCAGACAACTGAATTGATTCTATACCAGTTTTAATGTAGACAATTTTTCGTGTGATGGCTGGTAATAGGATGCCATGTCCTCGTCCTAGGTGAAACAACCACGTCATCTCGCGGGTAAATCCATTCATCGGTAGTGTGATTTTGTAAAATACACAACCAAAATATATGTACTTAAGTGTTAAATGTCAAAATGTGTGTGATTTTCTGCAACTTAGACCACAAAATGTGTAGTTTTATGAAATTTACTCTTTATTAATACTATGTCTTTTTGACTTTTCGCCTATATTTTCTTGTCAGTTAAAAGACTGAAAATGTTTTACAGTATGAGCCATCACTCCCACGAGAGTTCAATGAAATTATTGAAATGGACATTATGTAAGTGGCACTTCAGTCTTAAGGAGCGAAGAATGATAATTGAAGAGTTGATCTAAAAGAATACTATGATTTACTACTAAAGAGGTGTTTACAAACAGAATTAGGTTTAAGAGCAAGTATAATAATGAGCTATAAGCCTACTATAAACTTATGTGGAGGAGAGAAATAACAAAAAATCAAGAATTTTGGCTCTCATGCAAGAGCTAGCTTAACACAAACTCCTAGGCAAATACATTAAATGCATAGGTGAGAGATAGAGAGAGAAGATAGTTGTAGCCAACCTTATAGCTAATCCATTATATATATTGGCTTTAAGATAGGCTAATAGTAGGCTATAAGTGAGCTATATACTTATGTGGAAGAGAGAGATAAGGAAAAGTGGGTAGTGTTGGCTCTCATGCAAGAGCTAGCTCCACACAACCTCCAAGAAATATGCATTAAATTCATGGAGTGAGAAAGAGAGAGAATGGAAAAAATAAAGTTAACCTTATAGCTAACTTATTATACAAGTTAACTCTAACATTGACTTATAGTAAGCAGTGAGCTTTACTATTAAACTTGCTCTAATATATAGATCACCGTAGAGGCCGTTGCTTCATTATTATGATGTTGAGGTCTCGTGGTCCACTGTCGATTTGCAGCACAGCTCACAAGTCACAGTTCTGACCTGATCGTCTAATTTTGATCCCAAATAGCTGCACCCCAATTCTTCAATTTCTGAACAAAGACAAACTTTTTTTATGAAAAGAAAACAAACTTAAGTGTTCTTGCTGTAATCTTGTATTGATGCAAAAGTGGTAACAATTAATGATTTTCTTGGGTTTGGACCGGCTCGCGCCATGCATTGCAGGTCACGAGCTTCAAATGCGGTGGCATGGCGCTCGGCTTCAGCTGGGCGCACCTCATCGGCGACGTGGCGTCGGCGACCGCCTGCTTCAACACGTGGGCGCAGATACTGAGCGGCAAGAAGCCCGCGGGCACCGTCCTCGAGCCGGCGAACAAGCCGCTGGACCGCGCGCCCGCCGCAGCCGCCGCCGCGCCGCCGCGCTCCGTCAAGCCGGTCGGCCCCATCGAGGACCACTGGCTCGTCCCCGCCGGCCGCGCCATGGCGTGGTACTCCTTCCGCGTCACCGAGCCGGCGCTCAAGAAGCTGCAATCCGCGGCGGGACGCCATGCGGCGGGCACGTTCGAGCTCGTCTCGGCGCTCCTATGGCAGGCCGTGGCGAAGATCAGGGCGGCGGCGTCCAAGGAGGTGACCACGGTGACCGTGGTGAGGACGGACATGGCCGCCAGGAGCGGCAAGTCGCTGGCGAACGAGCAGAGGGTCGGGTACGTGGAGGCGGCCTCGTCGCCGGCGAAGACCGACGTCGCCGAGCTGGCGGCGATGCTGGCCGGGGACAAGGTCGTCGACGAGACCGGCGCGGTCGCCGCGTTCCCGGGCGACGTCGTCGTCTACGGCGGCGCCAACCTGACGTTCGTCGACATGGAGCAGGTGGCGCCCTACGAGCTGGAGCTGAAGGGGCAGCGGCCCGTCCACGTGGAGTACGGCCTCGACGGCGTCGGCGAGGAGGGCGCCGTGCTGGTGCAGCCGGACGCCGGCGGCCGCGGCCGCGTCGTCACGGTGGTGATCCCCAGGGACGAGGTCGACAGCCTCCGCGCCGCGCTCGGGAGCACGCTCCTGCTGCTGCAAGACGCCTGAGCCCGGAGCGCCGCCGTGCCGCGCGTCGTCTTAACACGCGGCGCCGGCGACCGGCGATCCGGCTGGTATGAAATTTCGACGAGCGTAGGACAATCTTGGCGCCTCTTTTTTCTCTGGAATTTACGAAGTCTGTACTGTATCATGATGTACCGTAATAAGTTGTTCGAGTGCCAGAATGGAAATGCAGTGTTATATACCACAGTATACTTGTCAGAAATTCAGAATACATTATTGTAAGTACTTTTGGGCGTACGGTAATTCAGATCAAGCATTATTATTTTTTAGACTGGGTAATTCACTGGGATCAAGCATTGTTACTACGGTTGAATTCAGATGAGATTTATACCGGTAGAATTCAGATCAAGCATTTGCTACTGCTAGTAGTATTGCATACGGTAATTTAATACTCTGGTGAATTGCACACAGTATTTTATCTGGCAGAAACAGTTTTTGCACATGCATGTCCTCCGTCTGATGACGTTATTCCTGAGTACTCATTCAATTATGGCTGTGGGTCGATAAATCGAAATCAATGTAGACTACCAGTACGTGATTAATATTGCCTGCAGAAAACACGTACTCCTAATAACTGACCTGCCATGGAGGCAATGCAAAGTTGCAAACCATGTACTAACGCCTGCCAACTGGTCGGACATGGACGCCTGTGACAGTGTGCCGTCGTGACCAAGTGCCCTAGCTTTTGGGCTCCACAAATATGCTTGAATTTTACACATTTTTCGGAAAATTATTAGACACCTTTTATTATTTGCAAAAGGCCCCGTTTAGATGGGTCACAATCTTGGCCCATCCAGGTAGATGGGCCGAGATTTAGGCCCATCAAAACAAGGCTCAAAGAGTAGTCTTCCTATTGGGCTGGCCCAATTTGGAACCAGCAATACTAAAGCCCGGCCCAAGTTAGCAACGCGGCGGCCGCTACAAAACCAATTTGCGAGGGTGGCTAGGTCTCCTCCTCTTTCGCTTCGCTGACCCCCCAAAACCCTAGCTCGAGCGCTCCCTTCTTCCCCCCACCTCTGCGGCGGCGGCGGGCGGCGAGATGGCGAAGTCGCTGCGGTCGAAGCGGGAGAAGCGGCTGCGCACGCTGCGGCGGGAGATCGCGCAGCCCTTCTACGACAAGAAGGAGGCGGCCAAACTCGCCGCGCAGGCCGCCGCGCTCGAGGCGCCCGCGCTGCCGGTCCGCGCGCCTCCGCCGCCGTCCAAGGATTCCGGCGGCTCCCGCGCCGCCTCCAGCTCGGCATCGGCCATGGGTGAGCCTTCTCTCGTCTCAGTGGTTCGTGGTTGTGGGGGTAACTGTGGCCCTAGTTTTCATGTAGGAGGCGGACAGAATCGCTCTGCGCCTTATCTGTTATGTTTGGGATGCTTGTTTGAGTATCAATCCTTCAGGTAGAGAATACTGCAGATTTCATCTCACGATGGTCCTGGTGCACACAAGGTTATAGCTGTAGCTGCGATCGGTGGATTGAGCTGACCTTCCACTTTATTGCTTTGCTCAGTTAGTACATGACTATCATGATAGTTCTTGAAGTGTATCAGCGGTGGAATTTGCTCCGATTGACAATGCGTTGGTGCTATGTTGATGTCTCGTCTGGAAACCTGGAAAAAAGCATGTTGTTGGATGCCAATTTGAGTAAATTTAGCTGCAAGGAGCATGAGCCGATAACTGTTCTGTTGTGCGTCTTTGAAAACTATTGGTGAAACAAATGAAAGCTTCCTTTCTGAATCGCTTGCCTATATGTGTGTTATGTTTGGACTGAAGATGCTGTTAAGTTCTTTTATTATTAGGTTGCTGTACATCTGTTTGGAGTCACTTCCTCTTGGTTTGCAATTTGAGTACTTGTATCAGGGAAGTGACCAATAGTAACATTTGTGTGATGTCCTGTTATGAAATTATTAATAGGTAATGGAAGGGTATAAGTTTCAATCAAATTTAGGTAATGGAACATACAAATCAGACACTGTTTTGCTTCACATGAAATTTGCACCTGTTAGTAAACACAAAACCTAACCGGTAGATGCAATTTTGGACTCATTCTCATATATCTAACAGAAACGACTTTTTCATCAATTTGTTTCTATTGCTGCCTTGTTGATCAAGTATGTTGTACTTACTAAATAAGCTTGGTTTGTTAGTATGGATCCTTCTGATTTTCCACCATCAAAACACCTGATTCAGAGACAGATATATTAGAGTCGGTTTTTACATTTTCACTTCACCTTGTTTCTTGACTGATGGCATGCTCTCTTTGTATCAACAAAACAGACGTTGAGATGGCGGATGAAGGAAATAACAAGTCCAAGTCCTTCTTGAAGCCAATTGGTAGCATTAGCAAGAAGAAGGTACAACTTCACTTGAAGATCAAGAAAGATAAAAGAAAAGCTAGGAAGAAGGGGAGGTTTAGTAAAAAGTAGGTGTCAAAGCTTACTCTGTTATGAGAACCATCAATTTTGGTTAGTTTGAACAATGCATGTAATGGTAATCTCTTGTGTTGTTGTGCACCTAAGTGTTAACCATCCATTCTGGGTGGATACCGTATTGAAATCAGCGAAAGCAGTGAGCCAGTGACACCCTATTCAGGAGCTTCATCCGTATTACTGATATGATCTTTTTTTAAGCATCTGTGATGAGCTATATATATTCATTTCCTGGTGAGTCTTTGCATCTGCTCTTTCCGAACTATTCTTAGTGATAACAAAAGGGCATGATGTTAATTTCACCTTGCATCTTGTTGATTTCTTAATGATTCATCATTTCATAATTTGGATCATTTTGCCCCAATGTTGGTGGGCGCTTGGAGATGGGGGATGTTCTTGGTTTACTACATCTCATGTACAGAACTTGTACCTATCTGTTGTATTGAAGTGCAAATTTCTTTGATCCAGTACTCCGGTGCCAGCCTTATTCCCCGTTCCTACGATATCTTCATTAAAGAATGCCAAGTCTCCAAGAACGCATGTTCCGTTCTTTGACAGTTTGATAGCAGTGGCATGTTGAGCCGTTAGGTAGCATATGAACTGTCAGATGCTGTTGTGCATATGAGGTTTTGTAACATGATCAAGTCAACACATAATTCCTGGCAATTTCCATGCACTCATGTGCACTAAATAACAGTAGTTGACTTAACATGAAATCCGATCAGAATTCAGAAAATAACCTCCAAACTGAAGAACATGAACTGAATTTTTTTTGGTATCGTATTTCAGTAGCTAATTTTTCATGATACTGTATCGATTCTTAAATTCGTTGAACCCGGCACGAACAAGCTGCCTTGGCTGCTAAAAATGTCATTTGATAATTATGAATTTGGTACCTGTTAAATTATTGCACGACTCGTATCATGGTACACGAAGAACTCTGGCGTTGAATCGATCCTTGCACGTCTTAGTCCCCAACCCACACGCTCAGTTGCCATCATTATCCCCACCCGCTGACTGACCCAGGGCTGCATGTTTGTTACACCTCCCCAACATTTGCACAACTCGCACATCACCGAAGAAATGTTCAGACATAAAAAAAGAAGAAGAAGAAAAGAAGTTGCATCAGCAAGCCAGACATACTACTCTCTCTCGGTCCCTTTTCAAGTGCAGTTATAGTTTTTTTTAATCCAACTTTAACCGTTCGTTTTATTTAAAATTATTAAAAAAAAATTAAAAAATAAATACACATAAATCACTATTCATGTTTTATCATTTAATAACAAGAAAAATACTAATCATAAAAAAAATTTAATTAAGACGGACTGTTAAACGTTGGACATAGAAAACCACAACTGCACTTAATATAGGATAGAGGAAGTAGTGCTTTTTTTTTGCAGGGGCATAATTATCATATCATGGTGTGCAAAGGAAGCGATGGGACAATCTCGTTATGTTTAAATTATTAGGGCATTTGCAAATTTGCCACCGGTTTTTTCAATATTGCAAGGATGCCACTCGAATGATAGTTCTAGTGGCATTTTTGTAATTTTCTAATGGCAGTTTTGCAATAATGATTCAAAGTAGTGGTAAATTTACAATTGCCTCTAAATTAATTAGGATGGACATTTTCCAAAAAGACTTGGAGATCGGTCAGGGCTTAGGACAAACCAGTGCACAATGTAACAGCGACATATCGCGTAGAAGAACAATTCAAACTTGAGTTATTTATTTATCTTTTACGATGTTTATGACCTCGATTTCAAGTCTACGCCCCCATTTTGTCAAAAATATTACTCCTTCCCCCCTCTGAATGGGATGGTTAAAATGCAAATTTAATATTTAGGTCTTTTTTTTCTCCAATAAGAGTTGGATGAAGTTTAAGATTTTTGTGACACGATTTTCAAACTGCTAAACGTGCGTTTTGTGCGAAAACTTTTTATATGAAAGTTGCTCTAAAATATTATATTAATTTATTTTTCAAGTTTGTAATAATAAAAACTCAATCAATTATACGTTAATACCACATTGTTTTGCGTAAAAAAACTTAATCCTAATCTTCATCTTCATCTTCAGATAAAAGAACGCCACCTCAATACCACTGTTCATCGTAAGATAAATTCGTTTTCGTTTTCGTGGACTTGAATTTCAAGTCTCCTCTCCGATGGCCTCTCTACCATCCATGTCTTCTCCACTACGTCTCCCGCGCTAACCAACCTACAAAGATCAGAGATCGCGAGCGCGAGAGCTCGAGGTCGCAGAGGAGGAGAGAGAGAGAAGGAGATCAAGAAGCACGGCAATGGCGAGGAGGCTCGCCGCCGCGCTGTGTCTCGCGGTGGCCGCGGTGAGCGTGGCCGTGGCGACGGCGAGGTTCGTGGTGGAGAAGAACAGCGTGAAGGTGCTGTCGCCGCGGTCGCTGCGGGGGCGGCACGAGGCGGCGATCGCCAACTACGGCGTGCCGGACTACGGCGGCACGCTCACCGGCGTGGTGGTGTACCCGGCGGACGCGAGGCTGGCCGACGGGTGCAGGCCGTTCGGCGAGGCGGCGGCGAAGGCGCTCAGGTCGCGGTCGCGCCGCCCCGTCGTGCTCCTCGTCGACCGCGGCGGCTGCTACTTCGCGCTCAAGACGTGGCACGCGCAGCTCGCCGGCGCGGCGGCCGTGCTGGTGGCGGACGGCGTCGACGAGCCGCTGCTCACGATGGACAGCCCCGAGGAGGAGACCCCCGACATGGCGTTCCTCGCCAACATCACCGTCCCGTCGGCGCTCGTCACCAAGCAGTTCGGCGACGCCCTCCGCGCCGCCGCCTCCGCCGCCGACGACGAGGTGGTGGTGCGGCTGGACTGGCGCGAGTCGATGCCGCACCCCGACGAGCGCGTCGAGTACGAGCTCTGGACGAACAGCAACGACGAGTGCGGGCCGCGGTGCGACGAGCAGGCGGCGTTCGTCGGCGCGTTCCGCGGCCACGCGCAGCTGCTGGAGAAGCGCGGCTACGCGCTGTTCACGCCGCACTACATCACCTGGTTCTGCCCCGACGCGTTCCTGGAGACGACGCAGTGCAAGGCGCAGTGCGTCAACCGCGGCCGCTACTGCGCCCCCGACCCCGACGGCGACCTCGCCGCCGGCTACTCCGGCCGCGACGTCGTGCTCGAGAACCTCAGGCAGCTCTGCGTCCACCGCGTCGCCAACGCGCGCAACGCCTCCTGGCTCTGGTGGGACTACGTCGCCGACTACCACCTCCGCTGCTCCATGAAGGGCGACCACTACACCCGCCGCTGCGCCGACGACGTCGCCAAGTCGCTCGGTGAGTTAGCCGCCGCCGCCTCGCCGGCTTACCCTTCTTCTCGCCGCCGCCGCCGCCGCTGACACAGTGGAGTTCATGGCGATGGACAGGTTTGCCGATGGATTTGATCGACGAGTGCATGGGGGATCCCGACGCCGACGTCGAGAACGACGTGCTCAAGACGGAGCAGATTGTTCAGGTTCGGTGACCAACTGACCAGCTTGATGCTGAAAAATGTAGTAGGATTTTGAAATTTTCGGTGTACTGACGAACACCTTCGCCATTGCTGTTCTTGATGCAGGTTGGACATGGCACCAGAGGGGATGTGACGATCTTGCCGACGCTGGTGATCAACAATGTGCAGTACCGGGGTAAGAACGATCAAGATCACACTGAATTGTGGCTAAGATCATTGTTCGATCGAAGATTTGGTGTTTGTTTCTCTCTGAAACAGATTGTTTGCTGTTGATTTTACAGGCAAATTGGAGAGCACTTCGGTTCTCAAGGCGATTTGTGCTGGATTCAAGGAGTCCACTGAGCCTGATGTCTGCCTGACACCAGGTTTGCAATCCTCACCAGCTGAAATCACACTTGATCAATCACTTGATCCAAGTACTAATCATTGATCATGAATTCATGATATCCACTAATCATGGCAGAAATGGAGACTGACGAGTGCCTGAACAACAATGGCGGCTGCTGGCGAGACGAGAAGACCAACATCACTGCCTGCAAGGTACCCCATTCCCAAAATTCTTTGAAGATCACAAGAAATTACTGTGATACAAATCAATTCAAGTAGATAAAACTTTTATTGACTCACTTGATTATTTGGCAGGACACTTTCAGGGGAAGAATTTGCCAGTGCCCTGTAGTTGATGGTGTTCAGTACCAAGGAGACGGCTACACCCACTGCAAAGGTTGTACTAGACTACTGCTAATGTTTCACCTTCAATTCAGTGTTCTTCAGAGGATCATTTCATTTCAGCTCATCTTGCACCTGAACATGGCTGAATTTCCTACTGATGTTTCTGCTCCACTGCAATCTTTTCAGCGGTCGGACCAGGGCGGTGCGCGATGAACAACGGTGGCTGCTGGAAGGGGACGAGAGACGGCAAGACGTTCTCTGCTTGCTCGGTACTATGATAAAAACATGCCACCTCTGTGATGATCTTCTAAACCACATTAGGTGTGACCAAAAAATGCTTGTTGGCCTATCCGCCGCAACCGAATTTTGAATTCTGAAACTTAATTTTATAGTTGGTTTTGGGGTTTTTATCATCGTAGTATGCTTTTAAGCATTTGGCTTTTAAATCGTGAACAACACAAATATATAAGTTTTACTCAGGAACTATTTTTGGTTGGTTCATTCATTTCTAAGCCGTAGCTCAACCGATCAGACACGGGCCATGGTGTCTGTCACTGTCACCTGCTAGCTTCAGACTCATCTGATGTTTTGAGCTGTTTGCAAATGCAGGATTCAGACTTGAGTGGGTGCAAGTGCCCACCTGGGTTCAAGGGCGACGGGCTCCATTGCGAAGGTGATGAAATCACTTGTCACTCTCCTGCAAATTTCTTGGTCAGAATTGCATCAGGTTGTCGTCGTCAGATCTTGTTCTTGATCCGTTCTTCGCCATTGCAGACGTCGACGAGTGCAGCGAGAAGCTGGCGTGCTCCTGCCCTCACTGCTCCTGCAAGAACACATGGGGTTCGTTCGACTGCAGCTGCCATGGCAACAACCTGATGTACATCAAAGCTGAAGATACCTGCATTGGTAATTCTTCGTCAATGGAGATCAATCCAGCCTCGACATCGTCATCTTCCTCATCTCGTCGCTCGAGATTTTGAGAATGGGTTTGTGTTTTTTTGGTTGCATTGCAGCGAAGAACATGTCGGCGTTTGGGTGGCTGGTGACGACGCTGGTGCTGTCCTGCCTCGCCGGCGCCGGCGTCGCCGGATACGTGTTCTACAAGTACAGGCTCAGGGTACGCTGGATATGATCAGACAGCGTCATCTGAACATTTTTGTCAGAAAATGTTCTTCTTCCAAAGATCATATCCATTGCTGGCGTTGTTACTGATTTTGCTCTTGTTCTTGTTCGTGTGCAGAGGTACATGGATTCAGAGGTGATGGCGATCATGTCGCAGTACATGCCTCTCGAGGGCCAGAACGGCGAGAGGCTGCCGCTGAGAGAGGAGGCCCAGGTTGAGCATGCTTAGCTAGGCAGGTACTAACAACTTCCTGTCTGAACTCTGAACAGAAATTGTGGCCAAGTAGTTACTGAACTCATATGTTTCAGCATTATTTGTCTGTGATTATAGTTCCTTCTCTGATTCTTTCCATACTTGCAGTTGCAGAGGTTGAACATTTTGGCAATGTCCATTCGTTTTGAGACGCCAAGACACATGACAGCGACGAATGCCGCGATGTACATGGCGAAGTTCAGACATCATACTTGATGACAGGGGTTCTTGCAGTTTCTGCTTGGTGCTTTTGTAGAGAACTGAACCAGATAGGTTCAGAGTTTCTGGTAGAAGAACGGGATAAGTCTATGTCAAGCCGGTGCACCGCAAAGTGCAGACTAGACAAGTATAGCTGCTGTAATGCAGATTTGTTAGAATATATTGTGAATAATAGATCAACAATCTTCCTAATAACTTTGAATCTTGAACGCCTGATTTGTGGCATCACTTCATTAACAACTGAATCAGTTGAACTTCTAAGTGGTATCTAGGACGCACTTGCATTGCATTACCTTATACGAATGATTATCATTCTACAATAATACTACTACAACACGATCAAAATTTTGTTACCTCGCGATCCACACACAACACTATTCTACTATCCTTGAAAACTTAACAGAGCCTTCGTCCACAAGGCTGGTTTGCTTTCTCTTCTTGGATAGCCTCTGGAAACCACTCTGTTCATCAACAAACTGAGCAGCGGTCCTCGCTCGTAGTTCTTCAAGAGTCTCTCCTTCCTTAGCTCGCTCGATCACCTGAATGCAACCGCAGGAAGGTCAAAATACAAATTTCATCGCATTGCACTGCAGTATATGGTAGGTTAGTTCGAAGAGGAAATGTTTGATCCGTTACCAAATGTCGCCCGTAGAGATGAGTGCTCGCAAGTGCTTGGAGAGCGTTCTGCGCCTCTTGCTTTGTGACGAATTCAACAAATGCGAAACCCCTGTGACTCCCAAACTTCATAGGCAGTCTGAGGCTTTTGATCTGAAATTATGTTCCATCGATACACGTAAGCACAAACAAGAGAAAATTCCTTGTGTTCTCAACCTGAAAACATAAGCATTGATCAACCTGAAAGCAGCTAACTCCTTTTTGTCTATCGAAGAGAACAGAAAGCATGAACATGATAGGTGTTTTACTATTTTCATGATATATTGTTGCGTGATATTAAATTTTATTCCACAGACTACTATCCTGGACACAAAAGGACAATTACCTGGCCAAATGGGCTAAATAATTGCCGCAAGTCCTTTTCAGTTGCTTCAAATGCTACATTCCGCACGAGGAGTTTTGTTGAACTCTTATCCTTTTCATTTTTCTTAGTCTGACCATCTTTTCTCCCATGACACAGTTGCAAGATCAAAGCATGTCCATCCAAAACCGTTCCCTATTAACACACACAACATACAGCAGGCTGAACATCAACAGAGATCATGGTGCGGAAAAGAGAGAAGAGAGGAAAACGAAGGGTGGGAGGGGTACCTGTAGATCCTTGCAGACACTGGTTGCAGTTTCAACTGAGTCGAACTCAACAAAGCCAAATCCCATCGAAACATTCTTGCCATTCTTAATGTGCTTCTTAACCTGTAGAGATATCCAACAAAGATGTTTGAGAATGAGATCTGGAAAACTCCATTCAATGCCCATAAGCATTGCAACCATACCGTTGCACTTTTAAGACTTCCACTCTTCAATTTTGTGCTGAAATGCTGCTTCAAGGATTCATCCGATGTCTTGAAATTCAAATTCTTGACAAATACAGATCGCGACTGCAATGGACAGTTGTGTGTTACTAAGATTTGTAATTATTTGGGCCTAAAGCAAATAGATGATATTTAAAGGCTTGCACATGCAGCCACAAAAACTCGCAGGCAGGTGCAACCACAAGAAAACACGAAACAGCCTCTAGCATCATACAGTAAAAGCGGTCCAAGTATATAAGGAACACCGAGTGTTATTCAGACATGAACAGTTGAACACAAATGCCAAAATCCAACTTGGACATGGCCACACGGGAGTCAGTGACAGTTAAGAGATGGTTATAATAAAGATTTAAGTCAAGAGAAAGTTCCAAACCTCCACCCTGTCAGGATCAATCTCTTCAGCACTCACTCCTTCCACAGTTTGCTCTACAATTGCTTTAGTAACAATCCTGTCACCAACAACATCCTTCTCATCATCTTCCACAGGTGCTGAGGTGGGAGATAAAATATTTTCAGGTGCCCACTCCAAATACAGTGGAGTATCCCTGCAGTAAATAGTAACACCAACTTAGGAAATATACATGTGCAGATTTCACAATCACACTAATAGCTAGAATTATATAACATTCACAAAAAGTCAGAATAATAAAACATAAAAAAAATAAACCATAAGGATGACAGGGTATAATTCCATAGAGAGCATATCGATCTATAACTAGAAAGCATTACAACACCCTTAGATCAAATAGACTAAAATACAAGCATCAAGTATGAATATGCGTCTCTCATGCTACTAAAATACAAGTATCAGATATGAATATGCATCTCTCTCTCTTGCGACATGCATGCCAGTGCAAATAGGATCTAGCTGTATCAACGTCGATAATGGGTTTTTTCTTTCAGTTCCTAGGCAAACTTTAACTTAGATTACCAGGCACATGCATATGAAAAGTCGATTAAGAATGGAGAAAACAAACTAAAGAAAACCCCTCATTCTTGAAGTAAATATCGATGGCTGCCTAATTTATTTAAAGAAAATATGTTAACTATCATGCATTATTCTATCTTAACAGAAAATTTACTACATTGATTTATCCTAAAAGCTCAATAAAACTGTATTCAAACTAGTCATTAAGAGTATTAGATGTGGACTAGCACTATTGCAGATACTTACTTGTATCTTGTGTACAGTAACTTTTTGAAAGCATGCCGAGCTTCTGTCGCTTCAACAAAAACTACCTGACATACAAACTCAAGGGGTGAAATTATTCGCAATACAGGTAATAATGTTCACTTGGTAATTTGTAGAGCAAAAGAAATACAAAAGTGAAACATTCCAGACAGTAATGTAGGACACTCAAACACTCAAAAGTGTCATGATATAATGACCAATGACCAATGAACAATTGAACAAAATAAGCAGAAATAGTTACATACCAAGGCAAACACTCTGGTTGGAGGGAGGATGATTTTATCCAGGCTTCCATGTTTGCGAAACATTGTGGCAAGATCTTCCTCACAAGAACTATATGGCAAGTTCTTTACCAATATCACATGGTTGCTTCTTTTAAACTTCTCATTTCTTTTGGAAGCAAGCTCTTCCAGTGCAGCAACATTAACTCCAGACCTTGATAAATATTTCTTGGTCTCTGCAATGACATGTGTCTCACCAAGAGCAATACGAACAGCAAGGTCATCTGCTTCTCTATCAAGTAATTCACTTTTACTGATTCCATTCTTCCTTGCTATGTTTTCAGCAACCTAAATGTGAATGAGTTTGATCGGTTAGCATGATACACGAGAGTTTGATTGTTTTTTTTTTTTCAAAATTCAGCAAAACTATCCTAACCCTAAAAAGGATACAAGGAAATATTTGAATGCAGTATAGGGTAAAATTAGTAGCTAAGTACAAACCATGTCAATGAAAAAACGTTGAACACAAGCAAAATGCAGTAAATCCACATCAAGGTATCAAACATTAACATACAGTATCTTGGCGCATATAAAAGCTGTTCCAAGCTCTCGTATCCCCACTGATTTCAGAAGCTTTCCTCTGATCCAACTTTTGTTGTTTGAGACTCATTTTCTTCTCTTCGTAACTAGATCTGAAAATTTTAAAACAAATTTTAATTATTGAATAATTAATTGAAGAGAAGAATGGCCACAAGGGAAACTTCTTTTCTTACTCAATCTTTTTATTATTTAGTGGCTTAGCAGCCTTAACACGCAAAAGTCGCCCCTGAAAACTTGAGTTGTCCAATTCAAGTGCCCTACAAGGCAAAAAAATATTAGCCAAGCCAAACACATAAGAATCAAGGATAGTCTCAATATTTTGTGATACTTTTTTGTTCTATTCAATCATTTAAATTATGTTCTGATTCCTGAAGTTTGCAGAAGTGTATTTTTTTTTGTGAGCTAAATCAGTGTTACACTGTTCCAGATTTAGTCCATCACAATTAAGCATTGGATTATAAATGCCAACGGTTTGAGGCAAATACAAGACATTGTTAACCTCTTTTTTCCTTCTAATTTCATTCCTTCCTAATAATTCTGTACAACCAAGTACATAGAGGGCTAGCAGAATACAGGGTGTGAGTATAAACTGCTACTGAACAATATGCGTCTCATTTATAAGAGTGGCCAACAGTAATGGATTAAATTATCAGCAGTAAGCTAAACAACAATAAGTTCATCTACATTTGAAATCATAAACTTGCTGACCAAATTTACCTGACTGCTGAGTCTGGAAGGCTAAAGAGCACATAACCTCTTCCAGTTGATAGCTTTGTGGTTTTATCAACGACAATACGTGCTTGATCAACATCACCATATTGGCTACACAGCTCCACTAAATCACCTTCACTGAAATCATACACAAAAATACTCTTTTAAGAATAATCAGGCAGCCATAGCTTCGATTATTCCATATGACACACAAACACTGATCTCAGAAAGGACAAGCAATAACATACGTAGTTGCATATGGAAGATTGCAGAAAAATAAACGGCCAGTCTCCAGTGCCAACTTCTTCTCGTCAGTAATTAAAGCAGCTTCTTCATCTTCCTTTTCTTGATTGTCATCTTCTTTTAGTTGGCTGTCAAGATTTTCAACCTCTTTGTTGTCAGAGTTTCCCGCCTCTTGCACAGTAGAGCCTTCCAGAGTCATTTCCTTATCTACATTTTTTTTCAAGTTCAGACTATCCTTCTGATGAGCTATTTCATCCTTTTCATCTGCATCGTGTGATTCATCAGATGAGTCTTCATCATCAGTGCTGTGGTCCGATTGATCACCAGAATCTTCGCTATCAGATTCTGAATCTGACCAATTTTTCTTGATTTTACTCTTAAAGAAGTCCATATCTGTCATATCTTTGCCTTGTTTACTTTCTATTTTTAGCTCTTCTGAAGCCTCTTCTGAGGAGGAATCATCAGATTCTGACTGATCATTCGCCATTTCCTCATCAGAAGAATCTCCAGAAGATGAGTCATTCTCAGAAACTGGAACATTCTTCTGAGGTTTCTCAGGCTTTTCACTAACTACCATGCTATCCTTGGCAGAAGCATCAAGGGTACCCATCGTATCATTAGCCCACATCTTTGCTTTTGAGCGGGGCTGCATAACCTCAAGAAACTCTTGGAACTTGGGATCACTAGCGGCACTGCCTTTAGAACCTCCCACATCATCAGATACTTTTTGGCCCTTGGAACTTTTGAGTGGTGCACTAACATCTCCAGTCTTAGTCTTGTCTTTGCTATTATATTCAGGCTTCTTTAAAGAATGACGGCTCCAAGGGCGAGGAGCTTCAGGATCACCAATCTTACGAGCAACCTGACACACACCGGAGGAACTGTTAAGTCTGTAAGGTAAGGAAATGCTTATTTCCTTACATTAACCCACCATAGTCATATTCAATCTTCTATAGGCAATTCATCAAGTGGATAGCAGTCCAATGAGGGAAAAAACTAAAAATAGTTGAGGAATACGGGAAGTACCTCGCAGGTGATCTTACAAGTGTCGATGTATGTGTTGTTGAAATACTTGAGTGCTTCCTCTGCCTCCTCGTTAGTTCTGAAACCAACGAATGCAAATTGCCTGCTCTTTCCATCCCTACCCAAAAGAAAGACATCAAACTTTATGCCTTGCTCGCACTACATCTATAACCACTGAAAATATTTTATTCAAGCAGCAGCACATGTTGCATGTGTTAATGGTGTAAATCAGGTACATCCTATCTTCGAAAGCCTAGCATCATAGCCAGAGGTGACAACCAAACTCGAGGTTTCCTGACCTAAAGGGCCAAACTTTTTCGAGATCAAGGTCCAATTTTGAAATCCAACCCACAACTGAACAGAACAATGCAGGATAGTGAGACTTTGATTCTCTTGCCCATCATCGCAAAAAAAAAAAAAAAAAAAAAAGAGCACAATCTTTTGTATAAACTAGCAAATGCTCATCCTATCGTTATGTAGGAATATATACATCCAGCAAAAAGAACAAAAAGAAGCATTTATTTTGCTGGTCCTCTGCAGTTACACGAACCACTAAGACAGCCACCAAGCTGCCATGGAAGCAGTAGCAGCAACGACCTAAGCCTCTAAACGAGCAGCTTCCTCTCGATTATTACTTACTTGGTGCGGATGACCTTGGCGTCGGTGACCTCCCCCTTCCGCGAGAACACCTCCCGCAGCCGCCCCTCGTCGGCGCCCTTGGGCAGGTTCTTCACGCACAGCCGCGACGACCTGCACCACCACAACCACAACCACAACCGCCGCCAAATCAGCCACCGAGAAAACAAAAACAGCAAGACACGCAGCAGTGGACTCAATAGAGAGGATTCCCCCACATGCCGATGCCGGCGAAGTCCCCCCCCCCCCCGGCTTCTGCGGCGGCGGCGAGGTCGGAGGAAGAAGAAGTGCAGAGGCGGCGGCGCTCGAAGCCTCCCAAACTCCGCAAACAAGGGTTGCTCTTGCGCTTGCGCGACGATGAGGATACTGGGCTCCCGACAGTAAATGGGACGTACATGGGCTGGATCAGCCAGCCAATGGGCCTCGTCGCGGCCGGCGAGAGGAGAAATTTTCTCATTTTTAGTTTTATTTAATTTCAAAAATTGTTTTTATTTTGAAGTATTACATATCTCTTCTTTGTATAAAGGTAATGTCCACTAAATGCCTAAAGCTCGACATGCAAGCATGTCACATCAACACATTAAGCATACAAAGCTCAACATACGAGCATATAGTAATTATATCTACAATTTATTTTATTCTAAAACTAAACATGCACATGCTAAATCATCAGTCTCAAATAATTTTTATAATATTTCAATCTAAATCATTTCAGCATTTCTCCATTATCTAACATATATCCTGCAGCAAAGCGCGAGGCATATTTGAGCACTCTTTGCGAGAGATATTTTAAAAAACACCCTTCAAAGAATTTTTTTTAATGGCGTGGCACACAGCAATTAGTGTATGCTAACTATCTCACGGAGCATCCCACATTCTACAAGCGATCCCTTGCAACTTTCTAAAATCTCTAGGAGTGTGATAAGGGGGTCACATGTAAAATAGCATTACATGTTAGAAAATTGATTCACTGGTGCCATTAGTGTCATAATACAGTAATATTGCTTAACTCCTAGTGTTATGTTTGTTGCCTAAACAATATAACCATGGATTTCACATGAGGTTGTCGGGGTTGGGGCTTTTAACTATTTGCCACTCTTACGAGTGGTGCTTAACGATTTGCCACTAGGCCCACATGTCATAGACACGTAAAGGCCCACATGTCATTAATAGGGTGTAGTAAATCGTTAATTGCCATGTCAGAAGAGTGGCAAATAGTTAAATATCCCGTCGGGGTTAGCTGACCTAGCGATTGTGTTGTAGCTCCACCACTACAAGCGGTCCCTTTGGAAGCCCTCTACGGCAAGGGGCCATTTTGCAGGCACCTTCTTACACTCTTATGTAAGGACATAAAGGGGGCCACCTGCAGTAGCCGGTCCTTCTTCGTTAAGCTGTTAGGGGTATAGATTTTGTCGGTGATATGGGACCGGGGATACGCACAGTAGAGGGAAGTCACCTTCCCATCTGGCCACGTGGCCGCACGGCCTGGCCTTCCCCCGCCCCCTCGGGGGGTGATCAGGTAACACTGAGGTGGCCAGGGGGCCTCGGGGTGCCATGTCACGCCCCTCGGGCCCTCAGCGCGTGCTGCCCTGAGGCCCCCAGCCGGCCATCACGTGGCGGGGAGAGTGGGCGGAGCAAGAGCGCCGCTCACCGCTTTCAATGCGCGGCGCCCCAACCGTCCCATGCTGCATTTAATGCGGTGTGGGCGGGCGTGCAGCACCACCCGATTGACCCATGTCAATCGGGCTTGACCGGTCTGTGACCGGTCACAGGCGATTGGACTGGTGGCAATGCCCCCACGTCCCGCCCAGTGTCAGGCGGAGTGGGGGCAAGTATGCCCCGTCCCATCGGCACATTGCCGAGAGCGCCCCCCCTCCCCGGCGCATGGTGAGCCCGCCAAAGACTCCATACATTTAAAAGAGAATGACAGGAGTGTCCCCCGTGTCAGGCGGAGGACGGCGTTGAGCCCCACCTAGAGACGCACAACCACCTTGCTTCCGGTTGAAGGCACGGATGGCGGTCTGATCCAGGTTAGGTGGGTCCCCCTCCCATGGAGGGGTACGCATAGACGGTGCATGTGGTATCCCTTGAACTATAAAAGGAGGACCTCGCCCACCGAGAAATGGGACGACTCTCAATAGCTTGAGCCCTAAAGGAAGAACAGTTAGGTTTCCCCAGGAGCTCAAGACCTCTTGCAAGAACTCATCATAATCCCACGCATAGGAGTAGGGTGTTCCGCTTCCCAGCGGCCCGTACCTGTATGATCCCTTGTCTTCCACACAGACTCGTGAGCGATCTAGTAGTTAGACCACAAGCGGAAGTGCGCTCTTGAACATCGCGCCATATCCCCTGGCCGAACTCACAAAGGGGGGTCTCACGACCACCCGCTAGAGAGGATAACTCCTCGACAGATTTGTAATACTTTAAAAATAAAAATTATTTGTGAAAATATTTTAATAAATGAAATTAAAAATAAAAAACTAGATGAAAACGAAGCGGATATGGACGGATAATGCTCATACCATATTCGTTTTCATATTCTTTACCGGATACAAAAACGAATACGAAAAATAATACGGATTATCTCGAATATGAATAACAATCGAATATGATCAGACACGGATATGGAAACAAATTTTTCTCGGAACATGAAAACCAAGTCAAGTTCTAATAGAAACAAATATCAACATATATATTAGCTCATTTTATATAAAATGAATTATAATTTATAAATATCTTTTTAAAATTTAAATAATAGTATGGACTAGTGATAAGAGATAAACTACTATTAAAATCTATAAAGGTATATTGAAGGTCATAGAGTTAGAAAGAAATGAGCTATGTCTCATGGCTTCTGCAGATATCCAAGGGACATTTAACTTCTTGCCACTTTTAAGATGTGTCAATTAATTATTTGCCACTCGTTGTCTATGACATGTGGGTCCAGTGGCAAATAATTTAGCACCACTCGTAAGAGTGGCAAATAGTTAATTATTCCTATCCCGAATAGAACTGATCACCGGATATCCGAATTATTGTCCATATTCGACGAAAACCCCGATACCATATCCATATTTGTATCCGAATCCGAGCTATCCGATCCAAAATGTATCCGTATCCGTTTTTGTTCGGAGCGGACGGAAACTATCCGCTCCATTTTTATCCCTACCCCATGCGTTGCTGCAGAAGTTTTGTACGATATTAGTAGAAACAATATGTATGATAGTTGCACTTTGTATAGTTTTCATTTCTGATCGACTATTGAGAAAAAGCTAAAAACAATAAGATAATGTGGTATATAATAATTTAAATCATATATGGATTGATCGTTAAAAGATAAAATTAAGGTGATCTTGCTCTATCAGAAAAGAAAAGGAAATAATAACCATCCAAACACGAAACGGAAGTGATATGATTTTATAACAGAATAGAAAGATAAAGATGATAAATATAATTAAGATGATGTGATCTATAACCAGATTAGAGAGAAATAGCATTAAGAAGAAGGAGGGGAGGTGGGGTAACGACGCCGCCCGGCACCGCGCTCACGGGCGCCGTCGCCGTCCTCGACAGCGGCGGGGGGCGAGCACGAGGTACTCGAGGCGAGACCACGCGAGAAGCCCCACTCGGTGCCCCGGGAAATGGCTGCAAGCAAGCAAGCAAAAGCATCACCAACCCAGGCGACGACCGGCGGCGAGCCGGAGACCACAAGCGCCCCCGCGCTAAGCACGCCAAACTCGTGCGGGGAATTCTGATGAGCAGTCACAAATTCTGATAAGAACGTGGAGAGCGCGAACAGGTGACTGCTCAGGATTTGTTCTGATATGTCAAAAGGAGATGCTCTTATCATCAAACAGTGCCTTGAGGTATAATGAACTCCTATAATAATTGTTCCCTTCTAAAAAAAACACTCCTATAATTGTATGTAGATCATTTTGTTTTTGACATGTGACAGGTTATATTGGATAAAAGAGTTAACGGTGGTTCAAAGTACCACATACCCTCCGTACTCGTAAAGGAAGTCGTTTAGGACAATGTTTAAGTCAAACCTTGGAAATATAAATCATGAATAACTTTTAAGTTGTTGAGTTTGAAAATGTAAAAATTATATGAATAGATTTGTCTTAAAAAATACTTTTATAAAAGTATACATATATCACTTTTCAATAAATATTTTTATAGAAACAAGAAGTCAAAGTTGTGTTTTGGAGACCGTGTCGCTATCCTAAACGACTTCCTTTATGAGTATGGAGGGAGTAGGTAAGATCATCTGGTCTAAAATGAAAAGATTGGTTAAAAGATGTTAGATTAATGGGCTAAGCCTAATTAAATCCTAATAAATTTCATTGCCCACATTAAGTGTTATGGGTAATAATACCACCTTGAAAATATAAGTGAAGAGGTCTCAATTTAAAAACGGAGCTAGTAGAGAGTCTCTGTTGATTGGTTGACTCTCTCTCCCGTTTTGTAACGGATGGTAGAATTGATTCTGTATTGACGAGCGCGTCAAAATTAAACACTGAGAATTGCTTCCGTATTAACGAGCGCGTCAAAATTTAATACCTTCAGATATTAGGTATCTCGAGGTGTCAAAATTTTTTAGTATAAAATTTATGTCCCTCAAGATATTTTCTTAAGTACCATAAAATTTCTTGATATATGCATTTTTACAGAACTACAAATTAATGCTAGAAAATGTAATATCTTTCAGTATCTTTTTTATAACAGTAGAAACTCTGATTTTCTTTCATCCTTTAGGCTAAAAAGACGATTGAAAAAATTATTAAGCCAGAGAAGTAGTAACTGTACGATGATTTTTCTATGTGAGATACCATACTGATGTCTTCGCGGTAGTAATACAGCATGACATCTCCTAGCATCTAAAAAAAGTATGTGAAATGGACATTCTTCTAGTAGCCCCCAGATCTTGTAGACAACCCCGTACTGTACGAAACAGAGGTTTTTCTCCTGTACATGTGTCCCATGCCAACAACAGGAAACTTGTCGAATCCTAGGCTTTCCTCTGTTGCTTGGTTGCATTGCATGCTTCTATAAATAAACTGCATCACCACCTTTGTCCATCACACACAGCTTCGGCTGAATCACTAACGAGGCCATTATCATCATCCATGGCGTTGGAAGCCAGGGCCGTGCAGATATCTATCCCAACCGATGCTTGCTGCTTCTCCGGCGGCAAGTCCTCCCACAGAATGTCACCGGCGACCCAGTTGGTCAGAGCCCCGCAGCATGCCGTCGCTACAGGTACAGATGATTGTTTACAGAGATAAATTCAGTCTAACATATTACAAAGTTGTTAAAAGATGTAGTAGCTTAAAACAAGTTATATTTAAGTAATGCTGATGTAGAAAGTTTCTGAAAAAAAATCGTACTTATGGAAGAGTGCCACAAATAATCCGTACATAATCCTTCAGCCGTATAGCAACTCGTTTCACTATTATTGGTGAACGATGACACCTATCTTGTTCTTATTATACTCCCTCCGTTTCAAAATGTTTGACATCGTTGACTTTTTAACACATGTTTCACTGTTCGTTTTATTAAAAAAAATTGTGAAATATATAAAACTATATGTGTACATAAAAGTATATTTAACAATGAATCAAATGATATGAAAAGAATAAATAATTACTTAAATTTTTTAAATAAGATGAATGGTCAAACACGTATTTAAAAAGTCAACGGTGTCAAACATTTTAAAAGGGAGGGAGTAATTCCTCTTTATTTATTTTTCTTTCTACCAACAGCATACGCTGAGAAGAGTTTGGAGGCAGGAGGAAATGCAGCAAGCTTGCCAAACAACATGGTATGAGTTTCCCTGGTGATCTTTTGATCTCTTATTTTCTTCCCCTGTTATGTCTGAAACTCTGAATATGACAAGATCAGGCTCATGTTTCAGTTAGAATTAGTGAACGTCGTCATGCACCAGAGGAAAGCAATAGAGGATACAATGAGGAAGAAGAAGAAGCAGCAGCTTCACAAATTCGAGATGTTGCCGTCTCCCTACGACACGGCATGGGTGGCCATGGTGCCTCTGCCCGGATCATCATCTCAGCTTCCATGCTTCCCACAATGCGTTGAGTGGATACTACAGAACCAGCAGAGCAATGGTTCTTGGGACCTCAACCAGCTGGACTCAATCACCAAGGATGCTCTCTTGTCCACACTGGCTTGTGTTCTTGCACTCAGGAGAGGTAACAACCATATATATGCAATTTTTTATATATCTTTTTTTTAAGATAATGGAAATCATCTTGGTCTTTCCTTCAAAGAAGCTATAGCCGACTACTGCAAAGTTTGCAGATTGAACGACTGCGAGTGACAATTCTTTTTATGCGCGTACCTTTTTTTTAAGATAAAGTTGTGTATTTTTACCTGCAAGTTCTTTTGTTTAGTACTCCCTCCATCCTAAAATATAAACATTTTTAGCATAGTGCCAAGTTAACTATTTTTAACTTTAACCATTAATAGCAAAAAAAAATCAATCATGTAAAATTGATGTTATTAAATTTATCATTAATCAAAATATTATAATATGTAACTCTTTTTATTTAAAACATTTTATTTTTATAGATATTGTTAGTCAAAGTAGTATCTCGAAGACTGTGTCGAAGTCCAAAAAATGTTTATATTTTGGGATGGAGAGAGTATCTTAATTTGGTTGTTATGATCAAGTTTTGGAAATGTTTGACAAAAGGTGGTGATGATAACAGGACTGCTTTTTATTGGAAGGAATTTCTCCATTGCTATGGATGAGCAGCTGGCTGCTCCTATTGGATTCAATATAACTTTTCCTGGTATGCTTAGCTCTGTAATTGAGATGGGTTTGGAGGTTCCTATTGGACAAACCGACGTCGAAAGAGTACTTCATCTCCAGGAAACGGAATTGAAAAGGTCCACAAAATTATATTTTATTTTGTCATTTTGGATTTTGGTGCACATATTGTAGCACTTTTCTTGTTGTAGGCTGTTTCCTTTTCCAGTAATCATAATATTTAGGGAAGTGGGCCATATTACCATTATTGTCTATTTGTGACTATGATGAGTTTGGAATTTCTTATATCTGACAAAACGATATCCACGGGATACTTCATCTCCGAGAAATAAATGCCACAACAATTTGTGTTTTATTTTGGCATTTCTTTCTTTTTCCTGAATGAGATTGGCAATTTTTATCCTCATGATCTAAACTAAATACAGTAGTCTTCTTCTTGTAAATAGTCCCCTTTCATAACCATAATTGTTAGTAAAATGGGCCACCTTATTTCACCAAACTAGTCTAGAAATTCCAAACTTTGAAATTTTTAATAGCATCTCTAAGTAACTGACTGAAATTCCTATTTTGATTTAAAGAGAATATGAGGAGAACTATCGTGGGAGAAACACATATATGGCATATGTGTCAGAAGGATTAGGGAATGCCCAAGACTGGAATGAAGTTATGAATTTCCAGAGGAAGAACGGATCATTGTTCAACTCCCTTTCCATAACAGCTGCGGTGTTAGTCCATAATTATGATGCTAAAGCTCACCGATACTTAAATTTGCTTCTGAACAAATTTGGCACTGCAGGTTGGTTTTAACACTTCTCCATTCCAAGTTGCCAAGAATTTCTTCCTAAAGTGCATACTATTAGTAACTAATGCCATTTTTTTTATTTTTTCATTTATGTTTGAAACCGAGTGCAGTGTATACGAAAAATATACATCGCCAACTTTCCATGCTTGATGCGCTTGAAAATATGGGAATATCTCGGCATTTTGATGGTGAGATCAAGAGTATACTGGACATGACATACAGGTATCAGCCCAAGTAACCTTGAGTAAGGATCAGTTGTCTGCTTTTTTTTTTCTTAGCTCATGCAATTGACAACAGCCAGTTTGCAGTTGTTGGTTACAGAGAGATGAGGAAGTTATGCTGGACATCACAACATGTGCAATGGCATTTCGTATTCTTCGGATGAATGGATATGATGTTTCTTCTGGTATTTTTCTAATTCTGGATTTTTTTCCTCGTTAACCGTGTTTAATCTTAGGTTATCTTCGATCGTTTTGACACAATTATTTTACTCTATTTTAATTATTATTATTATTTTACTCTAGTTGACACAATGATCCATATGAAAATTTTGGTGCAGATGACCTGTGTCATATCGCTGAAGTTTCTGATTTCCATAGTTCGCATCAAGGATATTTGAGTGACACAAGAACATTACTAGAACTATACAAGGCTTCAGAAGTCAGTGTTGCAGATAATGAGTTTATTCTAGATAGAATAGGCTCTTGGTCAGGTCGGTTACTGAAGGAACAGCTTAGCTCTGGTGCGTTGCAAAGAACTTCATCAATATTTGAAGAGGTAGTTTCAAGAACATAAATACTCCTTTGATATTGTGTGATTGTGTCTACAAGAGCTAAGTTCTTCTTACATGTTTTTGATACCATGATTTTGTATTTGAAGGTGGAACATGCTCTTGACTGTCCGTTCTACGCAACATTGGATCGTCTAGTCCATAAAAGGAACATCGAACATTTTGCCGCGATGAGCTATATATCATATGCTCAAAACAACATACCTGTAAGCTTCCTGTTTCACAAAAAGGTAATCTAGTGTACTTTAGTACAACATTCTTAAATGTATTGCTGAAACAGGCCTTGTCAAACCGCTCAAGATCTTGTAGCTTTGGGTGCCAGAAATTTCAGTACTACTCAATCTATTTACCAGGATGAACTTGAGCGTATAGACAGGTAAATATGACAGTTACTCTCTCTTTTCATGTACAATTGTACAAACCAGTAACATTCAGCTTATTTCTGCAAATTTCAAATTTTGATGCAACAGTTGGGTGAAAGAGAACAGACTTCATGAGCTGAAGTTTGCACGGCAGAAATCTGCTTATTTCTATCTCTCTGCTGCTGGAACGGTTTTTGATCCAGAAATGTCTGATGCTCGCATTTGGTGGGCTATAAACGGGGTGCTTACAACTGTCGTCGACGATTTCTTTGACGTTGGAGGATCAAGAGAAGAATTGGAAAACCTCATTTCACTAGTAGAGATGTACAATCCTTTACATCCATGATTTTAGCTTACTTTTTAAATACCATTTTCTTAGGCTTAATTCAATTTTTGCCCATTTTGCCAATGGTTGTCACAGGTGGGATGAGCATCACAAAGAGGAGCTCTACTCTGAACAAGTAGAGATTGTATTTTTTGCCATCTTCAATTCAGTTAATCAGCTTGGAGCAAAGGTTTCTGCTGTACAAGGCCGTGATGTGACCAAACACCTAATAGAAATAGTAAGTTTTTGTCTGCAATTTCTTTTGCCAAAATCTTCAGTTTGTAGTATTTATGACAAGGTAAACTATCACCAAACAGCTACTCCTTTGCTGAAAAGAAAATTTCAGTTTTGGGTGTTAGAGCAATTCAAATTTCTTCTGCAGTGGCTAGATTTGCTTAGGTCCATGATGACCGAGGTAGAATGGAGGATCAGCAACTACGTGCCTACACCAGAGGAGTACATGGAAAATGCGGCCATGACATTTGCATTGGGCCCAATTGTGCTCCCAGCTTTGTATCTTGTCGGACCAAAGATCCCTGAATCTGTCGTCAGAGATTCAGAGTACAACGAGTTGTTCAGACTGATGAGCACATGTGGTCGTCTCCTGAATGATGTTCAGACATACGAGGTATATGCAACGATCTGCCATTACTCCCAACACAAAAAGATCAACAACATACATAAGCAACCATTTAACTATATGATTATGACCCAGTATTTACGACTGTTTGGGAAGCTTTTAGCTGTTATGGCTTCTTTTAGAATCTCTCCAGCTCCCTAAACATTCCAAATAAAATCGATAAAATAAACTACTCTATTCGTTTCAAATTATAAGATGTCTTAGACTTTGGTCAATGTCAAACTGCTTCAAGTTTAACTAAGTTTATAGACAAATATAGTAATATTTATATTACCAAATTAGTTTTATTAAATTAATAATTATATATATATATATATATATATATATATATATATATATATATATATATATATATATATATATATATAAAATAAATTTATCTTGGTAAAAAATATACCTATTTTTTATAAACTTAGTCAAACTTAAAATAGTTTAACTTTAGCCAAAGTCAAAACATCTTATAAATGTTTATCAGAATCTTAAGCTCCTACAAACATAAAGCTTACTAATTGGTACTCACAATTGATCTTGTTCTAATTGGCACTCACAATTGATCTTGTTCTTTCGCTGCTGATGCAGAGGGAGGATGGCGAGGGCAAGGTGAACAGTGTGTCGCTGCTTGTCATTCAGAGCGGCGGTTCAGTGTCCATCGAAGAGGCTAGAAGAGAGATCATGAAGCCGATCGAGAGATGCAGGAGAGAGCTGCTGGGGCTGGTGCTCAGGAGAGGCAGCGCCGTCCCCGGGCCGTGCAAGGAGCTGTTCTGGAAGATGTGCAAGGTCTGCTATTTCTTCTACTCCCGTGGCGACGGCTTCAGCTCGCCGACGGCGAAGTCCGCCGCCGTGGACGCGGTGATCCGCGACCCACTCGATCTCGCCGCCGTCGTCGCAAGCCAAGAACCCATATATATCATTCCTGCTTCGTGACTCGTGAGGAAATTGAACTAGAGATGTGATCGTGGATGAAGAAACTGTGAACGTGTTGGAGATTGAACACGGGACCTTAGGGTTGAAACCACGTACCCCTTTCTACTGCACTATCAAGTGCATCTCCTGCTCTTTCTTTTATGAGATAACGGAAATATTTTAAGTCTCCGTACGCATGTAGTCATTAGTTAGTTAATTCTGTTTGGACGCCTAGTGCCCGCAGCGTGAGGATAAGCTCGCAGCGTGCGGATCGTGGGGATGGAAGCGGATCAAACCGCGGCGTGGGTGATCAAACCGGGGAAACGCTTTCTATCTTGCGTGTTCCAGCATGTTCCACTTCGCACAACTATAAATGGAGAGGAGAAAACCCCGAAAGGTTTGCATCACAAATCCTCTCGTGTTCTCATTGTTCTTCCTCTTGAGTTGAGTGTCCGTGTTCTAGCTCAGGTTCTCACCGATCATTTGTCCAGGGAAACCTGACAAATGGTACCAAAGTGGGATTCAAGGCTTGGACTCGATAACATGTACTTGAGAGCGTGTTAATGCCTCATGGGTACACATACTCGCCATGCTAGCGGTCCTCGTCACCGATCGGGCGTTCTCCTAGAGGCTCCGGCAGCCGCCCCTCGGGTAACAGCTAGAGTGCCCATAGGCAGATGGGCTAGCTATACACCACGTGGTCAAGGAGGCGAGAGGCTCTCCAATTATCTGTTACTAGCAAAGTCGGACTACAATGATGTCTTTGTTGATGAAGATCAAGCTACAAAGCGTGTTGCATGTAGGGTATCATCGAGTTGGGCCGCATCGAGCTCCACGAGATGTGATGGCGTCGGATGCCATCTACAGCGTCGTCCCACCAAAGATGATCTCAACGCTGACACCAGGGTCGCCAACATCGAGATCATCTCAGGGTGGGACGGCGCTGCAGAACTTCCAACACTATCCTATCATTGTGGAGCTTAACACCACCCTACTTGATAGAACCCATAGGCAGCGACGCTTTGCAGCTTAATCATCATCAACAAACCAATTGTTGTAGTTCAACTTCTTTAGTAGCGGGTAATTGGTTGAGGCTCCAACCTCCTTGACCACTCGGTGTATGACCAGCCTGATTTTTGCCCGAGGCACGGCCGCCACAGCCTCTAGGAGTGCACCTGGTGGTGATAAAGACCGTCGGCATGGAAACTGCGTGTGCACACAAGCCATGAATACGCTCTCTAGTGCAGGATATCAAGTCCAAGCCTTGAACCTCGCTTTAATACCAATTATTAGGTTTCCCTAGACAAACCCATTAGAACGTGTATAATCAATATGAAGAACAAAAGGAACACGATAGGATTTATAGTGTAGTCATGCTATTTTGGGTTTTTTTTTCTCTCTATTCATTGCGCAAAGTGAAACATGCAGAACAAAAAGTGCAAGCACTTCCCACTTTATGGTTTGATCACGTCCATCCTCACGATTTACACAATGCGTTTATGTCCCCATGCCGTTTAATATGAATTTTATATCTAATGAATATGAATTTTAACATGAGGTCCAACCTTTTGAAAAAAAATCTACCGTGTCTATCTCTTCTTTTCTTGATTTCTTGTATTTTTTTTGTGCTCCATACGAATTGCTATTCATGTAGTTTTTTTTTCTGTATTTTCTCAATCTAAAAGATTTGGAGTACTAGGGCACTTTCTTTTACGAAACACGATACATACTCAGATGCGGATGCCTGTATACATGTGCACACTCATCATTATTAACACACACCCGATCCTGTTAACCCTTACGAGTACACACGAAGAACTAAACTAACATATTCAATCATATATAGGTCCTATTTGGTATATCTTTGGATCCAAGATTTCTTGGAACTGAGTTTTCCTAGTTCTACAAATCCATGAATGTGAGTTCACGATTATGTTGATAAATATTTGGATGAATCATTTTGTTCATGTTTTAGATAAAATTTACAGTACATTCTTAAATCACTACAGTTTAACATAGAAAGTTCAAATCCAGAAAGTTCAAATCCATCGTAGATCTGGGATCTGAAGCCGTGCTAAACATGATCGTGTTGTTCATATTCCTATATTTTAAAAATCCTGGTTTGCCCAAGGAGGGCGCCAAGCCACCGATTTCACGGACGACGGATGACCATTGCTGCCGGCTCGATGAAGTCTGCTATGCTCCATCGTACTCCCTCCATTCCAAAAGAAACAAATCTAGGATTAGATGTGACACATTCTAATACAACAAATCTGGACAGATATATGCATATATGTACACATTCAGTACTATATTATTTTTTTATGAAACATAGGAAGTCTTATATTATTATTATATTATTACTCCGCAGTAGCAGGACAAACACCGGGAGGGGAGGATCTCCAGCAACCGACACCGTCGAATGTTCCATCCACATCGCCGCTCGCGCCACCCCACCCGCCCGTCCGTCCAAAAGTGCTTTGAGATTCGGAAAAAGTACACCCTTTCTTCTTTTCTTTTCCCCTCACGTGCGCGCGACACGAAGGCCACACCTCGGAGCCCCACACACGCACTCCCCTCGCCCTCGCCCTCGCCGGCGCGCCGCCCCTCTCCGGCCCTGCGCCGCCGTGGTCGCCCTAGACCCCCCTCCCCCCTCCGGCATCCACTGTCGGCGGGCGGCCGCGAAAAAGGTGCGTTTCCTATCGCTCGCCGTTTTGCCCGCCAATAGCAAGCGGAAGCTGGGGGAATCTGCGGTGGCTTTTTCGCCTCGTTGTGCCGTGTCATCTCCTCCTCCTCCTCCTGCCGATGATGATGCTGCTGATGCCGAGATCCATCCTCATCACTGCTGCAGACGCAGCCCCGAGAGGGAAGAAACAAGGAGCTCAACCCAGAGTGATGGCGCCTCGTCGTGGGGTCACCAGAGGTACAGTATGCTCGATTACTCGCGTGTTCTTGGTGCCTCGTGTCTTTTTTTGTTATCAAAGGGATATCTGAAATTGCAGCCATGGTCGACACTGTTCAATTCTACAGAGAAATGTGTTTACTGTTATTGTACTTGATATCTTATCGATCTCTCTCACTGACATTCTTTTCTTTACCAATCAGTATATATTGAGAAGAGATTGGGAGTAGGAGGGGGAAATGCATCAAGCCTGCAAGACATGGTAGTAATAGTATGAACCAATGTGACAGTGTGCTGATTATTATTATTATTATTATTATATCTGAAACCTGATGCTCTGTGTCCCTGATTGAATTAATTATTGTGATGAAATGCAGCACAGGAAGGAGCTCCAGGCAAGGACAAGGGACCAGCTCCAGACATTGGAGTTATCTACGTCTTTGTACGACACGGCGTGGGTGGCCATGGTGCCACTGCGGGGTTCCCGTCAGCATCCGTGTTTCCCACAATGCGTGGAGTGGATATTACAAAACCAGCAGGATGATGGATCTTGGGGTACAAGAGGATTCGGCGTGGCGGTCACAAGAGATGTTCTGTCGTCTACGTTGGCGTGTGTTCTTGCACTCAAGAGATGGAATGTTGGGCAGGAGCACATCAGGAGAGGTACAAACGACTGTGCATTTACCTGTCGATGTTTGTTTTAATTGACTCTGTATGTATCTACACATTTAAGGCTTGGAATGTCTTAACGCTATGAAAATGGTACTGTCAGGACTAGATTTTATTGGAAGGAATTTCTCCATTGCCATGGATGAGCAGATTGCTGCTCCTGTTGGTTTCAACATCACTTTTCCTGGTATGCTTAGCCTTGCCATGGGGATGGATTTAGAATTCCCTGTCAGACAGACGGATGTTGATAGACTTCTTCACCTCCGGGAGATAGAACTGGAAAGGTCTGTTAATTCTAACACGAACATGGATATTGTATGTCATTAGTATTTGTATTACTGTTGTTACGAGTATGTAAAGTTAGTATGCAAGGGTTGATTGTGTGGATGAAGTTTTACCATCAGGCGTTCTAAAAATAACTGTCAGCTTAGTTTTATTCCCTAGTTCCCCCTGCATTCTTTTTGAAGGAAGGAATATAATGACCTTCTCCTCTCTTTTTTTCCAAGATCCTATATTTGGAGGAAATGATCAATCTCGGTTTTAATAGTGCCTATGAGTAACGCACTGAAAATCTGATATGATTAAATGCAGAGAGGCTGGAGACCATTCTTATGGAAGAAAGGCATATATGGCTTATGTCACAGAAGGATTAGGAAACCTGTTGGAGTGGGATGAGATTATGATGTTCCAGAGGAAGAATGGATCATTTTTCAACTGTCCTTCCACAACTGCTGCCACATTAGTCAACCACTATAACGATAAAGCCCTCCAGTACTTAAATTGTCTGGTTAGTAAATTTGGCAGTGCAGGTGAGTCTGCACGCATTTTCTTGTCAAGAACTTTCTACAGTGTAGACTGCTCCTAAATACATAGTAATACATTTGGTCCATTGCAGTACCAACAGTGTATCCACTAAACATATATTGTCAGCTTTCATGGGTGGATGCACTTGAAAAGATGGGAATTTCTCAGTATTTTGTCAGTGAGATAAAGAGCATCCTAGACACAACATACGTGTAATGACTTTGAGTAAGTATTTTATCTATCTTTAATAGTTCAAACTTAATTTTAGCTAGTTTGCAGTTCATGGTTAGAAAGAGATGAGGAAATTATGCTGGACATAACAACATGTGCAATGGCTTTTCGCCTGTTAAGGATGAATGGGTATCATGTTTCCTCAGGTGTGTTCTAAGGCTTGAAAGGAATATTTTTTTTGTTGGTTTCGAACTATATTCTACCTTTGGTTTTCATTTAACATGCTGAATTATTTTTTATTTAACATGCTAATTTAAATGCGGTGCAGTCGAGTTATCTCCTGTTGCTGAAGCTTCCAGTTTCCGTGAATCACTTCAAGGATATTTAAATGATAAGAAATCTCTAATCGAATTATACAAGGCTTCAAAAGTCAGTAAATCAGAAAATGAATCAATCTTAGATAGCATAGGCTCTTGGTCAGGTAGCTTATTGAAGGAAAGTGTGTGCTCTAATGGGGTGAAAAAAGCTCCAATCTTTGAAGAGGTGCTTGCATGAAGTTTTGAATTTCCATTTCATTCGGAAGTTCATTTTGTGTTTAAGTATATGCCTTTTGTGATTTCAGATGAAGTATGCTCTTAAGTTTCCCTTCTACACCACACTGGACCGTCTAGATCACAAGAGGAACATTGAACGTTTTGATGCAAAGGATTCCCAGATGTTAAAGACGGAATACTTGTAAGGTTTTCATTGAAAAGGTCTGCCAATCTGAGTAATATATATGTTAGGCACCAATTCCACTATGTTGTTTACTCAGGCTTCCTCATGCCAATCAAGATATTCTAGCTTTGGCTGTTGAAGATTTCAGTAGTTCTCAATCTATATACCAGGATGAACTTAATTATCTTGAGTGGTAGGTAATCCAGCCTGCTGTCAATCTGTCATGTTATGCTCCTTTATTGTACTACCTTGGATAAATTGCAAAATTTTGTTTGCGACAGTTGGGTGAAAGATGAAAAGCTCGATCAGCTGCCATTTGCACGCCAGAAGTTGACATATTGCTACCTTTCTGCTGCTGCTACCATATTCCCCCGTGAATTGTCTGAAGCCCGCATTGCATGGGCTAAAAATGGTGTACTGACAACTGTTGTTGATGACTTCTTTGATCTTGGGGGATCAAAAGAAGAACTAGAAAACCTCATTGCTTTAGTTGAGAAGTACGTACAATCCTAATTCATTCTATTCGATCTATTTGTCTGGTCTTTTGTAAGTGGCGCTGGTTATGCACAGCTAATTCATCTTCTCTGATTTGCAAATGGCTGTCTAGGTGGGATGGACATCAAGAGGAGTTCTACTCAGAACAAGTAAGAATAGTTTTTTCTGCTATTTATACTACAGTGAACCAGCTTGGAGCAAAGGCTTCTGCATTACAAGGCCGTGATGTTACAAAACACCTAACAGAAATAGTGAGTCCCATCTCATGGTTGATCTATTGATTCTGTGGTGAATATTGCTCTGTTGCATAGTGTTTAGTGATAAGCTCAAACTCATCTGCAGTGGTTATGTCTGATGAGGTCTATGATGACCGAAGCTGAATGGCAGAGGACAAAATATGTGCCGACAATGGAAGAATATATGGCAAATGCTGTTGTCTCATTTGCACTGGGACCTATTGTGCTCCCGACTCTGTATTTCGTAGGACCGAAGCTCCAAGAGGATGTCGTCAGGGATCATGAGTACAATGAATTATTTAGACTGATGAGCACTTGTGGGCGTCTCCTGAATGACAGCCAAGGCTTTGAGGTACCCGGATCCCTTTCTGTGACAAACCTCCTTGTATTCTCATATTTCTACAAGATTTAGCATGTAAATAAAATTTTCGGTTTTACTTGATGTTATATGATTGCAGCTATCTCATTCTCTGCCCACAAATTTGTTGACTAATCTGTATAAATGTGATACTAATTATGAACACTTTTATTTTTCTGTTGAAGGATTAGGACGTGGCTACAGTTCGACCCAACTACCCAAAGCTTGCAAACTTATTCTAACAAATAATTTCTCTATTGCTGCAGAGGGAGAGCCTGGAGGGAAAGCTGAACAGTGTCTCACTGCTTGTTCATCACAGTGGTGGTTCTATCTCCATAGACGAGGCTAAAATGAAAGCCCAGAAATCCATAGACACTTCCAGGAGGAACTTGTTAAGATTGGTCCTTGGAGAACAGGGTGCTGTTCCTAGGCCATGCAAGCAGCTGTTCTGGAAGATGTGCAAGATTGTTCACATGTTCTACTCTCGGACTGATGGGTTTAGCTCGCCGAAGGAAATGGTTAGTGCAGTGAATGCAGTCGTCAAGGAGCCACTTAAACTCAAAGTGAGTGATCCATATGGCTCTATTTTGTCGGGCAATTGAGTGCTTCTCCGTTCTGTTTTATCAGGGATATCAGCAACGAGCTTTATACAGGTTGATATTTCTTTTCTTTTTCTTTACGATAAGGGTTTAAATCCTAGTACCCACGATTATAGCTGCTGTGTGCTTTAAGTATAATAAATTTTACACTCTTACCATTTTTTTTTAATGTAAATGTTGGTATATATTGGTACCTGACATAATCAGAAGCACCAAATTATACACTCCTTTTGTCCCAGAATATAAAAATCGTCTAGATTTGTAGTACTAGAAAATGTCTCATCCAATAATTCTTAACTACCGTCAAATACATTTTTTTAAAAAAATAAAATTACTCTTTCTGATAATTTTGTGATCACGTGGCGTGCATGCTATTTCACAAATTTTCTTCTACGGTATTTTACAATTGAAAAGATTGCTTGCTACATTCAGCCCCATCTACGTGCTAATACCAATCTTGCACGAGATAATGATGTATGTGATGGTTGGCATGACTTTTTTCATTGTTTTTTTTAAAAGTACATTAATTTGGCAGTAGTTTGGACTCTAGACTGTAGACAGCCTTATTGCAACCTATAGACTATAGTTTTATAATGCATTGGCACATGCAAAACCGAGTACTCCCTCCGTAGTCGTAAAGGAAGTCGTTTATGACAGCGACACGGTCTCCAAAACACAACTTTGACTTCTTTTTTCTATAAAAATATTTATTGAAAAGTGATATATGTATATTTTTATGAAAGTATTTTTCAAGATAAATCTATTCATATAATTTTTATATTTTCAAACTCAACAACTTTCAACAACTTGAGAGTTATTCATGATTTATATTTCCAAGGTTTGACTTAAACATTGTACTAAACGACTTCTTTTATGAGTACGGAGAGAGTATATATTTCTCTATTGCTTTAAATGCGAAGTCCGCCACCATCGTACTTTCCCACACACAAAAAAACAGTCTTGAAAAACCACCTTACCCAATAGGTATACCCACGTTAAACTAAACCCCATAAATTCATTTATCTATGTTTCTTTATATCCCGCTGCAACACACGGATATATCACTATAGCATTAGTTAATAGAAGAAAAACTGAAGTGAGCTGAAACAAAACATCCTTGTCTACTCCACTATGTCCCTTTTTGTAATAAATAAAACGAAATGGCAGCGCGAATGCTGAACAAACGACGTCTTATGTGCGCCTGATGAGTGACATGCTATTTTTAGTAGTTTAGTATATATGATCACGCTATAAACGAGTAGTCCACATGCACAATGGACTGAATCTCACCGACGTGGATAAGACTTGATGTGTTTTGGAAAATACTCCATATAAAAGTAACATATGAATGCATTCCCTTAGTGGGAAGAATATAGTACTTATTATATTATTATTAGGAAAGGAAAAAAAAGCACTTTGATGTGCAACAAGCTAATTAAGTGCAAGTGTTAGGTGGTGTTTGGATCTTTGATGTGCAACAAGCTAATTAAGTGCAAGTGTTAGGTGGTGTTTGGATCTTTGATGTGCAACAAGCTAAGTAAGTGCAAGTGTTAGGTGGTGTTTGGATCTAGGGATTAAACTTTAGTGCTTGTAACAAAATGAGTAAAAAAGTTGATCAGATTTGAGGGGAAAAAAAAGAACATAATGAGATGTCCTCTTGTAACGGTCAACTAGAGACAACGGACAACGGACATAACTCACAGAACAACATACATTTTGTGTTTGCCAGTAGTAACTATAGAGAGGAGGATGTATCTCACTAGCTACCCAAAAAAAAACATCCCTGCCTGCACATCACATCACTGTTGGTTCGGTGTGAATCGGCAACGATACTCTATATATCATTGTTGGTTCACTTTAATTTACTGTTTAAACCAGAGTAAACAATATCGGCTGTGTTTAGATTCAAAATTTGGATCTAAACTTCAGTCATTTTCCATCACATCAATCTGTCATACACACACAACTTTTCAATCACATCATCTCCAATTTCAACCAAAATGCAAACTTTGCGCTGAACTAAACACAACCATCGGTTCGGTTGAGGCCTAGAACAGGTAGAGATACATCATTCCTGGTTCATAAGAAAAACGTGTATTCATACTCAACGGGTTAGATTATTTTTGAGAATTACACAGTACAACGCAGACACTTACAATGTACGCACACTCACCCCTACGAACGCACGCATGTAAACTCTACCCCTATGAGCATATTCGAAGACTGGGCCGGCAAATCCTAGAGATTGACGAAGTCACCACAGGCGTCTCACTGTCGACGGGTACGTCGCCTAGACTAGGTGCGAACTACTGTCCAGAGAATATCGAGCCGGCAGGTATTGGTACTCAAATTATAGTTTTTCAAGAAAAATAATAAAATTTTTCATATGAAGTCTGATGAAAACAAACTTTACAGAGATGCACTTAATAGTGCAGTGGCAAGGGGTGTGTGGTTTCAACTCAAAGGTCCCATGTTTAATCCTCAACACGCTTATAATTTCTTCTTAAAAAAGTTTGGAGGGTCGTCTCTCCCTCGCAACACGCTCATGATTTCTTCTTAAAAATGTTTGGAGGGACATATCTCCCTCCAAATCTTGTTTTTTAAACAAACTTTATATCGAAATTATAGAGTTTGGCGATGATAAATACACGTTATAGAACTTAAGTTCTCTAATCTACTTCGATTTTTTTTTTAGTTTTTCAAACAACTTCAAATGCATGGAGACAAACTCCATATGAAAATTTTAGATCTTCACGAGATTCGCAACTTCTTAGTTGATAACCTTTTCATTTAAAATCATTTACATAGCTTAATATGTTTTCAAGACAGGAAAAGTCAAAAGAAAATATTATGCAATATCAAATAGCTAGCATTCGTTATTCTACCTTCCGTCAAAACATGTGCGCGCTTTTGATACTGTTGAGTTGGGTATCATGGAGAGCAGATCCATACGATCATATATTTAATTGTTCAATCACATCACCAAAAGAAACAGGTTTTCAATATATATTGAAGTACTATAAATCATGCTATATATACCCCTCTTCCCCTCCACAATACAATTCAATTCCCTCCTAGGTTTGTTATGATCCATTTGACACACGAACACACACATACACTACACTCTCCCTAGCTATCTTTTTCCAAATTCTGATCACAGATCAATTACTCTTGATCGCCCATTTATTACTTCTTCATTTTAAACCCTCTTTTCGTTTAATTAACGTGGCAAGGAGTGATATATACGATGCTGCCGTGCTTGTTCCCGGCGTATGGTAGCGTCGTAGCCTGCAAACCTTCCGCGATCGATCGGTCGCCTTTTGGATTGTTGTCCCAGCCCAAACAAACTAATAGGACTCTTATTCGTCGTCCTAAGGTTACTAAAGGTACATTATGTTCATCATTTTATGCTTACTGTAAATATACAGATGTGTAAGGCCGGCCATATATTAATTTCATTATGTAATATAAAAGATACATATTTATTTATTTATTAGTACAATAAGGTAGTTTTTTTTAATTCCATATATATTTTCTATAAACTTTACTAATGGTCAGGACTGCCTACCAAAGAAAGACGTGGGCCCAAAAGATAACTTACTGTACTTCATTTTCATTTAAGAGCAATACAAATCCATGTTAATTCTACCGATCGAGATAAAATTTCGAAAGAAAATTTGTGTAAATATTAACATCCGTAGAAGGACTGGTTGCATTTGGGATTTTCTTTCGGATCGATACGAGGACAATGCCGCTAATAAATACCTAATATATATAAGTTGCATATATAATTGCATTGTTTGAACCATGTTCCACATAAATATTTCAACGATTTATATCACATATCTTCCAAATTACAGCATTCATGGCGATCGAGGCCATGCGGCACTGCAGCAGCAGCAGCAGCAGCGAGGAAGGAGGAGCGGCGGCGACGACGGCGGCCAGATCAGCAGTACGGGAGCGCCTCCAATTAGCGCCGCCGTCGCCGTCGCCGTCGCCGTACGACACGGCGTGGGTGGCCATGGTGCCGGCCCTCCGCCGTGGCGGCGGCGGCCCGCGGTTCCCGCAGTGCGTCGCGTGGATCCAGCGGAACCAGCGGGGCGACGGGTCATGGCGCCACGCGGCGGCGGCGCACCAGCAGCTCGGCTCCTCGCCGGAGATCGTCACCGAGCGCGACCTCTCGTCCACCCTCGCCTGCGTCCTCGCGCTCGCGCGATGGGACGCCGGCAGTGAGCACGTCAGGAGAGGTATAGTAGTAGCTCGTTGAATTCTCAGTCATCTGATCGACCAATCTCTGATCAGATCTATCGATGATCGCAAATGATCAGTGACTGATTGAGCTGCTGCTGGGATCGCATATACTCCCTTCATCCCATAAAAAATAAATCTAAGACCGATTCGTAGTATTAGGATGTGTCGCATCTGATACTAGGTTGTTTTTTTATGGGACGGAGGGAGTACACATGTATTGATGCTCGGTTAAAATGGAGAATGGATTCTTAGAGCCTGTTTGAAGCTGAAGCTCAACCAAACAGTTTCAGCTTCACCTAAAATAGGAGCGAAGCTAGGTAGAGCACTCTCATAAAATGCTGATTTTAGCTAGGCTACTCCACAACCACACTCTAGACCTAACTCCTAAAGGTAAATTTTAGAAGTTGGAAACTCTACCAAACAGACCCATAATTCATGAGCGGATGTCTCCTATGTCCTATCTTTGTTTTTTTTTCACATCATCTAAATATGTATAATTTTTTTATAGGATAGATTAATATGTGTGATATATCACTCCGCAAGCATATTAACCTAGCTATATCTTATCAAATTTAGATAACATACATAGTTTGCTGGTAAATGCAGGGCTGCAGTTTATCGGGAGGAACATGTCGGTCGCCATGGACGATCAGACGGCTGCTCCGGCGTCTGGTTCCGTCGTCAGTTTCGCAGCGATGCTCCGGATGGCGATGGAGATGGGTTTGGAGGTTCCTGCCGTCAGCCAAGCTGACGTCCGCGACAGGTTAATTGATTTGCATGTGAAAGAACAGCATTTCGTTCCCGCGTTACTGTTTGTATTTTTCAGGGTAACGTACGGTACGGTCGAGCTTCAGAAACAAGTTGATTAAATTGTTTAATTTGCTACCTATCGAAGATGGATTCTGATTCTTGATTGGAGAGGGTGTCACACATATTACACGTTTTTACTGTTTTCAAATTCAATTTAAAAAGCGAATTGAGCATCTCTCTCTAATCAGCTCCTAAGCTAAGTTCATCGTTATGTGGGGGTGAGTAAGTGTTTGGTGATGTGAGGGTGAGTATACGCAAGGCGCCTGCGTTTATATTTTGTGTTTCGAGAAAAAAATATCAATTTAAAAAGTTAAACTGCGTTGTATACGAGCGCTTACAATATTTGTACTTTGTATTTTGAGAAAAAAAATCAATTTAAAGGTTAAAAATTTTATAATATAATTAAGCACGACATACACATATGACCCGTTAGAATAATTAAATCAACTTGAATTTGTATTTTAGTGATCCATGCATATTGTGAGTTGTGAGGAATATCCTCACTAGTGAAGAAAAAACACTTTCGGTACACTGGCAAGCTCCTGCATTTTTCGTTGGGCTGGTCTGGCTCTAGATGTTCTTGAAGAAGAAACCGTGTTATTTATTTTTTTTATTACTCTCTCTAACTACCAATATTTGGTGTTTAGGGCGAGATACCATCGAACTAATTCTATATTAAATTAAGTTTATGGAATCTAATAAACTTGTGTGTTACTACTTTTCAAAGCAAACATTATTTGAGAAATTGTTTTAGTTAAAGTTTTTAAATTTTTTAAACTACTAGTAAGTCTTATTATAAATGTTATTTTTTTATGATGGGAGGGAATACTTATTTATCTCCTTCAACTTCATGAGTCAGGACAAGGATCTCAACAGATTAATTTACACGTGAGAGAACTACATTTCGGTCCCCATTTTTTTAATTTTCTGGTACGATGTATGGAGCTTGCTAGCTACCTTCCAAAGATGGGCTCTAATACTTCGAGAAGACGTCCTTTTAAACACTTTTATTTTCCAAATGCAGTAAAAAGGCTATAATAAACTATGATAATATAGGTGTGTATGCTATATATGTTCTGTGACAGTGACATCCACCAGCTCATGCATGCTCTGGGGGAAAAAATACATTGACGACATGGTAGACTATTTATTAATATCAAGATTAAAAAAAGTAGCCGTCAAAGTCACATTTCCCAAATTAATTAAGAGGTCAAAAACCATATAGAGAAAAGGAAAACGCAGTAGTTTGAGAAAGGGGAGATAAAGAAGATTGGGAAGATACGCAAAACAAGGTGAGCCATTAGCGTATGATTAATTGAGTATTAACTATTTTAAATTTTAAAAATGGACTAATATGATTTTTTAAAGCAACTTTCCTATAATTTTTTTTGAAAAAAACACACCGTTTATTAGTTTGGGAAGCGTGCGCGCGGAAAACGAGTCACAATCTTCCCAATCTCCTTTGAAAGAACGCAGCCGTCAAGTCGCATCTTCGAAATTAATTAAGAGGTCAAAATCATCTACAGAAAAAGAAAACTACTATAAGTACTCCTTCCACTTTATATTGCTTTGATTTTTTTTTTCTAAATCATTACTCCATCCGTTCTATTTTAAGTGCAGTCGTGTATTTCTGTGTTCAACATTTGATCATCTGTCTTATTTGAAATGTTTTTATGATTAATATTTTTATTGTTATTAGATGATAAAATATAATTAGTACTTTATGCGCGACTTTTTTTTTAGTTTTTTCATAGTTTTTTTAAATAAGATAGACGATGAAACGTTGGACACAGAAACCCACAACTACACTTAAAATAGAACGAGGGAGTATTTTAAATTTTGATTAAATCTATAAAAAAGTACAGTACAAAATAAGTATAGTATCAAAATATATATATTAAATGTTAGATTTAATGAAACTAATTTGATTTAGTGTTATAGATGTTGTTATGTTTTCTATAAATATGATTAAATTAAACTTAAGAAAATTTGGCTTAGAAAAAAAATCGAAACTTCTTATAATATGAAAGGGGGGAGGAGTATCAAAACTATATCAACTTGATCATTACAATAACAATCTTGCTGTGTAAATTAATTCAGAGATGCTGGGGTGATCTGCCACGGTGGAAGAACAGAATATACGGCTTATGTCTCAGAAGGATTAGGCAATATTCAGAACTGGAATGAAGTGATGAAATTCCAAAGAAAGAATGGCTCACTGTTCAACTCCCCTTACACAACTGCAGCTGCATTAGTCCACAACTATGATGCCAAAGCTCTCCAGTACTTAGACATGCTTCTGGACAAATTTGGAAGTGCAGGTAACTGCACTTTGTCAATGGTTTAATAGGATACGAAATATAAACATTTGCTGAATGCCTAATTAATGTCAGTTAAAATTTGCAGTGCCAGCGGCCTATCCTGCAAATATTCAGTCTCAGCTCTACATGGTGGATGTGCTTGAAAAGATGGGAATATCTAGGCATTTTGTTGGTGAGATAAAGAGCATACTGGACATGACCTACAGGTACTAAGTACTACCTTAAGATAATAAGATTAGTTGTTTGGAGACCGTGGTTAATTAGCAGTTCAGGTAAATGACTAAATTTGGTTGCAGTTGCTGGAAACAGAGGGATGAGGAAATTGTGCTTGACATGCAAACATGTGGGATGGCATTTCGTATGTTGCGTATGAATGGATATGATGTTTCTTCAGGTACTTTATTCTGCTAGAACCTAAAAGGATAACTCGGTACTTTCTTTTACCTACTTAAGAATCATAAAAAAAATCAATTGCTAGCTCGATTTTATGATTCTTGAGAAGATAACGGGAGGTAGCCCTTTGATCTTTAGTTTCAGTTCCTTGTACCAAGCTAATGTATTGCATTTTAAAAAATGTGGTGCAGATGAGCTATCTCATTTTTCTGAACCTTCAAGTTTCCACAATTCACTTCAAGGATATCTGAATGATACAAGATCTTTATTAGAATTACATAAGGCTTCAAAAGTCAGTATCGCAGAAAAGGAGGTGATCCTAGATAATATAGGCTCCTGGACAGGTTGCTTATTGAAGGAACAATTGTTATCCAGTGCAATGAAAAGAAATCCACTCTCTGAAGAGGCAAGTTGTCAAGTGTGAATTTCTCATCTCCATTATTTATCCATAACGATATTATTATAATTATTATTTTGTATTTTCAGGTTGAATATGCTCTTGAATTTCCCTTCTATACCATCTTGGATCGTCTAGACCATAAAAGAAATATCGAACATTTTGACATTACAAGCAGTCAGATGCTAGAAACAGCGTACTTGTAAGTTTTTTTCCTTTGATGAAACAAGCCAGTTCCATCAAACCTGACCTATTCAGACACCAGAAATCAATATATATTTTTTTGCCGGGTCGGCCGAAAAATCGACCAACCAGAAATCAATTTGTCATGAATAATTAAATATTTCTGAAACTAAACAGGCCATGTCATTCCAATGAAGAAATCATGGCCTTGGGTGTGAGAGATTTTAGTAGCTCTCAGTTTATTTTCCAAGAAGAGCTGCAGCAACTCAACAGGTATGTACATCTGACATTTATTGCTCTTTTTTATTTCCTATGTAAACCAACAAACTTGCAGATAATTTCGTTACAATTTTTTGCTGCAGCTGGGTGAAAGAGAGCAGGTTGGATCAGCTGCAATTCGCACGGCAGAAGTTGGACTACTTCTATTTCTCTGCTGCTGCTACCATTTTCACTCCTGAACTGTCAGATGTTCGCATTTTGTGGGCCAAAAATGGCGTGCTGACAACGGTCGTCGACGACTTCTTCGACGTTGGAGGATCAAAAGAAGAACTGGAAAACCTCGTCGCATTAGTTGAGAAGTAAAACTAATCCTTAAAACAAATTAATGTCTTAACCAATTCTAGTTCCTCAGGCTAACAAAAATTTCAGCCCTGATAACGCTTGTGATATTCATATCTAGGTGGGACAAGAATGACAAAACTGAGTACTACTCTGAACAAGTAGAGATTGTGTTCTCTGCAATTTATACTTCAACTAACCAGCTTGGATCAATGGCCTCTGTAGTACAAGGCCGTGATGTCACCAAACACCTTGTAGAAATAGTAAGCATCATCTCTGACATACTTTGGAATTATTTTTTTTCAGAAGTGAGAACTGACAAGCTAAATATAGTGGCCTCTGTTAATCTGTGTATAGTGGCAAGAATTGCTGAGGTCTATGATGACAGAGGTAGAGTGGAGGCAGAGCCGGTATGTGCCAACAGCAGAGGAATACATGGAAAATGCAGTTGTGACATTTGCACTGGGACCCGTTGTGCTCCCAGCATTGTATCTTGTTGGACCAAAGATCCCTGATTCTGTCATAAGAAGCCAAGAATGCAGCGAGTTGTTCCGGCTAATGAGCAAATGTGGCCGTCTCCTGAATGATGTCCAATCCTACGAGGTACAGACTACAGAACTACTAGCTGTTCTGTCGAGTTTCTAAGCCACTGCCAAATTTTAAATTTTAAATTTTAACTTTGTAGTTTATTTTAAAGGTTTTTCTCCGAAGCTTGTTTTTTCAGCATTGATTTTTAAACAATGAAAACAGTGTCTTTCTGAAGAGTTGTGCACTTTCTGAAGTTTGTACTAGAACTTCTGAACTTGTGCGTCAATTCGATCTTTCTGAATTCTGAAGTTCCCACGATGAATTTGAGTGTTTCACACTGTCTCATGCTGCAGAGAGAGGGCAGCCAGGGCAAGCTGAACAGCGTCTCTCTGCTTGCCCTCCACAGTGGAGGCTCTGTCTCCATGGAAGAGGCTGTGAAGCAGATTCAGAGACCCATCGAGAAATGCAGGAGAGAGTTGCTGAAGCTGGTCGTCAGCAGAGGAGGCGCCGTTCCAAGGCCATGCAGGGAGCTGTTCTGGAGCATGTGCAAGGTCTGCCACTTCTTCTACTCCGGCGGCGACGGGTTCAGCTCGCCGACGGCGAAGGCCGGCGCGTTGGACGCGGTGATCCACGAGCCGCTGAATCTGTCTTGTTCTGTGTGACTAACTAACGACAGAGGCTGGAAATGCAGTCAAACTTCTGTAATCCTAAAAGGAAAGAATTGATCTTGACATCAAAGATAATGTCAAGTTAGCATATATTATGTAGAGATTCGTTGTGTTGGCGTGAATATCAAGTTAGCATATTATGTCTCAAATAATTGGGCAAAGAGAGCTTGAAAAAGCTAAAGAGGAAAAAGGCGAGAGAGGAGTGACTAGTGCTAGTATAATACTCCACATGTGAAGGAATCACCTTTTTGCACAAGTATTAGTCGTGTAATAATGATCAAAATCATGCTAAACAGCTAGTTACAAAATCTGCAGTGCTATGTGGCCTAGAGGCAAATGGAATGACTGCCCAACAAACTTGCAAAGAATGTTTGCACATCGATCTGCATGCACATGCAATGCAGCCTGTTCTGCTGCATCTCTGCAGTGCAACTCCTTCATAGTAGGTCGAATTGGCACTTTTCATAGCCTGCAGAGTTCATCAAAAACAGCATAAGAGAGAGAAAATGACTTCTTAGTTGCAACAAAAACTCAGCAAGTAGGTAGTTTCAAAAACTGAAATTTAGCCAGGACAGTGGACAGAGCATCTGAATGCAGAGCACCTGATTCAGTGCAATATGTTCAGTGGCAAGTGTCCTTTTCTTCTCTGTTCTAGCTAGCAGATTGCACTAACTAAAGCAGTAAACACTATAAAGTACTATACAAAAGATTTAATAAAAAAACATTTTGTTTTTGCAAAAAAAAATCATCAACACATAACATTCCTAAATAACACAAATCCAACTACATCAATTTCCCGTCATAAAAAAATATACCCTAATATTTTGGGTTGTGAAGAAAGAATACGTTGAGAAGGAGATGGTAATAATAAATGTTATTAGTCCCCAAAAATCTCTTTTTTTTCGTTTTGCAAAAAGATTCATCAGCCCATACTACTCCTTTCATCCCAAAATATACAACATAGTATCGGATAAAGTATTAGAATATATTTCATCTTATACTAGATTCCTATATGTTTCGTGGAATGCGATGAGAAGAAGAAAAATGAGGAAGAGAGGGTAAATCCCCAAAAATCTTTTTTATTTTTTTTGCAAAAATAATCATCAGCACGTACTACTCACTTCATCCCAAAATATGCAGCGTAGTGTTGGATGGAGTAAAATATGTTTTATCTTATTCTAATCCTAGATTGTTATATTTTGGGCCGAGAAGAAGGAGAAGGAGAAGGAGAAGGAGAGGGTAAATAATAAAAAAATGGTGTTGTTATTATTTACTTGGGTCACGGGTGACGATGGTGGCGGTGCCGCCGAAGTCGCAGGTGCCACCGGCGGCCTTGGTCATCTGCCAGTAGCTGTTGAAGGCGTAGGAGGCGTGGGCGAGCACGGTGTCGGGCGTGTAGCACGCCCCGCTCGGCTGGATCGACCCGCACTCCGCCCCCGACCCGCACGCGTAGTCCATCGCCTCCTGCATTATCGGGTCCGGCACCGTCGGCTTCGCACCGCACCACAGCGCCTCCCCCGCCCCCGGGCCNNCGCGCGNGCGGCGGCGGTACACTATCGGCGGCAAGAACCCTCCCCCTCCTCCCCCGCCGCCGCTGTTCCCGCCTCCTCCGCTGCTCCCGCCTCCACCATTGCTCCCGCCTCCACCGCTACTGCCGCCACCGCCACCACCCTCGCCGCCACTGCCGCCGCCGCCAGCCCACCACCTACACCACCACCGCACCGCCTCGCTCCACTGCCGCCACCTACACCGCCGCCGCCCTCGCCGCCGCTGCCGCCACCTAAACCGCCGCCGCCGGGTCCGGTCTCGGGAGGGCTGGGCACGACGAAGATCGGGCTCGGTGGGGCAGACCCAGGCGTGCTCGGGGTGAAGCCAGGCGTGGACGACGCAGGCGGGCTCGGCTCGAACGACGGTGGCGTGAAGCCGCCGATGGGGGGCAGCGGCGGGGGCTGGTCGTCCGGGGCGAACGGCGTCGAGGCGAAGGGAGGTGTCGGCGTCGGTGTCGTTGTCGGGGTGGAGGACGACGGGGGCGCGTTCGGAGGGTTGACGCAGTACGGCGAGCTCGAGCCGTCGCCGGTGGCGTCGGCGAGGCTCGCCGCGTCGCCGTCCGGCTTCGCCGGAGAAGGAGACGAAGAAGGCAGCTGCATCGGCTCCACCGTCCTGATGAAGTTGAGCTTGTACAGCGCGTTCAGCAGCGTGTTCCTCCTGCTTCGCCTCATCAGAGCTCTCGCCTCTGCTCCATCAACAACAACAACAACCACACAATCAAATGCACATCAAAAACCAAACTAATCACTGACATTACAACCTAGCTATGAACCTACCACACTGATATGATCCGGACAGTAGCAAGAACACCATCATCAACCACACTGCTACTCTCCCATCTCTGTTCTTGCGAGCCATGTCTAGCTAGCTGCAGCTGCACTGGGGCCAGTAGCCACTGATGCAGGAGGAGGAGGAGGAAGAGGAGGTTGTTATAGCAGAGGCCGCGACGACGACGACGAAGGGAAAGAACAACAACAAGTGTGGATTGGCCATGATCTCAAAGGCACAGGGGGGGGGGGGGGGGGGCGGGAGAAAAGGTCGGCGGCAGCAGCAGAAAGAGGAAAAGGTGAGCTCGATCAGTGAAGTGGCAGTGGAGTGGAGTGGAGGTGATGATCTTGTTCTTCTCTCGCGCGGCCGATCGATCGATCCCCCTTCGCTTTGTGCAGAAAACGTCGTCGCGCGGTTTCTAGTAGCTTTTCAGTACCAGTACTAGTGATTATCTCCATCACTCTCTCACTTCACTTGGAGAGATTAATTAGTTGGAGTGTGTGCTGTGCTATCAGTGTGTCTTTCTTTGTGTTTCTTTTTGGTTTGGACGTTTTGCCTTTAATTTCTTGTTGTTTAATTTTGGTATCTATGCTTTCTTGCCACTAGAGCAAAACTGAGAGAGAGATAGAGGGATATAGATGGGAGAATGTGTGGACGACGACGTGTTTGTACTTTGGTTAGCTTCTGGGTTAGTAGCTTGCTTTAAGCTCAAGGAAAGCATGCATGAACAACAGATCGATGCAGTGGTGTGGCGACGATCGATGCTGTGTCGTGTTGTAGCATCTGCATGCTGAGATGGAAGGTCGATTAGGATAACATGAGATGCGAGCTAATTAAGCTAGCTTAGCTCTGTGAAAAGTTGGTGATGGCAACGTGTGTGATCGATCATGCCAGGGGTCAGGGTGGTTTTCTTGTTTACTGATTGGCTTATCAGAGACGTAGGGTTCATCTGAGCTTAGGTTGACCAATGTTTTGGATGGATGGCTTGGCCACCTTTGCCTTTTCGTTTGTGCATTTTAATGAGACACTTGCCGTGGGGTTTCAGGCTTGATCAGTATTCCAATCCCCTACAGTCTACAGACGCTTTCTGAGTTTTTTTTTTTTGAGGGTTGGGGGGGGGGGATGATAAGCTTAGGCATTCGTGATCATCCTGTGTCTGCTGGTTAATTTGTCAATAGCAATTGTAAATCAATCACCTGTTAAAGGCGTACAGTTTGATTAAGATGTACCTAATAGGCTACTGAGGAGGAAAGATCAACCGCTGTCAGAACTACAAGCATGTCCTTACATAAAAAAAACTCCAGTTTGATTAAGATGTACCTAGTAGCAAAATAAATTCTTTTTTGCTACTAGCTGCTATATTATCGCAAACACGTTTCTCAAGGTGTGTGTTTTTTTTAAAAAAATAGTTTGCACACACAAGTTTTTTTAAGAAAAATCAAACAAATTTATTTTTTAAGTTTATAATAGTTAAAAATTAATTAATTGTGATATAATTGAGCATTTTGTCGGGTAGGGAAACAAGAAACGTTCTCCATGGGCTGTCGCCGGAGTCCCGCTTCAGTGCAAAAGGCCGTGCAGAACGCCGCCTGCGGCCTGCTGTGACAACCCACACCGGCCGCGTCTACTTGGGCCGGCGCCATCGCCATGCGTCCGTACAAAACGGCCGCGGATTTCGCTCGGGACGCCACTAAATCGGCCCAAAGGCCGTTGATTATGCTCGGGACCCCGGTAATCCACGGCCCGTGTGGGTCGCGTTTCACCGACCGGTTTTTGTGTGCGCGCTTGCTTTGCAGTGCAGTGGCTGCTGTTACATCAGCGAGCGGAGATAACTGAACTGAACAGTAATTGCACTGCACGGAGGCTGCCTGCCTGTCTGGCTACTGTAGACGGAAAAAAATATGTAGCCAAAATTTTTACTCATGAGTAATAGACTTGCTAGTAAAAATTTTACTCGTGATAATATGAACAAATTTCAGACGTCTATTTCTTAACCCAACGTTTTCAAATTTCGAATACATACGTAGTTTTGACCGTATATTTTGCTAGGGGCATCTCGATCGAGTGGCCATCCGTCGCATCGGGACTACTACTACTACTAGAAAACAGATTTTTACAAATGACCAAAACAGATTTTTCTTTTTTTCAGACGCCCATCCATCACGCCTGCACTTTTTGTTCCGATCCATCGCCGGTCTTCGCTGACTAATTAACTTACGCGCTAGCTATCACACCTTAATTGGTACAGGCATATGTTAATTAATATGCACGCTACACGTACACCACGTACAGACAACAGCCGTTCGATACTTTGGATAAGACCATATCGTTTCATGCATGAACAGTGTCCATGTACGTATGGCTGCTTGGTGCCTGGGCAATGCACTGGCGGAGTTAGCCATGGGACATGGGTACGTAAGTAGAGTGGGCTGACCCCATAGCTTAATTTTATACATTCACCTTAGAGGTCTTTAAAATTTCTATATGAATCTATTCAGATTCACCTTAGAAGTCTTTAGTGTACTAAAATATAAAGTAAGAATAATCCACCTTATGCCAAGTTAGTTGGTATTTAACTTCTGAGAATATAGAGGAACTAGGTTTGTCAGCTTCTAGAGTTTCTAGTTTATTTCTTAAAATCAAATTCAAAATCTGAATTGCTCGGGGAAGATGAAGTTTTTGGGAGAAACTACAGCTGTACAAGATCTAATATATAGGAGGCGGCAGCCACAGGAGGCATACGTTACGTTGCATGTCTCGATCGATCGGCCGGTTTAATTCGTCAGCGACCAAACATTCTTGGCGACGATATTATGGACTATTGGGCCATAAAGCGCATACGCATGCACGTCGTTTCCTTGCTAGCCAGGAGGATGAAAGCCGCAAGCGCGCGTACCAGTTTATCATGCATGGACTGATCGCTTGCAACTTGATCAACGGATGACCGTTTGGTATATCTATCTAATCATCAATAGCATATTATTTGTATGTAGAAGTTATATATGTCGCATATGCATGCATTTCATGTCATGTATCTTCGTTTTTTAATATATGATAGTACCGTTGACTTTTTAATCAATATTTAACCATTCATTTTATTTAAAATTTTAAATAAGACGAATGACCAAATTAACGTATAAAAAGATAATAGCGTCATATATTAAAAAATAGGGGAGTAATTATTGAAAAGATTAGCATAAATATGTAAAATTATAATAAAATTATATGTTAAGATTATAGTTTATTTGATAATAAAACAAGTCACAATAAAATAAATAATATTTATATATTTTTTTAATAAGATGAATGATCAAAACATCATGTGATGTCAAAAGTTGACAGCATCACACATTAAAAAATAATAGAGGTAGTGTAGTACTCCCTCTGTCCCATAATAGAAGGGATATTATGGATTTTGTAGGGATGTAACACATATCCTAGTACTATGAATTTGGATAAAGAGTCTATCAAAATTCATAGCACTAGAATATGTCACGTTCCTTCAAAATCTCTTATACTTCGGGACGGACGGAGTATTAGTTTTGCTCCAGCGTTTGCCGCTGCTCACAGCCAAACACACTCGTGCGATCAGGTAAAAGGAAGAAAAGAGCTTTGCTCTTTTTGACTATAAGACTCAAGGGAACCTGTTTTTTACCCCTCGAGGGGATGTTCCCTCGTTATTTGCATGTCACTCAAATGATTATAAAAAAATTTAAAAATTCTGAGAAGATGTATTAACATGCATGTGATATATCACTCCACAAACATGCAAGTTCAATGCGATATGGAGCTGGTGCTGTGGTGCATATACTCACATGCATGGGCGGTGTAAGTGTAACGCTCCGCTTCTCGTGAGACGTTAAAAAACTATTTTGGCAAAATCCTATTCGCGAAAATTTTCGTTCTTTGTGTGTGAGTCTAAGTTGTGCCAAGGATCTCAATTCAATCCCATTGTTCCCTCTCATCGAAATCAAAATCCTCTGCCTCAAATTTCCTCTTCCAATTCAAGTCTCCAAAATCTAATTCCGAAAGTCAATCCCTTCCTTTGAATCCTCGCCAAATACATTTCCGAATCCCAAAATATCCAAACTCCCGTTTTGTTTCCTTCCTTGACTCCTTGAACCCTTGTGTACAAAGTATCAAATTTAGATTCAAAACCCAAACTCCAAATCTCTCCAAATCAAAATCTTTCAGCAAAAGTCTATTTTGCCTCCCTTGTCGATGGGCTGATTCCTCTCTCTCACGGCCCATCCCCTCCTCTCGGCCCAGCTCTCTCGAGCGTGCGTCGCACGTGTTCGGGAGCGAGAGACAGCGCCGTCTCCTTTCTCTCTCTCTCGGCGTCGCTTCCCGCCGACGCCGCCCCAAAATTCCGGCCGCGTCACCGTTTCCCGCGTGCTCGCGCATGGTCGACCGGCAAGGACGCCGCTCCCACCGCCTTCGCCCTTCCCGCGCGGGTTCGCGTGTGGCCAACGCCCCGGTCGCCGCTGCGACAAACCCTGGCGCCGCCAGCGTCGTGCCCTGCCGCGCTGCCGCTCCGCCGCTCCACGCCGCTAGCTTCCAAGGCCGAGAGAGGCAGCCCCTGTCTCACTCCCCTCTCCCTCCTCCTTTTCCCGTTTCGGCAAGGGTCAAACCCTCCTTTCCCTCTTCCTTTCCCCTTTTTCCCGACCACCGCCGATGTCATCCATGGTCCTAGCCGCTCGCTCCGGTTCGCCGCCGCTCGCCGGAACGCCTCGCGCGTCGTCGGCCGTCCGATCCCGGGCGCCTCCTCCTCCTCCTCCTCCTCCCCTTTCGCCCCTGCCCACATGGCCGACCACGTGGCAGCCACCTCAGCCCCGGGCCCGCTTGACCGGGTCAAGTCGCGCCCAGTCAGCATCCTCCCTCCGTCTTCCCTCCCGTGCACGCGGTCCACGGCAAGCCGTGCGGCTGCACGTGGGCCCGCCGCCATCCGTCCACCCGGCGCGCCGCGCCCGAACCACGCGCACCTGAAACCCTAGCACCCGCCCCCGCGTGCGCCCTCCCCACCGTGAACCCGACCACCGCCATGTGGGTCCCGCGCGGTGGACCGCGTCCACCCGCGTCGGCCTCTCTCTCCCCGCGCCCCCTCTCCTGGGCCGCCCCTCCCGCGCCCGCGCCGGCCCATTAGGTCCGGCCCAGCCGCATAAACCCCTCGGGCTGCGCCTAAGCCGCCCTAGGAAGTCTATATGGCATCCCTCCCTTCTTTTTCAAGGGATTTAATAAACCCTTTTTCCCCTATTCCATAAATCAATTCCTTATTCCCAAAATTCCATAAATCATTTCCTTGGTCCCGCACGTCAGTGACGGTCAATAATATTTTTGAGAATATTATTTCTATAAATTTCATAAATCAATTTCTCCTTGTTCCACAAATATCTTCCTTTGCCCAGAAATTCCAATTAAACTTCCAAAATTCATATCTCTCAATCCGTAGCTCTGATTGACTCCGTTCAACTTCCAGTATTTCCATAAAATTGAGATCTATTTAATGGCACTACTAATTAGTCTAAATAGGATCTTTCTTTTGGTCTTTTGTTTAGGTTTTCGATTGTTTGCGTATAGTTGCGGTTACCGGATTTTCGTCGATCGCGGGTTTTCTCGAAGATTCGTGAAGCTTCGTGCAGACCTTGAGCAAGGCAAGTCACCCTCTGACCAATTGCTCCTATAATTGGAAAATCATTATTATTTTGTTTGCAACTTGCATTATTAGAATCACACACTCAACTTGCTTGGCCTCGGTATGCGTGCCAAACCGACGGACCTACCCAGTAGTCGCACTAATTCATGTAGGTTGTGCTACCCTGATTTCCTTGTCGCTCCACCTTTGTGGTACCTCAGTATCCGTGCTATCTGAGCGCGTATACCAAATATCCCACATACACCGTTGTTTGTCGAAAACTTGGGAAATGGGTTCGAGAAGCCTTGAAAACCCGACATGTGGTGTCGGCGTGTTTGAAAATAAAATGGATTGTGAAAACTCGCGATGCGGGGGTTGTGCCTGTGTGGCACTGTCCCGTATTCGCATATAAGGACCGATTCCTGTGGAAAATTCATCCGAGCATATAACAAGTGCGACCACACGGGTGCAATGGGACGCCCCTGGCTGAGTAATTAGCTAATCGGGGGAGCCATGATGCCAAGAGACATGTAGATTCAACGGGGTGGTGTTGGGGAGAACCCTCGGGCTTCCTGGCACAGTATGGTCTGGGACCTAATCTGGTGTTAGTCTGGGACCCCTCTCGTTGGCATATGGTGAACCTGTGTCGGCTTTCGAAATGCCTTGTCATGAAAGCCTTAAGGTCTCCCGACGTGGCTGATCTCACGGGCTGGGTGATCCGGGTTAGTAATGTCGTGTGGGTAAAGTGTACCCCCTCTGCAGAGGTTAACTAATTGTTCGAACAGCCGTGCCCGCGGTCATGGGCGGATGTGAGGTGTTTCCTGTAGCGTAGATTTGTTTTCCTGTGCTTTGTGAAAAGTTGTTGTGGTGTGGGAATCGTTACCAGAATCAGCCTATGTGGCAGATGGATGACCTGAGTGGTCAAGAAACGAATCTGTGTGATTCGGGATGTCTACGGGCATCATAGAATAGGCTTCCCGAGTGGAAGCGGATTGTTGTGCTGCTGGGCAGCTGGACTCTGGGAGTCCGAGAAAATGAAAAAGGCTCTGGGAGCCGATTAATCAAGTGGAATGGCTCTGGGAGCCGAGAAGTAATGATCTGACCCGGGAGGTCGGTACATTACCAATTGAGCTGTTGAAAAACATCTCTTAAAGTCGAATCGAGACGCAAGTCTCTTTTCGGCCCAAACTTAGAAAGAAATAAATCACTTAGTGATTTCAAAATGATTTCAAAACAAAAGATTTGCAAAAACAACCTTGCCGCTCTTCCAAGCTTGCATTAAACACCTAAGTTCCCGTGACTTGCTGAGTACGAAAGTACTCATCCTTGCTCTATATAAATATATATAAATATATATATATATATATATATATATATATATATATATATATATAGTTCCTCCGCCCTGAAGCTGAAGTGAAGTGAAGATTAGGGTTTCGTCCTGGTTCCCAGCTGTCGCCTATGGTGATGGGTGTTAGTTCGTTGGTTCCGCTGCTGCTGCTGCTGGTGTTTCTTCGTCCGTGTCGTCGGTTGCATTCTCAGGCTGTTCTGAGCTGCAACCTAAGTTAAGGTAAATAAGTCCTCTATTTATTATAAGGATTGCAATGATTCATATTTGTCACCGTGGGTACCAGCGCTATGTCCTAGGACTGGTACTGAGATCGCGGTTTCGTAGGAAGCGGTTCGCGCCGTTTTTCCTACGACACACTCCTGTCAGGTGCCGTTGTACGGCGGTGCCAGATTGGGGTGTGACAGTAAGTGGGTCAGCCGCGAACCCACTTATAGGTCAAAATAAATAGGTTCGCTGCTTATTTTAACCTATAAGTGGGTTTCGCGGGCTAGCCACTTACACCCCTACGAATGGCCGCCGAGATGAGACTTTTTGGTTGAATTTCAGCAGCAACGCCGACTCGATCGATGCCAGCCACAATCTATCTTCGCCACGGCGATCGACGTGACACGCCAAGCTCTAGCTAGCTCCATCAGTGACGGCCTCTCGCCACCATCGATCGATCGGTGGCCTATAAATCCACACCCCCACCTCGTCTCCTTCCCAGCTCGCATCAGCTAGCCAAGCCCAAAGACATCAAGAGAGCTCTCGATCTCTCGCCATGGCCGCCGCCAAGAACGGCCGCATTGCCCTCCTCCTCGCCGCGCTCGCCCTGTCCGCTCAGCTCGCGCCGGCCGCCGCGACGTGGTGCGGCTCCAACTGCCCGACGACGAAGCCGCCTCCGCCACCGTGCCAGCCGCCACCGCCGACGCCGACGCCCGCGACCCCAACGACGCCGCCGACTCCGTGGACTCCGCCGCCTGCAACGCCGACGCCGCCGACGCCGACTCCGTGGACTCCGACGCCTGCGACGCCGCCGCCAACGCCGGCGACGCCCGCGACTCCGACGACGCCGCCGACGCCGGCGCCGGCGCCGTCGACGCCGACGGGGAAGTGCCCGGTGGACACGCTGAAGCTGCTGGCGTGCGTGGACGCGCTGAACGGGCTGGTGCACGCGGTGGTCGGCGCCACCGCCGGCGACACCTGCTGCCCGCTGCTGTCCGGCGTCGCCGACCTCGACGCCGCGCTCTGCCTCTGCACCGCCATCAAGGCCAAGGCGCTCGGCCTCAGCCTCGTCCTCCCCGTCGCCATCTCCGTGCTCGTCAATGACTGCGGCAAGTACGTGCCCTCCGACTTCCAGTGCCCATCCACTGATCCACCGTACATATAAATCATCTCAAATAATTAATCACACACACCATCTCTGCATGCATGCGTGCATGGATGGATTAATTAATTAATTAAGCTATTAATACCTGCATGAGTATAGTTTATCGCCTGGCTATACTATATACATGCATAAATTATATAAAATACATATAGTAACGTATGTAGCATATATACATGAGCTCTGATCGACTTGTGTCATGGAGACATGGAGGCATGCATATGGAGCCTTGGATTGTGCATTAATTGATGTATAATAATATTTGTGTGACATATATATATATATATATATATATATATATATATATATATATATATATATATATATATATATACATGTGGAGTTTGTGGTATTTGCAGGTTTGTTGTGGTTTGGGAGATTTATAATGAAATAAAGAGTGTGTGATATGTATGCTATGAAATACAAAGTTTGATGTGTATGTACCATGTATATGTGTATGGTTGACAAAGCCTGTCAACTTTCCTATATATAAAACGTACTTAAAAGAATATGTTTCCTATTTCCATGTGTTTTTTCATCCATTGTTCAAAAGGAGTGCATAATATTAAAAAGCAGATCTGGTTTCTTTCAAGTTCAAGGCTACGATGGAATGGAAGAATTTTACGACAATTTCATGAAAATTAAACTAATTCAAGTGAATTTCCTGTAAACTTCACGGGTTCCAGCTTCCAAATTAAAGGAGCATGCACTAAGTTGTATATGTACAAAGTGGATATTTCCTTCGCAAAAGAAAGGTGGATATTTCAATCTTGATCGAAGGGATCAGACTAATTAACAGAGATACTCTGCAACTCAATTTTGATAGTTGCCACATGCAGAGTTAATAAAGAAAAAAAATACAAGAGGCCGCACAACTCAAGGCCTGAGATGGTCTTTAACATCCCCATTATTTCGCTTATGTTTAAGCTTATAATCAAATTTTAAATTTTAAAACTAAATTTTGGAGTTAATTTTGTGGATTTTTCATTCAGATCATGTGTGTTCAGCCGGTCAGGTAAGCTATGAACAATTTTTAGCTTTTCTTTTTTAAAAAAAGAGAGAGTTATAAGTGGGTTTGTTATAATATCCTTGCAAAAATGAAAAGTCAAAATTAAATCTACTCAATGGTAAAATAACATGTAGAATCCACATGTGTACCACGTTGACTAATTAAGTTATCATCTTAGCTAAAACCAAGAGCAATATTGACTTGGGTACCAGTCAATGTATGTAGTATGATAGCTTGGCACTTACCGGCGGAGCCTAGGTAATAAGGTGTAGGGTCGACTGATTCATAACTTTTTTACATTCATATTGATTCACCTTAGAAGTCTTTAAATTTTCTATATAAATCCCTTTGAATTTATAGAGGAAGCAATAGTCGTGTAGTGGTGGAGTCGTGGGTGTATAATGTGGAAAATCTAATATGTTGTATTCTAATGTTTTCTAATATATTGGATCGACCCTCTCATGGGGTATATATATGAGTACATAGGGGATAGAGACTTGGAGTACAATACAAGTAAGAGTAAATTTATCTCTAGGATTCTATCTATAGGACTCTATCTTATCTCTAGGATTCTATCTCTAGGATATATCTTATCTCTATATTTGTATTTGACTCTTATCTCTAACTAACATATTATACTTCTAACATTCCCCCTCAGTCGTAACGGGAGCGAAGCTAACGATTGCAACTGGATTTAAAATCTTCTATTTCTTCATCTTCTTTAACTCACCATCATCAATTGCATCTCTGATGGACGGTCCTCCACCTGGTGCCTGCGTCCCCTTCTGTGTCGTCCCTTGACTCTCCTCTATTCCCTCCCGCAGTCATAGCGGGAGTGTCATAGACGATAGCGATGACACGGACGCTTTGACTAGAGTTTCCGTCAATGATTTTTGTTGTAGACGTTCGTCGATGTAGCTGATCATGTAGTAGTTGTAGTCATGGTGGTCATGGTAGTTGATGTAGCCGCAAATAGCCGAAGGCGAAAAAAAATATTTACGCCATGGTGTGAAGACGAAACTGTAATTGTTAGCATCTTGCACCTTGTAGATGTCAGATGATGCCATTGGAGACGTCTTGCATATGTCAGAGGACGCCGTTGGCGATGAGGCCACCACTTCGGTTGGTCCTTCCGCACCATGTAGCGGTCATCACAATGGTGATGCCGGATTGATGCAGTCTTTGTCGTCATAGATGACGTGATCGATGCCGTCGTCGGTGTCGCGGTCGTTGCCGTCGTAGAGGACGCGGTCGATGTCGTCGATAAAGCGTCTTGCAGATTAATCTGTCAGAGGACGCGAGATGTCCATCTTCGTGGACGAGTCGGCGGCGGCATGTTACCATGTTGATGAAGACCATAGGAGTCGATGTAGTCGTACAACTGATGATGAGTATTGTCCGTTGTAGATCCGAAGACATGTGTTGTTGCCGCGGAGGGAGTCGATCTCGGCGGCCACCGGTCGCCGGCCGCCACAAATTCATGCATGTGAATTCTCCTCGGGCTCGGTGCACCGTACTGCTGCTTGCCTGCTACTGATGTGTGCACGCACTAGATGCCTCTCTGATTCTTGCTGCTCGATATGACGCTTGAATTGGCTATACAGCTTGATGGACAATGGTTGCTTCCGCTCAGGAGGATCGCTTTTATGTGGCTAATGAAGAAACTAATCTAATCTAATGCTAATTAATGGAATTGGCGGCTGATTAGGCACTTGCTTCTTCGGCTAATGATTGAAGAGGCTAGCTAATGGCGTTGCCCCAGGGAGATACCATTTGAAAAATCTAATATGTTGTATTCTAATGTTTTCTGATATATTGGATCGACCCTCTCATAGGGTATATATAGGAGTACATAGAGGATAGAGACTTGGAGTACAATACAAGTAAGAGTAGATTTATCTCTAGGATTCTATCTCTAGGACTCTATCTTATCTCTAAGATTCTATCTCTAGGATATATTTTATCTCTATATTTGTATTTGACTCTTATCGCTAACTAACATCTAACTAACATCTTGGCGACGATATCATGGACTATTGGGCTATAAGCGCATACGCATGCACGTCGTTCCCTTGCTAGCCAGGCCAGGGGATCGGATGCATTGCGCGCGTACCAGTTCATCAGTAATTAATCATGCATGTACTGATCGATCGCTTGCAAGTTGACTAACGGATGGTTTGGTATATCCATCTGTCTAATCATCGGAAGCATATTATTTGTATATATGTCGCATGATGTAGAGCTAGCCTAGGAATACTTTTATTAGTATATTTCGTAAAACTATATATAATTTGATTAAACTAATACGAAACTACATATATATATTTAAAGGTCTATATATTATAAAATTATAGATTTATCATTAAATTTATCACGAAACGGTAGACTTAAAGCATAGTAGCACAAAACTATAGATTTATTATTATAATTCTCAACATAGCTACTCCCTTTGTCCCAAAATACTTGTTATTAATTCTAATTAAATGATGTATGATGTATGGTTAGAAGTAAAATGGTTGTTTGAGGGTACAAAATTTGAATGGGAGAAGCTAGATGGATAGAAAACCAACTATTTTGGGATGGAGGTGGTAGGACTTGTTTTCGTGTTTAGTTCCTTGCACTAATATTCTTCCGGAATTACTAAACTTATATTTTTATGGTAACTAGTGCTAGAGCTGAAATTTTGTGATATTGTACCTTCTCTATATATTTTCATGATAATTGTGATGCATGCTACATATGTAGATATATTCTATTAAATATATAGTTTTGTGATAGTTTAGTCAAAGTATCTATTTTGTTTTGTTGTAAAATTTACTCTATTAAGGCCCGGCGAAAAATTTACTCTATTAAGAGTGCAAAGGCTAGGATTTTTTTATACGGTTATTAAGAAAAAAAATATAAAAAGCACCATGGTGTGGAATTGATATGATAATACCGTACTAGCTGTGAGAATATATACTCCCTGTGCATACGTCTCCTGTACGGGGTTCTCCAGTAAATTACCAAAATTTGGATGTTCTGTAGTAAAATTCATCTTAATTAAAAAAAGATGATTAAAGGTAAGATAGAAAAAATTAATATGAATTGATCAATGGGATAAATAGTACTTTAAAAATACTTATATTAGTTATAAATATTTAGTGTGCTCTAGCTGACTACTCCCTCTATCTACTTTTGATCGGTATATTTTTAAATCTGAAAAATTTATTTTTGATAGGCATATTTCAATCCAACCACCTATCATTTTAATGATTTTTTCGGATTTAATGAGCGACTCTCTATTCTTCAACACAAGATTGACTACATGGGCATCAAGAAATGTAAATATTAATGAATCGTTTGTTTACGAGGAATAACTAGTAGCATGTTTAAATGGATGATAAGTAAAATTATTTATTCTTGATCTGTGTGACAAGATGAAATATGACTAGTATCAAAAGTAGATGTAGGGAGTAATTAGTAATTAACTTCTTCTCCAATCAATCAAATTAAGACCGGTACGTACGTACATGCATTGATCGGAAAGTAGATTCCCATGCATTATACAGTATGTGTACTTGTACAGGTGCTCGTACATGCATGATGAACTGATCATGTACTACTTATGCCCCACACGTACGTACGTACAGGAGAATCCCTCCCGGCAATACAAACCTGCATGGTCCACACATTTTGGAATGCACGACTAATAATATGGTTCTTTTCCTATTAATTCCGCGTGTACGCGGAAGACTTTTGCGCCAATCTATTAAAGAGTACTTCTTCAGTTTTTAAAAAAATCAATCTAGAAGGAGCTCATAAGATAACGAATATAAAAAATGTAGTACATATTCATTGTCTTAGAAGGGGATGCTTCTAGGTTGAGTTTTTGTTTTTATGGAGAGGAAGTAGAAGATAATTAAACGTACAATATTATTTTTAATGAGGAAGCACGGGGTCACGCCACAATAAAATTATGGGTGCACACGTCTTCATATATACATGACTCACCTATCCATCAAGCAATTAAATTTTGGTGTCCATAAACATTACACATATATACGGATGTGTTTTCAGTAGCTAGGATTTTGGTGAAATAATCGAGTTACCACTGGCATCCGTGTCTCTCTTCTCTTTTCAAGGGGCACCCTAGCTCGCGGCGTGCAAAAAAATATCGTTCATAACTGCACGAATATGTATCGTGCTATATATAGTACCGTTCGTAGGTATAAATATATCTGGTTTAATTCTTCGTTCGCCCATGCGAATAATCGCCTCTATTTCTTTCACGCTACTATATGTACAATTGGTACATGACATGGAAATTCATGGGGCCGGGGCAAGCTATCTCTATTTGTTCCAGAATTCCAGGAATTCCAGGTCAAATGTCTCAGGGCTGAAACTATAGTGGTGTGTTTATAAGTGGTTAATTAATCTACTACTCTCTTCGTTTCAGCTTATAAGACGTTTTGAGTTGTCAAAGTCAAACTGCTTTAAGTTTAGCCAAGTTTATAGAAAAAAGTATTAACATTTTCAACCCAATAGAAATTTATTATGAAAATATATTTAATTATTGATTTGATGAAACTAATTTAGTATTATAAATATTACTATATTTATCTATAAATTTAATTAAACTTAAAACCATTTGAGTTTAACCAAAGTCAAAACGTCTTATAACCTGAAACAGACCGAGTATTATGGGCCTGTTTGGTTATTTACTTCAACTTACCAAGCCACAAGTATGGCCATGCCACAAGTGTGGCGGACGATTTGAGCGCCACACATTCAACAAAGAAATATGCGGCAGAGTAGTTCACATTCAACAAAGAAATATGCGGCAGAGTAGTTCACTGCTGTTGAATTTTGTGCGGCAGCCTCAGGTGCGGTAAGCAAACAAACAGTGAACTAACTATGTGTGGTACGCCTAACTTGAAGTGCGGCAAAAGGAGGCAACCATCCAAACAGGTGTCTGTACGACTGATGGTCAATGGGCTCGCATATATGCATCTGAGCTCCAAAACTTGGACAGAGCTAGATTCCACCGTATCTATGTTTTAGAAAACATGCATGCATGTTAATTCCTGCCAATTTCGGTACTTGTTTCACCGGCCGATCGATTGCTGGCATGATTTGTTTGATCAATCATGGAAAAACAACAGCTTAACGGTGCTCTCTCTCATATACGTGTTGCAAAAATAAACTGTCTTGGAAAAATTAAAATGGCTAGATCTGTAGTTTGTAGCTAGTATTCGATAACTAAACGATATTTTAATTTAGATAATTTTACCATCTTTAAAAAAGTAATACCACGAAGTATCACATTTTTTATGTAAAATTTGATATCTCTAGATGCTACTAGATAACTGAGGTATCAAAGTTTCTAGTGTAAAATTATAATGCCCCACCTTTTACCAGATGTTGAAAACTAAATTAATAAAAGCCTATATGTGAAAATTTCATTCTTTGAGTGAGAGTTTAAATCGTGTCATGGATCCCGATTTAAATATACCCTTGTTCCCTCTCCTAGAATCAACCATCAACACCTCGAAAATCCCCGTTCCAAATCGAGTCCGCAAAAATCAAGTTCGAAATTTGACCTTTTGAACCCTTGCCAAAAACTTCTCCCGGTTTCAAAAATATCAAATTCCCTTCCTTGACTGCTCCTTGAACCCTTGAGTTCAAATATCCAATTTTAATTCAAATCAATCTCCCAATTCCCTCAAATCAGTTCCTGCAAAAAGATCAAGTCGTTTCCTTCTCTATTTGGGCCATCTCCCTTCCTCTCCTCCCGGCCCAGTCCTTCTTCTCTCCATCCCACCTGGCCTGTCCCTCCCTTCCCCCTCCTACCAGCCCATCTTCGCTAGTGGGCCTCGCGCTACGGCCCAGTGGCGAAAGCCACCAGGCTGCTGGCCTGCTGCAGGACACGCACGCGCTCCGCACGTGCTGCGCTTTACCTCGCTGGGCCGCGCCGCTCCTCCGGCCCAGTGGACCAAATACCATTTATTCCTCAATTTCTTTTCCAGAAATTCCCGCAAATACATTCCCTTTGTATAGCATTGACGCATTGTATATACACTAAATATATGTGTATGCTTACTGACCATTGGTCAAAGTCTGTAAAGTTTGACCTTTTTTCAATATAAAAATATTCCTTATAAAAAGTTCGAAATCAAAATACCCCTTATAAAAGTGAACGGAGGAAATACTAAATTTCACAAAACTACCACATACTTCAACAAAACAACAAATTTAATTAGTCATCGTACTATATCTCCGCCCCAGAAAAACTACAGTTTTACATTGTTTGTGACCAATGTTTGACTGTCCGTCTTATTTGAAAAAAAATTATGAATAGTATTCTTATTGTTATTAGATGATAAAACATGAATAGTATTTTATGTGTGACTATTTTTTTAATTTTTTCATAAATTTTTAAATAAAACGAACAATTAAAATACAGAAACCCATAACTATACTTAAAATTGGGACGGATGTAGTAATTTGTAGTGGTTCTAGCTTTCTAGGCTTAGCTAGGGCAACAGGACTACCTAGTTTACTTTCTACTAGCAGTAAATTACTAGAGATGTATAGCCATACATAAAGATATATGTCAATGTTGAAAGCAACAACTACAGCTAAAGAACGTAACCGATGAATGCAACCCGGATCATCAATCAAAAGTACTTCAACTCTTCAAGACAGTAAAAAGGAAAAGACCAATGGCCTGTGTCACACGACTGGTACCCAACAAAATCAACTCAACAAGACACCACATGAGCAGTAGTTTTAATTTTCTTGTGGCATCCAACGTAGACACGCTGGAAGCAGGAAAAGCACGCAGGGCAAGAAACAAAACCCTAATTAAGAGAGAGATGGATGATGAATGAATTAAGAGGTAGCAATGCAAGGCAAGGATAGATAGATGCAAGTTGAGCTGGGGATGGATGGATGCGTGGATGTCGGCACGGGAAGGCGCCAAACAGGGGACGCGCCTTACTCGCCATTTGCTTCCAAAATCTCCTTAATTTTTTCTATCGCTTGATGTGCCCATTCCTTGGAGGAGACTGAGACCGTCGCTCTCTCGTCCTAGCTCGGCTCATCCGTCAGCGTAAACGCGCGTACTTAGCAGAAAATATGTCTACATGAGACTACGTAGATATATTTTCTGCTTAGTAGCCCGACCGCACGGGATTAAAGATTATCCCGTGCGGTTGGACCACCCGCACATGAAAGTGTTGATTTTCGCAGACACCTGAATGCAGACGGACGGGATCTCTGCATGAAAAAATCCATTTTGACCGCACGGAAAAATCCAATCTGTAGTAGTGTACAAGTTATATATGCCCGTACACGAATCAAAACAAAGCTTTATCGTAGTCCAAACAACTGATCTAGCTAGGATCCAGTTGTGTAGATGTGTGTGCACACCCCTGGTCACACGCCACAGCTAGCTCAGCTCTGATCGATCTCCTTTTTCTGTTTTGTTGTGTTGTGTCTGGAGGAGGAAGAAGAAGAAGAAGATTGGATTGATCTCAGCCTCTAGATTTTGGTAGTGAAAATAAAATGTGATTATATTGAATAATTGAAAGGAGTTGAAGCTCACTGGCCACCTATCCTAGCTCTAGCTAGGCCTCTAAATATCTGGGGACAGTGCCAATGGAGTAAGGGCCCATAGGCATGCATATATGCCATGCAATGTATGCTGAGTAATGATGGTTTCATACTTTCATTTGCCTTCATGCATGGCAAGATCAGAGATGATTTAACAGCTAACCCGCTGTCAGTACTCGGTGACACGTTCATTAGCTAGCAAAGGTAAGACTGTTCTGGATTCCAACAATAAGGGCATGTACAATGGTTGTCAATAGTGGTCTCTTAGCGTTACTAATTAGGAATACTTATTGACATGGAAGAAAGAGAAAGAGAAGAGACAAAACGTCGTTGTTATACATGACAACGGCTTAACAACGACTCTTAATCACTATAATATGAAAATATGGTTGCACGAGGGTAAAAAAAGGGAAAGAATATTAACAAATGGAATATTTTTTGAGTTAATGATTAGAGTCTTTGTCGTCTCAACTATTGTAAAGACAGGGTCTCTAAATAATCTTGTATTGTTTAAGAGATCATACTCGTCTCTACCATTGAACGTGCCCTAATAGTGAATTATTTTGCATGCGGACCATGCTGTGTCGATCGATTAACTCACCTACCATGCAGTAATTTGGAGGTTGCATGGGCACCATGGAATATCCGAATAAATAGAATAGACATAAATTAAAGGTCCTCTTTCAAAAGAAATTTAGTGATATCAAGAATTTATCATTAATTTCTACTATATCTTTCGACGTAAAAGTTACGATTCTTTCTTGGGTGTGATATGCACGGAAAATATTTTCTACATCTAGTACTTGAATAGGGAACCTTTTTAAGATAACAGAAGAATTTTATCAATCTGAGTCAATTATATTAAAATGATACAACTGCATTAAGAATAGTCTCGACCTGTTGACTGTTTTAAGGTTAAAAAAAAAAAAGCTTTGCTCTTTTGACTGTTGACTCCCCAATCAGTCGGTTTTGTTTTAACCGCGACATGCAATATGCAGGGGCCCCGCATTTGCTCACAGGCTCACATGCCTGCGCGAGTAATCCAAAGCACGAGTCATCCAAATTAAGTCCAAACCGAGATGACTTGGTTGAATTTCAGCAGCAGCAACCACCGACTCGATGCATGCCAGCCACAATCCTCGCCACCGCGCGCGACGTGACACGCCAAGCTCTACCTAGCTAGCGTGCTCCATGTCCATCACTAGCTAGCTTCAGTGACGGCCTCTCGCCTCCACCAATGGCCTATAAATCCAGGCTCCCAGCTCGTCTTCTTCCCTCGCACACCAGCTAGCTATAGCTAAGCCCCCCAAGAGACATCGAGAGCGAGATCGCCATGGCCGCCGCCGCCGCCAAGAACGGCCGCATTGCCGTCGCCGCGCTCCTCCTGGCGGCGCTGGCCCTGTCCGCGCAGCTCGCGCCGGCCGCGGCGTGCTCCTACTGCCCGACGCCGAAGCCGCCTCCGCCGCCGCCGCCGGCGCCGTCCGGCGTCCCGTGCCCGCCGCCGCCGTACACCCCCACCCCGGCGACGCCGACGGGGAAGTGCCCGGTGAACACGCTGAAGCTGCTGGCGTGCGTGGACGCGCTGAACGGGCTGGTGCACGCGGTGGTCGGCGCCAAGGCCAGCGACACCTGCTGCCCGCTGCTGTCCGGCGTCGCCGACCTCGACGCCGCGCTCTGCCTCTGCACCGCCATCAAGGCCAAGGCGCTCGGCGTCAGCCTCGTCCTCCCCGTTGCCATCTCCGTGCTCGTCAACGAGTGCGGCAAGCACGTCCCCTCCAGCTTCCAGTGCCCATCATAAATCACCTCAATTATGTATGATCACTAATTAATTAATAATCACCTACTGCATCTGATCTCTGCATGCATGCATGGATTAATTAATTAAGCTATCAAATTACATATTACCTGCATAATTAATAAGTATAGTTTATCACCTGGCTATGCTATATACATATAAATATATATAGTGACATATGTAGCATATATACATGAGCTCTGACTTGTGTCATGGAGATGTGGAGGCATGCATGGAGCCTTGGATTGTGCATTTAATTGATGTATAATAATATTTGTGTAACATATATTTTGCTGTGTCATGCATATATGCATGTGGAGTTGTGGTATTTGGTTTGTAGTGGTTTGGGAGATTTATTATGAAATAAAGAGTGTGTGATATGTATGCTATGAAATACAAAGTTTGATGTGTATGTATCATATGTATATGTGTGGCTGATAAAGCCTGTCATTCTGTCAACTTTCATATATAGTATAAAACGTGCTATGTTGTGCTTAAATGAATATGTTTTCCTATTTCTCATGTGTTTGTTTCATCCATTCTTCAAAATGCGTTCATAATTGAAAGCAGCTCTGGTTTCTTTCAAGTTCAAAGCCTCTCTTATGGAACGAAAGAATTTTACAGAGAAATTTATTTTTAAAAAATTAAACTAATTCATGTGAATTTCCTGCAAAAACTCCTGCGTTACAGCTTCCGAAGGAGTACTAAGTTGTATATGTACACCCCTCCCCACAAAACAAGTTGTATATGTACAAGTGGATATTTCAATCTTGATCGGAGGGCATCTTACATTGGCTCATTTCTCTGGTCAAAATATTGATCCCTTCTAGTCCAGAAAAACGGAATGCTTTGAATTTTGGCGCAAGCAGTTTCCTTTAAGGGAGATATTACTGTAAACAGGGCCGGCCCTGACTTTTTGGTGGCCCGGTGCGAAAAAAAATGTAGGCCCCCATTCACCATAAAAATATAAGATAATATTTAAAAACTCATTGTCATTAACGAATTTCACGCTAATAAGCTTAAAATACAATCAGGCAATCACGATATGCTCGATCGTCGATTGGTTTTCTGTCTTTCCTCTAAGCCTATCAGGCCTGATACCATAGTACATATATTTTGGAGGCCTCTAATTTTTGGAGACCTAATACGGTTGCACCGTCCGCACTGCCCAGGCCGGCCCTGACTGTAAATCAGCAATTAACACAGCAAGATGATAGATTGTTACACATGTTCTAAGCTCAGACTGTGTAGTAGTAAGTGCAAAGATCTGCATGCGACATACGCTGATATGCATTGCACTACCAGAGATACTCTCTGCTACTCAATTTTGACAGTTGCCACACGGCAGAGCTCAGAAAGAGAATACAAGGCACAAGGCAGCCCAACTCAAGCATCCCTATCATTTCACTTACGCTTATAACCAAAATTTAAATTTTAAAAGTAAAACTTGAATTTATAGTTGATTTTGTGGATTTTTATCAAGATCAAGCGTGTTCAGATAAGCCAAGAATAATTTTTGGTTTTCTAAAAAAAAAATTATAGATTATTATGTTATATATCCCTACAAACATACAAGTTCAAATTAAATATACTCAGAGAAAATAACAAGAAATTTAGGAATAACTTTGAACGGGGACATTGTGCAATTTTGTATTTCCATGCGTGGATCAAAAAGACACGATCATATATAGGTTATTCAATGTTCTAGAAACTTCTTATAGCTGTTTAAACCACATGCAAGAAACAGGAGCATGCAAGCAAAGATGGCGCTACATAACGTCAGGTTCCACGCGAGGACCACACTTTCTAGCACAAGAAAATCTGCGAGGTGCAGCACGGCGCACAAACGAATACAAAGAATCGAGCGATGTAACAACAATCCAGCAGAATATAACAAAATGTCGATGCTGACCACAAACGTCACCATTCAAGATTCTACATTATATTTGTTTATACAGCAGGGGTTCAGAGTACAAGATTGGCCGGGTAGTATATCACCATTTGAGCAAAACAGACTGAGCAAATGCAACATAATTTTCGCTGTGTTAAGGCACTCAAAATGGAACATGGGGGATCAATTGTGTTATCTGCAATCTGGCAAGCGTTTTCCGCGGACGTGTTCAAGCGACGGCTTGGAGAGCTCTCTCGAAGTTATCTTCTGCTGATACGGCACGCTTTACTAGCACATGATCGGGGTGTGATAGTTTCAGCTGGCTGCAGATGGAAAAGAAAGGTTAGAAGTGTGGTAAGCATTTTTGGGTTCACTAAAAGTAAAGCATTGTGAAAATCACGGGATAGTTTCCAAACACTGAAGCAAAGCATGAAAGATGTTCTACGGTTTAACCCGCACAGATGGTAAATTCCACCGAACCATTCTACTGGTAATTATATGTTAAAAAAAATGAATTGTGAAGTCATCAATCTTCAGTGTTGATATTCTTCTCAACAGTTCACATCAGTTTCATAAACTATTACTAACTGACTCGTTTAGTAAAGTTTTGGATGTCCCTAACTGATAGGCATTTTATGAAGAATCTATACTTATATATATTATTATATACTATTAAAAGACATTAGTGGTGGTAGTGAGCCTGCCACCACCACCACCACCACCACCATCACTGACACATGGGCCCTGATATAGTACAACACATGTCAATGCTCTGCTTGCTCTTTGGACTTGTTAGGCTGTAGGCTGTAGTCTATAGGAGAAGAGGACATTGGGATTTGGGTGATTACTTAATTTGTAGGCTGGAGCTCTTAAATTTTCTAAGCATGTAATTTTTCTTTTGTTCTTTAAGATGATAGATCTTCTTTCAACCAATGAAAAAATAATTAATTTCCACAAGGACTTAATTTTGCTATTTTCAATATCCGTTGCAAAGCATGGGTATTTGGCTAGTGAAGACAAAAGATACATAGAGGATCCTAACATGATAGTCTGATACCCTGCCGCTTCTTTTCATACTGGACCAGTAATATCTAAAACAAAGTAGAGAAGTTCTGTGGAATCTGGGTGGAACAATTGGAATGTTGAACACAGCCAATTGGAATGTCAGTTTCAAGTTGCTGGGCAGACCTTGTCTTGATATATCAGATCAGGAACTAGTGGCTATAACAAATTTGCTTGGATACACAAAATCAGATCATAGCCAAAAAAAAAAAACAGCTGTCTTTCGCAAAACTTGAACATATAAATTCAATCGCCGAAATAAGAGAAAATGATTCACTAGTTCAAAGAGGAAAAGTATCTCATGACATTTTGCCAGTGGTCCTACTCGTGACACGTCTTTCACCATCCCAGATCAACCAATGCTATAGTTCATGTTTCTTTAATAGCTGCGGGGACCAGTCATACGATTGCCAAGATTTGACTAGACTTATTGAGTGGCTATTGTTTTAAATAGGCTGAATAGTGAGACACAAATACAAATATTTCTCTTGGGTAGCAGCTTTTGCACCATGCCATGAGATATTTACATCAGTCTGGTAATTTCTGATACATTATTGCATTTTCATTTTAACTTTTTAACTACTAATCTTGAAGGTCTCTGTAGCATAAAATAATTAGGTGGAGATATAAATTTTAAGAATGTCCCCTTATCTTGCTAGCAATTTAACTTTAAAATATTGTTTGGTAGTAATTGTCCCTCTGGATACATATTTAATAGTTTGTATATGCAAGCCACATGATTTATCAACATGTAATTCTTCTAGTTTGGCATGCATCTTCCAAATAATAAGATAGAATAATATAATGAAATCCTGCTTGACACAGCATGACAGTGTTGCCTTCCATGCAAATAACTAAACAGAGCAAACAGTTGAATTGTACAGTTGTGTTACAGTTTGTACCTGAGGTATCTTGATGACGGTTTGCCAAGGTGGAGATTACACACAATAAGATTAGCAAGAGTTTCAGGATCTTTTGCATCCTACAAGAGTAGAAACAGGGTTTGAGTACCTTGTGTCGAACATGCCAACGTGGCATCCTTATGTGAGTCAAATAAAAAAAATTAAATGTCATAAGTTTTTTTTTCCAACTTTAATTCAAACTTAGTTGCGAGGTGTGTCATCAAGCTAACCTTGTTCAATGCTTCGAGTAAAAGAGTCTCAGCCTCATCAAAGCTCCCCATGTGCATACAGCAAACTGCCTTGCCATTTAGAACCATTCCTGTCATCGGGTATTTTTCAGCAAAGTCTTGGAATATGAGGTAAGCTTCACGGATCTTAGAGCCACCCTGCACGATAACTTGATTGTTAATAAGCTCGATAGATTAAATGTTGAATAAGCACATTTGTCCAGCAGTTGTCAATGCAATGCTGAATTTTCGGTACTCCACAAAGTTGGACTGTCAAAGTACTTACAACAGCAATGTCCAGCCATGCGTTTGCAAGTTGTGTCAGTGTATGGTCCTCATCAATCTGTTGCATGATCTTTAATTGCTTCTCGGCATAGTCTGAACGGTGCATCTTAATGAAGATCTGGACATTCAATGCATGCCTGTAACCGAAAAGCAACAGATAGTAAACAAGATCATCAACAAACAGTATTCCACAAATGAAGGGGGCACCAAACAGAAGATTCTGACCACCAAGGTTTGCAGTTAACTAAATGATCAGCAACATCAAATCGAAATCAGCAAAGATCAGCAATTACCAGTGTTGAACAATAGAAAATATTACCATGCTAAAGATCATGAAGCCAGAAAGCACATTTAAGATGTATCATGCAGTAATGCATTTTCACCAACTCTCAAAACGTCACATTTTCAACAAGATAAACATAAGTGCATTTGCATGTGCATAGTTAGCACTTAGCAGCATATAAGAAAGAAAAGTGCGTTGAACTACAATGTCCGAGTGATAATAAACGTGCACAACACTGAGCATTTGAACATACCTTTTCGGAAACAAGATTTTTGACTTATCTTACTGGATACCAATAAACTTGACCATTATTGTAAGGTGATCAAAATTCACAAACAAAATTTTCTATTGTTCTGCACCTATGTTTTCTAAAAATAAATCTACACCTGGAAGGATGAACCATATAAAGTTCAGAGGACAAATGAAACTCACAGGTCCAGAGTTCCACCAGAGTGTGTGTGCTTGAGAGCTTCAGTGTAGTCTTGCTCATGCATAAATATAATTCCAGCAATCAATCGTAGAACAGGATTGCTTCCAACCGCCGAATCACTCAACCATTCCTTCAGACTGACAATCGCACTTTCCTTCAAAAGTTGTACAAAAGAATAATACATAGCATTTCAGTGTATGGACAAACCAGAGGGAAGAGAAGACAATATGATGGAAAAACAAAACAAAAAACTATTTTTCTAGGCTTAGCTGTACTGGACTACTGGTTAAATACTCATAAAGTGCATGACATGAACCAAAATAAGACCATAAAAACTCTGAAATGCACCAGAAAACAATCGTATTATTGGACCATAATGTATGCGGTAGGGTTAAAGTGAAAACATGCATACACAAGTTGAGTTCATGGGGCCTCATAGCAATTTGGGGAAAACATATACCAATGATCCATCTATGTTTGAGGAGGTGGTATCCCTGAATTGCCTGTGATTGCCAAGTTGACCATACATTCCCCAGCAGACTACCAACCAACATTATCACTGATGAATGCCGGTAGTCCTAGTCTCCTAGATGCATGGTAGGCAGTATGTATGTTTTCCCCCAATTTATCTGAACTGAACACCCTGAGATCAAGTTTACGTTATACTGGTTCCGTTTTGTTTTCTTCTTTTGGGTTTTAACAGTGAGGAGGAAGTAGCTCTAATGGCATATCTTTGTGTATGCAAGTGTGTCTATGCTCTTTTTTTTTTACTTTAAACTTTAAAGGAACTGTGGTTTCAACCTATGGTAACTGAAGTTTGAAACGAAAGGTCCTAATATGCATTGCGCAATTGAGCTGAAGAACTTAACAGCTTCAGCCTCTGAACACCATCAGAGTCTATTCATCCAATTGAAATGAAAAATAGGAAATCAATGATCAAGTATCAACGAACTAATCAAGCCCTGAGCCTCTGGCAATGCATACGATCCACTAGATCTAACTCCAGATCACATAACTCAATATAGATCTAGCCCTTCGATCACAACAAAGCACACCAGATCCAGACTCAGACATCACGTTACAGAGGCGATGGGATCAGATCCAGCGTGCTAACCTTGTCTCCGGAGAGGTACAGCGCGAGCAGCTTCACGGCCTGCAGCGACGTCGCCGCGGACGAGTCGATCTCGCTGATCACCAACTGCAACAGCCACATGGGGGGAGGGGACACGCACCGATCAGAGCCGCCAACCCGTTGTAGAGCGAGCGAGCGACCGAGGGGGAAGGGAAGGGAGCTGAGCTCACCTGGTAGGAGCCGAGCGCGACGTAGGAGCGGAAGACGATGGCGTCGCGCTCGGCGGCGGCGTCGGCGTCGAGGCCCGGGACGTCGCTGTTGTTGATGGCGGCCTGGTAGGCGCCGAGGTAGAAGAGGTTGCGCAGGTTGAAGAGGAGGTCCGGGGACGCCATGGGGTGGCTGCTCCGGTGCTCTGCCGCCGGCGACGACGAGGAGGAGGCGGCTCGTCGGCGACGAGGAGTAGGAGATCTCGCGAGCGGTGGCGCTGCTGCTGCTCCTCTCTCCTTGGCCCGTTTGGTCTCTGTGTGGGTTGGTAAAGACTGAGGCGTATTTATAACTGGGCTCGATTGGGCCAAAAACTTCTGGCCCGTTGCTAGGTGGGCCCGTCGGAAATCTGCAGAGAGGTGGGCCCATTGTTTGGGCCTTAGTTCTATAGTGGGCCAAAATATATCCGGCGCTAGCAAATTCTAGTACAGTACATTTTTGCTATATATATTTTTGTCGATATTTTTTTCTAATATAATGGTAATGTACATTATAACTTACATGGTAACTATAATATAACTTTCATATAATTTTAATCGTTATATTTATTTCAACATTCATGCAAGTTAGAAAGAAAAAAATCCGAGCGCATATGTGTGACGATTCGGTCCCACAATCTTCGTTTTATAAAAATAGCATGTAACTAACAAATTTTTGAAAGTTACAAGTTACAATATAATTACATCATGATTGCACTATAATTTATATGTATAGGCAGTCTCAGTATAATTTGGTCGTGCTGTCGTGGTACAAATCCAACTCCGACTTGGTAACAAATTATCTTCTAGATTCTAATCGATAAATTTCAACGAAAATTTGACGAGCCTTTTGGCCAACTCGAGAGTGACGTCAGCGCGCACGGCGTGCTCGGCCCATCGTCTTATAGGCTCTTAGCTCAAGACACTGGCGGAGTCATAAACAGCGCTGTAAAACGAGCAGCGCGCGCACGCCGATCAGCAAGCCGCCACTGGCTACTTAAAGCCGTAGCCTGTAGCTCAGCTCCACCGCGCATAAACCTAGCCAGCTAGCAACCGACAAGCCAAGGCGACGGCAATGGCGCCGACGACGACGGCCACGGCGGCGGCGGAGCAGGCGCCGCCGCCGCAGCATACGAGGAAGGCGGTGGGGCTCGCCGCGCACGACGACTCCGGCCACCTCACACCCATCCGCATCTCGCGCAGGTATGAACAGCCAACCGTATACCGCTCCATGCTAAGAGGATCTTTGTCGTGCTCGATGATTGCTCGATGATTCTCCCGCGCCATGGCGCCATTGATGGGAGATTGGGAGACATATGGAGCTTTTTTTTTTCTCTCCAGAGTTTAAGATGATCTATCGTGTTTGAATTTGACTGTTACTCTCGTAGCAACAATAGTTTACAGGATGTCCACATCGAATTAGTGAAAATCGCCGTTTGGTTCATGGAGTTAATAGAATCTGAAGCTCTCATGAGCCAGCGTCACTTGAGCTTTCGATTTTTGTTTTCCCCTTCCATTTCCAGTCATTTCCAGCCTTCTCATCGGATTTGTAGATTGTAGTTTTGCATTTGATTTCCCTGCGAGCAACGGTGCTCAGCATTTGCACATCGAATTTCGGTCATCCATGTGCAAAGGAAGCAAAATTCACCACTTTTTGAAACTGTTCTTTTTTAAAAATCTTTTAGAGAAGTGTATTTATTACCTGGCCTCGTTCAACCGGATATATGCAGCCATTTAAATTGGTTCTGAAACTGTTCTTGATCAAATGGAGTATCTCAACCAAGCCCTTTCGTGCCAAATCAACAAACAACAGCAAAATCTTTCCCCAGACGTCTACAGTACAAAAACCCTGACCATCCAGCACCAGCCAGCGCTGGCTCACTGACCTGCAGCAACCAGCTTTAAAAACCATGCGCATTTGCAGCACGTATTCTGTACCAGGAATACGGGATCCGTCAGATCTCAACTGCAAGGCACCCTTTCTTCAATTGTTTTTGGTGGTGAGTTAATACTGTTCAACAGTGACCATACTGGGCATGCCTCAGCTGCAAGAATTTATGGTGCTCGATCGCTACTACGTCATCCATCTTCTTTTCATGTGCGACCATTCTGGCTGTGATTGGCTGGCTGCTGCTGTCAAAGTAACAGGAGTGATTTACTTTCACAGTCTGGTTGTATGGTACATAATTCAGTTATCCTTCTGGAATCTGAACTCCTCCTGGCTTAGTCATAGCAGTAAAAATGTTCATTCAAGAAACAGGCTTTCAAGCAGTAGGCGGCTTGCTGCACATGGCTTGTTTTTGTTACCAGTTTTTTTGTCGAGCCTATGTGAATTTTCACAAGTTTACAGCCATCTGTGTGATGGTAAATTGAGGATCTTGCTGTATGCCAATTCACTTGCTAGTGTTGTAAGCATGCATCTTCTTTCAGCTTCAGCAGTTCAAGGCTGTTGATTTGATGGTACTGAATTAGTTCCCTGAAATACTTCAGATAAAGTAAAAGGGAAAGCAAAATAAAAGAAAAATTTCAGTTCTACCAGTTCATGGCTTAGTTAAAATCTTGGGAGGTGAAGCATGGTGTTTAGGCTCTCTCTTCTTGTGTACTTGAGAGTCTGAACTCTCAATGCTGAAGTAATAACCACTGCAGTTCTGCTAAAAGGTTATTGGCTCAGTAGAGAAATAGTATATGTTTCTGACTTGTGTTCTATATATTGCCATTTTTCAGGAAAACTGGAGATGACGACGTCGCTATAAAGGTGCTGTACTGTGGGATTTGTCACTCTGACCTGCACACCATCAAGAATGAGTGGAGAAACGCTGTCTACCCAGTTGTTGCAGGGTACATCCTTCTTATTGCATCACCAATTTATCAATCAATCGTTTTTCTTTTCTTCTTGGTTCTGTGCGCATCCAGATGGAAAGGCTGGATGCAATTTCATTGCTTAGTGAAATATCCATTATCAGTTCATACTTTCTTCCGGCAAAGCTGAATTATCATACTGTAAACTGCAAATCTTGTCAGTTTTTTTTCACGATAATGAAATTCATTTTGTTTTTACTTCAAAGAAGCTACAACCAACCACTACCGCCGTTTCAGGTTATAAGACGTTTTAACTTTAGTCAAAGTCAAACTGCTTCAAGTTTGACTAAGTTTGTAGAAAAAATAATAATAACATTTTCAACCCAAGACAAATTTATTATGAAAATATATTCAGTTATTAATTTAATAAAACTAATTTGGTATTACAAATATTACTATATTTGTTTATAAACTTAGTCAGACTTTATCAAAGTCAAAACATCCTGTAACCTAAAACGGAGGGAGTATTACTCTAAAGTGCTTTCAACTTACTTGGAAAAAAGAAATGCAAACTTTGGCTGCATGGTTTGATTGATGCAGGCACGAGATCACCGGGGTGGTGACCGAGGTGGGGAAGAACGTGGCGAGGTTCAAGGCCGGCGACGAGGTCGGCGTCGGGTGCATGGTGAACACCTGCGGCGGCTGCGAGAGCTGCCGGGACGGCTGCGAGAACTACTGCTCCGGCGGGGTCGTCTTCACCTACAACTCCGTCGACCGGGACGGCACGCGCACCTACGGCGGCTACTCCGACGCGGTGGTCGTCAGCCAGCGCTTCGTCGTGCGCTTCCCCTCCTCCGCCGGCGGCGGCGCCGGCGCCGCGCTGCCGCTGGACAGCGGCGCGCCGCTGCTGTGCGCCGGGGTGACGGTGTACGCGCCGATGAGGCAGCATGGGCTGTGCGAGGCCGGGAAGCACGTCGGCGTGGTGGGGCTCGGCGGGCTCGGCCACGTCGCCGTCAAGTTCGCCAGGGCGTTCGGGATGAGGGTGACGGTGATCAGCACGTCGCCGGTGAAGAGGCAGGAGGCCCTGGAGAGGCTCGGCGCCGACGGCTTCATCGTCAGCACCAACGCCAGTGAGATGAAGGTAATTTTAAAGCTAGTTTGATCAAGTCAAGAGATTATTAAATGAACTTTAAGAACGGATTACACGATAGTAATTACAATCTACAACTCCTGTACAAGTAGTAAATTAATAGGACCACTTTGGACTGAGTTAAGAAGAGATCAATGAACTATTCAGTTCTACATTAATCGTGTAGTCATATGGAAGGACATCCTACTGATGCAGATGCAGTAATATGGCACATCACAAACATACAATTTCAAATTTGACTTTTACAAGTTGCGTTTGATATGTTATTTTTGTTACAAATTATAGAAGTCGAATTTGAATTTGCATGTTTGTGGAGTGTTATATTAGTAGATGTCAATCTATTTTTTCAATTTTTTTTAATATTTTTATAATCGTTTAATTAACATGCAATAAACGGGTTAACATCCACTCAAGTGGTTATAATCCATCTCCATCAATTTATTGATGTGCTGCAGTGCAACTTTGCAAGGCTATGCAAGCCGAAGAAATCTTTGAATACAACTGATGCACCTCATTGCCGACAGAGCATCTTAAGATTGTTTGGTCAAGTATCTGAATTTGCATTTTGGACTTGTGTTTTTGCAGGCTGCGATGGGCACCATGCATGGCATCATCAACACGGCCTCTGCAAGCACATCCATGCACTCTTACCTGGCACTCTTGAAGCCCAAGGGCAAGATGATCTTGGTTGGCCTGCCTGAGAAGCCTCTCCAGATCCCAACCTTCGCTTTGGTTGGAGGTAATTTACTAGTTTGTCTGACGCTGCATCGTCTGATTCCTTCTCAAATTCATGGCAAAATTTGACAGTTTGTTTTGTGACAAATCTTTGCAAATCAACAGGGGGCAAGATACTAGCTGGGAGCTGCATGGGGAGCATCAGTGAAACGCAGGAGATGATCGACTTCGCCGCCGAGCACGGGGTGGCCGCCGACATCGAGCTGATCGGCGCCGACGAGGTGAACACGGCCATGGAGCGCCTCGCCAAGGGCGACGTCAGGTACCGCTTCGTCGTCGACATCGGCAACACCCTCAGGTCGGATTGACTAGGGAGCTCACTGTCACTGGTCTCAGCTCTGTAGCATACCGGACCTGCAATCCTGCAAAGTAGTGCAATCTTCTTGCTACAAGACATACATATCACCTCTACTTGGTGTCAATAAATGTAGCAAAAGTGGTACATTGTTGTACTAATCTGTGTTTAATATAGCGTTGCAACACACATGTATATTGTGTAATGGAATGGAATGGGTCACTGACTCCTATCCAAGAACGAGCCATTTGCATTTTGCAATAAAGCATTACTGTACTTGTACACAGGGACAAGGGTAACGTTCTCACTCTGATGGTTGGACAAAAAAGTTATACTAGTATACAATATGCCAATATGGATTCTGCTTGAATGAAGCTAAAACGACGTACTACAGAGATAGACATCATCACCTTGACATACTAAGGGACCTGGGGATAGAGAGCGATCGGACCTCCGGCGCCGAACTTGGGAACATCACGTTGAGCCTGTGCATCAGGACGTCAGCCTTGGATGGTATCTCGTTGAGCAGGAACTGCTGCACGATCGGCTTCTTGAACCACTCGAGCACCGAGTCACCTGGCGCCCGCAGCACCACCTTGCTCACCTCAAAGGGGGACTCCAGCGACGCCAGCACCTGCGCCACCACCATCTTGAGCGTTGGTCCAGTCACTAGCTTGATGCGGCGCGGCACCACCCCATAGTAGAGCATACGCTTCCTGAACCGGTGCAGCGTGTGCACGGTTGCCACTAGCGCTGCGCCAACGGAGAGGTTTCTGACGTCCAGTGACCAGGCGATGTGCTGGTCGAAGACGATCGCCTTGGCAAACAGCTTATTCTCGTAGGCGACCTTCCAGATACAGCGGGCACGGTTCATCTGCCCCATGAGAACTAAATAGTTGAGAAGCACATTCACGAAGTACCTTGCCGCACTCTCCTCATTGTCGTAGTCGATGCCCTGGAAGAACTCCCGGACGAACGAGAGCACTGGCTTCTTGCGCTGCTCAGGCCCGGTGAACAGCCCGCACATGAAGTCATGTGCCTTGTGCTTGCTTACACTCAGGATGTCCATGATTGCCCGCTCGCGTCCCTCATCCTGGCACCGCACCAAATGTGCAAGGATCGAAGTGTAGAGTATCAAGTCCACCTTTGCTGCCCCCGCGACATATGTCTCGAGCAATGGCCGTGCTGAGTCATACAGCCCCGTCTTCATACATGACTCGAATAGCTGCCTTATGATGAAATTGTTGGTCCTTATGCCAGCGGAGCCCATGAACCGAAGCCACCGGAGTGCAAGCTCCGTCGACCCTTCCTTGATGTAAATCATCAGGAGGTCGCTGGCGGTCACCTCTATCGGGAACCCTGATGCCTTCATCTCCAGCAATACCTTTGCAGCCAAATCCAGCATCCTCTTATTCGCCAACATCATCAGCAATGCTGTAAATGTGCTAAGCCCCGGCCGTTGTCCAGCATTTGCCATCGAGTGGTACAACCGCATAGCAGCATCCACCTGCCCTGCAGAAGCATGCATCTCAACCAGACAAGCGTATGTCGCTGGCGTAGGGAAGAAGCCGGACTTCTCCATATCACCAAACAACTGTGTGGCAACATCCAACCTCCCGGACCGTGCATTCGCCTCGACAACCATGGTGTACAGACCAAAGCTTGGACGGAGCCCTCCCCTCCTCATCTCCTCCCAGAGCTCCATCCCTGCATCCAACTTCCCAGCCCTCACCAGCCCCTCCACCACGGCTGTGCTCACCGCCGGGCTTGCACGGTGCCCCACCGCCACCATCTCCCTGTACATCCCCATAGCAGCATCGAGCCTCCCTGCTTTTGCCAGCACGTCCACCAGCACGCCGTACATCCCAGCCGACGCCCGCCCAATCCCCTCCCTCTTCCTCATTTCATCAAACATCTTGCGTGCGGCATCTATCCTCCCGGCGCGCGCAAGGGCTGGCACCACGAGCTCGTAGGTTCCCTCGTCGAGCGCGCACCCCGACGATGACATTTCGTCGAGCACCTCAAAGGCCTTGAAGGCGAGGCCCCTGGTGAGCAGCAGCGAGAGGAGGGCATTGTAGGCGTGCGTCTCCAGGACCCTGAAACCCGCGTCGCGGAGGCGCTTGAAGCAGAAGAAGGCGGGCTCGAGGAGGCCATGGGTGGCGAGCGCGGAGAGAACGGCGTTGAGGGTCTTGGGGAAGGCGGCGGGGTCGGGGAGGGCGAGGGTATCGTCGAAGAGGGAGAGGAGTTCGGAGGAGTGGGTGGCCGGGGCGAGGCGGGCGGCGAGGAGGGAGGAGAGGTCGTCGGAGGGGACGAACCATGGCTGGACGCGCGCCCAGGCGACGAGGGCGAGGAGCGGGGTGGGGTCGGAGGCGGGGAGGGAGGACGCGGCGAGGAGGAGGAGAGCCGGATCGGGCTGGGACGGCAGCGCGGAGAGCGCGGCGGAGAGGGATGGCCCCGAGCGGAAGCGGAGCGCGAGCGCCGCCAGCCGCGCCGCCGCCGCGGGGCGCGGGAGCGGGTGGGCCGAGGAGCCGGACAGGATGGTCGCGTCGGCGCCCGGCACCGCGGCGCGCGCCCCCGGCGCCGACGAGAGGACCTCCCCCGACTCGTCCAGGTAGTCCACCGTGTCGGTCCACTCCGCCGCCGGCGGAGGCGGCGGCGGCGAAGGCCCCGTCGAGAGCCGCCGCCCCCGCGCGGCGATCGAGAGGGGCAGCGCCGCCGTCGTGAGGCGGCGGCGCGAGAGGCCGACGCGGAGTAGCATCGCGATGACGCTGCCGCCGCCGTGGGGCTCTCTGCGACTGCAAGTAGGGGACTTCGCTAGGGTGCCCTTTGGGCCGTGCTCGGCCCATCCAATTACATGTTGTTGGGCCGTGGCCCATTACAAGGCCCATCGCACACCGTTGCCGAGTCGTCTTCTTCCTCTTCTTCCCCTCTTCTTCTGCTCTGCTCTACTCGCGAAGCCAAAGCCTCCGCCGCGATCCCCTCCGCCGCTCCCACGAGCTTCGCCGCCCGCTTCCGTCGCGCGTCGGCGATTCGCGCTCTCCCCGACTCCAGCGCCTTCGTCTTCTTCGACCTCCTCCTCCGAAGGCCCCGCCGATCGATCCCCGGTGTCCGCGCCTTCTAGTTCGCCTTTTCGAGCTCTTTTTCGCCGGAGACGACGGGCGTGGGCGATTCGGCTGGATTCCTCTCCGGTACGTGCGATCTCGCTCCAGCTCTGCTGATTTATCTACCCTAGCTTTGTGGTTGCGGAACAGCCCTGAGTAGCACCCATGTTTTGAGATGTTTCGACTGTATCGACTTGCTGTGCGCGCGTCCCTGTTAGGTCTAGCTTCCACTGGGTGTTGTTTACTGCTCAATCTATACTTTACCACTGTAGCTTCTGCCACCAATCGGTTGGTCATGTGTATGCCTGTGTGAATTCCACTGGGTGTGTGTGCACATGTATGAATGTGTGATGCAAACCAATATGGTAGATCCAGTGGATGCTTATACTATTAACTGCTTAAGTAAGATGTATATGCCATAGTTTTGCGCAATGTTTGGGTGTAGTTCATTCCATGTTGTTTTCCCTGCAGCTGGTTGTATAATTCATGGTGCATATTTTGTCTTGCCTCTGTTTCAGCATTCCTGTTAGGACTTAGGAGAAGTAATGTCAGGAGTATTAGCAAAATTCGCTATTGCATCTGCGGTGATGTGGACAGCTCCAGTTGCCATCGTGTATGGATTTTACTACCAGATGATTCCAGGTTTGACTATTGTATCTAATTTACATTGTTTTTCATCGCTACTTTTAAAACTGGGACACATGATATTCATAAGGAGACTTCATTTGCTCCCTGATCAGGTGTGAGTCAACTGTCATCCTCGACGCAAACTCTAGCAAGTGGATTCCTTGCTGTTATATCGATTAATCTGGTAATCGGCTTTTATATATGCATGGCGATGAAGGAGACTCCCCACCAAGAGCCACAACCTGATCCAACCTTCTTGGCAAATGCTAAAGCAAGCATTGATCAACCAACTCCGTCTCAAGTGAATGATGATTCCCATGGAAAGGGAAAGGTGGAGTAGGTCATATCACAACATGTGCATGTTTCACATGTTATCCAGAAACAGTTCTTCTCGATACCCTGCCTTCTAATTCAATATTATCTTCTGTAAATCTTGAGAATTATGGAACCAATATGAGTTTTACCTTTTGTACTGTTATTATCGAGATACTGTGTTAGAATTATTTTTGTTTGGCTGCAGAGAACTACTTTGGCTGGCTGTATTTAAGTCAATTTCGTTTTTCTTCAATGTGGTCAGAGATCTCCTTTAGCATACATTTAATAAGATAAATATTATATCTATTTAGTTATCCATTCGCAATGTGGCACTGTTTTTTTAAAAAAAATTTCTGGTTAGGAGAACAAACCTGGAGAAAGTTGTGTTCCAAACTTATGCAAATGTTTGCCCATTGGAAGTAGATGATTTCATGGAGTAAGCCTATTATGCTTTAGGGAGATAATAATTTATTAGTGCCCATGCCACTCACTCTTATGGATGCTCGACGCTAGAATGGTACTGATCTGACCAAATGGGAAGCTCAGAATCTACTTTACCCTTAGTCATTCACATGGCTTAGCAGCTAAGAACAAGTTAAGTCATCATGTATTATCATATCATAAAGTACAAAGAGATCACCTGAGATAAGCTTTGGTTTTAGAAAATCTAGGATGGATACAATAAATACTCCACCAAGAGTATGTTATTTTGCGAAGATAGAAAACTCATAGATTAATACAAATCAAGCCTATCTGGGAAATAAGATCCTCTGTTATTCTGAAGATCTATGCCCATATGGCAAGCATTGACATCAGTCCAGCACCTAGGAAAAGTGCAAGGTATGCCATGAGCTGAAGCTTTGTATTAATCTGTAGCTTCGGGTTATTGAAATCTGTTGCTAGAAGGTCAACTAGGGACATGTAGATCAAAATTCCTGCTGAGGCTGAGTTGAAGACTCCTTCAACGACGAAGGCAGTTGAGCTATGCACATTGTAGCTCGATGAAATTGCAATTCCTAGCACGATGCCCACAGGTGCAGTCAGGGAGAAAAATATTGCCATAATGACGGTTGCCCTTACCTTAAAATTAGCCTGCAGTAAGAAGAATGAATCAAACATATTAGCTTTTTGTTGCTGTAAGACATGATATGTTATATGCATAGTTGTCTCTTTCTTCTTTGTGTCCAATTATTTGATTTCTCGATAAATCTATTATTATTCTTACCTAACTAGTGAACCTATGTTCTCTATATGAAACAGTTATATTTCTTTATTTTTCTTTTGCAGCCTGTTACTTTGTTCTCGGCTTCTTTTTTTTGTGGTCTGTTACTTCGTTCTTGAAGAAAATGGCTAATAACTTTTCATGCTTGCAATGTGTCTTGTTGCTATTGTGCCTTTTTTTTTCCAACTTTGTATGTCTCTGCCTTATTTCTTTTTTTCTCTCCCCTTCTGCGGAAGGGCCCTTCCACTGGCCTACGAGCATGTTGATGTTAAGCCTTTTCGAGCAAGCATTTTGCTATCTTTTGTCAAAAGTCGAAACAACAAGTTAGATATTTGTCATCAGGTGTCTACTATCTAGGTTACAGTACTTGGACATACCTGAACAATGCAACCACCCAAACCTACACCTTCAAAGAACTGGTGGAAGCTGAGGGCACCAACTAGTGGCCTGATAGTAGATGGCCTCACAGATGCACCTAAGGATACTCCAATGATAACTGAATGCACCAAGATTCCCAGCTCAAGAACCTGCATGGCCAAAAATTCATGTGGTTATTGCAAGAGGGCCTATCTGGTTTTGTGAAGCATTCATTTAGTTGGCAATCAATGTGCAAATGGAGTTAATTCTGAGTTTAGTGGGAAAAGTTTCCCCTGAAGTGCAGATTATCAGACATATCCATTGAATAGGTATCTTCTCTTCCCCATATATGTTTTCTATGTGTTTTATGGAAATAAGTAAAAAGAGATATTAGATAATCAACATCATCCTGCACTATTGTAGTTTCAAGATTACAATAGACTAAACTTATTCTCATTACTGTTGCCAGGAAGGCCTATGAGCTTCAAGTGACTGCTGTTACCTGAGATACTACCTTATGTCGAATTGATTCAGCTACTGAACCCTCCTCTGGTGAGCCACAGACCACTATATCACCATGTGAATGTGTATGTCCTCCATGTGTGTGCGCATTTATGTGTTGTGCATGTTCAGCCCTCTCGTCTCCAGCATGCTTGTGTACGTTGATGTTGTCAACTGGGCGTGCCTTCCTGAATTGAGACCGGTGATAGTATCCAGCAGCCAATGAGTCCACCACCATTGTGGACACTGCAGCAGACATTGAAACAAGGCCCGCAAAGGGGAAGGGATTCCTATCCCCACCACCCCTTTTGAGGCATGGAGATGTGAGCGCATCAAACGCCGCTGGAAGAATGTGCACCATGCCAGTGGCAAGGATGACGCCGGCTGCAAATGCCTTGACAGCAAAGAAGATGTCACCATCAGGGCGCAGCGCAGCCATGGAGCGGCCAATCACTGGCACCAAGACACCAGCCGCCCCAGCTGCAAGGATGGATGCAATGGCAATGAGCTTTAGCTTCATTGCACCCTGTCTGTCTGCCCCGTCTGTGGTGTTAGCACAGTCGCAGGCACTGGCTGCAGTGTGCTGCGCAAAGAGCAGTAGCCATGGAAGCACTTGCAAGGTATGCTTCTTGGCTCCCATTGTTGCTGATTATGTTGATTATTTCCCTGTGATACGATGTATGTATATTGCTATGAGTCAGAGATGAAGGTAGTACTGGGTTCTTTATATAGGAGGGGATGAGATGATAGGGATTGATGTCATCCTTTGACCAGAAGATGGAGGCAATGATGGGTTTTTTCTTCTTCTTTTTTTATTTAAGTAGAAGGGAATAAGATGATGAGAAGAGATGTCATTCTTTGGCCAGAAGATGGATGCAATACTGGGTCATTTATATAGGAGGGGATGAGATCATAGGGAGATATGTCATCCTTTGTCTAGGTGGGATGAGCTATGCCCATGTGTCAAAAACTGTAGACTAAAGCACTTTGGACAAAGTTGACCCAAAAATGTGGAAGGACCAAACTCTCTCCATAAATATGTAAACCGTAATTTAACGCTATCACTCTATCATGATGTTAATTGACAGGTGTATCATGGGGCATGGTAAAGCCATAAAGGTAGATCAAGCCTGGGCTCATGTGGAACTTGTTTGCATCCATGGTAATCAGTTGTGGGGTGAATGTGAAAAATCTTCATGTTCAGTGTTAACGTCCGCATGCCATGTTGACCCATCTCCTGATTACCAATGAATATGGCTGAAGCAGATTTCACCTGATTATATTCACCTTGAGTAAAGCTGGGGATATAGCATTCAGATAGATTTTTTTTTGCCTTCTATTGCCACCCTTCTTCATCTCTTAAGACTTCTAATTAACATTATTGTTCTTATCCGGTTGGAAGATGTACAGGTGCAAATCTGATGGTTCGAACACAATAGTTTTGCATTGAGCTGTCAATCTGAATCAAGCAAATCAGCTACCAGCCTGCCAGTGAGTCCTGAATGTGCAATCTGAATTGATTAGATGGCTCATGATGAACTTATCGTCGGACATGTTGGATCGGTATGTTCATCACATTTGCTCCCTTTAATTAGCTTTAGGCACAATTGTGCTGCATCATTGGTGGCTTATCGATTGATATGTACATGCAAGTAAGAAGTGACTTGGAAAGTATTTGTTGCCTATACGGATGGGTCTCAAGATCTACACTCGTGGGTTCTACTGTTGACAAGAACTAATGCACTGTTTACAAGAATATTAGCAGGATTCTGCATATTTCCTTCACCAATCACTACTACCCGTATCAACCTAAGACTATCATGTTTTCCTTTTTCCTTGCACCTGTTTCTGATAGTTAGAAGTGACATTTTTAAGTGCTTGTTGATACAGACCATTCGTTTATATTCATTTTCATAAAAAAAAGAATTCAGTTATATCCAAGTTTTCAAATTTTCAAGCAGGGGTATCCTTGTTCCTCGCTGACCTCGGGCTCGGCTAATGGTCGAACGGATGCACCAGGGAGAAAAGAAGGCGACACAACACACCACAAGGACAGCATAGTGGGTAGGCAGACCAGCTATGTTCTTGTACACGAACAGGAGAAGCACCACTGAGCCGGCCGGCCGGCCAGCCAACCGCAGCGGAGTGGAGGTGAGCCAATAATGCTATCCTAGCTCGCAGGATTTAAGTGGTATCGTGCACTTGACTTGACCCCATAACAGTTCACCCTTTTGCTTTTTGCCTCGTGAATTTCTTCAGGAAAAAAAATCTGACCAATCAAGGTTGTGCAGAATGTTAACACTGCATAGATAAAGTTCCTCTTGATTTCGAGGGCTGGAGTATGTCCATTGATGATTCAAGGGACAATTAAAACCCTTCCTGTGCTGATGCAGTTTTGCATGATGCTGAAGCGGTAGATCGGCCGATCTGTGACTTGCTGGGTGGTAAGGACAGCTAAAAAAATCTCAGAGGGATATGAAGTGAATCAGTGGCTCAAAGTTGCCATCGTCTGGGCTTGTGCAGCACCTGGTATCTCGCATTGCCGTAAGAGCGACCTAACATGAAATACTGCACACAGTCATCTCATTTGCAGGACAGCGACACAGTGTAATGCTCTTCACTGCACACACTCAGCTCATCTGCAGGAGGACAGTGGCACAGTGTACTGCTCTTTCGCCTCCCACTCAGCAAGTCATGCAACAGCGCCATGTGCTTGCGATGAAAGCCCATCGCTGCCCACTAATGGCCGAGGTGATCGTCGCGTTTCTACATCCGCATCATTGGTTGCTCGGACGGAGGCCATGGGGCGCCTGGAGCCAAAGCTGCGTAGCCCATGTTCTCCTTGACTCCTTGGATTTCGTTTGCAAGCAGGAAAGGTATTGTTTGCACTTTGCAGCTCTGCACTGTGTTATTCGTTTCCTTATCTTCTTTCTTTTCACGAGTAGAATTCTGCTTTGGAATAAATCTATTTTGCCTCTCTCCTAATTGAATCGCCTCACAAAATCACAAAATCGGATATAACGTTTTCCTCATCTTCGAAAGCTGGTGAAAACTGTCATCCTTCCTGCCTCTAATGCTGCTGGAAGATGAGATAGGAGGAAAATGGAAGAGAGGATTGATAGAGGGGAAAAGATAAGGAGAAAGTTGTTGACATATGGGTCCCACTCATTACTCAACGAGTCAACCGAGGTTAACTTGTTACTACGTCAGTAGAAACCGTTTCCAAACCATCGAAGGAGCTGATTTGTAGTTGAGAGAGGCTAAGGAGCTGATTTGTTATATTCGGTTTTATAGTTGAGAGAGGCTACTGCTGGGTGGTAACTACTGTCCTCCTGTCATGGACAAGCAGAGGGATGTGACAATCAGTAGCTCAAGTTACGCCATCGTCTGGGCTTGTGCTACACATATAGCGTTGCGCGGTGTGTAACGTGTGTTAGGCCGACTAGTGTAGTCCTCTTCATTGCACACTCAGCACATTTGCAGGACAGCGCCAGTGTAATGCTCTTGACTGCACACTCAGCTCATCTGCAGAAGGATAGAGACACAGTGTACTGCTCTTTCGCTTCCCACTCAGCAAGTCATGCAACAGCTCATGAAAATATGCAGTGCAAATCACATATGCAATGGAAATCTGGAGACTACGTTGGATCCAAATATGAGTGTTTTAGATTTGTTCGTGTCACCAAGAATAAAACTTTTACTCGTGGTTAAATCTAAGAGTAAATCTAGGAAAAATATGTAGTGCAAATCACATATACAGTGGAAATATAAAAACTATCATTAGACTAAAATGGACGCCTACAATTTATCAATGCCAACAATAGAAAAACTTATAGGCGTCCATTTTAGTCTAAGATAGTTTTCATATTTCCACTATATATGTGATTTGAACTACATATTTTCCCAAACAACACCATACTTTTGCGATGAAGCCCACCTGTACCCACTAACGGCCGAGGATATTGTCTCTGTTCTACTACCTTCGTCCTAGAAAAAGACAAACCCTGAGTTTCCGTGTCCAACGTTTGACAGTTCGTCTTATATGAAATTTTTTTTATAATTAATATTTTTAGTGTTGTTGGATGATAAAACATGATTAATACTTTATGCATGACTTGTCTTTTTAATTTTTTTTCATAATTTTTTTAAATAAGACAGACAGTCAAACGTTGGACATGGAAACCCAGGGTTTGTTTTTTTATTGGGACGGAGGGAGTATATTACAAATCTTTCAGGTTTATCCTAAGTTAAAATTCTTTTAAGTGACATTAATTTGTAAATATTTATCAACAACACTAAATTAATTTGTAAATATTTATTTACAATATATTTATTTTGTGTGGAAAATATACCTATAATTTTTTTATAAAATTTAATCAAACTTAAAAAAGTTTGATTTAGGATAAACCCAAAACGACTGTAATGTGACGGAGGGAATAGATACGGCCAAGCTGGGTAGCTGCGAGCATGAGAGGATTGGTCTGCACATTGCAGCTCTGCGCTGCACTGTGTTCTCCGGCTCGTTGTTCTTCTTTCTTTTATCTCCTATTTCTTCTCCGGCTCGTTATCCGGCACGACGGCGTGGGCTAGCCCGTGCTCGCTAGTTGCTACTCGACCCAGTGTGTAGTCGCGACATGGCTGTGATTTGAGAAGAGGAAGCTTGATGAGGAGAAGGGGAAGGGAGGTGGGGAGGAGGAAGAGGTGGTTGCTAGCGCGGGGTGGAGGCGGAGGTGGAGGTGGTGGCGCTTCAACAGCCGGTGGCGCCGTGGCGGCGAAGACTGCCGCGGCGCTTCCCGATCGCATTGCCTCCTCCCCGACGGTGGCCTAGGTGATGGACGACACCCCGGCATTGGGCGTGGAGCGGAAGGGGAAAGAGGGGGCGGAGCGGTCCACGGGAAACTATTTTAACAGCGCTCGTGTGGACGTCCACCCGTTTATTGCATGTCATCTAAATGGTTATGAAAAAATATGAACAAGATAGATCAATTTGTAATATATCAATCCACATATTTTTGTTACAATTTGTAGAAGTTGAATTTGAACTTGCATGTATGTGGAGTGATATATTACATATTGATCTATCTTGTCAATTTTTTTAAAAATTTTTCGTAACCATCTAATTGACATGCAATAAACGGATAGACGCCCACTTGAGCTATTAGAATCCATCTCCAGCTGTCCACGGCTCCACGCCATATATGGCCCGGCCATCCTGGGTTCAAAGTTGTTGGGCTATCTTACATGGCTGTATGCCCCGACCATCCTGGGCCCAAAGTTGTTCGTTTCCAGCCTGAAAACCAGCCATATTCAGTCAAGGAATAAGTTCACTCTAGGTCCCTCAAGTTGTCGCCCTGTCCGATTTTTCGTCCTCAGTCTAGAAAACCTGATACAACGCATCCCCCAACTTACAAAACAATACAAAACAACGTCAGCCAAAATCAGGGTCAAATACTGCCGAGGACCTCGTTTGCACTGGTTTTGTAATTTGTTGGACACGCTGTATCCGGTTTTCCGGTTTAGGGACGCAATTCGGACTGGGCAACATATTGAGGGACCTAAAGTGAACTTATTCCTTCAGTCAAGTGACCGGGTCCCCCAAGGACATTGGTATTATCAGGCATACCGACAAACCAGATGGGCCAATACTGAATTCAGCATACAACGTACTCCAGCTAGCACCGGTTTCAGTCAAATGATCGATGTAGTGCATTACTACATTGGCCATGGATGATTGGATGTGATTGCCGGTTCCTCAAGAGTTAAGCATGCGTGCGACGAGTCGCTGTCAAAGTTTTCAGAAGGTATGGGGCAGTTAACAAGCTGACATACTACAGGAATTATACTGATGTCCCATTTATTAGTGTTGGAATACATGAGATTAATCAGTCAAAGCCAACTGCCAAAAGAACTACTGTACCCCTGAAACCAGGAAACTTCTTTTCTGCATGGTTGCTCGCCTAATTAATCAGTGATTGCGTGCCTTTCGGTAGTTACAAGTAGCAGCAGCTGTACTTACTTTGATTAGTTCTGAATACTACATAATTAAGAGTTTAATTGTGCTTTTACTTGTATAGATAGTACTAGTAGCAGGCTACTACTGTTATCACCTGAGACAACAGAGGATAGATATACGAGTGAGCCGGTCTATCCGCCGCTTTTGTTGCGGACAAATCACTGATGCTCCCGGGACAGCTGCTCCTTCTCCCGGGATTTATTCTCAGAAGTTGTTTTCTCTTGACGAGATTTATTTTCAGAAGTTGTTTTTCTTTTTACTGTAAACTGTCCAAGTTTCTACCCCGTTTCCAAAACCATTTTTTCTCTCTCGTTTGGTCTCAAGGTCTCACCGACCTCTCTTGGTCTTGGCCCTGGGGCTGATCAACTACCTAGATTTATTTTTTATTTTTTTACTGTCAACTGCACGGCATGAGGTAGTACTGTTTTTCTTCTCTGGAATTCTTGCGAATGCTTGAATGGATCTTTGTCCATGTTCTCTTTTTCTTTAGCATTACGTCCTCATGTCCTATGTTGCAATTTGATGCAGGAAGCTTCTTGTAATTTTCTCCTGTAATTTTCTCTCTCCTTAACTTTTCCACTTGATCTAGGAAGTGAGCCTTGTTTAGGTCCCTTTTGAATCGCAGGATTGAGAAAACGTAGGAATAGGAAAAACGTAGAATTTTGATAGGAATGTAAGTGTAAAACAAAGAATTGCAAAACGCAGGAAAAATACAGGAATAACTGTTTGATTGAACCACAGGAAAAACACAGGAATTGGATGAGAGAGAGACTCAAAGGAAAGTTAGCAAAAGGTTAGGCCCCCTTTGATTTGGAGGAAAAATATAGGAATTTTAGAGGATTTCAATCCTATAGGAAAATTTCCTATGAAGCCCTTTGAAAAAAAGATTGAATCATATCCAATCCTTTGAAATTCCTATGGAATGGACAATCCTATAGAGATTTTGGAGGAAATTTAGCAAGAGCTTCAATCTCTTGCTAACTTTCCTTTGAGTCTATCTCTCTCATCCAATTCCTGTGTTTTTCCTATGGTTCAATCAAACGGTTATTCCTGTGTTTTTCCTGCGTTTTGCAATCCTCTGTTTTACACTTACATTCCTATCAAAATCCTACGTTTTTCCTACTCCTACGTTTTCTCAATCCTACGATTCAAAGGGGCCCTAAAGCTCTTACTAAATTTCCTCCAAAATCTCTATAGGATTGTACATTCCATAGGAATTTCAAAGGATTGGATAGGATTCAATCCTTTGTTTCAAAGGGTTTCATAGGAAATTTTTCTATAGGATTGAAATCCTCTAAAATTCCTATATTTTTTCTCCAAATCAAAGAGGCCCTTAGTTGAGAAAAAAATTTGGGTTTGATTGTCGCATCGAATATACGGACACACATTTGAAGTATTAAACATATAGTTTAATAACAAAACAAATTACAGATTCCGCCAGGAAACTGTGAGATGAATTTATTAAGCCTAATTAGTCCGTCATTAACAAATGTTTACTGTAGCACCACATTGTCAAATCATGGCGCAATTAGGCTTAAGAGATTCGTCTCGCAATTTACACGCAAACTGTGTAATTGTTTTTTTTTTCACATTTAATACTTCATATATGTGTCCAAACATTTGATGTGATGGGTGAAAAGTTGTTGTTTTGGGAACTAAACAACCCCTGAATTTCTTTAGGCTCCATGAATTCGACTTTGTGCCGCGCACGGTGTGCGCATGCAAGCTAGCGAGCATTTTCATGATCTGCTCCTGCCTCCTGCTTTGCAGATATCATTGTACAGACCACCTTCCAAGTGTAAAGATCAAGCAATTCAGGTTAGTTGGGAAAAGTTCAGAGAAAAAGGGGAAAATGCCCCTTCTCTTTCCCTTTCTTTTGTGGAAAGGTAGAGAATATCAGAATATATCAAAATGCCTTGTTGCACCAATAGAGTTAATTAATTATACCTCTCATCAAGTGACCACACACAATGGAGCAAGTTATCTTAAACAAAAAAAAAAGATAAAAATCTTGGAGCATCTTGAGCATGGATGCAAGAACAGTAGGCAAAGAAAAGATCAGAAGGAGAGCACCAAAGGGAAAGGAAAGGAGAGGAAGAAAGGTGGTGAAAGCAAAGGTAAGCTAAGGCCACCAAAAGACCAAAAGCATTCATGCATGAAGGCAAGAAAGGTTAGGAGAAGAGGAGAGGATCAAATTATAAGAGTGAGAAAAGAATACCCACACACCGAAGCAACTTTGCAGCTAACTTAGGCTCTCTTCGATTTGATTAAAGAACACTGCACACACCAAGATGCACCCACCCCACATAACCATGGATGGCATTCTGAATTTCTTCTTCCACTTCTAGATCAAATCAGCTTCTGCCTTGATTACTTTATTAACCGACCAACCATCATGCTAGTATGAGTTACCGTTGGTAAAAAGTGCTCTGTAATTTGGTGTGCTAATATAGGCTAGCTCCATTGACTGGTGATTTGATGGAATATATGATTAGCACTGACACCCCACTATTACGTTATACATCCCTGCAAAATAGTCGCTGGCAAGCGGATCTAGTATCTGAATTTGCACATGCTCTGTAATCTGTATAGTGGTCAAACTTTTTTTTTGGGGGGGCTGAAAGAAATGCAAATACTTGTACAACACTGAAGTTTTTTCAGCTCTAATGGAAGGTGTTTCCAGTGTAATTGTTCACTAACTGCCTGAACTGGCTTAGAGCAACAGAACTTCTGTATGACACTATGACAGCTAGTAGTAGCACCAAAAAAGAAAAGAACAGAACATTTTTTTGTCTTCATATTCAATGGCATGGACACTTCTACTGGCATACAAGAACGCAAATAAGAGTAACCGCAATGGTAATGTAAGGTGTTCTCTATAAAACATATACATCTCAGCAATAGACTAGATTAATAGTAAACCACCTTAATAGTATGTCTACATGGGTATGTATAGTTCTCTCATGCATTGTTTTGTTTTTCTCTATAGACTATCTCTAAGTTAGTAGATAGCTTTGCTCTCTCTCTTCATTTAATATCTTCCAAATAGAAAAATATGCTGACATGGATCTTTTATAGAGAATCTCTTATAGAGAGCTTATAGATAACAATTATGGGTGCTCGAAGCAATGAGGTCCAAACGATGCAATAGGAAAGACCAGTTCATTGAATGGACTCGCCAACCATCGAAAAGCTCTGCAAATTTTGCCATTTACTCATCAGTCATCGCACTCTCCCGTTGATACAAAGGCGATGCACACACAGCGTAGGCAGACACCGAGACCACTTCTTCGTCTTCCCCCCCCCCCCCCCCCCCACCACCAACCTTCTTGCCTTGTAACCATCGCGCATACCAAGCTTAATTACTGTACTTTGCCTACACCTATATATTTCTTCCACACATACACATCTCCATTCCCCTCTCTCTCTTTCTCTACCTTCCTCTTTGCTTTGCCATTTCAAGTCTAGAGAGAGAGAGAGAGAGAGAGTTGCTGGATTGGACGCCATTGATGCTGTAGCAGAGAGGTGCCAAGGTCCAAGAAAGTGAGAGAGAGAGAGATTGATGAAGAACATGGAGGCTGCAAGAAGAGGAAGAAGAGGAAGGCAAGGTGGTGGTTTGCTGCTGGTGGTTCTTGCCGCTCTTCTGCTTCTTCTCCTTGCATTGGCGCGCGGCGCGAGCGCGTGGGCCCACGGCGGGCTCGCCGGCGGCGCCGGCGCCGGCGCCGGCGAGCGGCGGTACATGGATCTCGCGATGAGGAGGATGGAGAGCGTCAGATCTTCCTTCGTCGCGAGGAGGGAATTAGCAACGGTCAGTGTAGTTTAACTAACTCTACTCCATTTCATGGCTTCCTGCTGCTTCTGCTTCCATTACTGTGTTGATTGCGTCATTTCAACTTGTTAATTGCAAGCCTCTCTGCTGCTTCCAGGCTTGCAGCTCTCTGCTGCAAAAAAAAAAGTTTTTTAATGAGTAGTTTGATCATTTTGTTGGGGAGCGTTTGTTGTGCTGGGTACATGTTGCAATTAATTAACTGCATTACACTGGGCCAAAGTTAGCAGTAAAACCATCATTTTCGAAGAACAGCAATGCATATGCACACAAAGAGAAGTTATCAGATAATTGTGTCGGTTTGCTTTTGCACTGGCAGTACATTCTTTTTTTTTTTCATTTGCCTTTTGCAATAAAATGAGCAGTTTTATTACCCCAAAAAGCAGCTTTTTTCCTAAGCATATCTCCGTCATTTGTCGGCCGGAAGTCTCTGTCCACGCTCTCAATGAAATCTAGCCGTCCTCAAAGAAATGTCTTTCATTCATAAATCCGCATTCACATGCCCAACGCATTAGCTCATGCATCAGTAAAAAAAAAAACTGCATTTGCAGTTCATATTTTCCAACTTTTGGTATGCACAAACGCATTACCTCAACGTTTTTTCTTTTTACACTTTTGGTATTCCCATGCACAACTCTTTCAAGAGTTCAAGGGCGTCATATTTTGACTGCATTTGTCATCAACTTTGGAAAAAGAAAAAAGAAGATCTCCCATTTTCTCACAATTTCGTCAAGAACGTTAGGTATACTACCAATCTAGCAATGTACCATGAAATGCTTACACGGCAGCGAAGAAATTGAGAAGTTTTCTCCTCAGAAAATCCTGCTCACTTTCCACCGTGTTCGGTAGCAGGTAGCACTAGTAGCAACTGCCCCCACATAAATGTAAAAAAAAGGAAGTAAAAATTAAAATCAAAAGCTTCGCGGCTACTCGTGCCAACCAAACTTTGAACTTTTTACCGGTGCTAACTTTGAACTTTCTGAGTTTTTTTTTTAAAAAAAACTTTGAACTTTCTACCGGTGCTGTGCTGTCACGTCTGACATGGCGAGTTCGTGCATTGCAGTCTACGGCGGCGAGCTCGTCGCGGGTGTACCACGTGACGGACTACGGCGCCGACCCGACCGGCGGCGCCGACGCGACGGCGGCGATCAACAGCGCCATCGCCGACGCGTTCCGCCGCCCCTCCAACGCCACCATGACCGGCGGCATCCCCGACCTCGGCGGCGCCGAGATCCACCTCGACGGCGGCTCCTACCTCCTCAAGGGCCCCCTCTCCCTCCCCGCCTCCGGCGGCGGTAACTTGAAGGTTAGTAATGATGTCACGTGAGTATTTTTATTTATTACTTCATCCGTCCTATAATATAAAAAATTTTAGAGGGTCATAAGATACATGTTTCATGTTTAGATTTATATGTTTAGATTTATAGTATAATGATATGTCACATACCTTATTCAGAGATACCTTATTCAGAGGGAGTATATATCTTTTCCTAACTCATTAGTTGTATACATATTAACAGAAACTAGATATATGAATCATTTTTACTATGTTAAAAAAATTGCACTATCTTCGTCCCAAATGTTAGTACAACATAAAATGAAAAATGAAATTTGACAAATCATTTTTAAGAAATTCTTTCAGTCCCAAAATAAGCACAGTAATGAGTTTCCGTGCCCAACTTTAATTGTCCGTCTTATTTATTTTTTTTTGAAAAAACTAAAAACATAAGTCACATATAAAGTAATCTAATATCAATAAAAATATTAATCGTAAAAATTTTCAAATAAGATGAATGATTAAAGTTGTACGCGGAAATTTATGATTATGTTTATTTTGGGACAGATGGAGTAATGAATTTGGACAAACTAATACTTTGGGATGTAGAAGGTATTTTGACATATGGGTCCCACTGAGGGTGTATGTACACGTGGCAGATTCACAGCGGGTCGCTGCGGGCGGCGGACGACTTCCCGACGGACCGGTATTTGATCGAGCTGTCGGCGAAGGCGGCCGGCGGTGGCGGGGGGAGCTCGCCGGCGATGAGCTACTACTACGAGTACGTGACGCTGCGCGACCTGATGCTGGACTGCAACTACCGCGGCGGCGGCGTGCGGGTGGTGGACTCGCTCCGCGTCGGCGTCGACAACTGCTACGTCGTCCACTTCGCGACGGACGGCGTCGCGGTGAGCGGCGGCCACGAGACGTTCGTCCGGAACACCTTCCTCGGCCAGCACATGACCGCCGGCGGCGACCCCGGCGAGAGGTCGTTCACGGGCACCGGGATCCGCCTCGACGGCAACGACAACTCCGTCTCCGACGTGGTGGTGTTCTCGGCGGCGACCGGGATCATGGTCACCGGAGGCGCCAACGCCATCTCCGGCGTGCACTGCTACAACAAGGCGACCGGGTTCGGCGGCGCGGGCATCTACCTCAAGGTGCCCGGGCTGACGCAGACGTGGATCACCAACTGCTACATGGACTACACCGGCATCGTCGCCGAGGACCCCGTGCTGCTCCACGTCTCGGGCTCCTTCTTCCTCGGCGACGCCAACGTCGTGCTCAAGGCCGTCAATGGCGTGGCGAGGGGGGTGCAGATCGTCGGCAACCTGTTCAACGGGAGGGGGAAGGGGGTGGACATCGTGGAGCTCGACGGCGAGTTCGCGACGGTGGAGCAGGTGTACGTGGCGCAGAACGCGGCGACGGGGATGACGGTGAGGTCGACGACGGCGCGCGCCGCGGCGGAGGGGAACGGGAGCTCGTGGACGGTGGACTTCTCGCCGGTGCTGCTGTTCCCGGACCGGATCGGGCACGTGCAGTACTCGCTCGCCGCCGGCGACGCGTTCCCGGGCCACGCTCTCCGGAACGTCTCCGGCAACCGCGTCGTCATCGCCACCGACGCCGCCGTGTCCGCCACCGTGCACGTGCTCGTCGACCAGAACAGCAGCTGAAGAACAAAAAATCAAAATGCTGCTGCTGCCTGCCGCGATTGCGCGCGAGCAAGGCGTTAGATTCGTTTGTTCTTGCGATTCACCGGCAAAATTCGTCTATATCAGAGAGATGGCAAAATTGGCAATAGCTATAGCTTGTATTTGATTGTTTCTGAAGATGATTCAGAATGGATCACTTCGTCAGTTCATCGTGCTTCCAGTTTCCATAAAATGCCTCAAGATTCACTGATTCAGCCAAGATTTCATTTTTTTTCTTTTTCGGAAAAAAATGGAATCAAGAGCATGCAGGGATGATCAGAATTATGACGACAAGGAGAACAGCTGGTCATTCTTTCAGTTACAAACTGAATTCACTGACAAGAATGATGCAATTGCTACTATACTGTACTCCGACGTAGGAGTACTGTATCCACAAGTAGTAGTACTTGTCCCATTTGTTTTGCTGGTCACCCGTCAGTCTCAAGTGTAATACTCTGTACTAGCAAAAGGCAATTCATTCATGCACACGCTTGATCATGCCCAATGCCCCAGGGACCCAAAGTACTAAGCAAAATTATGTGGAGCAATAACAACTTTTAACAGGTAGCTCACCTGTTTTCCTGGCTATTATTTCGATCTGTCGGTCGGCACTGGCTATTTCTTGATTTCTTCTTGCGTGATTCAACTGCAAAGACATGTAGGTAGCTTATCTGATTATCTCTTCTCCTAATACTATCTATGAAAAAAAAATGTTGTTAGCACTGATATTTCCTCAGTAAAATGTGAGTAATTAAGCATCAGAAACAAACTAAATGGTCCACCAATCTTGTTTCTTCTTGTTGCTATTGTCTGTTTACCATCTTTAATTGATGTGTTTCAACATTAGTAAGTTGTTTCAGAGCAGCCAAAAGGAAAGCGATCACTAGCTGCTGAAATTTTGAGGTGAAAGGCAGCTAATCACTTTCAAAATTCCAAAATGGACTCTTTCCTTCATTCCCAATTGTTGATATGCCAAGGACTTTTTGAGCTGTTCATGGGGTTAGTTTACCTGCTTTCTCTTGTCAGACGTCAGTGTGTGCCTCCTCTTTCTTGATCTTTTCTTCAGAAACCTTCCAAATGGAGTACTTAAGCTGAATTTTTCTGTATAAAGTAGCTCAACAGTTTCTCTTGACGAATCTTGTGCGTTTACACACCAATAACTTCTAAGTTGTAGACCAACCAAAGGTAAGCTGCATTTGAAAACTGAAACTCTTCAAACGAAGAAATAATTCTGGAAGCTGATTTTGCCAAAGGTCTTCATTTTTACTGAGTTATTCATTAGGCTTTTTTTTCTTCTTCTTGAGTTATAATGTTCTCAATTTTGCCACTTCTTGCAGAGTTAGCCATTGGGCTTTTTTTTTTTAAAAAAAAAACCCCAAATGCTACAAAAAGTTAAACCGATACATGTGCCAATTTCTGTGCTTTTGGCATTGTCAGGTATAGTGTGGAGAAGGTGGCAACTCTATCATGTCCTTGGTCCCAGACCATATGAATTATGGCATATGGAAATCTTGATTTCTTGGGTCACTGGTCCAATATTTTTCTTTTTCTAGAATCCACTAATCCAATATTATACTACTAGTACTAAGCTATTTAAAAGTCTCTTACTAGAGTTGGTTAGAGTTGCACAATTTCACTGTCACCATGAGCTTACTTTAAGATTTGGCAATCCTGTACATATGATGCATTGTCTTTTAAGTTTCACTAATCACTGTCAAAACACGAGAAAAACATGGCATTATTTTGCTGAACCAGTCAAACAGTTACCATTAAAAAAAGTTAAACAGTTAAAGTAGGGGGAGAGAAATATGGTAGTAGCTCAAGAAAAAGTCATGAATCCGTTAATATGGTTCATTCTTTCGCTTATTTGTAGAATAAGCCAAAATCATATTTGCAAACAAAAAATAATTTGTGAATAAAACTTTTATATACGTGTTCTTAGTGATCTAAAAGCAAATGCTGAAAAATAAATTACGATGAGAAAACCCAAAAATCAACACCAAATTTAAGGTGGAAAATTTAAATTTTGGCTGATAAATATAAGCATAAAGAAAAGATGAGGCCCGTCCTGTGGAATTCAGTGTAGAAATTCAGATTATTCGACTGGTGATCCACCCAAGTCGATAAACATGCTTGTAGCATGGTGATAAATGCCTTCCGGTGAGAAGCTACCGACCAGGGTTCAAATCCTATATATATATATATTTTTACATAAGAAGGTATAACTGGCTTACCTTATAGTCATTTCATTGATAGAAATCCTAATCTCGCATAAAAAGGGGATTTGATTCACCCAAAGTCCATGAACTGTGTTGCATTTGTGTCCTCCTTTCTTGGAACAGGTCCAAAGATGTCCATTTGAGATCTGCATGGCATCCGTGATTGCGTGAGGATTAGTCTGATAGGGTAGTTAGAACAAACCTTGTTAAGGACCTACTTGACTTTGAACCGTATTGATAGTTGTTGGTGAGCTAATCTGACGAAGTGAAGCAGACAGTGATCATTTGAGGTCAAGAACTGATACGATAAGTACAAACAAATCATCAACGAATTAAGCTTTTTGTTAAGGGAAGTAATGCATAGTACGGTACTTGAATGAATAAAGTTTCAAACAGCAAAAATCTTAACTTTGGGAAGCATAGATATTTGTCATTTTCTGTACCATACAAGAAAATTTCTCGTCCTTCACCTGAAACTTGCTTGCAACCTAACTCTGGTAGAGCCAGGATATAACAATGGTTTCTTTTAGATAATGGGATATAACAATGATATGCTTCCTCTCTTTTCCATGGAAGGTGACATTTTCTTCGCTTTTCAGTAGCAAACTTCAGTGGACGCATTTTTGTGCAGATGCAGACATTCAGAATCCAGTAACAAATTGCTTGCTTTTCACAAGCCAACTTTAAAGCCATGTGATTGTTTCAGATGGTGACATTTAGTATAGATTAGAGATTAATATTAAGGTGCAGTATGTCTACTAAGGTTCATAGTGGTTCATATATATATATGGTTATTTCTTGCAGCAGAAAACACACACCAGGTCGAACCAAACAGCAAGCCAACATGCTTGTGCTGTATTCAGAGCTCCAGTACTTGTACACTGAACCAAAACGCGAGTGAATATTCGTTAAGCTCAAAGGCATCCCACATCTCTCTCCCTTGATAATTCATGGATGCCAACAGTATTTCACAGCCGAATATACTCTCTCAGCAAGCAGTACAAAAATTGCCAAACAGAGGGGCTGATATATCACAAAATGTTCATGGCAAGTTGGCATTTTGGCAACCTTCATTTTCATAATTTAGGATATTGAAAGACCTGCTAAGAATAGCCATTAACTTTTGAGACTTAAGAGACTGGTAGATACATTCTAGAATGCGTAGCAAAGATTCTGAGACATAGTTATCTACCATGTATTGTATCTAAAATTGTTATTCTAGAGCTACAGTGTACCAAGATTAATAGCATTATGATTTATGTATCCACCTTCTATACATCTTCCCTAAGAAAGCTCACTACCAAGCAGCTAGCCCTGAAGCTCATTCCATCCTATGAACAAGTAAGCAGACCTTCAATGGCAATGCCAGCAGGATCATTGCCTTCCCGCTCCACGGTTTCCACCACCGCCTGGTAGAGATTTGCCCATGAGCACCCATCACCAGTACTCCCAACCATGTCCCAGAACGTCAAATTGGGGCTTGGTGGGCATGAGGCGACGACAATGTCAGCAATGCTGCCTACTTTGGCTGCTGGCCGGGGAAAGTCCAGTGCCAAATTATCGACTTTGTGCTCGTAAATCTTCCCGTTCCTGTCGACCTTGTATCTCGAGGTGCCACTGAAGCAACCGTATGATTCCCACGGGACACGCGGGGTTCCCCACAGCTCCCACCGGACAACTATCGAGTTCTCTGTCAGTTGCCAAATGCGTGATATGTCAAGCCCGATTTCACGGAAGAGTAGGCGCCCATGGAATCTGAGAGCCCAGAAGATTGTCTTGTAGTTGTCGATTCCATGGAAAGTGTTCAACGGATCGACGAATGTTATATCTTCACTGCAGTGTGATGCAAAGAGTGTTTTTAGTGCCCATTTTACAAGAATAACTGTAGAATATATCAACAAAAATAATATAAATATGAAACTACAAGAAGTACACTTGTCAAGTCAACAACTAGTGTTCTTCATACATGACTAGAATCAAGAATCATTTGGTTACACAAACTGCTGTAATTGCTGGTGATATATGGACTGCTACCTGTCACTGCTCTCTGAAAGTGTAAACTTATCAGTTGATTCAATTCTCAGTCTCCATGTTTATCAGTTGATTCAATTATCAATCTTGAATATGACACTCTCTTTTAATGGAAATCTTGACAATGATAAATTATCATTCTACCAATCATTTCCTCCGTTTCTATGTTGACTGACACATCATTTTCCATGATTAGCCAACTAGCACAAACACTGAAAACTTCAGCCCAGTTTTAGTGGAAGCTTTCAGCTTCAGTTCCCCATGGACATTTATTCACTGACGAACTAGCAAACTAAAAATTCTCACTACAGCAACAACGATAATAATAAGCAAAAGTAACAAACTCAAAATCTATAGCAATAACGATAATACGAAGAAAGTAATTAGCGAAGATTAATTTTTACCGGTAGATGTCGTAGTTGGGTTCCCGGACGAACACCGCCGGCAGGTCGTCCCGCAGCGTGCGCACCGCCGTCCCAAGGTTGAGGTAATAATCCGACCTCCGCGGGTCCTCCCCGCCGCCGCCGCCGCTCCGGCCGCCACCGTTCTTGCTCCGGCTCTTGGGCGTCGGGACGGCGGCGGCCTCCTGCTGCGAGGCGCCGAACAGGAGCAGGAGGTTGAGGTGGCTCGGTGCCACGGCCTGCGCCGGCTGGAGCTTCCCGCCGCCGGGAAGGCCGAGCTGCGACTTGAGCGGGCTCGGCGGCGACTTGCAGGACGGCGTGGTGAGCTTGGGGAGGAGGAAAGCCATGGCGCGCCTTTCTTGATCTTTCTGGCTAGCCTACAAGTAGCGGATTCCTTCGCCTACGAGCTCCATGTAGTAGAAGCTTCCAAATTGGCCATTGGGATGTTCTTGGGGAGGGAGAATTGAGTGGCTCCGATGGGTGCAGCGAAGGCGAAGGCGAAGGCGTGTGTGTGGGAGAGAGATGGGGTCCGACGTGGAGCCAGCCAGCCAGCCGTCGAGGTGGAGATGATCCGGGGTTTCATCCTTCGTTTTCCTTGTCCTTTTGTAACAAAGAAGAAAAAAGAAGAAGTAATTTTTGCTACATTTTCTAGTAGATAGTTTTCTTTTTCTCCTGATTACGCGAGACACACCACTACATATGCAGACCGCATACACGCACTATACCGTAACACATGAGCTTATCACCGTTACATATGCAGGCCATATAGACGAGAACACGCCACGCATATAGACCGCATACACACTCTGGTGAATGTATTGTAATATGCGACTATACCTGTAACACATTCTAAAATAATAGATTTGAGACCGAAGTTAAATTTTCACGACCTCTTTTCTGTAGTAAATAATTAGTTGATGTCTCAGGTCTTGCTAGGAAATACATGGAGAAATACATGGATGAATGTATGCTGCATATTGCAGAAATGAAATAAAGTGGAAATGATATGGGGTGATAATTCGATATGCTTATATATTAAGCTCTAGAATGTATTAAATAATAAATGCTATGTTATATTTGTATGTGATTTAAAATATTTTGATAGATTTGCATGTTAAACTTTAAAAAGCTAGCGGGATTCAAATATATAAAGATATTCCATGGTGAGCGCACTTCTATCTATCATGCTCTAGGCGTTGACTAGATGTAGCATGGTCATTTGATAAAGTACCATACTCTACATCTTATTAAATTTTAGCAGAATATGCACACTTGTTTTTGTTTTTGAGAGGATACTTAGGAGGGTGTAGGTACACATGAGTTATATACAAAGACAGCCTACGACATGGCTGGCCTGTACAAACATTACTTGTAAACGGTTGCACATCACACCACAATTAAACATCATCACCCAAAGGCAGCATACAACATAGTCTTCTTTCGTGTATGCTCCTCATGGAATCAATTATCAAACCTAAACTCTTCCTCTTTTTTTCTTAAACGTTGGAACTGTCAAAGCAAAAGCAGTTCTGGTGCAAGAACATAAAAAGGAGCTTTCTTGCTGTCCTTGTTTCCACAGCATTAAAGAATAAGCACAGCACCCTTAACAGCCAATGACACTAACACACAAACAGTTCCTCTTGTTTTCGAAGGTTGGACTAACCATGCTACCTATTTCTAGCCTAAATACCTAGGAGATCTTCCCTACTTGCAATTCACGGGTAGATAAGGTTATTATTGTTGTGAATTGCAGCAATCAGACTGATTTATATCCCCATCATGTGATCCAGGCCTGGCTGAGGAGCAGCTCCCATGCCTGCGCCTGTCACATTAAGAAGCAATTGCTGGAGCCAGCGCCTTGTTGTAGGATCATCCTGTGGTTGTCAAAAGTTGGTGTTTCAAACCTTTCATTTAGTATTAATTTATCAAGTACAGGAATAAGAAATTGGTGGCAGCTGATGGGTTAATATCACTCACCCTAAGACAGTTATTGAACGTGCCATCCTTCAGCATGTCAGGGAGGCAAGTTTGTAGTGCAGCACATGCCCTGCATAGACGCCGCGTAGAAAAAAATAGCCTGTTCAGAATATTTAAGTAAAATAATTTGATAGCACACAAATGGCAGCACAGACCTGGAATTGTCTGACAGCCTAAGGTAACATCGGATAATGTGCTTCAGCAACCTTGTGGAAGGCTGCTCAGCAAGTGAAACCACCATGTTTGCTAAAACACTGCCTACAGCAAAGAAACGCTCAGCAGTGGCACAAATGTAGCGCAATCCAACATCATCGAGGAGAATCTTCTGAACAATGAAGGTGGCCACCTACAAAAATATTTGACTAAATCAGTGAAATAATAATGGTTCATTAGGCCTAGCTTGGCAAATGAGATTTATTTCTGGCCTCATTTGAACTTTGAGCTCTCATCAACAAAAGAAGCTTAAGTTCCTCATGAGCTACCAACTTAACTATACCTGTGTACCTGTGTACAAACTTAACTATACCTACCAAGTTTAAACAGTTAGGTTTGGGTCATAAAAAAATGGAATTAAAAGTGGCAGCACCATATAGTTGCCAAATTGCCAACCTCCTCTCAATACATATAGCACAATCCACCTTTTAGGCTTATAAAACGAAAGGTGGCATTTGAGCTTAACAAAGGGAAGCCTGGTTGAGAACAAGAAAATTCCAAAGATGAGCGGCAGCCTGTAATAAGAAGATTCTAAAGATGACAGGTGGCTTACTTCACACTAACCTGGACAGGCTATCATTATTCATGGTAGCAGAAATTTTAACCTAGCCAAGCTACGATTCATGGTAACAAAAAAAAAAATTACACACAAACTTCAGACAGCATCATCACATACTTAAAGAAGAAAAAGATGATGGTATTTAGATAAACATGAGATGGTTAGCGACATACAGTTTTTGACAGCTCACTTCCCATTTCCATGGTACGCAAACACAGAGGAATTATTTCAGTTTGCAGCAGAAAACTGATAACTTCAGTATCATCAACCTGCGTGTATTACATGTGAAAGAAGCTTTAATTCCATTTGAAGGAAAAATATCTAAAACCAGTTCAACACGAAAAAAAGAAGGTAGAAAACATCAAAGAGTACACATGTTTGTTTCAAAGTAATTCAACATATTACAAGGTTACAAATTCTGTTTTGTGCATTTTTCCTCAGAACCCTGCCAGAGGGCTAGTTTCCAATAACCAAGCTCTGTGTCTACTTATATATAAAATTGGTTTGCATCCAAACTTAATTCAAATTTCTACAACCCCACATCATTCCCCCCCAAAAAAAACATGGATACTTGGTAGTTACAGTGCTACAGGAACCAGGCAAACCACTAAACAGAAGTAAATGGCTGGTTACCACGAGGATCTTGGAAATCTTTTGCTTACAATTTATGCTTGCTGTTCTGCCTAATACAAGAAGGATGCATTCTTATAAGGCCTCATGCCTAACTACTGAATAATAATAACATGGCTCTTCGCCAAGATGGCAGAATAGAATTACTGAAATGTGTCAATTGTAATATATATCATGTTCGTATCACTGTTTAAACGATTAACTCATGTAACTACATAGATGAATTACCTTAACAAGTGCACCGATGACACCCAGGCTGGTGAGTCGCAGGTATTCAAAAGGTCTTGTCTTGCTGGTAGTATTCAAGAATGGGTACAGGTACAGGGGAATATGAGCTGAAAAGAACAAAAGAAAATGAGAGAGGGAAATGGAATTTTTCACAGAAACAAAAACAAGAGCTAAAAGGTTCTTTAGTGTGTTATTTTCTTATGAAGATTAAGACTTTACCTCGATTTTTGTTAGCACGCTTTTCAAACTAATAAACTGTGTGTTTCGTGCGAAAACTTTCTATATATATGTTGCTTTAAAATATCAAATATATCTATCTGTCAAGTTTGTAATAATTAAAAATTAATTAATCATGTGCTAATAGCTATCTTGTTTTACGTGCTCCAACTTTATCTTCATCTTCATGAGTTTCAAACACTAGTACTACACATTTAGGAATTAGGATACGTCAAATATAGATTACAAAAGCATGATCATACACGCATATGAGAGACAGAGATGCAAAGGACCATGACCATTACCAGTTAAGAAAAGGATCCTGGTCTCAGGGTGAGATGCAACACACTGAAATTATTTTTGAAAAGCAAAAAAGAAAGAGTTAATCAGCAAATCTATGTCATAAATCCAACTTGGGTAACTCAAAAGGCAATTTCTACTGTAAAATACATCATGAAATGCAAGCAACCAGAAGACAACTTTTCCAGCATTACCGCCCTATTTCATAAGATTATGTACCTGAAGAAGTGCAAGTGCATTGCAGACTCGGTTCGATGCACCTGGTGACAATGTTGGGGGTGAAAGTGCAGAGTAGATTGACACAATTTCCTGTATGTGTTGGCAAGTATGGATGCACCAAGTGAGTAAGATTGCTGAAATTTGAGTAAGTTTGGATTCTAAGCAACAAGTGCTAATTTGAACAGCATACAATATTTGACCTCAACAGCAAACTGATGACTTGAGAGTAGGATTAAAACTATAAATTATTTGTGAGTTTAATCTTCAAGCATGCAAATTGTAAACATATACGAACAGGGGAATCATGCAGACCTGAAGAAGTGCAGCAACTGTTCCAAAAGAATGCCAAAGAAGTGGGGCCAGATCTTGAAATATCTCTCTTTTCTGAAAAGAAAGGATTGAATTTTTTTTGACCAAATAAACTGGCTTATCATGTTAATGACTGGAACATGAAGTCTACAATTATTTTGATCAGGAAAATTACAGAACTAATTAGGTACAAAACAAAAATTTCTAAATTAGTTACTACAAAGAACATAGGGTTCTAAAATTTTCTTTAGCAAAACATTGCTGTTGACAATGAAGCCATCTGCTCTGGAATATGGTAAATCTACAATCCAGGTCTGTGTGTATGAGCGGTAATCTGTATAAACACTTTACAGCGTAAAACGCCTTAAAGAGTTAATGGAACTCTCGAAGGCTACCCATAATAAACTGAGTCTAATTCGCTATTGTGCTACCCAATAATAATGGTAATCTAGCGGGAAGCCGGGAAGTTTCACCGACCACAATAATTAGAGATGCTAATGTTATCTTGATCAAAACGTAGTGTAATAGCCCATTTCATGATAGATGCGCATCAACCATACGGTAACCCTAACACCAAATCACCATTCACCAACCCTAAAAAAACCATTGACATTCACAATGCTAAGGCGAAACCTTCCCCCACAGGCAGTGTGAATTCCACAAATTACCACCAGTGCCCCAGATAGGGTAGGCTATAGAACCCTAGAAGAACGCGCGCTGGACCTTCGAGAGCTCGAGGAGGGCGTTCTCGCGAAGCTCGGGGTCGCAGAGGTCGAGCACCAGCTGCTCCGCCGACGCCATCTTCATATCCTTGGCTGGCTGCCCCACCCCGCCGCCCACGCCACCGCCGCCGATCGGAGAAGGCGATGGCGGCGAGGCCCCGGCGAAGGAGGGCGGAATGGAAAGCGAGGGCTGCAGATTCGCCATTATCCCCACAGCAACTGCACAACACCAACGAAACCACCATCACCATTTCTTCCCAAACCACAAAATTATCCAATCAAAAAACACACAAACTCGATCAATTCCACAAATGTAGCAAAATAAGGGATTCGACTGCTCACAGGCTATACAGCACGGAGCGAACTAGGACGAAATGGAAGGGATCACCCGAATTCCGCGACGGATCACCACTCTCCGCTCCTCTCCGGCGGCGCCGCGGCCGCCGTGGGCTCGCCGCGACGGGAGGAGAACGACGGCGAAGTCGGAATAATGCGAAACTGCAGCCGAGGGGAGAGAGATCCCCTCTCTCGCCCCCTATGGCGCCACACGGACGGCCAGGATCAACCGATCGCCGCGATCGGACGGTCCACATTGCACCGTCCGCGACGAACGGGCGTGATGAAGCGGAGGTTGCGTACACGGGCCGAGGACCCATGTAGATCCGTGATGGCCCGGAGTTTGGGCCTTATTGGGCTTGAGGTTTTGTGGCCCGTAAAGGGAGGGGTGTATCTGCATATTTGACACCCGCGGCGCTGCGCTATAAAGAGTGGCTCACTAGGGTTTACCTCCGCGCCGCCGCATCCTCCTTCGCAAGCCTCGCCTCCACTCCCCGCGCCGCCGCCGCCGCCGCCGACTCGCCGGTCGTCACCCTCGCCCCGCAGCCATGGCTGAGCAGGTAAGGCCCGGCACCTCCTGTTCTTCCGTCGAGCTTCTCCGTCGCTTGCTATAGGAGTCAGTTCTAGGTGGGGGCGCGTTGCCATGTGATGCGCGTGTTGCGATGTGAGACTCGATTTCTCAGTTCTCGTGATTTGGGCTGGAACGCTAGCGATGGAAAGTTCGTGTGATAGTGTCATGAATTTGTTGAGGTCTTCTTGTTAGATGTGGATTTGTTGAACGGTGGGTTTGTTATATCGGTACTCGTAATTCTCTCGTGTTAAATTAGCAATAGAAGTTTTGGGTTACTGGATCGAAGTTTTGCTGAGATATTGTTACTGGATCGAAGTTTTGCTGAGATGTTCCAATAGATTAACGCAACCGTGGATGTATTCGATGTTTGGGTTCATTACCGCTGCCGTGTTCATGGTAACGAATGATAGGTCTGTGCTTAATATTCGTGATGCTGCAGTTGTGTGTTTGTCACGTTTTAACTTCTTTTATGGTTGATGTGGAGCTTATCTGCTACTGAATTAGATACAGATTTGTATTCTTGTTTCCCATTTGTTCAATCCAAATAAGTGATGCAAGTGGTTCTAGCTATGTTGTGTAGAGTGTTGATGTTTTTCATCCATTTCTGTTGTGCAGACTGAGAAGGCTTTCCTGAAGCAGCCAAAGGTTTTCCTCAGGTAGGGTTCTTCTGCTCTTTCAATGCTTTATGTATTCTGTGAGCAGTTCACATGTCTTAACGATGTTTTTCTGCTTCATTTTAGCTCAAAGAAGTCTGGCAAGGGTAAGAAGCCAGGCAAGGGTGGCAACCGCTTCTGGAAGAGCATTGGCCTTGGCTTCAAGACCCCCAGGGAAGCAATTGAAGGTACAATAGGTTATTTGCCTCTTTGTTTAGCTGATTCTGTCTAAAAGTTGTATGCTGTACAGAAGAACTTTGGTGTTTTCACTGTAGCCACTGAATGATTTGTAGTGCGTTAACTTTAAAATTGTCACTGAAAGAACAGTTGTTTGTCATGCATTGACAGTATTTGTTAAGTTGTTTTTATACACTATTGCCGGTATGTTTGACTAGCAATTTAAATTCATCTGAATATTACAGACCTGAGATAAATGCTACTATTTGTTTTAAGTATTGAACAGTTGATTAACTGCAATTCTTTCCAGGGACATACATTGACAAGAAGTGCCCATTCACTGGAACTGTTTCTATCAGAGGCAGAATCATTGCTGGAACATGCCACAGTGCCAAGATGAACAGAACTATCATTGTTCGCAGGAACTACCTCCATTTTGTCAAGAAATATCAGAGGCAAGTAAACTACCATGGATTATATACTTATGTTTCCTTTCCTTTTCTCCGTTCTAACATAGGGTGCAAACCTCCCACCTTGCAGGTATGAGAAGAGGCATTCCAACATTCCGGCTCACGTCTCCCCATGCTTCCGTGTCAAGGAAGGTGACCATGTCATCATTGGCCAGTGCAGGTAAAACTTAACTCCCATACCTTAGTTTTTGACTCCTTAGAATCATCTTAAATAACAGAGGTGCTATTAGTTCAAACATTGTCAGTTCACCCAGCTAGTACTATGAGATTTGGTTGCTGAAGTACAATTTCTGCATTTTCAACAGGCCGCTGTCGAAAACTGTGAGGTTCAACGTCCTGAAGGTCATCCCAGCTGGATCCACCGGCGGCAGCGGCGGCAAGAAGGCCTTCACCGCAGCATGAGCTTGTACTCGCATTATTCATGGGTAGTTTATAGACAGATCCTTTTGCTTGAAGTCCTGGCAGGGCTGGTGTTTTGACCCTATCGATTTGGATATTGTTCCCAACAAAACGAAGTCTTTTCATCAGAACGTGTTTATGGAATCTACTCTATGCAAAGTTTTGTTAAGATGCCTGTTAATGCTCGATATGCTGTGATCCTTGATTTTCCTGGCTGGCTATGTGTTCGCTTGTTTGTTGTGTTTCTTCGAAAGAGTATTGGTGGATATCCTGTGCCTGTGCATGACTGAGATTCTGAATAAGGTTTTCCCAAACCCAAACCTGACCTAATTCAGTTTTTTTGACAAGGCTTGAATCTTATAAGTTTATCAATGGACCTGACATCTTCCTATCGCACCTAAGCTTTGGGAGGATGCTAATATCTGGTACAACGTTTACATTTCACAATCAAACACAACTCTGAAATGTTCGAATATCTGAAATGTTAGCCTGGTACACCATTTACATTTCACAATCAAACACAACTCTGAAATGTTCACCTTTGTCCTTCAGAGAATTAGAGTTCAGATCAACGAAAAATGTTCAGTCTCGTATAACTGCTACAGTCTTGCACTCCAAGACGATGCGATCGACCACAAATTAACGAGAAATCACTGCCATTTTTTTTTAGCATAGACGATCCATCAAATGAGTAATGCTTGAAGTTTAATTCGCACGAAGTGCAGGTTGGGGTGATGATTGTTAGTGGTAAAGCTGCAAGAACACCGCTCTGAGCTTCTTCCCGGCCGGAGTTTGGGCCTTCTTGGGCCGATATTTACGGCCCATATAGAGAGGGGTGTATCTGCATCGCTAGGGTTTGCCTCCGCGCCGCTACCTCCTTCTTAGCAAAGCCTCGTCTCCACTCCCCTCCCCTCCCGCCTCTCCGGATCCCCCGCGCGCCGCCGCCGCCGCCCGCCCGCCGGTCGATACCCCTCCGCGGCAGCCATGGCTGAGCAGGTAAGGCTCCTCCTAGTCTTACCCTCGAGCTTCTCCGTCGCTTGCTTAGGGTCAGTTCTATGGTGTCCTTGTTATGTGACTCGGATCTTCTTGTCGGTGTTGCTCAGTGGTATTGCGTGATTTGGCCTGGAATTGTAGGGAGTGAAAACTGGTTTGGTAGCCTTGCACATCAGTATGTTGGTCATTATTGTCGATTGTAGATTTGATTTGGGGTTCTAGCCTAGTCTCATGAGTTTGTTGAGGTTTTCTTGTTAGATATGGGAGTAGTTGGGCGGTGGGTTTGCATAGTACCATTCTCAACTCTCACTTGATATGTTGTGACTTGTGAGCCATGTTCATGGTAGCAAATGCCAGGTGCAGTTTTGTGGTTAGTGTGGAGCTTATCTGTTACAGAGTTAGATATAGGTTTGTTATCTTGTTTCCCATTTGTTCATGCAAACGAGTGATGCAGGTGGTTCTAGCAGATTTTGTGTAGTATTGATGTTTTACATCCATTCCTGTTGTGCAGACTGAGAAGGCATTCCTGAAGCAGCCAAAGGTTTTCCTCAGGTAGGGTTCTGCTGCTCCTTCAATCAATTATGTACTATTCTGTGAGCAATTCACACGTCTTGACAATGTTTTTCTGCTTGATTTTAGCTCAAAGAAGTCTGGCAAGGGTAAGAAGCCAGGTAAGGGTGGCAACCGTTTCTGGAAGAGCATTGGCCTTGGCTTCAAGACTCCCAGGGAAGCAATTGAAGGTACAATAGAGTCTTGCTTCTTTGTTTAGCTGTTACCAGAATTCCAATTCATTACATTTTAGATTCTTGCTTACTATCTTTTGTGTGCTGTAGAGAAGAATTATGGTTTGTTTTACTGTTACCACTGAAGTGATTTGTAGTGCATTATGAACATTAAAAATTGTTTCTGAAAGAATCGTTGCTTGTCATCAGTTGACAGTATTTCTTAAATTCTTTTGATACACTGTTGCTGGTATGTTTGACTAGTAATTTAAATGCAGCTGAATAATGCTATTTCTTTTATGCTAATTCTTTCAAGTACTGAGCAGTTGATTAATTACAATTCCTTGCAGGGACATACATTGATAAGAAGTGCCCATTCACTGGAACTGTTTCTATCAGAGGCAGAATCATTGCTGGAACATGCCATAGTGCTAAGATGAACAGGACTATCATTGTTCGCAGGAACTACCTCCACTTTGTGAAGAAATATCAGAGGCAAGTAAACAATTATGGATTCTACTTATGTTTCTTTTCCTTTTTTTTCCCCATTTCTGACTTGGGTTGCAGGTATGAGAAGAGGCATTCCAACATTCCGGCTCACGTCTCCCCATGCTTCCGTGTCAAGGAAGGTGACCATGTCATCATTGGCCAGTGCAGGTAAAACTTAACTCCCATACCTTAGTTTTTGACTCCTTAGAATCATCTTAAATAACAGAGGTGCTATTAGTTCAAACATTGTCAGTTCACCCAGCTAGTACTATGAGATTTGGTTGCTGAAGTACAATTTCTGCATTTTCAACAGGCCGCTGTCGAAAACTGTGAGGTTCAACGTCCTGAAGGTCATCCCAGCTGGATCCACCGGCGGCAGCGGTGGCAAGAAGGCCTTTACCGCAGCCTGAGCTTGTACTCTCATATTCATGGGTAGTTTATAGGCAGATCCTTTTGCTTGAAGTCCTGGCAGGGCGTGGTGTTTTGACCCTTTCGATTTGGATATTGTTCTCAACTAAACGAAGTCTTGTCATCTGAACATGTTTTATGGAATCTACTCTATGCAAAGTTTTGTTAAGATGCCTGTTTTGCTCGATATGCTGTGATCCCATGGCCGTGTGACTCGAGAATACTTGCTTGTTCAGCGTTTGCATGACTGAGATTCTGAATAGGGTTCTCTATAACCTGAGCAAAATCAGGTGTTCAATGACAAGGGGACCAGCTTGAGAAGTTTATCAGTGGACCTGACATCTTCCTGTCGCACCTAATCTTTGCAAGGAAATAAGATACTCCCTTAGAGCAGGTACAATAGCAGGCTATAAATCAGCTGCAAACATATTTTAAGCAGATAAATGAGGAGACAGAAGGGCAGCGGGCTACAGATTTGTAGCCAGCTGTAGCATGGACTCCAAGACGCAGCGTGTGTATGACAGGTGGGACCAGATATTAATAGTGTAGTATGTAACTATTCTATGAATGAGCTAATGGATTAGCTATAGATGAATTGGAGCTAGTAGTGGGCTATACTATTAAACTTGCTCTTAGTAGTTCCAGAATATAGCAATCATGCATGCTATTATCCTAGTATTTGGACGTGTCTAATCTGGTTTTAGGTTACTATATTTTACTAGGATAGAGGAAGTATGAACTTGCGAATGTTGACCTGCTAGGCTGCTACTCCCCCTTATCAAAATATAAGCATTTCACCATGAGATCACCATTACTCTCAGGATAAAAAAAACTGAGATTACCATTTCACCATGAAAAACACAGCTCTGAAAATTCGTCACCTTTTCAGTAAGAGTTCAGACATGCAATTCTCGTATGATCGCTTCCCTCCACTCCTGGCACCGATCCAAGACGAGAAATCACTGCCATTTTAATTTGCATAGCGTGATGATCCATAGTCAAATGCCAAATGCTTTTCCAGTTTGATTCGCGCGATGTGCAGGTTGTTGTGATGATTAGTTGGGTGTTGGTATAGCGGCTAATTAAGCTGCAAGAACACCGCACTGAGCTTCTTTCCTGCCGGAGCTCCCGGTATCCTGCTGGTTCCCTGAATATTCAGAGAGTTGGACAGTTCAAATGCATGTTTCTCTGAAATGAAATCATGGGCATTCAAAGATCTATATTGTTTTGAAGGGGGAAAAAACATCTACAGATTACATGGGAGCAACACAGGACTACAGGAGAAACCAAAATGGCACTGCCACACAAATGTTTTTGTGTGAAAATCAAGATGGCCTTAGAATTTTGGGGGCTACATTACAATACTCACAGATGACACAACATAAAACAACCCGGCCAATATCTGAGGAGCTCACTGAACTGTACAGCATCCATTCATCCCATGACATAGGGAAAATGGAAACCCTGTGATCTTTTTTTTTTTTCTGTTTGAGATGAAATCCTGCAATCCTTTCTCTGCCACTGTTCCACAAATTTGAAGTTACAGAGCTGTTTGTGTCACAGGTCACCTAGAAGGAAATCTCACTCGGCGCATGGAATGTCCGTCCGCGGCAAATGGCTTCCAAGTTTTCTCCAGCATAGGAGCTAAGTGGAGAAACTTCCACACCTACAAGCAAAATCAATCATGACAATATTAGTAAAAGAAAATATCATTTTTCCTTGTTTTTTGTTCTTGGCAAGTTTCTGAATGTATTGGACAGGAGAAAATTTACCTGTCATGTACAATGGGACAGAATGGGTCAAGAAGCCACCAGCAGCAACTACCCATCTACTATGGAGACGAAGCAGCATCAGCTTTGCGCTATCAGGGGTATCATAAGACGCGCCATTCGCATTCTTTACAGGCGCAAATTCCTCCTCCCGCAAAACCTGAATTTTCAGATATGTATACCGATGAGTTTCTCAAAATCATAACAAAAAGACACAGCATGACATCTAGAATGTTATAAGAGCATAGGCGACTGAGAAGTTGAACCTCAAAAAGTGCTGTGGATGGGGAGTAACTGAACGCGTCGAATATATACTGTTCAAGCTTCAAGCCCATTGCGTACCCATGGATGGAAGGGATCTTCTTCTCAGCAAGATGATAACTGGACACAAAAGTTTTGTAAATTTCATGTGCTACAAATACAATAGAATGAATGATGGAGCTTGCAGTTTTAAACATGGCTCTCACTTTCTTAGGAAGAGTAAGAGGGGCATAACGAGAAAATAGATAACTACTGTAATTTGCAAAGAAAGTAAACACAATGAATTCCTACTGCTTCAGACTTAAAACAGTTATAGAAGCACTCACGTACTGTCCTTCTCAAGGCTGTTTGCTACTTGATTCAAAAAATCCAAAGTGAACATATGCAAGCAAATCTGCAGTGAGATAAGAACATGCGGTTGTTATACACCTCAAGAGAAAGTGCAACCAGGAGGGATTGAGAAACAAAGGATAGAACATACATTGCTCCAACAATAACGAAGGCGTCCCGTTGACTGATTAATTTCAGTAGCCATAGCTGCGTCCATTTCACTATACTCAACTACAGAGAGAGGTCCACCACGTCCTCGTCGAACAAATACTCCAACATTCTCTTGTGGGTAAGCCTGTTCAGCATATTATTTACTATCAACATGGTGCATATTGGATTAATGATATGAAGCATGAGAAGTATTTGACTGTACCTTCCTAACAACCTTTGCAGCAGAAGATACAGCTTTGTCTATGAAGTAACCTAGGAACGTCGGATCAGCAACGCGGACCTGCATACATAATATTGATAAGCGAATGAGGAGAAAACGCAGAAGGTTATATGGATTATCCTATGGGGAAGTTAATGTCCTCACCAGTGCATTGTCAACCCCGTAGCAATCTACATACTTTACACCCCGTGAAGACATATCTTCCAGCAACCTTCTGGACTTGAGGGCTGTAGGATGTTGCAGTAGTGAAAACCAGGCATCAGAAATGACCATGCAACACTACAACTAGAAATACAATACATCTTTTTGGGAGATTACCAGCATAAACTCCACCATTGCCATCAGGAGCCTTTGCTACCTGGTTTCGAACAGAGCATGTGAAAAAAAAAAAGAATGCCATCATTTAACATTTTAAATAGGCAGCATCAAAACAATATTTGTAGGTATCACAATTGCACTTGAATTGTGAGATCTCAGACCATGTGTCAAACTCGAAAATCAAGTTGTTACAAACCGCAGTATCACCTCCTAGTAATACAAGATCAATCAGTGGAAGATTAGAAAAATAATAGAAGATGGTACCTTGTATGGTGTCTCCATAATAAATCTGCCATCAGCAGAAACACATGGAAGGGTGCCTTGTTGGAAAAATGTCACCTGCCAAGAAAATGTTCAGCTGTTCAAACCTACCTATTAAACATTACTAGTGAATGGGGGATCCTGTTGGATCTTTTGTTGAAATTCCATTGGAATAGTTAACACAAATGAAAAAAAAAAGTACTTGATCTTACTTGGTCTGCCTCTAAGCCAAAGTATTTACGGCTTTCGAAGAATTTGCGAGTGATGTCATCGGTGAAGGGGCTGGTCATTATATACCAATGAATAGGTACGGTGTTATTTGGACCTGCAAGTTATTTCAAATTTCAGGGTAAAGATGTGAAACGAAATTAAAAAAGAGAGTAAAATTGTGGTTAAAAGACATTACTATCACTTGATTGAGCAGCAAGCTTTTGAACACACAAAATCCGTTCAGCTTGGAGTTGGAAAAGCGACTTTCCAGACGGAAGTCCGATACCTAAAGGGCAGAAATAAGAGGTTAAAAATAAGCCATGATATATACATAGACAGAGTTGGACCAAGAATTATCGAAAAGAGCAACTGAGCAATTCCACACTAATATGGATGGATAGAGATAAACTAGAATATGTCATTTCCTTTGATTAAATGGCATTAAGGTGATGTAGACTACATTTATCATTATTATTACACTCTAAAATAAACAATCTGAGAGCTATGAACAAAAAAGATTGTGTAAAACAGAAATAATTCAGAGCACCTCACTTCTTTTTTTGGCTCAACAAATATCCATACATTTGTGCGTACAAACTCAAGTACTAATATACAAAGATTGAAGTGGAATCAACTTACTGAAACATCCTTTAGGATCAGAGCTACCAAGCCGAGTCCCCTGCACATACATGAAAAGAAATTAAACCATAAGGAGGCTGCTTCTCAATGCACAAACTATAGAAATTGCAAATTCAGGTAATCTTTCCATCAGAGCACCTGACCACCGGCTAAAAGGACGACGGCTAGCTTCCCCTCCGAAATGGCCTTCAGCCCCTTCTTCCACCACCGTTCTTTGTCCTCCGGCAACCTCTCCTCCACCTTGGACACGCTGGACTCCGGCACCGGCTCGACGGTGGGCAAAGTGAATCCTGCACTTAGAAAGAGCATAATCACACCATAAAACTAAGGCAATTACTGATAAAGTGTTCTCGGTACAGTTCTATCATCTTGATGTAATTGACTGAGTTCATCAAAAGCTTCCATTATCTATAAATAAACTAAGGCAAGTGCGATGATAAAAAAATACAATTAACTAATGTTCTACATTGGAAAGATAATTGTTCTTTCCCTTCAACTGAGAGACCTCTCACCTTGTGATCCAAGGGAGCGCCGGATGATCCGATCAATCCTTGAAAGATCCAGGCTCTGAAAAAAAAATGCAGTATATGTAGCTCCATTGGTCACTGTCGAAATGGTAAGCTCAAATGACAATAAAATCATGCTGCAGGTTTCTCTTGAGCTATTGTACAGTGTAAGCAATGCAGATTAAGACCTATGGAGAGCAGATAAATAATTGGTCACACTGGCAACAAAGCTGTGAAAGCGTGAAGTAAATTATCACTCAAAATCCAAACTCCTTTTCCCCACAAACCGCAGTAAAAAATTTCAACTGATAAATCAACTCCTGCAGAATTCACACTTAGACCAAAAAACCACATTCAAAGACCAGAGCTTACAGGCAGAATTCCGGCCAAAAAAGGGGAAAAAAAATCAAACTTCTTATGCAGAGTTCGTCCCTGACAAACAGAAACGGACAGAGAGCTCCCGACAGAAAACACAATCTCCAATCGAAAGTAATCAAACACTTCGACGCGAAATTCACGGCGCAAAACCGAATCTCTCTCTCTCTCTCTCTCTCTCTCTCTCTCTCTCTCTCTCTCTCTCTCTCTCTCTCTCTCTCTCTCTCTCTCTCTCTCTCTCTCTCTCTCTCTCCCAACCCTCGCAGCCGCATTGAGCTCACTCACTCGCTCGCTCACCTCGATGTCCCTGACGAGCAGCTCCCGGTCCTCGGGCGAGAGCTCGTCCCAGAGCGCGAACGCGCCCTCCTGCCCGTAATCCTTCATCCTCTCCAGCATCGCCTGCGGCGGCGCCGCTCCCCACCTCCCCACCGCCGCCGCCGCCGCCACCGACCCAACCACTATCTCCTTCATCCCTCCCCCTCCCTTCTCCTCACCCAAGAAAGAAAATGGTGGGACTAGAGAGAGATCTGTGACTGCAGCAATGGCGCGCTGCGCAAGAAGAGGAGAAGAGATGGAGGAATGCCAACTCGGACGAACGGCGAATCGGATGGATGGATTGTTCTTGGATCGCCGCCGGCGTGTGCGCGTGTTCGCGCCCTTTATATACCTCCTCTGATTGCGTGCGGTGTTCAGCTAATTTTGCTTCTCTTCTCTCCTCGCTGACATCGAAAGCACAAGTTTTTTTTTTCCTTTGACACTTTTTTAGCAGTTTTTTCATATGTGTGTCAAGGATTAATCACTATTACTTAAAAAAAGAATTGGTGGGAGATACGAATCCCTCCGAACATTTTTTTAATAATTTTTTCATATGTGTGTCAAGGATTAATCACTACTACTTAAGAAAAAAGAATTGGTGGGAGATACGTCGCTCCAAATATTTTTTTTTAAAAAGAAACTTATAAGTATGTTAGGGATTGAACACCAGATCTTAGGGTTAAAACTACGTATCACTTATCACGATGCTATCAAAATGTATCTCACTACTTTATCTATTAATTATTTCATCTACAGCTTATCAGCAGTCAAAACACCACTAAACAAAAATTGTAGTTAAATTGTATTTATAGATTTAAAGCTAATGCTGAAAAATGAATGATTATAAAACATCAAAGCACAAGTTTTTTTTTTATTTTTTGAGCAGCTTCTTTTTTTTTAAAGATAGTAGAAATTTTAAGAAACACTGCCAATGATATCACAAGTGACAACCATAAACGCTCTCAGTCTATGCGTGTTAAGGATCAATCGCCTCGTATTTTGTCTATTAATTTTTTTTCTCGAGGTACTTTGTGATCTACTACCTCCATCCTAAAATATTTGACGCCGTTGACTTTTTTAAAAATGTTTGACCGTTCGTCTTATTCAAAAAATTTAAGTAATTGTTAATTCTTTTTCTATCATTTAATTTATTGGTAAATATACTTTTATGTATACATATAGTTTTACACATATTATAAAAGTTTTTGAATAAAACGAACAGTTAAACATGTTTAAAAAAGTCAACGGTGTCAAACATTTAGGGAAGGAGGGAGTATTAATTACTCCATCTACTTCAGAAATCGCCGGATTAGAGGAGAAGAGGGGTTAACTAGCCGGACATACAGACTGTCGGTCACACGGGTTCAGGCACCAGCAAACAGTGTCAAACCCCTCGTGACTCCTGCAGCAACAACAACAAAGAAGAAGAAAATATATTTTATAATCTATTTATCCATTTCGTTATTAAGAGCACCTCTTGTTTAGGACATAAACACACATGTATTATACATTTATACCCCCATTCCATGATTTCCATCTTGTACATAACCTTCACAACTCATATGTGGGACCCCAGCAGCAGCACCCTGGAATGGGCCCACATGGCAGCGACAGGGTATTGCAGATCGTCCGAGCTTTGAAAGCGAGCAGCGAGGCTGAAGCTAGCTAGAAGAATGGTACACTCTCACTCACAGGTGAGCGTGCCACTGTACTGTGTGTACACTAATTGTCCTGGCAAAGTCTTCTTTGGAGGTTGCTCTTGATGGCCCAGACCTACCTCTCCCAGTTGAGTGCTCTGAATCAAATCAATGTGGCATTCATGATCTCCTGTAAAAATCTTAACAATACAGGTCCCATATATAAATACCCCATCATGTATATACATCACCATACATTTTGTATTAATTGTATAAAAATGTATAAATGGTATGTTCCTCTCAAGAATACGTTCAATCGTACTTGTTCAGATACATAGTCAGAAATATTTATATTTTAAAGAAGAGAGCATTATGTTTTAAGAAATTGATCGGCATGCGGATGAAACATCGGTTGATAGATCATGTAAGAATCAATCACCGACTTTATATACATAACAAAAATATTTATATTCTGGAACGGAGAGAGCAGATCATGTTTTCAGAAACCGGTTGGCATGCAGATCATCAGATGAAGCTTCAGTCGGCAGATTATCATGCAGGAACCGATCACCGACACCAATCTGCACTGCATATATGCTGGATGAAAGGCTTGCAATCCAAGTCAGGTTCTGTTCTTCTACCCAAAGGAAAGCTGCTTTCATCTTTTTCTTCCTACTGGTTGATACATCCATTCATCCACTAGCCACGCAGGAGCTTTTACAGTCTCCTTTTGTCACTGCATTGCTGAATGATGCATTCTACTGCATACTTCAGAGTTGCTTGCCTCTTACTCAAGAGTCAAGACCAAATCAATCCTGAATTCTTGATGTGAAACCATGAACAAACATAAAAAGATATAGGTAGATAATCGAAAATCATCTATACTAATATAAAAGATGATAGTGATGGCGGACACCCAACTGTCATGCAGAATTCAGAAACGATAAACGGGCACCAAAAAAGTAAATATATTAGACAATATATATAATGGGTTATTTTTTAAAAAAGAAATCTGTTAGTGGATAGAAGAAGAACATGTACACCGTATCTATCAATGTTGGTTGGATGCAGCAAGAAACAGGCTTGTGATCAGGTGTGCATCACCAACCATGCATGATGAACCAATAGTTTGGTGATATGTCGCTTGGGAAGAAGATGAATCAAACTGGCAGGAGGGCAATGCCGATAGAAAGGAGTTTTCTGTCACCGGATGGCAGATGCAAACCTCACACCGGCAGGCAGTACAAGGCACCAACAACCAACCATGCAACCATGCATATGCATGTTTACATTACTCTGCTACTACTAGTCTACTTCTCCCTCGTTCCATTTTAAATGCAAGAATAAATTTTCGTGCCCAACTTTAATCGTCGACTTATTTAATTTTTTTAAATTAATACTTTTATTATTATGAGATGATAAAATATGAATAATACTTTTTACGTATCTTATGTTTTTTTAACTTTTTTAAAAAAACTTTTTAAATAAAATGGACGGTTAAATGTGTACATGAAAAATCATGACTGTCTTTTCAAATGGGATGGAGGGAGTAGTAATGTAGTATACTCGCAGATTGGATATGATGGATATGGATCAGCCGACATTGGTGGTCAGGCTGGAGAAAGAGAAGTTGTGGTGCTTCTCGGGGCTTTGACACATTTGCTCTGCAGGCACGCAAAGCATACATGCTCCTTGGAATATAATCCCTTGAAGAAAACAGAAGCAAAACTTGATTCATAGCCATTCTGTATTTATTATCCATGGTAAATGTCACATGGAGAAAGCCAGAAAGAGAGAGAAAAAAGTCTTGCTTGTAACGTGGGAATTACTTCTCTAATAAATATTTTCTCCATTTCATATTACTTTTTTTTCTAGTCAAGCGTATCTAAGTTTAAATAAGTTTATAAAAAAAGTAACATGTACAATATTAAATTGGTTTTATTAAATCCAATTTAAATACGTTTTAATAATATGTTAGTTTTATGTTATAAACATTGTTATATTATCTTGTAAATTTGATCAAACTTTAGAAAAAAAAATCAAAACTTCATGAAACGGAGGGAGTAGGTAATATGTGACAATAATATGTTTCAAACGCTAAGCACACGCTTATTGAAGACGGGGAAAAACATCTATGGCGGCATCTGAAAAACATCTACGACAACACGCTTAAATACTACTCCCTCCGTCTCATAATATAAGGGTTTTTGAGTTTTTGCTTTTACTATTTGACTACTCAAAATTTTAAAATTATTATTTTATTTATTTTAACTTACTTTATTATCCAATGTACTTTAAGCACAACTTTTCGTTTTTTATATTTGCACAATTTTTTTTAATAAGACGAGTGATCAAATATTACAAGTAAAAACTTAAAATCTATTATATTATGGGACGGATGGAGTAGTATTAAAGACTTTCTGCTGCCCCCACCCAAACCACAGGTTCTGAAATTAAAGTAAAAACGATTCCAAAGAAGCTTTCCCGTCGGTCTCCAACCTCCATCATTTCGTTAATCATGGGCCACAAAACACCGATTTTGGTCGCCATTATCGGAGCTAATTAATTTAAAGAGGTTTTCTTTTGCTGTTATGCCCAGCTTTAGCTACCTAAGCTTTGCATTGTGGTGTAAGCCAGTGCTGCACTGACTCACCATACTGTACCCAATAGGTCTCAAGTCGCTGTCATGAAAGCTAAACATATAGTTGCAACAAACCTGACCTCTGAACTAGATGACATTTTTAATTAATAACTAACACCAAATATTCTTTGGAGCTTAGGTATTTATAGGACCAAATTGGAAGAATAATGAGTAATGGGCATGAATAATTTCGATTGGAGGCTTTTCAGGCCAGGACTGATTTTTTGTCTGAATCTGAAGATTACCTGCATGTAAAATCTTGATCTGAAGATTAGCTTCAAGTGAAATGTTGCCCCATCGTTTTACTTATGATTATAGTTATAGCCAAAATTTAAATTTTAAAACTTTATTCTAAGTTGATTTTGTTGTTTTCTTTATCTTTGTTTATTTTACAATATTTGCTTTTGAATTGCTAAGTACATGTATATAAGAAAATTATGTATGAATTTTTTTAGTTACTAATAAGCTTTACAAATAAGTATAAGTATAATCTAACAGAATTTTGTACAAATTAATAGGATTAATATTAGCCAGCTTTTCACAACTTTTGACAAGAGTCAACGTCCGCTTTTCTTGGATCTTTGCTACTGTTGATCAGTACATTGCCTTGTTTGGTTTTCTGCTGTGAATTGGGGCCTATTCTGCACTGTAGAACAGCACTGTTCTTCCCAAGCAAGAAAATTTTCTTCTTTCCCCTAAAAGAAGTCAAGAAAACTTCGTTGTCGGTGTACCAGAAAGCCGTAGAAGAACTGTATAGCTAGTACAAAATACGCAAAGAGTAAGAAAAAAATGTACCATGAAAAAATTGACATCTGAACCAGAAGTAACAAATAATGCCTAGTTGATTAGCAAGAAAGTCTCCACTGGACATGCCCAGAGAATATGCCTGCTGGTGAGCTTAAGGTAGCTTAGAGATGTGGATTAGGGCATTATTCTGTTAAAAGTTGCATCTTATCATGAGATAGCATGGGGATATTGGGATCATATTGTATCAGGAAGCATCTTTAGCCCATAATGGAAGCTGCAACTTCAGTTAGTAAACCAGCAATCATAGAGTAATTTCTATCTATATACTCCATTTGGAGGTCAGGACTTTGTCAGCTGCTTGCATTAGCTATGAACTTTCATGTAGCTTAAAGGTACTACTTGTCAATAAAGGACTTTGTCAGTGTTTTCTCAGTCAGACTGTATCACCTTAATGTAATTGACTAAGCGTAGGGCCGCAAGACAGCCTATATTATCATCACAATATCATCTCCAAAGGTTTCAACCACTACTAATAAAGCCTAACAAAGTGCAAGTACATCAAAGTTTTTGCATGAAAATTTTGACTTGCAGTGTTACAGCTAGTGGGTGGGCCTCTCAGAAGGGCAAATCCTTTTGCTGTCTGATCATTGTTCTGGACATGGTTTGTCAAGGACCACAACTCCACAAAAGCACAGATAAGACCAATGATCTGTACTTCCATGGCATCCAATGCATCTCCCAACAACTGGTGTTGGTATCAACAATTTAGTGCCCAACCAAAGTATGGAGAAACCAAAATGAGAGCAGACACAAAAATGCCAGCCATATATTCGAGTACTAGAATTTGGCCTTCTTTGAAATGGAGGAATTTCCCAGGAACTAAACTGTTTCCGGTGAAAATCCTGTAAAATTCATCTGTTCCAAAGATGTCCGTATAATCAACACAGTATGTGCACAGGAACATTTGAGTACTTTAAAGGCTTTCTTTGGAACGAAAGAATTTCGCAGGAATTGAAACTATTTATTGCGAAAATCCTCTAAAATTCATATGTTCCAAAGGTGTGCGAAGAATCGACAAAATATGTGCACAGGAACAACATTTGAGTACTTGAAGGCCTTCTTTGGAACGGAGGAATTATGCGGGAACTGAACTGTTTCCTGTGAAAATTCTGTAGAATTCCTGCATTCCAAAAAAGTCCGAAGAATCAACACAGTGTGTGCACAGGAACAACATTTGCAACTCCATCAAACAAGAAACTCAGGACAGGTAAACCAGAAACAAAATTTAGGTAGAACTTAGTCCAATGCACATTGCCATATCAAATGTCTAAGCTATTATTACATGTAGTAGTAATACACATGAAGGGTCTTTGTGCTGGCAGAGCAGTGACCCTGAGCATGACAATCTGGCACAGGCATCTGCATACAATCAGCATCTCTAGTCTGCACTAATGATACAAACAAATGAATTAGTAGTCAGGTTACTACACAAATTCAGACAGACAGAAAATAGTGTCCAGTTTAGCATAAGATGGGGGTATATTATTAGGTTATTATTACTTATTAGTGACGAACCATCTACTACAGTTCCAACAAGATACAGTCTTTCTTGCAACATGCATCCTTGTCAAGGTACCTAATGAGGAGTTCTAAGAAGCCTGTGAGGCTGGTTAGTCTTTGGCTTTCTTCTGATTTGCTTTTGCAGGTGAGAAGATTTGCCACATATTCCCCAGATGGAACTCACTGGGGAGGAAACCAGCCACTGCCGTAGAACTTATCTGATGGCCTTGGCATTGGCATGCCGACATGGTCGACTTGCGCATGGTTTCTACTACCATCATAAGCAGAAGAGGAACAATTCGGTGTCGTCCCTTTGTTCATGTCCTGTGATGGAATGAAGTCTAGAGCAGGGATGTCACCTGCAAGAGTCTTGATCGCAAACTTGAGGCATGGATCTGACCAGATACTTCGCAATAACGATGAAAGGGCGGACCCAGGCATAGCATCAGCTGTTCCAGCCTGTTGAGGATGAACAGATGATCCTTGCATTTGCTCGGTAGCTGATGGATACTTGTTTTGAGGAATTTCAGAAGCATTTGAAGTATGTGCTCCATCACTCTTCTCAGGAAGTACAGAGGAATTAGCCTTTGCTTTAGGACTTTTGGTCAACTTTGGTTGTGACTGATTAGCAGTGTCTGTGTTTGTGCTGAGAGCTTCATCTTTGGGCTCATTATTGCCTTCTTGGTTAATCTTCAGCGCAGCTAAACGAGGTGACGCTCGAAGAGGTGTAGAGATCTGTTTGACAGGTTTAGTTTTCTGTTTCTTTTCCTTGGGCTTATGCTCCATATTTGCTACTTCTCCTGTGGAAGATTCATGCTCCACGGATTGATTCGGAACCCTTGCCTTCTGAAGCTTTAACCGTGTAAGTTTCCCTTCGGACACACCCTTGGGCACTGATGATGACATATCTTCAGAATTGTCTGAACTGTTTGCATTTACCAAAAAATCACTCCGTGCACTATTACCTCTTGCTATTGGTAGATCACATTGAGTAGCCCCTTCACCAGCATCAAGTTGTCTGTGATCAGATGGTCTTCGTGTCTGAATTTAATGAAACAATGATTATAAGATGGGGACAGTAATCAAACAGAAAAAGAAACAAGGAAAACAAATGTAACAAGCAAAAACCCATCCAATTCACTCACGTACAATACATTAATACAGCAGAAATCACATGGTGTTGATTTAGCATTATAGTTGACAGAATGATTTAGTATTATTCTCTTTTATACTTCAAAGTTTTAGTGAAATATAGTTATTTTCACTGTTTATAAGGAACAACACTGTTTATATTTAGATTCATACATGGACTTAGTACTACTGAAAAACTCTCTCTCTTGAATAATGTAGCTGGCAGCCTGGCACTAGATTTTTTGTAAACATATAGACATATTACAAATTAGATATACCACTAGAATAGAAAAGGAGCATACATGATGAGATTGGTTTCTTGCAGTGTGCAGGTCTTCCATTTTCCTCTTATTTTGTATCATTACACAATTAGTAACATCTCCAGATTCAAGATACCGTTGAACATCCTTTTGAGAACGAAATTCATACATATTGGTTGGATCAATATAGAACTGCAGTGATAAGATGGACATACCAGTTAAAACTACAGAACAAAAGGTTAAAACATAAAGTAAACAAAATGATGTCAAGCAAATAATAGGTTCAAGTAGACCATCTTATGGCATAAAACGAGAGCTTAAAAGGTATTGTAAGAAAACAACTCAAGAAAAGTTGTAATCAATTTGTTATCAACAGAATACATTCACTACTAACTTGTTAGAACACGCCAAAATTATTTTAGTGTGAGGCTAAAACCAAGGTGTGAAGTTAGCAGCTCTCATTCTTCATATTCATACTGTCATAATTTCAAGGTTGAACAAAAATATTCTGTGCAAAACTGACTAATTATTTTTATTGCAGAAAACATTGGTGAACTGCAAGTTGATCATTACCATGCATTAACTCTTCACATTCTTATGCTAAATGTTTGCATAAACAAAGGAAAAAGATTCACTAACGAGTAATTTCTCCATAATACTGTAACGTAGGCAGTTGTTAACCAAACAGAAGACACACGGAGTATCACAGAAAATACTGCTATGTTTAGTTAATTGAAAAGAGCTAAAGAAAAGTCCTTGGTTCCACAGAAATTTACTCGAACATGTCCTGATATTAGAATTGTGTTGCAGAAAGGTTGTTCATTAACTTGCTCCATCACATTGCGGATGTTGACAGCTGGCAAACAGCAATGCAATCCAACTATATATCATCAGAGTATTTGATAAATTGCTTCTGGGAAAGAAAGGTAAGTGGTCTAGACTCCACTAAATGAAACTGCATAAATTCTAATGCAGATGAGAAGTCAAGGGGTTGCTTTGCATCTAATCATTAGCAGCCACTTGTTCTTTCAAGGATTATCCTTGGCTTGCTTGTGGAAGAGACATCAGAGTTCAGAAGGACACCAAAAATGTGCATGACTAATTTTGAAACATAACGTATTAAAAAAAGGATCAAGTTTGGTATTTTCATGATTTAATCAAAAGGAACTACACTTACCGTATCACCCTTGACTCTAGACCCAGATTGGTTCTTCCGAGGCCTGTATTCTTTCAACCATCCATGAGGTAACCCCTCCCCAGCAGGCTCAATCTTACCATCGGCCTAAGGAGTAAGAAAGCAGTAGGAAGTAAACAAAGTTGTCAAAAATAAATTGTTACAGAAATGAACTAAAATGGAAAGACATTTAAACAAAAAAGGTCAAAACCTTCCATACCGTGACAGCAGGTTTTGCCCTAACAATCCCACTTCGTGTTATACGATGAGAGCCCTCGTTGGAATCCATAGTCTATTTCCCGTTTTGATAATGAAATCCACAAAATCCTGTTTATATGGAACTTCCTAAGTCATATAGATATTAAATATACAGTACATATGTTTTTGTAACTGACTATAAGTATGCGTTCTTGTGAAGTTTATTCTAATATGTGAAAAAGGTGGAGTTTATTGAAGGAAAAATGGAAGCAATCGAGCTGTACTTCGTTGAAATACATTGCCGGGTCGGACAAAAGATTGGGTGACCTAATTTCATTAAGATTGGGGGACTTTATTGAAATACAATGCCTCAAGTCTTCTGCAGAGAAACCCAGAGGCATAAGGTTGCCGGTGCACTACAGAGAGTCATTACATAATATGTACATCGTGGACTCGTGGTTCAAACAAACAAGTGGGCTCAAAATAATCCAGGGAAACTTATCCAATCTCAATTACTCCAGCTACTAAGATGGGCAAAACTTAGAGCTTTGCGGGTATACGGTACACATAATCCTAGGACGAGCTTTTATTTATATTTTTTGTCAAAGCAAAACTTAGATATGACTAATTATTCCATTTCAATTAAAAAAAACTTGCTTGAGGTCAGCTACCGAGTTTCATAGAGCAAGAACAAGCTTATAGGGTTAGAATCACTCAAAAGAACGAATTTAACCCACAAACCTTTTAACAGTGTAAAGACCTAGCAACTATTTATGAAATTACTAGTATTGAACTCTTTCATTTTCCCACAAAAAAAGGTTTTTTCCTCATCCCTCCAACCTTTTAAAATGAAATCACGCTATCATGAAGCGTAGAAAACCAAAAAATTCAAGTAGAAAAAAAATAGTCTTGAGGTAATAACTTACCCAATTCACTGAACTCGATCACATATTACAGTCACAAAAAAAAGCTACTTTTGCAGAATAGATCCAAAAGCAAGAAGCATATCAAGCTCCATGCTAGCAGCAGTTACTGTTGATTCACCACGAACATGCAACTAAACCTCCAAGAAACCCACAGAACTCCCCGTTAATCGTAAAAAATTTCAGCTAGAACAAACTATTATCCACCAATAACCAACTCAAACTGATTAGAGCTCAGGATCAATTGAACCAACCGCACAAGAAAAAGTAGTCGTCGTTAGTAATAGGCAAGAAGCCGAGCAAGAACTCACCACTACGGCCCGGCCGCTGCCGCCATGGAGCCGGGAAGAAACAAGCAGATCGAGGTCGTCGAGGAGGCTCACGAAGAACAGCAGCAGCAGCAAGAACACGGTAGAAACCAGTAGAAAGAAGGCGATGTGGTTCAGTGGTTTGCTCTACCTCTACTCCTCCACGCACTAGGGACTAGGGAGAGCTTTTTCTTTCTCTCTCTCTCTCACTCTCTCTCACACTACACTACACAGAGTCTTCTATCTCTATCTCTTTCTTTGCTTGTCTCGTTGCGTCTCCTCCGCTACTACTACTACTAGCAATCTCCTTCCTGTGAACGTGATGCTATTGCTATTGCGATTGCTGCCACTACTACTCACTCATGTGTGGACTGTGACGGTGTCCTTGTAGGAGTAATAAATTTGATTGGCAACCCCCCCGGGTTGATGATGAATGGTGGACGCCATGGCCGCGACAGTCGCAGCAGCAGCAGCAGCAGCGTTGGATAAAGAGGAGAGAAAGGCATCTGTTTTCTTCTGCCTTTTTTTTCCTCTCTCTCTCTCCTAATGTCTGATTCCTTTTTCTCTCTCCTTGCTTGTACACAGTACAGTACAGTGTGGTACTACGCCAGTACAGAATTGGTGAGATGTTTATTATTGCCTGGGTTAATTAGGCAAAATGACCCGAGATTTATGCAAAATTTGGGGTCTTTTTCCGGTGTCGAATCGTGCTACTACTCCTTTTTCTTTTTCTTTTTGCCTTCTTTTTGGTGGTGATTTTTAAGGGCTTCTTTTAAGTCAACGTGCCTTCGGCTTGTGGCAGCTTTGCTGCATCACTGCTACTGCTAGCAGTAGCATTCACTTTCACTCTCAACTGATATCCTGCCAATTCCAGGTCAGCTGCAATCAATCTTTGTCATACAAGATGAGATAGCAGATAGCCCTTGATGATTCTGCAAGAAAAAATCAGACCACACTCACACTCCATTCTTCTTGCCATCAATTATTGGCAAGAAGAATTCTCTCACAAAATCACACCTGCTTTCTTTCATGAGCAAGCAAGCAAAAGCAGAGGCAAGGCAAGTTCAGTCAGGTCATGGGGCAGAGGTAGACAGCCAGAATAAACAAGCAAGCAAGCAGATCAAAGCACTAATCCAGACGAATGAGATGCTCTGATTAAGCAATCAAAAGTAGAGCAATCACTGGGATGAATAGATTAGTGTATGCATGATAGCATGAGTAAGATTGCACAGGGGAATCCAGTTCTCTCTGTATCTGTGCTGCATAGTGATATGGCTGATCACTTGATGATGATCATCAGAGAGGAGAAATTTGCAGATGTGGACACTGGAGTGCTGGACCCCCTGTTCTTCCTGTGCCACGTGTTCGACGTGGAAAACGATGGATCGCACGTTGTTGGTAGGTGGTGCCAAACCCCAAAGCCCAAACTGTTCCAGTCATTGCAACTTTTGCAAGAGATAAGAAAACCGTACAATCAAATATTTTGTTTATGAACAGAATTGCCTCCGTTCCCTCTCGTGATTTCGTGAATTTCTTGCTGTTATAGAAAACCTCGCAATCAGGATGATACTCACGATGCTTCTTGCTTTCGTCATCCCTAAATATAATACTCCCTCTATCTCAAAATATAAAGAATTTTGGTTGAACGAGATAAATCCTAGAATTACGAATCTTATATGTCCACCTTCCTGTCTAGATTCGTAGCTATGTTATATTCAACTAAAATCTCTTATATTTTAAAACAGAGACTAACTTCTAGAGTTTTTATTTCAAAATATAATAATCTAAGTATTGGTGTAAAAAATGTTTTTTAGCAGAAAACTATGTCTATGTGTACCGCCCTTACTAATCCTTGGTGACCTCAACTCATCTGGGCGTGCACCTCACCTACCCGAGGAGACAAGTCTTTTTATCTCTCTACTTACAACCATGTAAAGGCTAAAATTTGCCACCACATTTTAGGATGTTTATTTTTTAAAAATATTATAGAAAAGTTGCTTTAAAAAATTATATTAATCTATTTTCCAAGTACAAAATAATTAATAATTAATTAATTATACGTTAATAGGCTAATAGCTCACCACCTCGTTTAGAACACAAAAATCCTATCTCCAGTTTCTAGCTACTATGATAATACCCCTTATTAAATGGTTTATAGGTAAAAGTGAAGGGTAGTTGAGGGCAAAATAGGAAGAATTTTGAATGAGAAGTGATTAATGAAATCATTATTACTCTATTGTGACAATTATTTTAGGATAAATTTAAATTTAAGAAATACAATTATTATGGGACAAAGGTAGTATTTTGTTTTCAAGTTTGAGGTGTACTAATAACTTTATTAAAACTATTTTTACAGGTGTGCTAGCTATAGCTTGTTGCTAGAAACTGACATGTGATGCACATCTGTACTGCTCCAAAATATACTACTACGTTTTCGAACTGATAGAGTGGTAAAAAAACAAACCTTGCTCAAGGGCTTGAACTTGAAGTGCATGCCTAACGCCGATCCGCCATTGAGTGGAATGCCATCATGCCATCATGTTTGTGTCAGAAGTGGAGAATTCAGAGAAGAAAACAGAAGAAGTTCAGAGGACAGCGAAGCGGTATCCCTCTATTCCGAACTCTACTCTTCTTCTCTGAATCCTCTGAACATTTTTCTCTGAACTTCTTCTGCTTTCTTCTCTGAATTCTCCACTTCTGACAGTTTACCGCGCCATGGGGGGCTCTCGCCGTCTCCGGCCTTGCTGGTCGCCGTCGTGGCGAGCCCGGTATACCTTGTAGTACAGCTCGGCGCGGCGAACGTCATGAGCGAGCGCCGCCGCGCCNNCCGCGCAGCAGCAGCAGCACCGTAGCGGCGAGAGAAGAAGGGAAGCGCGTCGCGCCCGTCGATGATGTCAGCGTCGAGCACGCAGGAGCCGCGGCCTTTGTTCAGGCCCATACAGAAATGGGCCGCGCATAAGCCGAACCGCCGTTGGCCAAATTTTTATATGGGCCCGGCCCGCTCGTCGCCCAGCGAGGCGATTCCGGCCGTCGCGCCGCCGTCGCCGGTCTGAGGAGTACGCGGGACGCGGCTACGCTTCTTACGCCTTCCACATTCGAACGGTGCTAGTTCACTCGTTCTTGCTACGGAGAAATTTTTTGGTTTTTGAATTCATATGCATGCAAAGAAAGGAATAAGTTCACTGAAGGTCCCTCAACTTAACAGCGAGATTTTTTAAGGTCTCTTAACCACAAAACCAGAAATCTCCACCCCTAAATTATACAAAACTGTTCACTCAAGGTCCCTAGACAGTATATATGGGTGGTTTCGCTGACGTGGCACTCTAGTAAAAAAAAAAAAAGTATGTAGGGCCCACATGTCAGTGTCACATTTTTTTTTCTTTTCTTTTCTCCTCCTCTTCTCTTTTCTCTCTTCTCTCTCTCTTCTTCTTCGAGTGAGACCGGCGGGCGAGCGAGCAGCGGCGAGCGGCGGCAGGCGAGCACGGCGGTGGGTCCGCGCGGCAGCCGAGCGTGGCCGGCGGGCGAGGCAGCCGAGCGGCGGCGGGCGACGGCAGGCGAGCGCGGCCGCGCGGGTGGAGCAGCGATGGGCGGGCAGCGGGCGAGCGTGGCGGCGGGTTCGCGTGGTAGGCGAGCAGCGGCGGGCGGCGGTAGGCGAGCGCGGCAGGCGGGAGCTAGAGAACCCGAGAGCGTCGCCTCCGGAGCGAGCGGTAGCGCCGACCGCGCCGCCCTATCTCTCGCCGGAGCGAGCGGTAGCGCCGGCCGCCTCTGTCCCCCTCTCCGCGCCGCCTGGTGGATGGACCAGCGCGCCCGCTTCGCGCCGCCCGCCTCTCCCGCCGTTGCAAGCGGTCGTGCCGGCCGCGTCTCTCCCCATCTCCGCGCCGCCCGCCTCTTTCCCCCTCTCCGCGCCGCCCGGTGGATGGGCCGGCGCGCCCGCCTCTCTCGCCGTCGCGTGCGGTTGCGCCGGCCGCCTCTCTGCCCCTCTCCGCGCAGCCCGGCGGATGGGCCGGCGCGCCCACCTCTCCCTTCGCTGCTCGGCTGCCGCGCGGACCCACCGCCGCGCTCGCCTGCCGCCGCCCGCCGCTGCTCGCTCGCCCGCCCGCCGGCCTCACTCGAAGAAGAGAAAGAGAAGAGAGAAAAGAGAAGAAAAGAAAAGAAAAAAAAGATGTGCCACTGACATGTGGGCCCTACATACTATTTTAATTTTTTTTTTCGCTGACTAGGATGCCACGTCAGCGAAACCACCTATATATACTGCCTAGGGACCTTGAGTGAATGGTTTTGTATAGTTTAGAGGTGGATATTTCTGTTTTTTGGTTAAGGGACCTTAAAAAATATCGCTGTTAAGTTGAGAGACCTTCGGTGAACTTATTCCGCAAAGAAATCACCTGTTTGTTTGGTTTTTTTTCCTGTATAGATGAATAGATGATGGAAGAGATGCACTTAATAGTGCAGTGATAAGGTTGTGTGGTTTCAAACTTAAGGTCCCATGTTAAATTCCCAACATACTTATATTTTCTTCTTAAATAATGTTTGGAATGACTTCGGTATTTTACCTTTTTTTTTAATATTCTATATAGTTGGCACCAAAAACTTAACATGTATTGAGTCATATCATCTAGAAAATAGTAGCCTTCAGATCTCTCTCATGCTTCGATCTGATCCATTCATTTGTCATATGCATTTACAACTCACTAATTACACCCCCCATGAAAAATGACTGTTTATTAATAATTTACAGTTGCTTCTCCCTAAAAAACATGTACAGCTGCCTCCCTCCCTCTTCCATGGAGCCCTACTCCTACACAAATTAAGCCGGAAAATGCGTTTCATATATAATATATTTGGCCAACATTAAGCAAGCTCTCATGGGGAACATTGAAGATCACACTGTTCTCCCTGCAGATCTTCCTCATGAAGGCATACATGTAATTTACCGCGATCTTCTTGATGATCCCCGAATCCCTCCTCGCGAGGACGATGGTGTTCCCGAGGATGTGGACGACACCGGCATCCTTACACCGGTTCAGGAACTCCAGTTCATCACTGACAGTGTGGCTGGCCTGGCTTGAATACCTCAGTAGGCTGTTCCCCCTCAGAGGTGACTGCACTGGCACAATGGAGTCCTGTGATGAGTAGCTCAGGTCACCATTGGAGCACATTGTGTTGTTGTTGGTTTTCTCAGCCAGAAATGCATTGCTGATGGATCCCTCCGTCCTCTGCTCCGGCACACTGAAGTCATCAGAATCGGAATAGCCCTCCATCATGCTCTCGAGTCGCAGGAAGGACAAGAGGCAGTTGAAGAGCATCTTCTCAAAGTCCTCATCTTTCTTGTGGAGGTCTTTGTACCCGTACCTCGCAACACAGCGGAAAATGTGGAAGTTCTTTGGCCCGATCCTCCTCACGAGGAACCGCTCATCCATCGGGACGGTGTACACTGGAAGGTACTTCACACAGACGAAGACGACAACCGAGTGGATTGCAGGGAGGTTGGTGATGAAGTGGGAGAAGATGTGCGGGACACCGCTTGCCAGTTCAGTGTACACAAAGCCTATACCTGGAACCCTGACCAGACCGAGGCTCGGACCGAGGCCAAGGATCCAGGCCATTGAGACCTTGCTGTGCATCTCAAATTCATACCGCTTCACTGTGCAAAAATGCCACACATACATGATGATGAAGAAGGCTGTGGCAATGACAAGTGGGACCCAACCACCTTGATCAATCTTCAATAAGCAGGCCGAGAAGTAGGGGATTTCCACCATCAACGAAAGCACAATAAAGGTGACAACTAGAATCCAGTGACTCTTCCACACCAGCAACATTATTGGTACCATCAGAAATGTTGTGACTAGCATAACTATAACCACCGCAGTTCCTGTTCATACATCATAAAATGGAAATCAAGAGTTGACTAATGATGCAATGCATATTATATCATGAAAAATCAGTATCAGCCTCTCATTTTCAGGAAAAAAAAATTGGTGTCACTAGAAGCAGTCGTATTGGTTTAAATGGTCTATTTATTTATCCAAATTTGGCACGATATCTACAATGATGGAAATTTGGAATTTATAGTTTTTGTACTACATCATCAGGGATTTGTATGTGAATGTCAGGTAACCACCAATCATGGCCAGAGTCAAAATGAAATATAAATGGTTTTATGAAAGTACTACTGATTAGCACAAAGTGTATTAAAATGTTTTTGCATATAAATGTTGCATTGGGATGCTAAAATGGCAGCTCCATGGCATGCCAAATTATTCAAAAATATTATATAAAAGGTGAAATGTTACCATATGCATTTCCTATCTGACTTTGGTTCTTGAATCCAGCAGTCACAGCAATGCAAAGAATTAGAAGGACCCAATTGATGTCAGGGATGTAGATCTGCCCAAGGAATTTCTTCGAGGTGTGCACTATCTTTACACGGGGAAAGCAGCCTAGTGCAAGAGCTTGCTTTATTATCGAGTAAGTCGCAGATATGGTGGCCTGGCTTGCAACTATTGCTGCTGCAGTTGCTATGACAAATGCTGGCCAGTATATGGAATCTGCAATCATTAAACACATCTCACAGTGAGCACCATATTACAAATAGGGCCATAAGCAATACAAGCTATCAATATTGGGTTGTGCACTATGCCAATGTGCACCTAGCAGACATGATGTGGTGGCACATTCACATTCTGTCACAAGACAACTTAGACAAGTGGAAAGCATGGATGAACTATTCCACAAAAAGGTAGATGAAAAGCTGTTGAGATGAGAGAACCTGGAATGGAGCGATAAAAAGCATCAGCAACATGGTCCTTGTGGGCAATGATATAAGCAGCCTGCCCTGTGTATGCCAGTAGAAGGCATGGGAATACAATCAAGGTGAATGCAATCTGAAAAAATAGACATGTTTACTTTAGTTAACCCGCAATTGCATAAAGATCCGGTAATGCCTTGCTTAAAATATGTTACCTGAATGGCAAATACAGGAAAATGGCATAGATCAGCAAATAGTGCTTCAGTTCCTTAAGAGGACAACATTGTATTGCATGTTACAATGGGTTTTACATAAGCTGATGCAGGTAAACTCTATTACTGAAGAAAGGGCCTCACCTGTGATGCTTAGCATGATTCCTCCAAGAGAGGCCCAGCTATCAGAATTTCGTCGCTGGAAATACCGGTATATATAGACTGGATTGTATGCTTTTAGCACAGAGCCTTTATATTTGTGTATGTTCAGTGCTCCGACACTTCCAATTAGAATGAACCAGAGGAGCACTATAGGTGCAAAGAGCCATCCAACTTTGTCTGTACCATAGTGTTGCATGCTAAATAATCCAATTAAGATGATCACGGAAACAATTACAACAACATCTGCCAATACAGGGTAGACCAAAGATCAAACAAGTTTGCAACATCAATCAATGCAAAAGAAAATAATGATTATTAGATTGGGATTTTGGAATCCTTGTTAAGATCGTGAAGGATCATGCATTTGGGACAATAATAATGCATAGAAACAGATATAAATGTCACTGACTTACTTCCATCAAGGAAGAACATGATTTTACTCAGTATATACAGAATTTACAATATCCAAGAATTTGATAGACTATAAAGGGCACACAGCATTACCAGTACTCATATTCGGATTTTGAACTTTTATTCCACCTGATGCAGAAAGAACTGGAACACAAAAAAGATCATAAATCAGATTCAAGATGCATTGGATTTTCTCAGAAGAATATGATGCTGAGTATTGATTAAAAAGAAATTAAGATGTGTACCTGATATAGCAGGGGTAAGGATTCCATCTCCAATAGCTGTACAAGTACCAATGAGAACAACAATAAGAAGACAATTTCTTTTATATGCATGCGCTTCTAGCCATCTTTTAATTTTTGCTCCTACTGAATTCTCCTCGTATGTTTGCCGACTATATGTCGTCAGGTCCTCATCAGTCTTGTGTTGGTTGGGTATAGTGCTAATCTTTGCATGACGGCATAGCAGGGAATAAAGAGCAAATGTGCCACCTGTGAGGATAACAATCTGTAAGTGGTCTTCTCTGAAAATATGTAACAAGTTATCAAGTGAATAATAAGCAGAATTGCGCAAGCAACATTTGTTTGTAATATCGAGAACAGTCAAATGGTTTCAGGCTACAATGTTATATGCTACTTAGATTGTAGGAAGATCAATTATCTAACCTTGACCATTGTCATTTGCCCGCAAGACAACAAAAACATACTTCAGAAGAGGAATGAGGGTAAGGGTGTAAATGATCAAGGAAAGAGCACCAATAACATCCTCTTCATCGTCTACTCCATGAGGAAAGGCATTATAGAACACATACAATGGTGATGTACCCAAGTCACCAAAGACCACCCCCAGGCTCTGAAATGCAAGCCGCAGTAGCAAAAGCGACGAAAACTTCTGTATTAAGGAAAAACAGTCAATACAAATTACTGATTTACCAGCTCAGTTACTTCAATTAGAACAGTATAAACATCCAGTTTTTTCATGCCCTACAAATGGCAAACTAAATATTCGTGCAGTACCATCCATCTAAGCAGCAAATTCATTATCTAAAAAAGTTAGTAGTGAATCTGCCAATGAAATGAATTAGTCACATGCAGAGACCGATCTTTACATCTACTTCAGCTATTCTGAAAGCCCTCATTTGTGCAAAACAAATCGACTTTCATACGCTAATAACTGAAGAGAAAGAAATCTCAGACCTTTTCTCTGTACATATTCTTCAGCCTGCTTGCCTCCTCATCCATGGGCTGATCAAGGTTCTGATCCAGCTCCCACATGCTCCCCCTATTTGTCCCCTCGCTCTCTGACAGCGACGCCATCGATCTCTTTTCACCTCAGCTACAGCTCCTCCTCAAATCCTCGTACCAAGCACACTCCCCAGCAAGCAAGTCCACTTCAGTCTTTGCAGAAACCAAAATGTAGATTTATCCTAGCAATAAGCATTCGGCCTCCAACAAATTCAGGTGATCTCACACACAAAATTCGGACTCAGTGTCCACAAGAACACCTCCACCTTCAATTCTTCAATCAACAAAACGATTGGAGCTTTAGCTAATCAGACAAACACTTGAGCTCCCAACGAAATCTCCACAGTACTAACAGTCCTTCTGTACTGGAAAAATAAACTGCTTCCACACCTTTGATAGCGAAAAACTTCAGAGCCTCGCAACAAACCCACAAAAATGGATCTCCGAAGCGCCAAGAATCACATCAAAAGTACTTCAAACTCAGAACTCCAAATCCTGTCTGCCACAGGTTCCTATAACCATGAAAATCCCAGCCAAAGAAAACCCAATCTTTCCACCCCAAAACCTTCGCCAAGATCAGATTTTTGGCACCGGCAACAACAATCCCCGCCACGGCTCCGACGCAGTCGGGCTCTAACTGGCAAAACGCAACAGCCGCGACAGGGAAGAGAGCGACGAGGAGGAGGAGGAGGAGCTGAGGCGGAGAGAGCAGCGGCGCCCAGCCAAACGGGAGGAGAAGAAAAGTAGGCAGGAAACGATTCCAGAAGCAGCATGCGTTCTCTGCGCAAACACGGCTCCTGGAATTCAACCGCTTCTCTGGATATGGATTTGCTGTATTGCAGTATTGCAATTGCAGCCAAGGGAGGAGAAGAGAGAGGAGTCTTCTTCCTCCTTTGGCGCTTCTTGGCTTCTTTCTTTGCTGGCTGCTGGCTGCTGGCTGCTGGCTACTGCTGCTGCTTCTGGCTGATATAAGCCTTTGGTTTGTTTGTGCCTTTCTGAAGCTGTGAAAAGAACTAAAGATGCTGACCTGGCAAGTTAGTAATTACTACTTACTTACTTGGTAATTAGTTAGTGATTATGATACTAGTTAGTTAGTTAGTAATTGGTTATTGGTCCTTTTGGTTTGGAGTTACATGAGCTTCTGTTTTGTGTTAAACTACAAGTAAATTTTGGTTCTTTGTTTGTTGGTACACAGGTTATATTGTTGCTTACTTGCCAAGTTGTATTATTCAAGAATTGTTGTTTGACTTTGTTTGAGTTTGTTCATGTGTTGGGGATTTTTTTTTTCATAGTACCTTGTGTCCTTGTGTACTGGTCTGTCCACATCGGCCAATAGTTAGTGAGTGGAATTCCATTTGATATTTAATTTGGTGATCTGCAACCCGAATCTTGCTTACTATTTAATTTGCAGCTTGCTTAAGCAGACACGTTTACTTAGTAAATTATGTTAATCGTCTATTGTTTTCATACTTCCATACACCTATTGGTACTGCCGGTGAGGTAAAAAAAATGTTTCTTGCAACTACTTCCTCCATTTCACAATGTAAGTTATTTTAGCATTTCTCATATTTATATTGATGTTAATAAATCTAGATAGCGGAGGGAGTATAATTCATTGTTTTTCATGTGATTAGCTTATTTTTCCTAAATGATAAAAACATGAACAGTGTCCTATATTTGCATGTCGCCACTCGCCATCCATGTTAACCTGGCACGTCTGAATGTCTCCTGAATTGAATCAGTCCAAATTAGTAATTCAAGCAGAACATAAATGCAAAGAAAGAAAAATATGTTTTTTTTTCTAGAGCATTCAAGGAGAAGGATTTGTTCACAAAAGATTCACATCTGATGCCTCCTTCAGAGAAACTACTGTGAAAGGTTTGTGTACGGCCCTGAAGCCGTCTCACCGGATTGTAGGAATCCTGTTGTGTTTGTGTAGAGCCATATATTCTCCAGAGAAAAAGTGCTGCAATTATGCAAGGGAATTGGAATGGAATGCAACATTATTACTGCACAATAATGCAGGGGAATCGTGCTTAGCGAATTTATTCTCGGTGACTTTTCTTCAGGTTGAAACTCTGAAGCAGTAGTGATGTCCATCAGAGTGTTCAGTAATCCTCTAATATCAATAAAAGTTCCCTTTATCTAAAAAGTGATGGGCATCAAACCAGGTCTTGTACTTTAAACTTTGAAACAAATTATTCAATAAATTATTATAGCAGATATCTACTTAACTGTAGGAATAAATTAAATATTTTTGTAAATCCTAAAAAAATATTTTTAGAAATAAACTTAATAGATAACTTAGAACATGTGGTTCAAATAATGTAGTAGAAGAATTTATTTTTTTAGGAAAAGGAGACATATTTCAGAGAGAAGCAAATAATCCACCGTAATAATTTACTACTAGTGAAGTAACAGAAAAGAGCTGATGCTCAATTGAAAGTTTAGAAACACATACAGACAACAAACCGGTCATTGCATACGTTCAGCTACTACGTTACGTCACAGCTCAAAACTGAAGCATTGGACTGAACAATGCACATCACCAGGTATTTATCGTATATCGTATATGTTTGCTCTTATCCACATCAACATCCCCGGAAATGACCCTTCTGCCCTCCCTCCTTCCTGAAGGAGGCATGGTACAATGAGGGCACCGGAAAGTCTGAAAGACACTAGCAAGTCATGAACAATCTGATGGCCTCTCTGAACATATAAAGCATGATAGTGCCACTTTGCTAGTAGTGGGTGGCTGTCATTCTCTGAAAATGCAAGCTTGTGATATGCTCCACCACCATATAATATGCTTGTTCTTCCATGATGGTGAAATAGGGTGTGATTATTCCTCTCACAACCAGCCTGTTGATATTGTTCTCTGATCACTGATCCTTATCCTTTTCAACTTTGCATTGTGTGTGTTTGTGTGTATTTAGGTTGGGTTATAAGCTATCTAGGCAACTACTGTAGTTTGGTGCATAAGCTGTTCTTAGTGCTAGTGCAGACATCAAAAACTTCTTTCCCTGTTTCAATAAAAAAAAAGTGTCAACTTCTTCTTTAGAGACAAACTGAAGGACAGGAATGCTTGTGTCTTTTATAGAGGTGGTGGTGTTAGGTATAACTCACACTGAACTGTAGTTTTTTTTGTTTTGTTTTTTTTTTACTTTGCAACATTGGGACCAATAAATTAAATCTTGCTGCACTATGCTGGAGTAAAAATTATTGTATCTCACAAATAATGGAGAGGGACCTTTTGCAATGACAGGGAATTGTGCTTATGACCTACGCGACCTAATTTACCAACTAGCTAGATAGATAGTGTTACTTTTACCAAATCATAATGTTGCAGTGTAAGATGATTAGTGCATGTGTCTTATTACGATTCAACTTCTTGTGCTTTTTCTTTAAAATGTTTTAAAACTAATCTTATCCCCTTACTGCAAATTCTCTGAAGAAAAAATTATTTGCAATGATCAAGTGCATCAGCATCTCATAAGGGCATATGTATGCAGAACCAAACAGAAAAGGCTGGATATATTAACAAGAGCATCTTAATTATAAAGGATCTGAATTATTTGCACTCACATAAAGCTAGTACTCAATCAATAATATTTGTCACTTATGGTAGCATCAATAACCAGGGGAGTTCATATCTGAACAATAAAGAACATCATACGGCTCTTCAGATGTTGGTAGTGCATGGTAGGCCTTATAATTCAGACACTATGCATATATACACAGACAAAACCAGGAAGAACTAGCGAACGATCAGGTGAGCCAATAATGTCCAATTCATTTATTGATTGGCCATTATATTTGACCTGAGTCATGGATACAGAGAAGCATTAATCTATTAATGTAAACTGCATTAGCTAATCAATAGCTAATCTATTCATGGATATAGAAAGTCTGCCTACTTGCAGTTGTACTTTGTCTGTCTCCCATATATGGAGTACTAGATACTATTCCCCAGTTTCATATAAGTCATTTTGGATTTATACTAAGTCAAACGATCAAGTTTATAGAATAATATAGCAACATTTTTAACACAAAACAAATATATAAAAATTATATTCAATCAAACTTGAAGAAGTTTGACTTAGGATAATCCTAAAATAATTTATAAACATGAAAGGAAGAAGTGGATGCTGAATTTCAGTTTGGCACAAATTAAGAACAACTCTAGAGAATAATGCTTATATTAACTATTATTTTATTATGCATGTACATCGGGATAATATATTATATATGTGATTTTACAAAATTGAATGAAAGGTCAAATGAATGAGAATCCCAGGCTTGCCATCATTCCCTCATGCACGCCATACATTGACTTTTATACAAGTTGGGTCTTGGCCGTATTTTCGATTCTGTACCCAAATATAGTTTTTCTATCCTCTATCAATCATCACCAAACATAGTTCAGTACGAAGATTAGCACTAATCTAATTAGCAACACTGTCATCTGATGCGTGATTAGGATTATAAGCGTGGTGGTCAGCTCAGGAATCAAGAAAAACTTGTGAGCTTGTAGTGTTTATTTTATTTTGCCGGTCGGCCAAGTATCATTAAGAAAAAAGGGGTAAGGAGCTTGTAGTACTTGTGGCCAGCTTAAGATGCACATCTGAATATGTCATGCTAAGATATTTTTTATTATGATAATATCATGACCAAATTGTATTGTTGCAGACAATGTTACTGATTTGTAAAAAAAAAAAAAAGTGCTTGCCACGTAGTGTATGTATGGGCAATGTTTTTCCGAACTAATCAACGTCACTTTCGCTGTTCCTTGTTGACAAAATAGCTTAAAAGGCTTAAAAGTCAGGACTGATCTGTCTAGACAAAAAGCACGACGCTATCGAATTAATATGCAATAAAAATAACTGTACTAATTTCGATCAAGTAAAAATACTGTATAGAGTATTATTAGCTTATCAACGGCTGCCACGTATCGTGGGTTACATCTATTTTTAAATATATGATGTTGATGAACTTTAGATATGTTGATGTTTGACCATTTATTTTGGTAAAATAATTATTTTTTATATTATTTATTTATGACTTGTTTTGTTGTTAAAAGTACTTTACATGCATATGACTTATGTTTTTCTATACTTATGAATAAAATGAATAATTAAACTACGCGTTGTGAGCCTATGCTATGTGTTTCTAAAATAAAATGTTATACCTTAAAGGCGGAATTTTTTTCCCCAAGCAGGAACGTCTGAATTCTATCCAAATTTCAGTTTCCTCCCAAACTCAAGCCTCCTCTCACCTGTAAACTTCGGACCTGTTCAGATTATAGCTAAAATAAACCTTACCAAATTTTGCTACAGCTAAAATTTTGGCAAGTTGGCAATATTGCCAAAATTTTAGCAGAATTTCTTATATATTTACTAAATTTGGCAACAAACTAAACGTAGATATTTTTTTACAACTTAAAAAATGATATGATTGAAAATAACATTAATATAAAGAGCCCCTTCAGTTTCAGTTCTTTCATATAATAATGAACTTCCCTTTCACGCAGTCGATTACGTGGCACATAACGATATACGTCTCTTCATGTGATCGATCTGGCATCGATCTCGATCCTCGATCTTGATTGTCGATGCGATCTGGGTCAAGTTGTCTTGTACCTGAAGATAAGTCGATAATGTCGCCATTGTTGCCGCTGTGCTTGAGACAGTACCTTCATTCAGCCTCTTCTAGATCAGCCTGCCGCCCCCCTGCAAATCAGAAACCTCCAAGCATCCATGATACAGATTGATCAATTTATTAAGCGTGGACCCTGCAGAGACAGATCGATCGATCTCCAGACTCCAGAGAGTGAATGAAACGAGTGAATTGAATCATGAATCATATATCCAGCTGATCGATCGATATAATGAAGGTGAGTGTGTTGCATACGTTTGTGCGATACGGCCATGAACTGACAGACAGCATGGCTGAAAGCCTGAAAACAATGTGTGCGACATGTATCTTCCCTGTCTGGACAAAATTGGGAGATGGTAGCATGTAACTACGTATGAACTGGTGAGACGAACGCATCGCCTGTACTGTAATGCGCAGTACAGTGGTTAGAGCGACTCTGGACAGCGATAGGTGGCATCTGAATTCTCACCGCGCACGAATATCCCCTTGCTGCAGCCACACAAAGAAAGAGTGACTCATCGTTTACCCAAAAGCTGGATATAAATCATAACGGTTTATTAGCGATTCAAAAATAATTTATGAGTAAAATTTTTATATATGTGTTCTTACCAACTTAGAAAGTTAATGCTGAAAAAGAAACTACGTTACAAATATCTTACAATCAACGATAGGATTAAAATTTAAAATTTTACTTCGGCATATTTATTTTAAAATTTTAATGCTAAAAATGAAACTACTTTGTGTTACAAATATCTTAAAATCAACTTTAAATTAAAATTTAGAATTTAACTTTAGTAGTATTTTTTTAGGCAACCAATGGGGCGCTCCCGAAACAAAGCCGTGTTAATGGGCTCCCGCATGGCGTGAAACTGACCGAGCCGGTGGGCTCACGAAGCCCGATAATCCCAGCCCATACTCACGCTCCCGGCCGGCCCATCCATGGCCTAGTAAGAGCGTTGTATAGTACTTTGTGGGCCTCATCTTCTTAGTGGGCCTCGGATTCGTCGTCTCCGCTTCTGGGCCGGCGGCGGTGTGGGCCTCGTCGTCTCGTCCCCCCCCCCCCAACGACGAAATTCGAAATACTAAGGAAGATGAAAGCAGCAAGGCGGCGAGCACCGGAGCAAGAAGCGGAGCGAGCAAGGTAGCCGGCGGCATCCGCGTCTCCTTCCAGGGATTCTTGGGGGGCTCCGCTGCTGGTGGTGGTGGGGGAGGGATCGAGAGGATGGCCGTGGAGTCGCCATTCAGGGCGGATGTGTTGAGGGGCAAGGCGGCGCTGGTCACCGGCGGCGGCTCCGGCATCGGGTTCGAGATCGCCGCCCAGCTCGCCCGCCACGGCGCGCACGTCGCCATCATGGGCCGCCGCCGCGAGGTCCTCGACAAGGCCGTCGCCGCCCTCCGCTCCCACGGCCTCCGGGTGAGCCCTAAGCCCCTCTCCCTTCCCGCCTACGCTACCTACCACTTCTTCTCTATTTAGGATTAAAAATTGTTTGTTTTTTTTTTCATCTCCCAGTCAGTCTCGTGGTGCTGCTGGTGAGTCAAAATCTCGATAGAGAGATTGATGTTTTCTTGTCTGAGTCCATCAATAGATCCGAGTATTCGTGGGGGAAGGCTAAAACCTTGTGAGAGTTGCTAGCGTTAACGCGTCTATATACGAGGAGCATACTGAAAATTTTTCTGAAGCGTGCTCGCGCTGCATATAAGGATTCCTCATGACTCATGCAGATGTGATTTATGCTTCATGTTCATGTGCCTGACTAGTGAAATAAATATAGAGTTCATCATGCTTCCCTCTGATTTCAGTGCTGATCTTTGGGGGTAAGCTAGTCCTAATCTGTAAGTGTAACCCTGTAGTAATTCTGGCTTGCTGTCACGTTCACAGGCTGTTGGTTTTGAGGGAGATGTGCGCAAGCAGGAAGATGCCGCGAGAGTGGTTGCCGCAACAGTTCAACATTTTGGTAAGCTAGACATTCTTGTCAATGGGGCAGCTGGCAATTTCCTTGCTTCCCCGGAGGATTTGACGCCCAAAGGGTTCAGGACAGGTACTTCGATTGAATCAATCCTCGCACATTAGCAGCATTAGTTATGATTTTCTTTTGTTCCATTTAGATGTTATGTGATTTTTCTAGTTTGTGCAGTTCTGCTAGTCTGGTATCTTTCAACAACACTCGTGCTATTAACTTGTCTAAGTATCTAACAGCAGTCTACTTGAGTTCTTGATGTTTTTCTCTTTTACAGAGAAGTTAGTATTGACTGGGTTTTCTCTCTGCAGTCGTTGACATTGACACAGTGGGTACATACACTATGTGCTATGAAGCTCTAAAGTATCTGAAAAAGGGTGGCCCTGGGAAAGGTCCCTCTACTGGTGGCGTCATCATCAACATAAGTGCTACTTTGCATTACACTGCGGCCTGGTACCAAATTCATGTCTCTGCTGCTAAGGTACTTGGATCTTCTATTATCTGTGACGAGAAAAGGATTGAAATAAGTAGACTTGTCCTGATGGATTGGCTTCTGTAGGCGGGCGTTGATAGTATAACAAGATCATTGGCTCTGGAATGGGGAACAGATTATGACATCAGGGTCAATGGAATTGCACCAGGGCCAATTGAAGGCACTCCAGGAATGAGGAAGCTTGCACCTGAGGAAATGGCCAAGGGGAGTCGGGAAATAATGCCTTTATTTAAGTTGGGTGAAAAATGGGACATAGCTATGGCTGCACTTTACCTTGCTTCTGATGCAGGTTAGTTATGTTCTTGCATGTTTTCTATCCAAATAATCAGAAGTTCCATTTGCTAACTGAAGTTCAGTAAGTTCTGAGCAGCTGCTTACCTGAAAGTTATCTTGAAGCAATTGCTTGCTTGATAGTTATAAATCTAAAATTATCTGCTATTATATTGTTTGCCAGCTTTGGTCAAATAATGTTCAACAATAAATCAGTGAAGTGATGCCTTATTTTCCAAATGAAAATTTTGCCATTTCATGTTCTCTACAATTCAATTTGCAGGAAAATATGTAAATGGGACTACAGTGGTTGTTGATGGAGGTCTTTGGCTAAGTCGCCCTCGCCATATTCCGAAGGAGGAAGTGAAGGAGCTCTCAAAGGTTGTCGAGAAGAAGGTTAGGGCCTCTGGTGTTGGTGTGCCATCAAGCAAATTGTGATGTCCTCTATGGTTTATATCGCCCTCCTACGTGTACTGTAGAATCCTTTACCGAGGAGTCCCGTAGAATACTTGGATGTTGCTATCACTTGTCATCGAAGTTTTCTATGATTCTATCTATCAACTCCTGTAACATGCTCAGCACATTCACCTTGTTCACGCTCGAGTTAAACATTTGCCAAAGTGGTTCTCATTCATATTGTATCTGGTAATATTGCAATCAACTTTGAATCGCAACCAAAAGATGTCCATCACTGAAATATTCCTATGGCATGTCAAAAATGCACACTTAAACAAGTCGAGGACCATTTCATACTTTTGATACATGATAAAATGCTATGTTGAAGATTTGAACTACTGCCTTGTCTTCCATGTTTCATAGAGTCATGAACCTATTTAAATGTTGAATTTGGGAAGAGTATGTCAAAATGGACTGCCTGAAGTGGTAACCTGTAACTACTGCAACATTCAGGCAAGTGGCACACAATTTGTTTTGACAAAGAATTTGTATGCATAAAACACTAACACAGCACATAACTACTATATTCCTTACTAGGTGTGAACATGGCTGAAGTCTCTTAGAAAAACAAAAACAGATAATGACACACCAGGCAAATATGTATGAGCCTTGGCCTCCTATGCCTCAACTGCCTCCTGATAAGGAGAGCATAATCTCCTTACCATATAAGTCACTATGATGGTTCCCGAACTCCATTGGAAGTACTCCATTTAAGAGAAGTTCTGTTTTCACCTTGTTCTGCTGGCTCCTCATCATGACTTATGAATATAAATTCACAAGTGTCCTTCTGATTTTTTTTTTTTTGAAACTTAAGAAACACCTTGAGACTTTTTTTTTCTTGTGAATTGCAATGAATGAGCACCAAAAATCTGAAAAAAACCTATCCAGAGAAAACTCTGATTGTTCATCACTTATTATTTTCTTTGAGACCAGAACTGGTAAGCTCTGGGACTTACATTGGTACAAAGTGAAGATATGTACATGTGGCATAGTATGTCATATATATTGACTATGACATCCAGCAGGTTAGGTGTGTAGGGTGGACCAGAAGCTGCCTTACTGAAAACATTATTGCTTCTAGTTATTCTCTGTCTTGGTCAATTCTAGCTTGGCCTTCTTATAGGAGAAACCTGGCTGCAAGCCTGCAAGCTCATCACTTGCTATGCTCAGGGGCAGTTACCTGTCCACAGCAAGGCTGTTTCAAGCCTCCAGCATTATCTTCTCCAGTTTTTTGGTGCCATCTCAAAATACACACAAACCCACACATAAACTCCATCAGCATGTATATAAGTGCTAATTTAAGGACATACTGTTGTATGCACTAGTTCACATGATAGATATCTGGAACGTATAAGGTAGTTTAAAGTCTGTGTGCAAATACATTTTGTTAAATTGCATAAGTTTTATAGGAAGTTAATTTAGCTAAATGGCTTTATTTGCGAGTTCGATCATATTATGGTGTGTTATGTTCCTTGCTGCAATATATAGTGGGACAACCTGACAAGAGATCATCACTGGTACTGGTCTTTTAAGACTGACATAAGAATTTAGCAGGCATATAAAGGTGCCCTGAGCCCCTGAAAACTCTCTCTCTCTCTCTCTCTCTCTCTCTCTCTCTCTCGTTTCCTGAATCTGAGGCCATTTGTTTGGTACATTTCTCATCATGCATTTGAAATCATTTCTTTGATTTTGGTCTTGCTTGAGCTTTTGTTTCATGATCCATGACTAGTACATTTTGAAGAACACTTTCTTTGCAGGCTGAACAGGAGGAAAGAAGCACCAACCTGATCAATGGGGCGTGGGAGAGTAGAGCTCAAAAAGATTGAAAATCCGACAAACCGCCAAGTTACCTTCTCCAAGAGGAGGATGGGGCTGCTCAAGAAAGCAAATGAGCTGGCCATTCTTTGTGATGCACAAATTGGGGTGATTGTGTTCTCAGGCACTGGCAAGATGTACGAGTACTCCAGCCCCCCTTGGAGGTATGCATAAAGTTTTTTGTTTCAAGTATTGTCTGTCCTTTGCATTTGGTTTTGTTTTGAGGCGAAATAGAAATTTCAGACATCGTTCATAATACTTCTTGTTAAATTTCTTCGGTTTCTTCGATCAGTTCTGCTCTATTCTACAACTTTTCTATGATTTTTGGAACTTGTGTTGGAAAAAATTGTTGATAATATGCAATGTTTCATCATCATATTTTGAACTGAATTATTAGTGATGAACTCAAGGGAATTTACAACTGATTTTATACAAGTTTCTGCCACCTACAGCCATTTCAACTTAGCTTAACCATGTGAAATTCTCGAAGAGAAACCGATGATCAAATACATAAAGTCTTTTCCTTTTGGCAGGATTGCAAATATCTTTGATAGATACCTGAAAGCCCCCAGCACCCGTTTTGAGGAGATGGATGTTCAGCAGGTACACTGGTTCTTGTAAACCACTACCATAAGATTTTACTTTCATTAACCCAAAATCGTTCTTTGGCATAAAGAGAATCATCCAAGAGATGACAAGAATGAAGGATGAGAACAACAGGCTTAGGATCATCATGAGGCAGTATATGGGTGATGACTTGGCTTCACTGACTCTGCAAGATGTGAGTAATCTTGAGCAGCAGATTGAGTTTTCTCTGTACAAAGTTCGTCTAAGGAAGGTAAAAACAAAAACAACTTGATGCAGTAGCTGTAGGTTCTGTTACTTGACAAAACTCTGCATTCATCACTGCTCATTGCTAACACCCTGATTTGTAGCAGCAACAGCTACTTGATCAGCAGCTGCTTGAGATGCACAGCCGGGTATGTAACAAGAGGATATACCGGTTCAGTATTCTTCCCTACCTTATACACTATATTGAAATAATCAAGTTTTGATTGCCCTCTTTCCATCCCAATAGGAGATGCAAATTCCAGGAGATCAGAGCAACTATCTGTGCCACATGGTAAGCCATGCTCTAAGCTTTCTCCTCAAGTGAAATTATGTTGCGGATTTCTGTATTCGCGTAACTTGTTTGCGCCTGTCAAAAGAACCTGATTGGCGAGCAGGCCCAGGCACCTCTGATGGTGAATCCGAAGCCGTTCCCGCTGTGGGATGTGGGTGGCAGCAGCCAGATGTACAATCAGGATGCTGAGTCTTCCATGACAGCGCTGCAGCTTTCACCTCAGCTTGAGTACAAGCTTCAGCCGCTGCAGCCCAACCTGCAGGAGGAGGCCAACCTCCATGGCTACGTTCTTCGGCTGTGGTAAGTCGCTCTCTGCCTCGTCTTTGGCTGCTCGTTTGATCCATGGACAAGATCATCAGTAGTTTGAAGTGCCATAACTTTGCGGTTGTCATCATATGACAGAATTAAAATCCTGTAAACTCATCATGTGCTGTAAATTGTGGTTACCTGGAACTTTTTTTTTTTTGCCGGGTCGACAAAGAAGCCGACCGAAGTATATTAAGTATTACCTGGAACATTTTGATCAGTCATGAAACAGAATGATCTCCAAGAAACTTTATACATTGACAAATTGAGTTGTTATCTGCAGATTCCTAAGGACACCATGGAGTCTGGATGCAACTGAGCAACCAATTGAGGATAATGAGCTTGTCTGCCTGAATCTGCTCCAGAACTCTAGTCTAACCAGCTGAGAAATAAACTATATATACGCTTCCTGTGTTATTGAACTGTTTGGCTATGTTGCATGTAAAGTAATGATAAGTATGGCTTTCTTGTGTGTTTTCAAGAACTAATGGCTACTATTAAGGTGTGTAACGGTTATGTACAACATATATGATGACCGTACATGGTGAGAATGCGTCTTATTTGAGATTGAGCCATATTATGCCGGGGATTTCCTTATAGCAAATAAATCAGTAAATCATAAATCTGAACAATATTTCTTTTAGGTTAACAAAGATGACACACACGGGTTAATAAAGGCGGCTCAAGGTTCATTCAACATTTCTTTTAAAGATTTTATTTTATTTTGGTAAAATACTAAGTATGAAGTTTTATGTTACTGGAAACAATCTCACGCCTTAATCCTTTCCACAAGTTGCTTGGCAACAATTATCACAATATTTGGTGAGTCATAACTCATAACAACTACTCCCTCCGTTGTAGGTTAGAAGATGTTTTGATTTTAATCAAAGTCAAACTGCTTACTTAACCTTTCATATTCATATGTTTTGTACATGAATGAGGATGGATAGTACTGTGCATTAGGTGAGTTGGCAGACACCCGATCAAGATTGCAAGACCTAGATATCGTGCTACAACAATTTTGCTACACTAAATAATAGAGCTACGGTAAATTAATGCCGTTCATTACATTAGTTCACTATGCTACTTACATAAACAACAGTGATCTCGATCCGACGTCACAACGCTAAGGTAGGAATTGTTATACTTCACTCTCCATTCCCTCCCATCAATGCCTCCTCACCCAAACGACCCGGTTGCTATTTTTAGGTACACGTGTTTTTTGAAGAAAGCACTTTTAAAAAGGAAAGTAGTAAAATAAAAATACTCAATTTAATAAATCCTAAATTATCTGTGGCATTGAATTATGAAAGTAAACACTGAAAGTTTACCATTTACAAAAGTAAATGTACTACCCGACAATACTTCTCCTCGAGTAGGGGAAATAGCATACCATACTTCTTTCGCTGGGCACTGTACTTTATGACCTTTCTTCGACACAGCATCGCATTCCTCCTCTCTCAGGCATTGAGGAGTTGGCTCATCCATGCTATGCTATCAATCGATAATACGTAAAGGATCAGGTATTACAGGTAAACTGTACCTGTACTCCAAAGCAATGAAACCAACAGGGAACTCTATCGTTCTAGAGACAGACAACCAGTGCCATCCCCTAAAGGCTTAGGGATTGTTTGGCTGGGTGCCTGGGTGTTTCAACTTGCACACATAGCACCTATCAAAAGTGTGGCGAACGAAACCCTCACCGTATCTTTGGCTTAAAAATATGTGGCGCGAAGCAGCAAAGAGCCGCTTAACTTTCTTTGGTAGGTAAAACTATAGAAGCAAAACAAACAAGGAGCTAAACAGCTGTGACGTGACTAACATGATCCAAACAGCTTCTTGATGAGATCCTATAAAAATAAATAAAAAAAAGAGACGTGGTCGCTGACACTTTTTTCTTGAGAGGGTATAATTCAGGATGCCCAACAACACACACCACAACACACGCACACACGGGAGTGTGCGGGCCGAAACGGCCCGCTTAACCGGCCCAACCTACCAAATCATTCGAGCGAAAACAAAAAAAAAAACTAGAAACCGGCGGGAGGAGCCCCGGGAGGGCGGGGCGGGGAGGGGAGGCTGTCAAGTGGGTCCCACCACCGAATCCTTCCGCTATACATACATATACTACCACGAGTTCCCCAACTCCGCCACCGCGCAGGGCACGATCTGGGAGGGAGAGCCGCGTCGCCGTCGTCGTCGCCGTCGTCGGAGATGGAGCCCAACATCATCCCGGCCTACGGCTGCGCCAAGCTCCACGCCGCCCCGCCGGATTACCCCTGCGTCGCCCGCCTCCGCCACCGCCGCCTCCTCTCCTTCCTCTGGCTCCACTCCTTCAAATCCACCTTCGAAGCGTACGCATGATCGATGCACCGTGTTTTTTCTTTCTTTTTTTTCTCTGATGATAGATTTCATCCTTGTTCGCAGGATGGCGGAGGAGACGAAGGTGCTACTGTCGCTGCCGCGGCTGGAGCGGCTCATCGCCCGCGGCATGTGGGGCGAGGCCATCGGCTACGCCTGCCGCTTCCTGCCGCGGCGGCCGCCGTCGCTGCCCGCGCAGCGGACGCACCTCACCGCGGAGGCCCAGACCCTCCTCCTATTCCTCCACATGCACAGGTGCTTCGCCGACGTCGTCGCCGGCAACGAGACCGGCGCCGCCTGGTCCGACAAGCACCGCCGCCGCTACTGCCTCGCCCGTGTTACCGGCATCTCCTCCCACGCCATCGCCATCCGCCGCATTATCCAAACCTTCGTCCTGTCGGACAAGATCAGGTACTAGCAGTAGCAGCTATACATCTCCTCTCTTATTTTTCCCTTTGAACGACTCGCATCAGACAGCATGAAGTTTATATTGATAGAGTAGAAAAAAATTACTATCTCCGTTTCAAGTTATAAGACTTTCTATCATTGCCTATATTTATATAGATGTTAATAAATCTAGTCACATATGTATGAATGTGGATAATACTAAAAGTCTTATAATATAAAACAGAGGAAGTACAAGATTTTTTTTTTGGGGAAAGGAAGTACAAGATTACAACCTTTAAAGATCGTAACCAGAAAAAAGAAAAAAAATAACTATAAGATTATAATCCCTGATTAATTGTAACTAGGAAAAAGAAGGAAAAATAGCCACCACCCCCACAATGTCAGCTATATCTCCTCAGTTTGAATCTGAGATCGAAAATTAGCTAAATTATATAAAAAAGTTAGCTTAATTAATTGATTGTATTTGTTCCAGGGAGTCCATGGATTGGGGACGCGTGAGAGAGAAAGTGGTGCGGGTCGTCCGACGCTTGGTTCACGACACTCCAGAGCTCGCCGGATTCTTGGACTTGCCGGGCGGCATGGTGAAGCCGCATAACGTGCTCCCCATTGGCTTCGGGTACACCAATGCTGCTGATTTGATTACTCAAATCACAAACTTTATTCTTCATTTGTGACTGATTTAATCCGATATATTGTTTGCTGGAATTGATCCCTTTTTTCCTAGTTTCCGATCCAAGCGTCACGTGAGACAACAAAGACGGCCGCGAGCATATACTATTGCCCAGCTCTATCTTGAGATGAAGAGATGGTATGCAGCACAATTATGTACTACCTTGAGAGTAATCTCGCTTCATTAATGTTAAATCTTGGCAATTGCCCATTGTTCTGCCCTTTTTTAAAAAGCCCTTTTGTGACATTCACAAACACTTGCATATGTTGCCTTTTGCAGTGTGCCTTCTTCAGGCCAGCCTGATCAGGGGTTAAGTCTGGGTATAATTTCCAACTGTTTAAGTAGCGTGTTATCGTAATTCGTAAAACAATATTGCACCTCTTTTATTATTTTCACTGTTAATTCTTCACCTGTGACAACTGATAACCATTCATATTTCTACCACAGAAGGACTGTCAGATAAGGCGAGGGGCTGGATGGCGCATATCCTTGGTAAAACTAGCCTTCACTCTGCATATGCCATCCCTTTTTTTAATTTCCACTTTATTATGCCTTGTTCGGTTTAATCCCCATAAGAAAGGATTGAATCCCCTCCGATTCCCCTTTAATCATATTCACTTGGGGGATGGATTAACTGAACAAGGCCTTTGTAGGATTTGATTGCTCGTTCACGCGTTTTATGTTATGATGCCATTTGATTGCCATGAACTATCATAATTAGAATGTAGGTGATCTGGTCCTACTGCACTGCGTTTGAGAAACCACATGTGTACAGTATTTATATGCATGTCAACTTGTGTGATCATCAGATTCAAGCTTACGTGCTGGCTGTGAGTCTTCAGAACACCATCAATGGCGGTATCCACTTCGATCAAGTGAGAAGAAAGGTAAGTTAAAAATCGCTGTCTACCGAAACACTAATATACTCAAACTCACACAAACTCTTCTGTACCCTTTGTCTGTTTTGTTAAAAATTTTATGGGAGAATCAGCTTCTCATTAAGTTTACCATGATACTATTCAAGTATCACACAATATTCCTGTGCAGCAGCCTCTTCAGGATTGATGTTTTCTTTGCATTTTATCAGCATCAGGCTACCCTCTTCCATCTCTAATTTCTGAACTCATTTTCAGGGGGCTCCGGTTTGCTGCAATGCACTGCAGACTATGTTTAGCACCATAAAAACTGATAGTGAAAATTCTGGGACTGCTTCAGCGACAAAAAAGGGTAACCTTCAATTTCAATCGTGCATGTGCACAACACAATTATTCCCTTAAATTGTTGCACTTGCTGTAGCCATTTCTAACTTCTGAGCTCATGTAGGCGTTCTTGACAGTATAGTCTTGCAGACTAAGTTTGGCAACATGACAAGTCCTGAAAAAAACTATGGGTTCTCATCATTGACAAATGCAGGTGAAACTAGTTGAACATACTTAATATTTGTTTTCTAACAACGGCAATCCTCTATGTTCACAATAAATACTTGTAAATGTTGTTAAATGACACAATTTTAGTAATATATATGGGCCTATATGCATCGGTGATGATGATATATCTGATCCATGATGGCAAGAAATGCAACATTTATTGTACTATTTGATCTTTTTATGACAATAGCAGCTGTTTCCAAATTCAGTATTTGAATCACGGGTCATCTGCTCATATTTTAATTTAGTGTCCTGCTAAAAACTATTGGATATCATGAAAAATTAATGAAACCAAATTAAGATCATGGTCTTTTTCCCCCCAAATGTTCAAATTTACCTTTATTCATCTTTAATTTTGGATGTATTCGCTGTTAAGAGAACTGAGAACATTATACATAAAAATTCATCCAATGTGATGATATTACTTAATCCAGTGATCCTTATGAGTACGTGTTAATTCTTGGGCAGGCACATATATGCATTCGAGTCAAGAAGATTGCCACACTGAGAATTATTGCCAGGGTTTCATTCCAAGGAAACATCAAAGGGAAGAACTAGCACCTGAGGAAGATATTGACCCTAAAAGGCAACACACAACTCTGACTTTTGGTGAAGCAAGTCTGGTAAGATGATGGATTTTTATTTCTTTCCTTTACTATGGTGGAGTAATAGCAGGAACAAACCAATTAAGGGTGTTAACAGTAAAAGACTCATTTATTAACGTACTAGAATGAATTTAGTATCAAATGCATGATTGCTTCTGTATAGATCTTTAGATTAAGCATGGTTGTTCTTAGGCAAGTCAACATCCAACAACAGCACAAAAATAGTATCTATAACAACAAAATAATTTGGTAATTAATGCTTGTTGGAAATGGTTGATTTGGGGTATGCTATGGCATACATCAATTTGGTATTGACTTGTGCCAGTTTATTAAATCTGGTGGAGACAAATTACCTCAACTTCTTTTTTTTTAAGCAAGAGACAGCAGCCGAAAGGTTAAAACTGTTCTTCAGCCATGAATATCAAAGTTAATTAAGTTGCATTATCGCCATTTCTTTTGCTGACCATTGCCCTTGATTTGTGGTAGAACTGATTATGCCATGAATATCAAAATAATTAAGTTACATTATCGCCGTTTATTTTGCTGACCTTCATATATACTGGTGTTCTTGATCTGTTGTACAGAGTAGCACAACCAGTACACTGTCGACTAGTTTCAATCATCAAATGGAGATATTTTTTGAAGCATGATTTCTGTTGGCTAAATTAATCAATGCATTTTACAAAACATGAGCCGTGTACAGGAGAGAATTAACATGGGCTATTTTTTTTTATCCTGCATTATGTGACTAATTGAGTTCCAGAATATAATTAATACTTGTTGGAGTTGCAGCCATTGATCGCTGTTGCTGAAGCTCAGGGTAGAGCTCGCCCAGTGGAACTCTCCATGTGAATTCGGATGAGCTGCATGCAGCATCGGAGCTGTTCTGGTCTGCTGGGTGCTTCCTGGATGAAGAAGACAAGACAGTCGATGAACTACTAGCCAATGCTGTTGGAACATTTGGCGCTTTTTTTATTTTGCTGCTCCTGCTACCTAGCCAGCTGAGGCTTTTCATGTCTCCTAAAGATATATATGTTATCGCGCAACTCTACCTGTCTCCGAGTGCTTAATTACTAGCTAAGAACTACTACTGTTCTATTATGTAAACTTGGTCAGACTAAATCACTAAGATTTTTTTTTTTGAATGGACCGGTACTTAGAATGTGCAACCAAACTCATGCCCATCCGTTCGTTACACACATGGGCGGAGCTACCATGATTCCTGAGTATTCCCGGAAATACCTAACTTTTTTTATTAAAAAGCAAGTATACTTCAAGTATATACACATGTACACATATTAGTGCACCTAAATCCTCAATTCTTCGATCCAAACACAGCCCAACCGGCCTCTTGCAACGCCTCCTACCAACCCGACCCACTCCGTCATGATCCATCATATATCAGTTGACCCACTTAGCCACCACTCTTCCACACGGCCCCCTCTCACTCTCCCTCCGTGACCCATCCCTCCCTGGCTCGGCTCCCTCGCGCCGCTCCCCATTTCCAAACCCTAGGCGGCGGCGTGGCGAGGCGGCACGAGCTGGACCGTGCTACCGCGGAGGGCGGCGGCCGGCGCCCGCCACTCCGCCAAGCTCAGACGGTCAGGCCGGTTGGGTGGCCGGCGGCCGCGAGGGGTAGTGGCGGCCAGCGGCTCAGCGCTTCGACAGGAATATTCAACTTTAAAATTCTAGCTCCACCACTGGATACACACACCAAAAGAAAACCCATTCGTTACCTCAAAAAGTGGAGGATCTACTCTGCAGTGATCTACTCTGCAGTTCCGAGTCTCCGACTCTGAAGCTATTGCTCCGCGTAAGCGCTAATTCGCGCAAACGCGCGACTTAACGCGATGTCGCGCGCATTTTCAGCGCGTGTACGTAGCTTATCTAACATGATTAGTTTATATACTATTAAGTAATTATATTCTTATAATCATGGATACAGTTAAGGTAACCCATCGGCAAGAAGGTTGATTCCATTTTTACTAGAAATTTAAAAAGTTATACTTCAAATTTAAAATTTAATTCGAAAGTTTAATTTAAATTTTAAAAACTTTCAACCCGAAATTTGAAAATTTCAACACAAATTTCGAAACTTTCAACGCAAATTATGAAAACTTTCAGCTTAAATTTTGAAACCAAATCATGAATACTTTCAACTCATAGTTGTAATTTTGAACTCCAAAATTGAAACTTTGAACTGATAATTCGAAATTTTCAGCTTGATTTATTATTTATTATTTTATTTTGCAAAATAAAAAGAAAAAAAAACATGTTTAGCGCTAAGCGCGTTACAGAGGCAGGCATGCATGCACAGCGCAGAGGGTGCGCCACCTCCCGTGCTGGCGCAGGTGCGCACCTGAGCGCGCGCCGACTGGGCTGCGTCGGGTACATTACAATTTATTACAAACACGGCGGAAGCTGCAGCCGGTGGCCGCCGCGTGTAATCCCTTCGCGGTTCGATCGATCCATCAGACGCCTACGCCGTCTTCCGGCGCGCTCCCTGGACTACCCCTGCGTCACCGCCGACTCCTCGCCTTCGGGTGCGTTCGTTTCAGCTTATAGGATTAGATTCTTCTCATTTTTCGTCAGCACGTTTTTCAAACTGCTAAACGGTATATTTCATGTAAAAACTTTCTATAAAAAAGTTGTTTAAAAAAATCCAACAAATTTATTTATAAAAAAATTATATATTAATACTTAATTAATCATATGTTAATTACATTTCTCGTTTTACGTGCTGCTAATCCGCTCATCCTATCTATTGAAACTAGCGCACCCTTCCTCTTCAACAACAACTACTCCGATGCCTACCATGAGTACGTTCTACGAATCAATCCCCCTCAGTTTTCGCTTCTCACAATTCGATCGATCCATGAGTAATTTTTTGTTTTTCAGGATGAACAAGAGGACATGTTTGGTGTTCCATGCATGTGATGTGAGCGATCTGGTGGACCTTGTGGAGACGACGTACAGGCCAGTTGCTGAAGGCGGGTGTGCTACGTCTGGAGGTTCGCCCCGCCGTTCGAGTCGAGCGCCGATCGAGGCCATGACCCGGCCTCGATCGATCGGGAGGTTCATTGACCAGCTCATGGTCCGGCGGCTGGTTCACGCGCATCCTCGCCGCCGACCACCGGAGCTTCTCCAAAGCTCTACCCTTACAGCTGCGTCGTCCTCGCTGGCCACTTCCTCGAGGCAGCCAAGAACATGGTGGACTCTGCCAGATGGTCAGGTCCAAGGTGGCCAAGTTGGCCGAGGAGATGGTTGGGTTTTGTTTAGTTGAATTTTATCAAGTGTCATTCATCTTGTCTCTAGTCCTCGTTCTATTAGTCGGCGACTATAAATTTAGATCCCCTAATAATTGGTGTGTGTTGATTTGGTCGATTATCGAATAGATCTACCACTTCGATCGCAACTATTCCTATGTGCTTAATCACCTATTCGCAATATTTAAATTGCATCTTATCTTGTTCTTGCAGTGTTCTCTCATTTGCATTGCAGGGATCATCAACCGTGCGTTACGGTTGGTATGACAACATTTATGGTGTAGCAATTGCACGGCGTTCTGGACTTGTTCTGGTTGGTAGTCACGTCGTAAACGTTGCACTCGATCAAAGCAAGATTTATCCCCTCAACAGAAGATCAGGCCACGAGAGAGAGCGTCATCATAAGTTTTTAACACGGTTTATTCTTGTAATATGTTTTTGTAAAGTGTCAAATTGTCAAAACTTCGGTGCACTGGATATGCAACTCTATTTGTCAGTGCAACTACAGTTAGACGAGCGGTACGCGAATCGTTTCCAACTCTGAAATTTTGTACTATGTTCAGCGAACTCTAGATCAGTTTTCACCCTACTTTTCTAATTCCTAAAGTCAATGCAGGTGAGCCAGATGCATGCGTAGAAACTTGGATGCATCCCCTCATGAAATTATGAAATTATAGAGAGAATCCCTTATATGCTATTGAAATTTGATTCGATCCCTGATATGCCACACAAAATTGGCTCTTCCCTTATATGCCATTGAATCAAATTTGCACACCCTCTCGTGCCACTACCATGAGTTGACTGATGTTAGCATCCATTAATCTGTCAGGTTATTGCATAAATGACCAAAATAACCTCTGGCATATCGTGGCGAGGGCGGTGATCTGGCGAGGCGAGTTCGGCGGCTCGATGCGTCGAGGGCGTCGCCCGGTCCCGGGAGGGGCGGCACCCAGTCGCGGGTGGGGCGGCGCCGACGAGGGCGTTGGAGGAGGTCGGCGAGCGAGTGGGTGAATCAGTGGGTGACGCGGAGCGCGTCGCGGAGGACGGAGTCGAAGACGCCGACGGAGAGCATGGCGCCGAGGGCGTCGTCGCCGCCGGCCCCGGGGGGAGGCGCCAGGGCGCGGTTGAGCCTCGAGGGCCGCCGTGAGCGCGCCCTTGCCGCCGCCAATGCCGGGCAGATGTGGAACGCCGCCTGGAATGACGATGCAGTCGCGAGCGCACCTGAGCGCGGTCGGCGAGCTAGCTTGTTCGCGCAGGATCGGCGGCCACCGCGCGTCTCCCTTCAATCCTCCCCAAGACCGGCGGCCATCGCGCGTCTCGTCCCCAACTTCCGCCGCTTTCCCCCATCCTCCCCAATACCGGCGGCCATCGCCCACATAGATGACGACGACGAGTAGGCGTGGTCTGCGCGGCGGTTGTGGTGGGAGGAGAGGAAGGAGTCGTTGCCGCCACCCGCGGCGGCCGCATCGAAGAGCTCCTTCTGCCTCCGCCTCCGCCACCGGTTGCCCGAGCGAGCTCCTCCGCTGCCGGCCGCCTGCTCCGCCTCCGCCTCAGCCGCCCGGGGAACTCTGCCTCCGCCGCCTGCCGCCCACTCCGCCTCCGTCCCAGCCGCCCGCCATCGCCGCCAGCGCCCGAGCAGCTCTGCCTGCCCCCGTCCACGCCCGCACGCTGCCTGTGAGGGGAGGGAGAAGAGAGAGAGGGGGGAGAGATTGGGATAGAGATAGAGTATGGAGAGAGAGGGATGGGGACTGGCAGGTGGGGCCCACCATTTTTTATTAACCAATTGGCACTCATGTCTAACAACTCAGGGGTAAATATGTCTTTTCACGTTCAAGTTAGCAGTCAACACACGGTTAGCTCACGGGAGTGGCATGAGAGGGTGCGCAAATTTGAGCCAATGGCATATAAGAGAATAGCCAATTTTGTGTGGCATATCAGGGATTAGACCAAATTTCAATATCATATAAGGGATTCTCTCGAAATTATATGAAGGAACGTTATCTAGCGTGTTGGAGAAACGCCTCATCAGCTAATGTCCAATCTCAGGAATGAATTGAAGTTTCTAGGCTTCTAGCTTGCAGTCTAGTGCAATGCTTGCGCACCATGAGATGGTTTCTCAGGATCGATGGTGGTTTCTTTGAAACACAAATGGTATAGTAGTGCAGGTCATGCTGCTACTGCTGCTGCAAGTATCCCCCAGCTACCGATGATGCGATTGATGATACAAGTAGGCAAGCTGCTGCTCAGAGTTTTCCAGCTTATCTGTGATGATCATGGTGGTGGTGGATGGTCAAATTATTCAGACAACAGGATGATGAGTCCTGGCTGCCTCCTCTTGCATGAGACAGTAATTGCCAAATTGGCAGACAATTTATCTTTCTTCCTATCCATAAATCTAGGACGGAGTGAATAAGTGTAAATATTAATCAAAACTAGCAAATATGCTCGTGCCTTGCAACGGGATATCCAAATTACATGTATATTATTCATATTTATTACACGATTTGTGCTTTTCTTTACTTATACGATAGTGGTGAGACAGATGATTGACATGGGAATCGGGGATATTTGTTTTTAAAATGTTTGTCGTGGGTACACATGATTGATGAAACATATGATAGAGATCTGAAGGTCAATTTACGTATTGTTGCTAGGTCTAATGATTCGTATTCACCACAAGGAATTGTGAAATCACTCCATGGACCTGATAAGCCTGGGATGGTGAATCAAACCCACCCTTGTTGGTTTTAATAAAAAGATGTGTATTATTTTATTATCTAAATTTTAATAAAATCTATTACATACACAACCAGTGAATTAGTGAAAAACAATCAATTAATAGCTAAAAGTGCTTCATGAAAAGAAAGCACAACACAAAAGTTATATAAAAAATGCACGGATCGATAAATTTTATAAAATCTACTTATACATCATGTAAGAATATATCATTAAATTTATTTTTTCCATGATAAATCAGTAAAACCAGAGTATAGAAAAGAAAGAAAAGTAAAAACAAACAACGTAGCATCGCCTTGGCTAGCTTCTCATACCACTTCGCTGAGCCGCTCACCTTGCCTTGTTACTCGCCTCGTGGCTTACCGGCGCTAGGTGGTTGGATCCGATGGCCTGGTGACTAAGAATGAACAAGAGAATTTAGAGTCAACCTTGATGATAGGGAGAATCAGCATATGCTCAGAGAAGAGCCAATTTTCATATAGTCCGAGATATTAGGTGAAAATATTTATATTAAATTATAAAAAAATAAAAATAGAAAGAGTATAGAAGAATTTTACTTTTGAAATCATTTAATGAATATCATTTCACCGTGTTCACGCAAGTGCATGCACTGATAATCGCGTCCTGTACAAGCTTTGTGATGGCTAGGGCAGTTTGGCTCAGGTTGGTGCCGGTTGAGGACGTGTGATAGACATGCAGTTGGGGGCTGTGGGCAGATGGCCCAGCTGGCCCAAAGAAAAGATCAGCAGCGACGCTGGGTGCAGAGGAAACGTGTAACGCGGGCCCAACTCCGAGCCAGCGCGTGCGTGCGTGCGTGAACGGATGATTTTTTTTTCGCGCGAGGACAACAGATAAAAAATCAGAGACGGACAATTACTTTTAATCTCGGGCAAATTTTTTTTACGGACGAAACAAAATACGGAAGCCTTACCTATTTTTTATTAGGTATATATACTAGCAAAAATCCCCGTGCGTTGCAACGGGTAAATAAATTCTAATAATAATATACGTTTTTCATGCATAATCATGTCAATGATAATGTTTGTATTTTAATGACCGACTTATTTTTTTTATAAACGGTGTATTTTTTCTTGTGCGATTTTCTCAAACCATTTTTCAGAAATGGCGCATTTCTTTCTAACCGTTTCTTCCTAGCATGTTTTTTTTTATTTTTTTTACTGACGACGAAAACCATATTTTTCTCCCCTTTTTTGCTTTTCTTTTCTCACGCGTTTTTTGCTTGTTTTTTAATGTTCTTTTTTTGCTTTTTTTCCAATATAGGAGAATATATGACGAAATAAAAGCCGTGTAATAGATGGCAAAAAAATCGATGGATCCTATCTGACTCAAGCATCCATCAATTTAGCGTTTTTTTCTAACAGTTTTTTCAGAGCGATTTTTTTTTTGATAGACGGTGTTTTTTTCATGCGCGGTTTTTTCAAATCATTTTTTTAGAAATGGTGCATTTTTTCTTACAGTTTTTCCTTGCATGTTTTTTTTAAAAAAAATTTACCCACGATGGAAATAATATTTCTCGCACGTTTTTTTATGGAAGATGGAAAACATTTTTAGCATTTTTTTGCGCTTTTTTCTCATGCATTTTTTTAACCGTTTTTATTTTTCTCGTGTATTTTCTCTTTTTAAATAGTTAGATTAGATTAGAGATAGAGAAGAGATATATACTGATTAGAAATCGAAATTTGTTTAGCTCTTTCCATTTTTTTCTCGCGTGCATTTTTTATTTTGTACGAACCAGCTTTTTATTTTTTACGAACCATTTTTTTCGCCATTTTCTTAGGGAATCGGACGAACTTTTTTAAATGTTTTTTCAGATTTTTTCGTCTTTATAGGAATCAGACTTTATTTTCCCGTTTTTAAAGGAATCGGATCTGGCCTTTATTTTTCACCACTTTTTTTTGCCTTTTATAGGAATTGGATCTACGGTTTTTTTTTCCACCTAGGGGAAACAAAATTTTATTGTTGTTGTTTTTCTTCTTTTTTTTTCTTTTTTTTGCAGTTTTTTTCTTTTTATGCACCTTTATGCCCTTGTTCTCTCCCTTTTATTATTTTTTCTTAAAAAAATGACCTCAAGTATCTTATTGCAAGATTATAGGGACTCAAATGTAAATATAAAAATTATAGGGACTCAAATAAAAAAGTACAAACCCAAAAATTAAAATCATATAAAAATGGAATGCTCTCGACCGGTAGGTTCCGTTTTTTCAAACAGATATTCAATCCGGCACATCAATTTTTTTTCACCAAGATGTATGAAATATCACGGCATAGATTGAAACCAAGAGGAATGTGCCTGGGATCTCGGACTCAAACTAAGACCGAGAGGAGTGGTGTGTTTTATTTTCCGTTTTTAAGGGGGAATCGGATCTAGAGTCGGGCTTTTTGTTCGTTTCTGAGAGGGAGTCGGACTTTATTATTATTATTTTTTCACTATTTATTTTGTTTTGATGGGAGTCGGACTTTTTTTTATTTTTTTCGTTATTTATTTTGTTTTGACGGGAGTCGGACTTTTTTTATATATTTTTTTCGCTATTTATTTTGTTTTGACGGACAAAGAAAACATCTCTTCTTATTTTTTAAGTAGTAGTAGAGATATAGATATATAGATTAATTACTACTCCCTCTGTTTCAGTTTATAAAGCATTGACTTTGGTCAAAATCAAACTGTTTCAAGTTTAACTAAGTTTATAGACAAATATAGTAATATTTATAATACTAAATTAGTTTCATCAAATCAATAATCGAATATATTTTTATAATAAATTTGTCTTGAGTTAAAAATGTTAGTATTCTTTTTTACAAATTTGATCAAACTTAAAACAGTTTTACTTTGACCAAAGTACGTCTTGTAACATGAAACAGTAGCTTCAGGTGCTAAACCGCAGGAGCGAGAAATGTTACTGTCTTTATTCTGCCAGTAGCTTCTGGTAGGCGCGCGCCTCTCTCATCCCGTTTCAAACATGGCCCAGTACATGAAGGCCCAACATGTCTAGGGGATCCCGTTCCGGGCAAACTAATTCGGCCCAACTCTGATTTCGAGTTTTTTTCCACGTGTCGCGTGTTTTCTGCTACCTTCGATCCGGAGCGTAGCTAACGGCTATGAGTAAACCTGCTACAGTTAATAGCGGTCCAGCATAGAAAGAATAAATAGTCATGAATACTCGTTTCCCCGTAAGAAATCTAACCAGTTAAGTTACGTTTAAGTCTTTGTAGTACTTCCTCCATCCTTAAATATAAAAAAAGTTTTAGAGTTGAATACGGTTATTAAGAAAATAATACTTAAGGCTTATTCGGATTATAAGATAGGAAAAACATAGGAAAGGAAAAATATAGGAATAGAAAATGAATCTAAGTGTAAAACAGGGAATGAAAAACAAAGGAATACAAAAATTGAGAGCATTCGGATCACATGAAATTGATTGCCTAGGATTTGCATGCAGGAAGTGAAAAAAAGAGCTTGAGGTGGATGGATTTTTCATGTACTTTTCCTGTGAAATCAGTACCAAAGGAATTTCCTATGACCAGTTTTCATGATTCGAATGACAGGAAAGAAAAAAATTCCTATGCACAGTATTCCTCCAAAAATCCTGTGAAGATCCTCTAATTCGAATAAACCCTTAGAATTAAATTGGGGGAGAGGGGAGGAATTGTGATTGATTGAGAAGTTGATGTAGGTAGAAAAAGTGAATGATAGATAGTTGTGATTGGTGGGAAAGAGAATGTTGATGGAGAAGTTATTATATTTTAAGATAAATTTTAAGTATAAGAAGTTGTTATATTTTAGGATGTAGAGAGTATTATTTTAGCCCTGTGTGGATTATAGTTTGGGCCGATCAGACGCGCTTGATCTGTAGTGTGAAGATTTAAGACGGAGGAATGAATAGTGGTATTGCTGGTGAAAAGTAACCTATACGCTGCACGCGCCTCTCGTTATCTTGTTTCGTTTTGGATGGATGGATGAATGGATTAACGGGTCCATCTTTACTCATATGATTATGTTTATTCATACGGTTTATTAACAACATAAAAACTTTCAACGCAAAATTTGAAAACTTTCAATCAAGATTTAAAAACTTTCAAGTCAAAATTAAGAACTTTCAACTCTACATTTGTAAAGAGATGTGTGAAAGATTTAAAAAAATTAGAAAGAAACGGTGAAAAATTAAAAAAAACGGGCCCAGAGATAACAAAACCAGAAAAAAAAGGTCGAACGAAAACAAAGCGGCGCCAAAATCGGAAAAAAAAAGTCGAAAAGAAAAAAAAGTGCGCGCGGGGAGGGGGCCAGCTGGCGCGTGGGCGCGCATTAGGCGCGCTATGCATTATATTTATTAGAGTGATATGAACTAGAAGATGATAATAATTGTTTTTTGTTTCTTGAGTTAAGGGTGGTTGTGCTTTATATTTTAGAATGGATGGAGTATTGAATAGCCCACACCCATATCCGTCGGGTGTCCGGATTGATAGTAAGGGCTTGTTCACTTTGCTTCCATTGTCAATCTTACTGTTTTTTTTTTTTGATAAAGTTACCCAAAAAGTGGCTACGTTTAGTTTGTTGCTGAATTTTAGTAAGTGCATATGAAATCTTGCTAAAATTTAGCAAGCTTACTAATTGGTAATGTCAAAACTCGATAAAGTTAAAAATGGTAGCAAAATAAACTAGCGCTAAAATTACCATCCCTGGTCCGACGCTCGGTTTGACTCGAGTCTGCCCGAGTTAACTCGTTCGACTGGGCAGCAGTACATATATACAATACAACACGGCGGAAGGCGTAGCAGCGGATTTGACGGAGAAGCCCCTTCCGCCCCAATCTCTCTCGCGGCTCGCTCGCTCGATCGATGGACGCCGAGGGATCATCAGACGCGGAGGAGGCCAGAGGAGGCAGCAAGATGCTGCTGCGCTCCCTGGACTACCCCTGCGCCACGCGCCTCCGCCACCGCCGACTCCTCGCCTTCCTCATCAACAACGACTACATGGATGCCTACGATGAGTACGCTCCACCAAAATCCAAATCCCCCCTTACTTTTGCTCCATCGATGAGAGTGGAGTAGTAAAGCCGTGTTGAGTTACATTCAAATTTCCAAAAATCACGTCACATAAAATATTTACATACATATAAAGTATTAAATGTGGACGAAAAAAACCAACTATATAGTTTACATGTAAATTACGAGATGAATCTTTTGAGCCTAATTACACCATGATTTGACAATGTGATGCTATAGTAAATATTTGCTAATGACGGGTTAATTAGACTTAATAGTTTCGTATCGCAGTTTATATGCGGAATCTGTAATTTGTTTTGTTACTAGTCTACGTTTAATATTTTAAATATGTGTCCATATACGTCAAAAGAATTGGACGGGAACTAAACACAACCTAATTTGTGTGTGTACATGTGTTTTCCGATCTTTCATCGGGGCTTTTAACTATTTGCCACTTTTAGATTTGGTAATTAACTATTTGTCACACCTATCTCAATAACATGTGGATCCACATGTGTATATGACATGTGGGTCCAGTGACAAATAGTTAATTGCCACATCTAAAAAGTGGCATATAGTTCAATATCTCTCTTTCATCAGGATAAACAAGAGGAGACGTTTGGTGTTCCATGTGAGCGACCTGGAGGATCTCATGAAGGCAGGCCGTTTGGTGGAGGCGAGGAACTACGTGTGGCGTTTCGCCCCGCCCGGCGGCGGCGGCGGCGAGCCGAGCTCGAGCGCCGAGGCCGTCACCCTGTGGAAGTTCATCCACCAGCTCATGGTCCTCGACAGCTTCGCCCACGGCGGCATCCGGGACCACACGGCGATCCGAGGCTGGTTCACGCGCATCCTCGCCGAGCCCCCGGGCTTCTCCGTGCTCAATCCCCTCGTGCCTCGCCCTCGCCGCCCACTTCGTCGCCGGCCGCGTCGAGGCGGCCAGGGACATGGCGGACTGGAAGGTGGTCCGCTCCAAGGCGGCCAGCTTGGCCGGGAAGATGGCGCGCGAGGCGCCGGAGATCAGGTGCACCATGCTCTTGCCGCTTGCCCGGGCCAAGCCCAAGGACTTGTTCCCCCTGATTGCTTCTTCGAGGTGCGTTTCTCTTAACAGTTTCAGCAAACTTCTTCTAATTAATTCAGCCCTGATCTGATATTGTCAGTTTCATATTATTTGGTCACTTCTCTTTCCAATCACATTGATATATACTATCTTATCTCCATTTTAGGTTATAAAATATTTTGACTTTGGTCAAAGTGAAACTGTTTCAATAATTGAATATATTTTTATAATAAATTTGTTTTGAGTTGAAAATATTACTATTTTTTTCTACAAACCTAGTCAAACTTAAAATAGTTTGACTTTGACCAAAGTCAAAACGACTTATAATCTGAAACGGAGATAGAGTATATGAAGATAATATATGAAGAGTTGCTGCTATTCTCGGTATTTCGATCCTAGTTACTGCCATTTTTTTAAAGACTACTGCTGTGTATCTGTCTTCAATTTTGTTTGGCTAGTTTTCGTCGGAGGCGTTATGTGAAGGCAGCACGACGGGCATCATCATCTCATCTTGCTCAGTTCTACCTGAACAAGAAGAAGAGGTCTGGTCCAACAGTTACAGAATACGAATTAAAATGCTCTTCGATTACTCTTTCTTTTTGTTAGTCTTTGGTTACAACTAATCAATGTAATGTTCCTTCTTTAATTCATGCAGGCTGCCTTCTCCAAGTCATCCAGGTGTGTTGTTATGGAACCCTCTTTTCTTGCTTTCTGAATTTACTTGTGAGCAAATACGTTTTATAGCTCATCTTAATTAATACATGTAGCAGGACAATCATATGTCAGTAGATCAGAGCTGTTTGCACTTCTTGGTATGTACTAGTTCTGTATTTGCTTCAATTCAACTTGCATATCGATCATAACTGTTCTTTTGTTGCTCGTGTGTCCACATTATTGTCTGCTGACACACTTGGATTACATATGTATATGCATAATGACTGACTGACTTGTTTGTTCTTCAGAGGTATGTTTGTATACTGGTAGGCGTCCGCGGCCTTGTACTGAAGATCTTTCCAAGCAAGGTGTATAATTTGAATTCTATGAAGTTCATATAAGCTGCATGTTTTAACTGCGTAGTTTGTTGCTTACCTGCAGGCATCCATAGTGTCCCATTTATGCGGACTATGCTAACAAATTCCTCAAACAAAGGCAACCCTGCAAACATACATCCACGCAAAAGTGCTGTGGTTTAAAATTCAACCAGTGATGAAGGTATCACGCAAAAGTGCTCTCCAAGGTTAAAAGAAAAAAGAGGCTGTGGTTTAAAGTTGCTAATCTTGCTTCTTATTTGCAGGTGAGGGATTAAAAAAAAATAGGATGACATCGTTCAAGTTGCGCGTCTGCGCGCAGAGCAATAGCTTGTAATGGATGGACTTTGTTTTAACGGATGGGCCTTTTGGTGTGTGTAACAAATGGATGGGCCTGGGTTTGGGTGCACGCTCTAAGTACTGGGCAATAAGTTCACTTTAGGTCCCTCAACTTGTCGCCCAGTCTGATTTTCATCCTCAGTCCGGAAAACTGGATACAACACATCCCCCAACTTACAAAACCTGCGAACGAGGTTCCTCGATGGTATTGATCTCGGTTTTGGCTGACGTGGCGCTTACGTGGATCTTTTGACTAATCTTCGTCCTACGTGGCATTGACGTGGCGCTTACGTGGCAGTTTGATCTGGAAAAAATAAAATTAAAAATTAAAAAATTACAGCAAAAGATGCGAGCCCATATGTCAGTCAATAAAAAACAGTGGGGCCCACATGTCAGTGGGTCCCACTTCTTCCACCCCATCTCCCAACCTCTATCTTCTCTCTCCACTAGCGCTCACTCCTCTCCTACTCCACCGGCGAGCACGCGCAGATGCCAAAGAGGGACGAGGTGGGGAGGCCGGTGAGGGGGGGGGTGACAAGATCGGGCTCGTGACGCCGCCGCTGATAAGGCGGGCTCAGGAGAGGGAAGGTGGAGACTGAAGTGCCCCACCCTCGCGAGCTTGAGCTTCGTCTACAAGCGACGCTTGCGGCCGCCACCAGGAAGGAGCGGCGAGTGGGGGAGTGAGGGGATTGAGATGAGAGAGAGAGAGAGAGAGAGAGAAAGCTAGAGAGAGAGATGGTGGGAGCTGCTTCGGCCGTCGCCGCCTGTTCCGCTCCGCTCCAACCGCCGCCCGCTCCGCTCTCGATGACCTATTCGGGCCGGCGCCAAGCGCAATGGGTAGGGCATCCATCTTCTTCTAGTGGACGCACGCCTCTCTCATCCCGTTTCAAACGTGGCCCAGTACATGAAGGCCCAACATGTCTAGGGGATCCCGTTCCGGGCGAACTAATTCGTCACAACTCTGATTTCGAAATTCTTTTTCCATGTGTTGCGTGTTTTCTGCTGACTTCGATCCGGAGCGTACGCATTGATCTAACGGCTATGGTTAAACCTGCTACAGTTAATAGCGGTCCAACACTGAAAGAATAAATAGTCGTGAGTACTCGTTTCACCATAAGGAATCTAACCAGTTAAGTTACGCAGTTTTAGTACTACTCCCTCCATTCTAGAATATAAAAAAGTTTCAGAGGTGAACACAGTTATTAAGAAAATGGTTAGAATTAAATGAATGAAAGTTGTGATTTTGAGAAGTAGATGTAGGTAGTAAAAGTGAATGATAGATACTTCCTCCGTTTCAGATTGTAAGTTATTCTAGCATTTTCCATATTCATATTGATGCTAATGAATCTAGATAGATATATGTCTAGATTCATTAGCATCAATATGAATGTGAGAAATGCTAGAATGACGTACATTGTGAAATGGAGGGAGTAGTTGTGATTGATTAGAAAGAGAATGTTGATGGAGAAATTGTTATATTTTGAGACAAATTCTAAGTACTATAAGTTGTTATATTTTGGGATGGAGGGAGTATTATTTTAGCCTGTGTGGATAAAAGTTTCGGCTGATCTGACGCGCTTGATCTGTAGTGTGAAGATTTAAGATGGAGGAATGAATAGTGGTCTTGCATGCTGGTGAAAACTAACCTATACGCTGCACGCGCCTCTCGTTATCTTGTTTCGTTTTGGATGGATTAATTAGCGGGTCCATCTTTTATCATATGATTATGTTTATTCATACGGTTTGTTAGCAACTAAAAACTTGTAATAAGAATAATTTTACACGTGTTGTTAACGATTCAAAGCAAATGATAAATAAAACTCATAAATTAACTTTAAAAATTTCAATTTTAGCATAAAGTATAAGTATAGACGAAAAGATGATGTTGTAATTAACCTGCGATCTTTTGAAAGTGAGAATTTATTATAATATGGTTTTAAATCCATTATTTTAATTTTATAATAGCTATTTCATTATCTTTTTTTATGATTTATTCAGCCAGCAATCCTCAGTCAGATAAGATTATCCTCCACTTCGGCCAACTCAATTTGGAGAGCATGACTTGCAGCAGCAGTACTTCATTCGACAACGACGATTACGTGCGTGGAACAATCATAGTCCGGCCGTGATCAGATTCATGAATCACATGTCTGACGTTCGTGACAACAACCAATCAACCACCGTAAGGAATTGAGAGAGATTGGGCAACAAAATGGGAATAAGCTTCTGTCAGTTCACATGTCTGACTTGCATTTGTTAAATTTTTGGACCTGGTTTTCCAAAAAAAAAAAAAACTAAGCCAAGTTTCTTCCTCTTAAATGAAAGCTTTCGAATTAGGCGTCCGTTTAGTTCGTGCCATATCTGTAGCAAGATTTCTTTACGTGGTTCCGCATATTATTTGACAGTGTGGCAAATTTACCCTCTTCTAAAGCTAAAATGCGGCTTTAGTTTTATTGATCACATGTTAGACAAAATATGACAAATTAAATATACTAACCACACATGCATCTCACCGTACTCTAGTCATCAGCAGATCAAGGACCGAGTTCACTGTGTCATCGTGGATTAGAAACGTGCATGGCACCGGACGCACCTTAAATTATTGTACGCCACCGATTCTGTTTGCGACAATAGCACGTAACCACACGCTGCGTACGGTGAAAACAAGCTGAATATTATATGCTCTACATATAGATGTGCCTTGATCATCTCTCCAGGAACACAAGCGGTTCGATCGTCATATTGGCGAAAGGAAGGAAAGAGTAAGGAGGATGGTGGTTGCTCGTAGCCTGCTACTACGATCAAATGGCTCCACTGGCCAGGTGATGCATGCATGCGTCCTATTTTTCTTTTTCTTCTTCTTCTCACGGTTATGCGAAAGACGGTTTACGTGAAAACGGGCGGATACGATCGGATTATGGTATTTTCATATTATAACCTATATTTTTCTTTAAATCCAAAGCCGGATACAGATGGTAATGGATAACATATCATTTATCTCGGATCCTATCCCATATTATTTCCTACTAATTGGATTCTGGAATAGATATATATTTGTATTTCTAATTCGTAGATAGTAAATATAATGATCAATTAAAATGCTAAAAGAGATATATAAAGAAAAAATATAAAATATTGAACGTGAGCTCTGATTAACCGATATTTTACATGTATGTAGATGGATTTAATATATTTTCATATACGTTTTATATAACATGATTCATGCATACATATACAAGTCTTCCCATATCCTAACCCATATATTTTTTACGAGTTTGGATTCGAAAACGGATGTTATCGGGTATCTTATTTTCTCTCTCGTATTCTTCTCGTGACTTCTTGGATCGGAAGACCGGTCGGGAAATACCCGTCCTATTCTCACCCCTAAAGACAATGCAATCTGTAATTAATTGTGCTGTAGAGTTAGTAAACTTTGGTTTTGTAATTAACGTGCTAATTGATGCTTTTATATATTCTGATGAAAGGCATGCTCTGTATTAGGACAAATAGCAAACACGAAGCGCATTATATAGGCCCCATTTGGCACAGCTCCGGCAGTTTAGATCCTTCAGTTTTTTGGAGCGGAGTTGGCAGAGCTACTTCACAAATTTGTACTACGGGGGTGGAGCTGGGTTTTTGCTGCTCCACAGCTCCACTCCACTCCAAAAGACCCACTACCCTTTAAAATTTTAGGGTATTTACATGAAAATGCCACTGAACTACCCCTACCAACCTCTCCCTCCCGTTCTCTCTCCTTCTCCGTCTTCCTCCCGAGCCCTAACAGATGCAGGCGTCGGCGTCGGGCGCCGTCGGCGGCTCGTCGTCGTCGGCGGCGACGGCAGGCGCCACGGCGGCGGTGCGCGGCAAGCACGTGGGAGGAAGATGGGCGGCACGCGGCCAGCGGCGGGCGGCGACAACGTGCAACCGACGGGGGACGGCGCGCGCGGCCGCCGGGAGGTGCACTACCGAGGCGACGAAGCTCGGCGGGCGGAGGGCGGCGCGCGGCCGGCGGAGGGCATGGGGAGGCGGGCGGCCGGCAGAGAGCGGGGGGAGGTGGGCGGCGCGCGGCCGGTGGAGGGCGGTGCGCGCAGGGGATGGGGGTGGCCGGCGGCTGGGATTTTTGTTTATTTTGTTTTTTTCCAGATCTGGAGCTGAAATGTAGCCAAACGTTTTTTATGAGTGTCCAACTCCAACTGGAGCTAGCTCCCACTGGAGTAGGAGTTTGGAATTAGGAGTTGGAGTTTGGAGCCCTACAAAACGGGACCATAGTGACACGCTTTCCCCCTCAAAGGTTCCATTTAAATCCAGTGTAATTTAGAAAAGAAAAATCAGCTTTCCTAAGGCTGAGTTTGCAGGGGTTAGAAACCCTTCCGCTTCGACACGTAAAATAGAGTAACGGATTAGCACAAAATTAATTAAGTATTAGCTAAAAAAACTTTAAAAAGTAATATGATATTTTTCAAGCAAATTTTTTTTATATATATTTTTAGAAATAATCACACTCAAAATACGTACACGCGGAACAATTTTTAAACAAAAGTTTGGAATACTAAGGAGGAACTTAGCATCCGTTATTGATAGAGAAGAAAATGTGGTGAGAAAACCTGTGCTCAAACGGATTCGAACTCAGGCCGGTAGGCACGCTGCTCCTGACAGCTCCCTGCTAGCTGATCTACGTGCTGTTCTCTACACGTGGAAAATGAAGAAGTAGAAGTTAATATCAGGTAGTATAGAAACATACCTTAAGGAAATACTAGGTCTCTAAATCGTTGCCTGCTATAATAATGTACCAGAGGTTACAAAAGAATAATTTATAAATTAGAAAGTTGGAAAAATGGTCTTAGAAAGATTGAGAAGAAGTATTTATAAATAAATTTTTAAAAATATATCATCTAGTAGTTTAGAAAGCATATGGACGATACAATCCATAGTTCATAAGCCCGAAAATAACGGGCACATTAGCACATAACGCTGTAGATGTAGCATCGCATAATTAATTAATTATTAGCTTAAAAAATAAAAAAATAATATGATTTTTTCAAGCAAATTTTTTATAGAACTTTTTTTTAAAAAAATCATACTCCAAAAACATGCACGCGGAAAATGAAGTAGAAGTTAGAGAACGAGTAGTATAGAACAGAGCAGGTCTCTAAATCGTTGCCTGCCGGAATAATCTGCCAGAGGTTACAAAAGAATAATCTATAAATTAGAAAGTTGGAAAAATTATCTTAGAAAGATTGAGAAGAAGTATTTATAAAGGTTTTTTTTTTCTAAATATATCGTTTAATAGTTTAGAAAGACGGTACAATCCACAGTTCATAAGCCCGAAAATAACCGACACCTAACGCTGTAGCAGTAGCATCGCATCTGCTCAGCTCTAGAGTGGAGGATTTTCAGGAAGTTAAACTAATCTCTGTATAAATATACAAAAATTATCCGAGTTTACAAGAGGCCTTGAACTGCCACGGTTAGGACTTAGGACTTCTTCTGATGGGCCGTCTATGGCACGGCCCGTCTCGCAAAGCCATAATGGGCCCGGGAGCTTCACCAGCCCAATTTCCGGTGCCGCGAGCGCTCATGTGGGCCCCCTCCTTCAAGCTTCCAACTGCAACTTCCCCGGCGAGGCGGAGGCGCCGCCGCCGCGGCGGCGGCGGCGGCGCAGCGTGAGACTAAGGAAAGCCGATAGATCGGCGGAGTATCGTACGTGTCAGCGACGGCCTGCCTTCGAAGGCCGTGTGATCATGTTACTGAATGTCGATCGCCTAATCTTGTTTTCGACTGTTGATTAGCCAAGAGGGAGGGGATTATAGGCTTTCTTCTGTGGTAAGACGGGTCTCTGATTTTGTTCTTCCATCAGTTCCATGTCGGAAGAAGTGCAATCATGATCTCTTTGGGAGTAGCATTCTTTGCATAGAAGCTTTTGTTTTGGTGTTCTTGTTCAGAATTTCACCTTCCACTGTCTGTCATATCACAGGTGTAAGCTTTTCATCACTGATTCATCATGAATTCCCCCTCATTTGAAAATCAACAGGCAATGAATTTGATAAAGCATGCAGCTTTTGCTGCAAGTTTTCAAGGGGAAACGGATTGTACCTCACATGCATCAGCTAGGAAGTTCAGCACCTCAGGATCTTCCCCTCTGCTAGACTCAACCGAAGGAAATGGGTACACTGAAAAAATAATAATTTGTTCAGCATTGATACAGCTTTGTTTACTGTATTACTCCTTTTTGCGCAAATAATAAGTCTTGAATTTTTTCCCCCCTTATATTTGAGAACTGTATTTTTGTAGGTTTAAGGGACACTCCATGCTGGCACCATTCACTGCCGGATGGCACTCCACAGACCTGGAGCCCTTGATTATTGAAAGATCAGAGGTTGCAGACTGTAAACCCTGGCATTACATTGTTTGCTTCTCTTGGGATTTATCACTCAATTTTGCATCATGAAGCTTCAGATGTTATTAACTTCTCTATACCAAGTTGAATAGTACAATATCTCTCGGATTAAATTCTGTAACGTGTCGATTGGTGCATATATGCAGGGTTCTTATGTCTATGATAGCAAGGGGAACAAGTACTTGGATACACTAGCAGGATTGTGGTGTACAGCCTTAGGTATGTCCAAGTTCTTGAATCTGATTTTGTGATCAATGTACCAGAAGACTGGTGAATTTTGGGATGATGCATACATCTTCACAAACCATTCATCCTGTTTTCAGGTGGCAGTGAGCCTCGGTTAGTGAAAGCAGCAACCGACCAATTAAACAAGTTGCCGTTCTACCACTCCTTTTGGAACAGTACAGCCAAGCCACCATTGGTATACATATTGCATCTTTCATTCATGATTTGTTCATTTGTATTATCTTTTTTTCCTTTTTCCAACCAAAAATGGACGAGAAATGTTAGTGTTGGATATCTTAGTTTCATTGTAAACAGCTATTAAAATTGCAAGCATTGATGATTTAAGCTTTGTTGTTGCTTTCAGGATCTTGCTGAGGAACTTATCAGCATGTTCACTGCCAAGGAAATGGGAAAAGTGTTCTTTACAAACAGCGGTTCTGAAGCAAATGACTCTCAGGTAGGATTGTTATCGTTGTCAATTTTAGTGAGTGAATTCTGGGATTGAACTATTGCACTGACTTCCCTCGAGGGCAATATATTGTGTACAAGATGAATGTGCAATGACCAAAATACCCCTATCACAATACACCATTACACTAATATCCTTAACAATCGTAACATATGTTTCCATGTAGCCTTTTCGTATAACATTTTTCGCCTGGCCGACCAAATTTCATCAAGGGAAAGGAGTATTTACAAATGTATTTCTGAGAACATGCAGGAGAGTTGTGCATCATTGCATTAAGAAACGTCTCCTGTAGTTTTAGTACAGCTAGCTTACACTTTACACACAAATACACAATATTACAGATGGTGTAGCTTTTACTGGTATTGTGGAATTTTGCATGGTGTGCACATTGTTCAAAGATTTCACCCTTTCATGAGTAGTATAAAAAAAGGACAAAATTTCATGAGTATTATAGTTACTGTTGTTACTACTTAGTTTATTGGTTATACTTTCTGGTACACGACTATACTTAGTTTCATGATAAACACACATTGTTCTCGCTACAACAACTGTTTGGTATATTCAACTGATCTTCCCATGATGTTATTTTACATACACAAAAAATGTTTTATCTTTTGCAGGTCAAACTAGTATGGTACTATAACAATGCATTGGGGAGACCAAACAAGAAAAAGATCATTGCACAATCACAAGCGTAAGCAGATAACATCTCTTCTTTGTCTTCATCATAACTACCTCCTAGTTACTTCACATTGCATGCCAATGGGTACTTTCCACTCAGGGGAATAGAGTGCAGGCAGGTGAAATCTGATCTACATGTATAGTGTAGAGACTACTCTGTTTTCATATTCATATTGTAGAGACTATTATGTTAATAGATCTCCAAACAGTAATTTCCATAGGCACCAATGTTTGTCCCGTCTCATTGTTTTCGATATTCTTGAGATCTCATCTTTAACTTACATGAAATCTTGAGGCATTTTGAATGTAATTCTCACTGCCCATAAGCTTTCTGCAGATATCACGGATCAACATTAATATCAGCTAGTCTGTCTGGGTGAGTGTTGTGTCTTACAGAAAGAAATAGTTTGCCTTCATTATCCATAAAATTTGTCTTTTAGAACCCTCTAGAATTGTTTCAACTAAATCTTTATAGTTCTTTAGTTCATCGTTTGTTGATACTTGAAATAATATACTAATGTATTCTGCATTTTTTTAGCCTCCCTGCGATGCATCTGAAGTTTGATCTACCAGCACCTTTTGTTCTGCACACAGACTGCCCTCACTACTGGCGCTTCGGTCTTCCTGGTACTATTATATATATGTAGTAGTTCTGAAAGTGTGTTATATGAGGAGCCCAGCATATTTTGCTAATGAAATGATTTTGGTGGGAAACAGGTGAGGCAGAAGAAGAATTTGCAACCAGACTTGCCGATAATTTAGAGAATCTTATCCTCAAAGAAGGGCCAGAAACAGTAAAGTTCTCTACATACCAAAACTTACATTTTATCGGCACAGCCAAATTTTACTGACATAATTTTTGTTCACCTATCAGGTTGCTGCTTTCATTGCTGAACCTGTAATTGGTGCTGGAGGTGTCATCCCTCCTCCAAAGACATATTTTGAGAAGGTCGGTACACATGTTATATATTTTAATTTGTACCTTCTGGCTAGAAAATAAAACCTTTTCTAAGTTCAGTAATTTGGAGCCATTTTAAAAGTTCCACTCTAGGAAAGCACCTTTGATGCAGTAGCGGAGTTTTTTTTTTGAAAGGTCAGGCCGTTGCCGACATTTTATATAAAGAAGAAAATGTCCCATTTCAAGAAGAAAACGGAACCAAACCTCTAGTGTTTGACTAAGCATTGGCTATGGCTCAAAACTCTAGTGTTTCCAGAGCTACATATTCTCAGCATGCACCAAATGCTTGAATATTGTACTGCCTATTCACCGTGTGCTATTATGTTGCCAACCAACAGATTCAAGCAGTACTTCAGAAGTACGATGTCCTTTTCATAGCAGATGAGGTATGTTAATATCCTACTGAGTCCAACATAAAACGGCGAAACAATTATTTTCTTCTAAGAGCTGTTCACTTGTCATCCATTCCAGGTAATTACTGGATTTGGACGGCTGGGAACCATGTTTGGATCTGATCTGTACAACATCAAGCCAGATCTCGTCTCCTTAGCAAAGGTGAGTGAGTTCTTCTAACAACTGAACAACTGTTAATTAAGCTGAAGTTGTACGAGTTATGCCAATTTCACCATGGTAGGCACTCTCATCTGCGTATGTCCCAATTGGAGCGACTCTTGTCAGCCCAGAAATATCCGATGTAGTTCATTCTCAGAGCAATAAGATTGGTAAGTCAATGCCATTTTATGAACTCGGTCTGTCAGTACATTGGCATGTCCTGAACTGTTGTTTTGTTTTATAGGCTTTTTTGCTCATGGCTTTACATACTCTGGCCATCCAGTTTCTTGTGCTGTCGCCCTAGAAGCTCTGAAAATTTATCGGTATATTGAAACTTCCTTTAGCATTACATGGTGCACTTGTTCTTACTGGCAATGGAATTTCCAGTTCCTGATAAATCCTTCATGAAACTGGTCTTAGGGAAAGGAACATCCCTGCTCATGTCAAGCAAATTTCTCCAAGGTTCCAGGAGGGAATCAAGGCCTTCGCGGGAAGTTCAATTATAGGAGAGGTAATCCATTTCTATGTCCAAAACATTCAAATAAAAATCCCCTTCAATCATGTCAGACTTTGTACATACTTGTGTGGTACTTATGTGAACAGTAAAACCTCCAATCTTAGGCCCTGTTTAGTTCCCAGCAAAAACTTTTCACCATGTCATATCGAATGTTTGTAGTTGGACACATGCATGGAGTATTTAATATAGACAAAAAAAACTAATTACACAGATTGCATGTAAATTACGAGACGAATCTTTTAAACCTAATTTCTCCATGATTTGATAATATAGTGCTACAGTAAACATTTGCTAATAACGGATTGATTAGGCTTAATAAATTCGTCTCGTGGTTTACAGGCAAAATCTGTAATTTGTTTTGTTATTAGTCTACGTCTAATACTTCAAATATGTGACACGCCGAAACTTTTCACCCTGAAAAAAGTTCGCACTTAATACAAAAATATGCACTTTCGCATATTCCCGGGAAAAAAATAAGTTCCTCCTAGTACAATCATGTCAGAAAGATTACATTTGATTTACTCAAGCACATAACTGTTGAACTCTTGTATGCAGACACGTGGTGTAGGTTTGCTGCTCGCGACTGAATTTGCTAATAACAAATCACCAAATGATCCATTTCCTGTTGAGTGGGGTAAGCAATAGTAATGATCATTGCATGTTCTTATAATCAGTAGATTTGGGATAAGAATTGCACATTATCTTATATCTATTCACTTATAGTTGCAAACTAATTCCTCCGTTTCACAATGTAAATCGTTATGCTAGAACGACTTACATTGTGAAACGGAGGGAGTACTTAACCTGAAGAATTATGGTATTTTACCATCTTATATACCACGGTTTAACCAAAACGTCACCACGACAAATGATTTACATGGAACAAATAAAATTTAAGGGAAATTATAGTGTAAAACTTGAGAAGCTGAAAATGTACCAAGAGCTACTAGGTACCTTAAGTTACAAATTTTTTTAGTGCAAAATTTTATACCTATAGTTACTTCCTCAATTACCATAAAATTTCTCAAAAGTTAGTGATATTGTTTCCAGGAGTTGCGCAAATCTTTGGAGCAGAGTGTAAGAAGCGTGGTATGCTAGTTAAGGTTGTTGGAGATGAGATCGCCATGTCGCCACCACTAATAATGAGCCAAAGAGAAGTTGATGGAGTAAGATCCTATTTCACAATACCATCATATTTCCTTAACTATTTTCTCGTCATAGATGAAAATAGCATTAATCTGTCATACTCAACTGCTTTCAGCTGGTGAGCATATACGGTGAAGCTTTGAAGGCCACCGAGGAAAGAGTGGCAGAGCTGAGGTCCAAGAAAAAATAGTTAAGAGACATTTGTTGTAAAAATAATGATAATATTACCAACAATTTTTGTAAGCTGGTGCACACAATAATTTTGTGTTGTTTTTTATTCTAATAATTCGCTGAAATGTTACTTCTTGCAAATAAAATGTGATATTTTATTTTTCCACCTAGATTTGCTAAGCTGATATTCTCACGACGTGTTTTACCCCCACATATACTCCACAACTTGATCTCATCATTTATCTTGGCCAACAATTGTGGCATGTATGTTTCTTATTCCAAACGCACGCACGGTTTTCATGGAGAAGGGACACAAACCCACATTCCAGGTGGCTTGCCGCGGAAACTCCTCAGCAAATATTGTAAAATCAATTTCATATTTATAAAATAAGAATAGCAATGTTTATGACATCAAATTAATTTCATCAAATCAAACATTAATATAGTTTGATACATGTACTATATTTGTTTTGTGTTTAAAATGTTGCTGGTAAGTGAATGAGGATGATGATGTCGATGAAGACGGTGATGGACCGAATGAACAAGGAGTCCAAAATCAAGAGTTGACGAAAGCAAGGTATAGCGTCTTCTCCTCCATCTCCTCCACAAATGAAATTCTATAGTCGATCGCTGCTATCCCAATTCAGATCCTCTGCAGTACTGCATATGCTGGACCCCCTCACTCCTGCTATCCAATTGAGCCGCCAACCGCCACCGCAGAAGGAAAGGGGCACGTCGCCTGATCCGTTTTAGGGGTTAAACCATAATATGATGAAGAGCGGGGGCTTCACAAGAAAAATTCCTCACCAATGCTTCCGAGTGCTACGCCGGTCTGAACAAATTTGATGGGCTCGTAGAATTTCAAGCTGACGAGACCGACCGAGTGACAGGTGAGCAGTGCAAACGGCAAAGCGTGTATCAGCGCACATGATGATGCGAAACGCTATCTGCTTGGCATTCATCTGCAACTTGGCAACTTGATTTGCGGGTGCGATGTACTCTCTCCATTAAAAAAAAACACACAAACACTAAGTTTCCGTATTTAACGTTTGACTGTGTATTTTATATAAATTTTTTTTATAATTAGTATTTTTTTTGTTGTTACATGATAAAACATGATTAATACTTTATACATGATTTGTCTTTTTATTTTTTTATAATTTTTTTAAATAAGACAAACAGTTAAACGTTGGAACGGAAACTCAAGGTTTATCTTTTTTTTTTTGGAACGGAGGGAGTATTATTTGGTCACGAGTGAGCATGATTTGATTCGCACAAGCACACCTGAAGTACTGTACTCCATTTTGCAAAATTTCTTCAAAATCCGTGTGGGACATTAGGCTTCCAAAAAAAAAGGCACATGAACTTTTGTTTGAATCAAACAACTGCCAGGGTGTACTCAACTACACATGGCTTCAATTCTGTAGACGCCATCTCTGCAAGACAATCTAGAGAGGGAAGGAGATAAACTCGTGACAAAGCAGACACGTGCTCAATGCGTAACAAGACACAAGCGTTTGAACTTGGATTCCCTGGCTACAGTCATTAAAATTAAATTTTTCCGGAAGCAAACAGTGCATTTAAAAACCAAAAGATCTTGCTCAACTTGATTCGTTTCAAAAACTGAAATCTATTACCTCCGTCCACAAAGAGTGCAGTTTTGTACTTTTCATATTCAATGTTTGATCGTCCGTCTTATTTGAAGATTTTTTATGATTAGTATTTTTTATAATTAGATGATAAAACATAAATAATATTTAATGTTTAACTATTTTTTAAAAATAATATAATTTTTTAAATTGACAGACGGTTAAATGTTGATATAGAAGCAACGACTTCACTTGAATTAGAATGGAGGTAGTATTTTATAAGAGCAATTCTACGGTTCTTGAGGAGGTACCATGAGATACTAAAAATTTAGTATAAAATTTGATACCTCATGGTATCTCATAGTACCTAGTACTAATGAGGTATCACTTTTTATCTCCTCAAGAACCATAAAATTGCTCATTTTATAATTATCCTTTTTTTTCTTTTTTTGGTTTTGGGACACTTCAGCTGGAGAAGGAGAAGAACAGTCTGCACTCTGCACACGTCCCCATCTCCCCCGTCTCTCCTGCGTTCTCTTCGCCTACCTTACGATAAACTTGGCCACGTCTCAATCTCTCTCTCTCGCGCTCTCCTCTCCTTCTATAATACTCGGCCTCCCCCTCGCTTCTCGCTCTGTTTCTCCGAGAATTAGGGGGGAGGTTGGAGCTGTGCAAGATGGTGATTGCGCGCGGCCTTCTCCGATCGAATGCCTCTTCTTCCTCCTCTCAGGTGAATGAATGTTTCTTGGATTCTCTCTCTATCTCGTAGTCGTCGATGCAAAAAGGCGGTTTCTTTTCTTTTTTTTTTCTTTCTTTCGATATGGTTGGTAGGATTAAGATCATGGAAGTTTGGAGTTTTGATCGGTGAGGGTTGGAGGATAAGCCTGGTTGATGTGGGATTGGGAAGAGGTGGTCCGTTCCTTTGTTTTTTTTTTGTTTTGTTTTTTCAAATTGAGATCACGGACTGTGCAGATTCTAAAGGGGGAATCTTTGTCCTTGTTCTTGATCCGTACCCATGCCCGAATTGTGTGCTGTTCTCAGCCTCTCTCAGGTTGGTAGAGGTGATAAATTTGTACCGTCTCCGGTTGGAATTTGCCAGTTTATACGGAGCGATCAGGGAGAGAGAGAAAATTTTCTTTTCTGAAATTTCAGCTCCCTTTGACTGACAGAAGTGTGCGAATCTTAGTTTCTTGGATTTCCCTTTTGTCTTTCGTGTGAGTTCAGTGTACCTGTTTTGTATGTTCATTACGGCTTTCGTGCTATATCGTCATCTGAAATTGACAGGCTAAGTTATAATTGAGGAACAGTGATGAGAAAATATTTGGCTGCTTCTTGTTTTTCAGACTTCAGACATCACCACAGCTGTTAAGGTTTGCATTGCCATTGCTCATATGAGATTTTTTTTTTTTGTTCTTTGTTCCCTTGTTTACAGGCAATCAACTTATTGAAGTATGTAACTAGCACTGGAAGTCTGCAAGGGCACACGCAAAATTTGTGTGATGCATCAACCAGACATTTCAGTTCAGTACCATCGCCCCAGTACAACTCAACTGAAGAGAATGGGTACAGAATGCATTCTGTTTGCCCTTGTTATGCTCCGGATGTCTGCTATCTTATATTTAAATCATGAATGCACGATGATCTTTCCAGGTTCAAGGGGCATGGCATGTTGGCACCATTCACAGCTGGTTGGCAGAGCACCGATGTTCATCCGTTAGTCATTGAAAGATCTGAGGTTCTGACTCTCAAACCTGGCATTATATTAGCTTATTTATCTTGCAATGTGGAATAGGATTTTGGGAACATGTTGATTGCTCTACCAAAATAGAAGGGGTGAACTATATTTTTCAGATGCTCACCTTACCTTATACATGCAGGGTTCGTATGTATATGATATCGACGGAAAGAAGTATCTAGATTCTCTTGCGGGACTATGGTGTACAGCTTTAGGTATGTGCAGCATTTGGAGTCCTTTTTTTTTACCATAAAGAACAGAAGACAGAATTGATGTATTCTTCAGGACGATAAGTTTAGAGTCGAATTCAGTTTAGTCTAATGAACTGTACGCAATGTCTTCAGGTGGTAGTGAACCTCGATTAGTCAAAGCTGCAACTGAGCAATTACACAAGTTGCCCTTCTATCACTCCTTTTGGAACCGTACGACCAAACCATCTCTGGTACATACTCTGTTGTTCTCAACAATTATTGGTGCATATTTAAATTGAAGAGAAGGGTAGTTGTGGATATCTTAATTTTATCAAAAGCATTTACTAAGTTTGCAAATATTGATTCTCGCGCTGCTACTTTCAGGATCTTGCAAAGGAACTGCTTAGCATGTTCACTGCAAGGGAAATGGGAAAAGTGTTCTTCACAAATAGTGGTTCAGAAGCAAATGATTCTCAGGTATGGTTTCTTTTTTGGGAATACGTAAAGTGTGTATGTTTGTATTAAGATTAGGAGTCATGTATGGTTTCTTAAAGAACTGGTCATCTCCTACGCTCCTCATACTATCAGTGGTATTACTATTACTAGTATTCTAATCTGTAGTGAATCTTTGAAGCTGCTTTGCATTATCCACAAAGACTTCTTTCTGGAAACAAAAAGGCACTGAAAAAAGTAAAACATGAAAAAGTGGAATAACTAAATTAGGATAATCTGCATGTTTCCTCCTAAAAAATGGTTCATTCGTTCCTAGCTGGCTAGTCTGTTACTCTTTCCACTGCCTTAACAGTTCATTCCATTGAACATATCTTTATGTTCATATTGAATATTGTAGTCCCTGAATGATAAATACTCGAGATTTTAGTACCAATCTTGTAATTTGTTCTGCCCCTTTCTCTTAATCTTCTCATGTCATTGTTCCTACATTGATAGTTTTCCACCATTCCTTATTACAGGTAAAACTGGTCTGGTATTATAACAATGCACTGGGAAGGCCAGACAAGAAGAAATTTATTGCACGATCAAAATCGTAAGTTAAAAAAAAAACTTCAATTCCTCAAACCAAGAAGTGTGTGTGTTTTTTTTTAAAAAAATGCTTCATTTCATCAATGGATAATTTGCATTGGCATCGATTTCCATCCACCTCGTCATTTCTATATCATGTGATCTCACTGTTAAGTTTCATGATGAAACACAAATGAATTTTGATTTTCATTCTTACTGTTGGTACACTTGTTTCAGATACCATGGATCAACACTAATATCAGCTAGTCTATCCGGGTAAGAAGTGCCCTCCAGAAAAATTAAATGAGTTTGCCTTCATACACCTAATTAACCCACTATCGTTGCCACTGAAAAGTCTGAAACCATTGCTCATTCCTCTGCAACTTCAGTCTTCCTGCACTGCATCAGAAGTTTGATCTGCCTGCACCTTTTGTTCTGCACACGGACTGCCCTCACTACTGGCGCTTCCATCTTCCTGGTACTCTTAACTGAAAATTTACTGTATGATTAATTGATCATCATACAAGCGTATTATTCTGATAATGACTTTGGTGGGAGACAGGTGAAACAGAAGAAGAATTTGCAACTAGACTTGCCAATAATTTAGAGGAACTTATCCTCAAAGAAGGACCAGAAACAGTACAGTCTTCTTTTCACCGGAACTTGTATTGTGCTAAGAGGTCCAAGGTTTACTACTCTACTAATCCAATGTGTATTTTCTCCTTCCAGATTGCTGCATTCATTGCAGAGCCTGTGATGGGTGCTGGTGGTGTCATACCTCCTCCAAAGACCTATTTTGAAAAGGTAATTCTAACTTAAGTGCATTCCTCGTGTTGTAAAATACTTGAACTCAGCGGCCAAAATTATGACTCTTTTCCCAATCCCAAGATTATGAAAAATACTTGGGACACCTCACCTATCATTGGAAAACTCCAGACGGCAAACTTGAAAAATACTGGCATTCCAACATGAGTACAATCTTGTTATAGCCATATGAAAATGTAAACCCTTCCTTGTATCATTTATTTAAACTATCAGATTGAATATAGTATAGCTTAGATTCATGTTTAATGAATTTTTTCAAGTACAGTTGTCTCGTCTAGATTACAGTGTTCCAAAAAAACAAAATTGCTTCATGAACTCCGCATCAAATACCCGAATTCCTTTTCCAGATTATCTTATGTCATTTTTTGTCTACCAACAGGTCCAAGCGATCGTTAAGAAGTATGACATCCTTTTCATAGCAGATGAGGTACTTTGCATATTCTACTGCATCATAAGAAAATATGCGATACAAAGAAATGTATGCAACTGTTACTAAGTGATGATCCATTCTAGGTCATTACTGCATTTGGAAGGTTGGGAACCATGTTTGGAAGTGATATGTATAACATCAAGCCAGATCTAGTCTCCATGGCCAAGGTGAGTATTCCAGTACCATCATGACAGGAACAGTGTTGCTTTTGCCCCTTTTGCATGGTCAACGAATTATGATCCTCTTTCTATCAGCGTTGTCTGATGTAAGACAAGTAATGAAAATTTCATTGCATCAGGCGCTTTCATCTGCCTATGTGCCCATTGGAGCAATTATGGTTAGCCCAGAAATATCAGATGTTATTCATTCTCAGAGCAATAAGCTCGGTAAGTTGGTGCCTTCATTGTAATGAGCTCAATCCTCTCTCTGGATTGACATTTGCTTGAGCTTCCCCAAAACATGACGTGTTGAAATCTTCCATTGCAGGTTCATTTGCTCATGGATTTACATACTCTGGCCATCCAGTTGCATGTGCTGTCGCCATAGAAGCCCTGAAAATTTATCAGTACGCTGCACTTCCTATAGTATCAAACCATGCTGCCTCTACTGGATTCTTGTTACTGATAATAATAAATATTTTACAATTGGTATCAGGGAAAGGAACATTCCTGATCATGTGAAGCAAATTTCTCCAAGGTTCCAGGAGGGAGTCAAGGCCTTTGCAGGAAGTCCGATTGTTGGAGAGGTATCCATCTCTTACTTATTTCTGCTGGTATTCTCATAGTGCAGAAGCTCCTTTCCTTGTTGAAAACATGATCAATGTGCTCCTACATGCAGATACGTGGTGTAGGGTTGATACTTGGAACTGAATTCGCAGACAACAAATCGCCAAATGATCCATTCCCTGCTGAATGGGGTAAGCAACAGTAGCAACTACAATGCCACCTCTTGTTTGTCCAGCAGCATCTTTCAGAATGCTAGTTCTTGTTTTTCAACCACTTAACCTGAAGCCTCATGATATGCTGTATTATCATAATACCACTAAAGTTCTTAATATAAAAATAACTAGTACAACTCTACTAGAGTTAGAATAATTAGTCAAATTCCATGATGTCCAAAGGTACATCATCACATGACCAGTAAGTACCCTTAACAAACTGCTCCTCCAAAGCGAAGCATGGTTCTCATGATACCAGTTGGCATTTTCAGGCGTCGGCGCGATCTTTGGAGCGGAGTGCCAGAAGCGCGGCATGCTGGTTAGAGTTGCTGGAGACAACATCATGATGTCACCACCATTGATAATGACCCCTGATGAAGTCGAGGAGGTAATTCATCAGATCAAAACTCACAGTAGCCACCACCCTTCTCTCTTTTCAGATCATAATAGACGAACTGAACTCTGAAGCAGTAATACTGAACATCCTTTTTTGACAAAACAGTACTTCTACTGAACATCTAAAACTGACGAACTGAACTCTGAAGCAACAGTATTGAACAATGAACATCTTTTTGTTGACAAAAAAAAAGTAATGAACATCTGAAACTGACGAACTGCAGTATTGAACATCCTTTTTGACAAAAAAAAAAAAAAACAGTACTGAACATCTGAAACTGTCCCCTCCATTGTTTTTCAGCTGGTGAGCATCTATGGAGATGCACTCAAGGCCACCGAGGAGAGGGTGGCTGAGCTGAAATCCAAGAAGAACAATTAGACCGAGTTGACAACTCCTCATCTTGCAACTGCACGAGACGACGATGACGATGATAATGCTGGCAGCGATGATGATGATGGTGATGGTGTTCTTGGTGGATGTACAGAGTAATAATCCCTCGTCTGTCAGAAAACTCTACTCAGAGAACAGTAATAACGCTGTTCTTAGCGTGCAAAAAATAATCAAAACAGCGATCATGCATTCACCCAGAACCGGTGAATCTTCACCAGATTTCAGTCTTACGCACGGGATTAGCTGCCGTGGTGAACTGGTGGTGACTGTCATCTTGTAGACCAAATCAGGTTGGAATAAATCAAATTTACATGAAGTCGCATGAACTGCACTGTTTCTTTGAGAATATCAAACTTTTACTCTCTCCATTGCCTATATTTATATAGATGTTACTCTCTCCATTTCAAAATATAAGGCACAACTACTCTTGACCCAAAAATGAAGAAACAATTATTACCACCTCTTTGTTTGAATCAATCCAACTAGAGCAATTCTACGGTCCTTGAGGAGGTACCATGAGGTACCAAAAGTTTAGTGTAAAATTTGGTACCTCATAATACCTAGGTATCAAGATGTACCAAATTTACAATAGAAAAAATGGTACCTCATGGTACCTCCTCAAGGACCGTAAAATTGCTCATCCAACTAATACAATACATGCATCCAATAGAATTAAACATCTTATGAGTGTATGATTTAAAAAACAATAATTTAGGAGAGAAGAGATGCTAATTAATTGCCATGCATGCATGCACGTCTTATATTATGAAACACCTTTAAAAAGTAGTTGTGCCCTATATTTTAGAATGGAGGGAGTAAGAGCAAGGTCAATAGTGCAGCCCACTACTAGCTCCAAATTATTTATATCCAATGTAATAGCTAATTCAAACAATAGTTGCTTACGATACTATTAATATCTGGTCCCACCTATCATACACAGATTACGTCTTGGAGCCCGTGCTGCAGCTGGTTACAGATCTGTAGCCCGCTGCTTTTCTCTCTCTTCTTTTATCTCTTTAAAATATGTTTATAGCTTGCTATTGTACCTGCTCTAATGAATTTAAGCATATATGTAAATGTGTCTAAATTCATTAACAATTATACGAATGTGTGCAAGATTATAAAATCTTACATTATGAAACGGAGGAGGTATGTTGCAATGGGAAGCAGCACATTGTTTCATGCATTGCTAAAGAAAAGCTTCATATTATTAAAGAAGAAAAAAAAGAAGAGATAGAATCGAGCACTGCAATGGTAGAACAGAGCCGGGTCATAGCTGAGCTGGAACTGGTAAACACAAGTTGAAATGGTAGGCAGGAACAGGTTTGCTTTTGGGTTCTTTAAGTGGGCCCGGTTGTCAGTGGGACCCTGCACGAAGGATGGTCTCCTCCCTCGCGCCACCAAACACAAGCAAATCGATGGAATGACTGCTGTTTCGAGCAGCGCCCTTACTCCACTGGCAGCATGGCCCCACATGTCAGTGACCGCGATGGCGTGCTTAGCTGGGCCAGCCAAGTACAACAAGGCGGGCCCCGAGCCGGGCCGTGTCACAGCTGGAAAGCCGAGTGGGCGGTGGGTAGGACCCACCAAAAAAAGCAATGGCGTCCACGTCAGCTTGGAATTCGGCACGACGTTTTTTTTACGGAAATGCCCCTGTACATTTGACTGCAGTATTTTGGTGATCTGCTTAGCCTTTCGGCGCCGTCTGTTCTGCCGTCCTGTAATCTGAAAACTACATGAGACCTCTCGCCACATGTACCTTGTGGTTAGGAATATCGCAAAAGTGAAACCACACAAAAAAATAATTAGCAGTATATTTAAGCTAACATGCTGGATCGAACAATCGAATCTGGATAAATAGGTTGCAGCATAAAGAACCCAATGAAATTTATTTTATTTTATTTTACTAGAGCCGATCAACTAGTACCTATTGATTGATCCGTAGCGATCGTTTTATTTAGATATTTGAAGTTTTATAGAACTCGGTAAACTGCATCAAAATGATATAATTTTTCTGAGAAAACCCCTCTTATTTGTGATGTAGTATAGACTTGAGATTCGCCGCTAGATCAATGACGACAAGGGGCAGAGAGTGGACATGATGATGGATGGCGAGATCACACAACATGGTCAGATGGGAACGAGGGACCATGTGTGAATGAATTGCTGAATGTTCTTGATCTTCTTCTTCTTTTCAAAGGAAACCTTGACCGGTCGTTGACGAGATTAATAACAGTTGAAATGTTCAGGGTTTGGTGACACCATGATGGACCGTAGAACGAGCTACCATCCTAACCGTCCTTTGATTTGTAGGTTGTCAAATTGTGACAGGTTGATGTGAATTGCTTGCCAAAAGTCTCTGACGAAATGGCTATGGCCAACTGGAAAGAAAAGCCAACCTTTCAGCTGTATCTTGTATCTGAACTTCTCAAGAAATGTTTAATATGACACTCCTGATTCATCTCAATAAAACAAACCAGTTTGACCGGTCAGAAAGTGTTCTTGTGTCATCGAAAAAGAAGAAGAAGAAAGTGTTCTTGTGTGCAGTAATCAGCGTGTAATGATGCTGCAACAGGAGTCACTTGCAGTCACTCATGCAGCTTTGCAAGGCTCCAAGATTTGGCCGAACCTGAATTTTATTCCAATTGGCCTGCAAGATCCGGAGATGCAAAACAGTGCTCATATTAAACGTCAGCACACGTGATGCTGGATCTGAAGCTCGCGCAAGATTACAAAGAGGATAAACGGTTGCAGAGATTCTGATGTTTGCAAAAAGGAAGTGGAGATTTCCAAATGATTGATCCGATGAGTACCATTCAGCATGTGGGAGGCTGTCAATTAACATAAGAAATTCTTGAAAGAACATCGATTTGATCAGTTGTAGTTTGATTCTAACACGCTGAAACTACGGTTTGGAAGATAATTATTACGGTTCTTGACCTGCAAAGTTGTCCTGGTGAAAATTGATTAAACTTTTGTCAATCATGGTTAATCATTCTTACCTTACTAAACTACCTAGCTAATCTACTGTTACATGTGAATCTGACTATACATTTTCACAAGGAAATGCTACATACTGACCGATCTGAACATTAGAAGAGATGCAAACAAAAAGGTTAAGAAGCTGGCCAGGCAACAAGAATCTAAACTAAGCTAACATGTAGACTTTCTTTTTGCAAAATTAATGTCAGTGACAGCATCAGCATGCCAAAAGCAATTGCTGCTATTTGTATCAGAAAATTGAAGATGAGCAAGAAGAAGAGGAGTTTAGCTGTGGTCGGTTTGGACGGCTGATCATTAGTGGCCGTCCACTGCAATGTGGGGCCTATGAGAATGAGACCAGCCAAAGAGAGGCAAAAAGCCAAAAGTTTCCTCCATTCTTCTCCTATAATCTCCTTGGATTTTCATGTTATTTTTTCATGGAGTTTGTGGTTGGGCTCAACTGGACCAGCTTTTGTCTGTGCCATGATGCCATTTTCCAAATTAGTTTTTACACTAAATTTAAGGTGGTGGTTAGCCTTATCATCCCAGAATATCAAAAAATAATAAGGGCCAATTTGGCTAGTACCATTACAAAAATCACGGAGTTGGAAAATACCATCGTATGTGTCATTGACATGTGGGTCCAGGCCCCACATGTCATTCTCACGTACGATGGTATTTTGCAACTCACGTATCTTTGCAATGGTATTTTCCAAATTTACCCAAATAATAATTGGTAAACTTGGCAATGACTTTTATATATATCTTGTATGATTGATGTAGACTTAAAGGTTATCAGTTGTTGCCAATGCATATTCATTAGCCAGCATGCATAGGGTACTATATGAGATTGAATTGTCTGCTACGAAGGACTAACTTTTTGTGTATTGAATTAGTCTCTTTGGTGGATGAATCCATAAAGAACCTTATGTGATTTGTGGCCTTCTCTTTTTGTATCCAACATTCTGAAGTTCTTCAGTAGAAATTCCATGCATGAACTATATCCTCGCTGACTACAACAAATCATTAATTTTCCCAATAATAATTGGTTTACATTTCTGATCATCTATCTGCGTTATGAAGTTGATAATTATAAGTTATCAGGATCACACATGAAAATGATTGGAGTTCATTGTTTGTGGATGAGCAGAGAGATTTTCTTGCAAGGTAATCCAAAACCAGAAGACGTGCACGATGGAAGCACCTTTTGGAGTGCACTTTCCATGTATCATTTTCTCCCAAGCAAAGTGATGCTAATCAAATAGAAATAATTCACCTTCAACAAGAACTCGTCCTCCGAAAAGAAAAATAAAGGCTTTCAAGTGGGATATGAAAATGACCTGATGAGAAAACAAAATTATTTGTCATTTTGTTGTTCAAAATCGTTTTAAGATTTATTTTGTTGGACCCCAGAGGAGGTACAGAAAAAAGATCAAATGCTGGTTTGTCTAGTTAGGCGGCTAGATGACGATGTCATTATTTATTATCACAAGTTTGAAAGAGCACCTCATGAGTAAACTCCATAGATGAATGTGCACGGCAAAGTCATATATTTCTTGCTTGCATTTATTTTTATGTTAGAAAAAAAAGGATAAATTCTGGTACCACAAATATAGCGTATGGTATTTTTAACATGATTTTATGATATCAGAGATGCATCATTGGTTTTCATCTTTTTGAGCGTGTGTTAGGAAACGTATTTACTAGTGTGTGAGTGTGTTGTTATGTCTGTAGTGGTATACGTGTGTCTACCGTGTAATCGCAAAAATAAAATAGAGAATAAATTACAATTCCATTCACACGCCATTAATAATTAACCACCACATTTAAGAAAAGTTTTAAAGAGTAGTAAAGACCTAATAAAATGAGGCATAAGTTTCTACAATTAATCCACATATTTGAATCAACTCTAATATAGTAATATTTGAAGGAAAAAAAAATCTAATTATTACTGTAAGAAAATAAAAATCTTAAATAACAATATTTTTCAACTTTCAAATTTCCATCTGAATAAACTTCCTACGAAACCGCTTTCCCCAGCCCCCAACATACATTACGCAGGCTGCGGCTGTCGTATAAAGGGGCAATACCGTAATTTCCCTTGCCCGATTTCACCCACTGACAGATGGCCCCCACAATCCATGGGCCCCACAGGGCAGTGACTGCATACGCCGTGGGCCCCATACCGGCGAGCGCCTGCAGGTGGGGCCCACCCGCGAGACCCGGCCAACTCAGCGGCGCTACATATAAACCCCCACGAAGGAAAAATTCGTTAAAACCCCCGACGAAATAAAAAGATTCTCTCTCTCTCTCCTCTCCCTGCATCGATCGATTTCTCGGGGGAGTTTTCTTCTAGCTTCGGTTCTTGATCGTTGGTGATTGCTTGGAGCCTTTGAGCCACCAGGAGGAAGGAGGAGGAGGAGGAGGAGGAGGAGAGATAGAGGAGAGGCGGCGGCGGCGTCGGACTGGGGCACTGTTCCAAGGTGGTGAGCAATCTGTTTTGCTTTTTTACTTTTTTTTTTTGGCTTCCCGATTTTTCCTTTCTTGCTAGTTTTCAACTCGATTTCGTCCACGGTCTGCATCATCGACGAGTGGCGCAGTGGTATTCTGATACGGGATAGTTTACTTTCTGTGCTATTTCGATCTGAATAGTGGTCGAGCTCCTCTGTCTGAAACTCTGAATCGTCCTAATGGGGGTGGTAGTTCTTGAGATTACAGCTGCTTTCCTCTTTTTTTTTTTTAATTTTTGCGTTGCTTTTGCTTCTTTCCCGTTGTTTTGTTCCCTTCCGTTTTGGAAATTTTGATCGGGTCTTGGACTTCTGTTATGGACATGCATGTTGTGTTGCCACTGATGGATTTGTTCTTCAAAGAAAAGATGATTGTTCTGTTCATCGTCTCAATCAGATCGTCCCTCTTTTCTTTTTTGTTACTTTTTGAGTGCTGCAGCTGGCATGTCTCTGATTTTGGTAGGCAGTGATCATGGGAAAAGTTGGTGAGAGCTCGTACCGTCGTTTTTTTTCGTCTCCGGCTTTTATTTTGGTTGGTTGCTGGGTTTGGTTTGGTAGTAGCTTCAGGGTGGTTCTTGAAAGGTCAGTGAGCTCGGATCAAGGTCCTCGATTTCGATCGATCATTTATTGATTGATTGATTCAGATTTCGATCGATCATTTATTGATTGGTTGATTGATTAGATCTTGTGCTAGTTCATGTCCTGTGCGTGTAAATATGCGATCTTTTTTTTACTGATCGCTTCGTGTGAAGTTGGTAGGCTTTGGAGGAGGAAGAAGAGATCAGCTGATTCTTAATAATTCCATTCTGTTTTACTTTATCAGGAGAATTGGACTCCAGCTGTTGCTTTTTATCTGATCCTTCGTCATCCAGTCTGTACACGCATTCATTTGTTTTCTAATATAAATCTTGTTCGACTTTTTGATCAACTTCTTTTTTATAATCAGTCCTGCCTTGGTAGATAGGATTCGATTTGTAGGTTGTGGAATCATTGCACATTAGCTTGGTGCAAGGATTTGATGCTGATGGTTCTTGCTTTTAGTTTTGCAGAGAGAGTAGCCTCCAAAGATGGAAGTTGAACAGGCTGCAGAAGTAGGAGAGGTGACTGCTCCTAAGTTGCCTGATAAGGCAGTCGACAAGGCTCAGGTAAGATATCATATCATTAATCATATAGTAAGTGTTAAGTTCATGCTTGCGACTCCTAATGATCTTTGATAAATGAGTATAGTTGCCAATTGTACAAGATTTTGTTAGGATGTTTAATTTATGTCCCTTGCAATAGCTTGTTCATCGTTTTTAGTTTAGTGCTCTGGGTTCCAGCACTATCACACTAGCATTTTTCTTGAGGTACAGAAAAAGGGCAGTTTCTGAACTTCATTTTGGGTTCTGAACAGGATGTTGCGTACTTGCGTTCATTATTTTTTTTATTCATTAAATTGGTCTCTGGAATCCTGAAAATCTCAATCCTGAAGTTGCAAAGCAAGATAAAGATTGGGCCCCTAAGGAACACTAATCACTGAATTATATGTTGAACATTGCAATGCGGTTCCCAGGATTGGTTAGATGAGGTTGTGTTATAAAATTCATTTTAGTTGTCAGTTTAAGGTCTTAAATATTTCCACGGCATGCCTATTTCCATCCATTACATTGGGCAAGGTTCTAGATGGAGAGTATGCTTCACTGATGACATCCTTATCATTTGGCTTGAAATTCCAGAGATCATTGAATTCTCATAGTGCCACTGTTGCAGGTACATGATGATGACAAGGAAAATCTAGTGAATGGTAATTCAAATCTGCAAGTGAAGGAAGCACACAACGATGAGGATGATGGCACAGGATCAGACGGTTTTGAGCTGATAGATGTGAAGGAGAATTTTGATTCTGCAAAAGTGGTGGAAGAAGAAAAGGCTAGTCCCATAGAGCAAGGAAAAACTGCAGCGCTTGAAGAACAAGCGCTCACGAGAGAATCTGCCATGCTAAACCAAGAAGCAAAACAACTGGAAGAACTAACGAGGCGTATTGAAGAGCTTGAATTGGAAAAGGAGAAATTGGTAAAGGGCGTGACAGAAGCAGAAAACAAGCAGAACCTGCATTACACTTCTCTACAAGAAGCACAGAGATCTTTAGCTGATAAAGATAAGGAGCTGGCTGATGCAACTCAGTCACTGAAGGAGCTGGGTTCTGAGCTTGAGAGCTCAAAGGAGAGGATTCAAGAAATTGAAGCTGAATTAGCTGCGTCCGCTGACAAGCTCCACAAACTTGAAGAGCTCAAGGATGAAAGAAGCTTGCATGCTGCGCAGGAGGCGAAGAGGGCCTCAGAACTTGACAAGACGCTTGAAACGGCACAGTTGAACATGAAAGAGATGGAAGCTCAGATCAGTTCTCTTCAAGAAGAGATAAAGGGGCATCAAGATAAGGCCATTGATCATCAGCAAGTGGAAGAATCACTGAGAAGCACGCTCTCAGAACTCAAGATGGTACAAGAGGCACTGGAGTTGTCAAAATCACAAGTGGACGATTTGGAGCAGAAGCTTGCCTCTCAGGATGCTAACATCAGTCATCTCACTGAAGAGTTGAGTCTCCATCGTTCATCTGAAGAATCGCTGAAGGAAAAAACTCTTAAATTAGAGAATGAACTTTCTTCTGCGCATGAAGAGCTGCAAGCAAAGATCCTGAATTTGCAGGAAATGGAGATCAAGCTCGAAGAGCAGGCAAAGGAAAAACAGACTTGGGAAGCTACATTGGAGAAGCAACAGGAGCAGATACTCAACCTGCAGACTGAGCTCGATGAATCAAAGGGCGGAAATGAAACTCTCCGAGGGACTATAGCTGATCTTAACTCAAAACTTGCAGAGAGAGACTCTCTTCTGCGTCAAGCTGAAGATGAGCATGCTAAAGCACAGCTGCTCCTCTCAGAAGCCCTGTCACATAAAGATGAACTGGAGGTAAATCTGAAATCTATCAATGAGCAGCATGGTGAGTCCAGAGCTGCTGCAGAAAATGCAAGCCAGAAGATTCTAGAGCTTGAAGCACTACTCCAGACACTTCATGCTACTGAAGAGGCTTTGAAGTTACAGCTAGAAGAGGCTGAGGCAAGGGTGGAAGTTGCTGAGAAGAAAGGTTCAGATCTTGAGCAACTGCTCGGTGAATCTGAGAACAAATTAGTCGCTTCCAGTGGAGAACTAAAGTTGTTGGAAGAGCGTGTTCAACAAGAGGCAGCTTCATCAGCAGAAAAGGAGAAGCTGCTTGAAGAAGCAACGAACAGTGTGGAGGCGTACAAAGAAAAGATCAATGAGTTGCAAGCATCTCTGGATTCCACGACGTCTAAAAATCAGCTGCTTGAACAAGAAGTCAAGGACCTGTCTGACAAGTTTACAGAGCATCAAGAACAAGCTCATTCGGTTCACGAAAGAAGTCTTGAACTGGAGAGCCTGCTTCATACATCGAAGTCTGATGCTGAAGTTGCACACACCCGGACACAGGATCTTGAAAATGAGCTGAACACTGCAAATGAAAAGTTCAAGGAGGTTGAAGCAGACCTAGAACAGTACAGGAGCAAGGTTTCTCAGCTTTCCGATGAACTAGAAGCATACCAGACAAAAGCAGCTAGTCTTGAAGCTGTGATGGAATCTGCAAGCGAAAAGGAGAAAGAGCTTGTGGAATCTCTGGGTCAAATTACTGAAGAAAAGAAGAAACTTGAACTACTAGTATTGGAGTATGAAGAGAAGACCGAAGAATACTTAAAGGAAAAACAATCTTTGGAAGAGAGGTTGCAGAGCCAAGAATCCAAGGTGCTGGCTTTAGAGGAATCGTTGGTGAAAATGGGAGAAGAAAAAGAAAGTCATGAGGGCACCATTGCTGATCTTAATCTACAATTATCCAATAAGAATGACATGTACATGCAATTGGAGTCCCAGTTAAGTCAGGCCGGGGATGATCATAGCAAAACAAGATCACTTCTATCTGAAGCACAATTGCACAAAGAGGAACTGGAGTTAAACTTGAAATCTCTTAATGATCTGCACGTCGAATCCAAAACAGCTGCGGAGTCTGCATTACAGAGAATTGCAGAGCTTGAAACTCAGGTTCAGGAATTAAGTGCTGCTGAACAAAGTTTGAAGTCACACCTTACTGAGTTTGAGTCAAAGTTGGCATCTGCTGAGAAAAAGAGTATGGATCTTGAGCAAGAGCTTAAAGATGCTACAGAGGAATGCAACAGTTCCCGTTTGAGAGTCGATGAGCTTTCTGGGGAGCTTGAAGAGTACAAAGAGAAAAGAACTAGCCTCGAGGCTTCATTACTCGAAGCAAAACAAAAGGAGGCTGAGTTGTCAGAGAAGTTGGATCAAGTTAATGAAGAAAAGGAGAAATTTGAAGAGCTGTCCAAGAAAGCTACCATAAAACATTTGGAAGCAGAGAACCAGGTCCAAGCCTTGCAAGGCGAACTAGAATCGGCCCGCCATAAACTGGAAGAGGTGGAGTCTGATCTTGAGGCCCTTGGTATTAGAGAAACCTCAGTACTTGACAAGCTTAAATCTGCCGAGGAGCAGCTTGAGCACAAAGGAAAGGCACTAGAACATGCCACTTCCAAGAAAATTGATCTGGAAGCGCTGTACCAGTCCTTACTTGAAGACACAGAGATGAAGCTTCAGCAAGCAGGGGAGAACTTGACCCAGAAGGAGACAGAATGCCAGGAGTTGTCTGAAAAATTGAAGGCAGCTGAGGAACAAGCAGCATCTTATCAAGCAAAAGCAACTGCAGCCGCAGAAGAGGTGGAATCCGTGAAGGTGGAGCTTGAAGCCTTTGAGACGGAGATATCTACTCTTGAGACCACCATTGAAGAACTTAAGACCAAGGCCTCCAATGCCGAGTCAAGGGCCGAACAGGCTTTGGTTGAGAGTGCAATGATGAGTGAGACAAACCAGGCCCTAAAAGAGGACCTTGATGCTAAGCTGGCCATGCTTCGTGAACTACAGGAACAGTTTGATTCTACTCATGCTGAGAAAGAAGAAGTTTTCACGAAGCTATCTGCGCATGAGAAAACGATAGAGCATTTGACTGAGGTGCACAGTAGAGGCTTAGAACTCCACGCTACAGCTGAATCAAAGAATGCAGAACTTGAAGCGCAAATGCATGAAGCTCTTGAGACAATAGGGAAGAAAGATTCAGAAGTAAAAGACTTGAATGAGAGGCTGGCTGCTCTTGAGTCCGAGATTGAAAGTTTGACGCATGTGAATGAAGCCATGAAACAGGAAATCAATGCTAAGCTGGTCAAGGTTGATGAGCTGCAGGAGAAATTGAGTTCCATAAGTTCTGAGAAAGAAGAAGTTGCAGAGAAAGTGGTTGTTCATGAGAAAACAATAGAACATTTGAGAGAAGAGCACTCAAGGGGCTTGGAGCTCCAGTCTGCTGCTGAATCGAGATCTGCAGAAATTGAGAATGAACTGCGTGAAGTTCTTGAAACAGTAGCTCAGAAAGAAGCTGAAGTTACAGACTTGAAGGAAAAGCTAGTTTCACTTGAAACTGAGAATGAAAAACTGGTTGGTATAAATGAGGCCCTGAAAGGGGAACTGGATACTAAGGTGGCAATGTTCGATGAGTTACAGGAACAGTTCAGCTCAACTCATGCTGAAAAGGAAGAAGCTGCAGAGAAGCTAGCTGTTCATGAGAGAACAATTTCGCACCTGACAGAAGTGCACACGAGAAGCTTGGAACTCCACTCTGCAGCTGAGTCAAAGAACGAAGAAATTGAAAGTAAGCTCCATGAGGCCCTTGAGATGGCAGCACAGAAAGAAGCTGAAGTTAAAGACCTAAGCAAGAAGCTGGATGCTCTTGAAATAGAGTTGGGATATTATGAGGAGCAGGCAACTGAAGCTGCTGCTGCTGAAGAAACGCATAAGATTAAGTTTGATGAAGCTGTGCACAAAATAAAAAGCCTAGAAGAACAACTTGCAGTAACAGAAAACAAGGTTGAGCTTTTCCATACCGAGAAAGAAAATTTGGTTATTGCAAATAGCAAATTGAATGAGGAGCTGGAGTTACATCAGAACAAGCTGAATGAATTGCAAGTAGCCCTTGCTGCAGCAGTAGCAGAAAAGGAGGGGTCATCTGAAGAGATTCATTCATTGAGGAAAACACTAGATGGCATGATTCAACGGAAGGAAGAGCTGGAAAGCCAGGTAATGAAGTTATTCATAATTTTGTTAGTAGTTTGTTATTGCTTCTTATCTCCTGTAGCTCTCTCTCAACAGTTATATTGCTATTACATATTTTGTAGCTTTAAGAAAGTTATCTCCCTTTCAGGTATCTTCTACTGTCGAAGAGCATGAAGAACTGAAGAGCAAGTACAATATTACGCTGGAGGAAAAGCAGTTGTTGAATGAGAAGTATGAATCTGCAAAGAAAGAGCTTGGGGAAGCAATAGCTAAATTAGAGGAGCAAATGAATGTTGACAAGTCAGAAAAAGAATTGCACATCTCAAAATTGGAGAGGCAGATCACATTGTCTGAACTAAAATACATGGAGGAGGTATATATTCATTCATTTCCCGTTAAACTATTTGGGATTGAACTTGGATGTTTTATCTGTATAATGAATCCAATCTGTGCAGATCCAAACCATGCAAGTGGAAACAACTGAAAAGGATGAGGCGCTTACAACCAAAATGCAAGAGCATGCAAACTTGGTCCATGAAAAAGATGCGTTGGAACAACAATTACTGGAAGTTAGGAAGGAACTAAATGATGCTTACCATACCATAGCAAATCAGGTAATTTTATAAATATATTTCAAAAGCACAATATTTTTTTTTCTTATTGCTAAGTCACTCTGCTACATGTAAAAGGCATGACTTGAACATTCTGACGTTTATCTGAGCTAGTCTTGACCTTTTCCTTCTTTTTGCAGGAAGAGCAAGTTTCAGTGAGGGAGATAAAGTGGGATGCATATAAGAAGTTCTCAGAGGATCAACTTGAAGCTGAGCAGCAGCATGTTGCAGAGCTGGAAGTACAAGTATCATCTCTTAAACAACAGCTGCAAGAAACTGAGATCCATTACAAGCACAAGGTGGGTTTATTATTTGAGTGCTATATACTTTTTCAGTTTTTGCGTGTGACATGGTTGCTATTGGCTGATTGTCAAGGATTTATTGGGATCTATTCTGAGTCTGCTGTGCTCCATTTCTCATTCAAAATTGACCTTTCATGACCAAAGACTTGCTTAATCAATTCTAAAAGAACTTCGGTAGGAGATATTTTGGCAACCATGAGAAATACTTGTCTCTTTGAGCTACACTCTTTCACATCAACTTTTAGTTAAATGTTTCGATATTTATGGTAACCTTATAATGAGTAGTCTTTCCTTTTGCAGGAAGAACAGGTTTCTCTAAGGGAGGTTCAATGGGAAGCAGATCAAGAACATTCAGTGAGTGAGCTAAAAGCTCAGCGTCAGTATGCTGCAGAATTAGAGAAACAAATTGGAGCTCTTACACAGCAGTTACAATTGGTTGAAAAACAGTATGAGCAAAAGGTAAACTTTATCCTTTTCGGGGTAATTCCTTGCAAAAAAAGATGATCATCACAACATAGCTCAGCACATACTCCAATTTAGTAGGGTACCCTATTTAATATGGCACAAGGGGTCTTTACTATCATGTCATAGTTGTCACTGATTATCACTAATACAAAAGCTGAAGATAAACTCATTCAATACTGTCCACCCACTGATGGATGGCACTTCGCTTCGCATCTAATAATTCCCATGGCGTTGAAATTTGAATTTCGACAATTGCGTTGGCATTTAATAAGTTCATATGCATGATGTGGTCTTTCATTTATAAGTAGGAGAAATTTTTTCCCCACATATTGAATTGTCTTGGATTTCCAGGTTACAGAAGAGAGGGAGAAACTTGCTCTCGTTAACACGGAAGTCAGCAAGTTGACACAGAAGCTTAGCAAGAGTGCTGAAATGGAGAAGAAGATAGAACACCTTGAGCAGAAATTGCAGGTAGCTTATGCCAAATCCGAAAAAGAAATGATATGGAATATCTGAATCAACACTCGCTATCTAGTCATCTAGTACTATGAAATAAAATAATCAATCATACCATCTTTTTGCAGGCAAAAGATTCTGTGGAATCGACATCCCGCGACTTCAGCCTTGACTCATCAACGCTGCCAAGCAAACAACGCGACAGATCGCTGGCTCCTGAAACGACACCTCCAAACCCAACACAACAGCAAGAACTGCGAGAGCCTTCTGGTATCATGGCCTTTAAGTTCATCCTGGGAGTCGCGCTGCTGTCCGTGCTCATCGGTGTATTTCTTGGGAAGAGATACTAGCGTTTATGCCTTTCAGAATGTCTACTGGGAAACCCCATTGTCAATACTGCTTTCGGTGAACCTCAATTGTCTTAGCAGTTGAAAACTGTGCAAATTCTGCAAAAGTTTGAAAGATTTTGGTAGGCTTCACTGGAACAACAGATTCATGACTTCCAGGGAGAAGTCAGAAAATCTTGGAAGTTTTTTCTCCTCTTGTTGAGTAATTCCATTTAGTTTCATTTTTTGGTTTAGGGGGCTAGGAATATGATTTTTGTTTCATTCCTACCCTTTTGCATGCAGAAGGCCATCTGCTGCATGCAATTGGTTTTGCTGTCAGCTTGTATTTACATCTGTATGTAAAGAGAACATCGGTTCGGGGACAAGAAATATATGCCTATGAAAATTTGTTCATATTTCCAATTGTGTGAGTTGCATTGTCCTGTACAAACTGCAGTGTTTTCCATTTGCATCTTCAGCTGGTAGGCCGAAAGTTACCTCCATTGTCTTACAAAATAGTATTCTGCATTTGCGGGTTGGAAAGAAAGAAAAAGCCCTTATCTTATCCAAGACCAGGTTTTCAGCACTATGAAACCTTTTCAGCTATAATTCTTGCACACAATGATCAACTGATACACTTCTGTATTTCATCCACTTCCACTTGACAGTGCTAACTTTCTTTGGTGGTCATGTGATGCACTACTTTGCAGGTACATGCATCATGCATGAGCTTTATGCTGTACTCCAGCATTGTAGGTAAAGGGTAACCATGATTCTGAATGAGATAATCAGAAGCTTCAATTTTCAAACACTTCTCCCTCCTTTAACTAACAGTGCCACTGCTAGCGCTAGCAGAACGGGAGATGAACAGTCTGAAACTTTGAATGCCACGATAACATGAACAGTTTGTTTTGGGGGCTAGATGTTGTTCTGAAAAAAGAAAAGAAGATACCACCTGATGTCATGAACTCATGATAGCACACTTTAGGATATTTTTGTTCAGATAAGATCATGACTCATGAGAAAGGGGAACAGTCTCCATGGCAGGTGTGGTTTGGACAGCAAAATCTGTGAAATCAATGCGTTGAGTTAATCTATGTGATGAACAAATTGTTAAAGGTGGGTGTTTCGGAAAATACGATGCACAGTGTTTTCAGCCGTGAACGGTGCATGTCGGCGCTGGGTGTCCGGTCTGACCGGGTAGCCCGACGGTCAGACCGGTAGACTTCGGGTTGGAGTCGGTTTCGAAGTATTTTTATGGAATTTCTAGATTGTTTCATATTTATGATTTCTAGAGTGTTTCTATTCGTATGTGATACTATTGTGTGTTGATGTGAGTCAAGTTGGTCTTCAGTGTGTTTTTCTCTGAATCACGACAGTCACACCAGCGACAAGGCGGCGGTCCAACCAGCGGTGACATGGCGGTCAGACAGGTGGCATCCACCCGGTCAGACCGACGCACACACGCCGGTCAGACTGATCTCCATTGGCTACGAGGGTAACCTTTAATTCCGCTAAAAGTTTTAAGTTTTTGGTGTTTCAACCATTCACCCCTCTCTAGTTGGTTTGATTCTTGTATTTCCTACAAAAGTATCTGACGGATAATATCAATTCTGAAATTCCTTTGCAATTGCGTGCAAAAAGATCAGACGGCCCATCGATCAGTTCTTGAGCTTTCAGTCTGCTTTTGTGTTAGTACTAGCTAGAACTATTTGGTGAATCTACTTTCCTATTATTATTGTTGGAGACTAGTACTAGTAGTGCCTTTCAACAGGATTTTCAGTGTTGGTGAGGTTGATGATGATAGTTAAAGACCCTACACTGTATGGGACACTGTTAAAAAGGATTGGCGTCCACAGCATCAGGCTACAAATACCCATGTCTGAAAAATCTTCAGAGACTCTGGTCACAAGCATGTGGCATAGGACTATAGGAGTACTCATTAGTGTCTTAATAAAGCTCATTAACTTTTCTATCATCATCCTGATGGGGAACATTATGGGGTCAAAACCACAGATTAATTATTAATGTGCTATGCTTTGCAAGCAGTGCTTGTGTCTGATATCTGCAGCCTTTGCATTGCAATGCATACTAGTAGTATCCTGGCATTCTTGCACGGATCAAATGAATGGCTATTTTAGTGACAGCCATCATTTAGGTATACTAATCACCATTCCTTTTGTTCATGGACACTAAATCCAAAGAAATCCATCCAATTTGGGTAGGGGAGTGAATTGACCTGAGTAGACAGCCTCAAAGAGCACAATTAACAGTACAACTTTCGGGTGGACCAATCTATAAAACAAGAATTTCCCACCAAACAAAATACTCTTATATGCTTATGCCACTAGAGTGTCACCTACTAATGAGGTGAAGACAGCATGCCACCCCTACGCGAGATGTGACAAATTCACTTCAATAGATTGGCAAATGGCATAGCACATAGCACAAACCTCCAATTTGTCCTTAAAGAAAGGTATAAACCTCCAAAACTCTTGATGCCTCGATGGAAAAAATGAAGTAGTGGAAGGGGGGCCATTGTTCTTACGATTGATCATTGATGAGTGAAAAATTGTATCTTAGGGGCTGTTTGGTTTCCAGGGACTTATTCCAAGTCGTCACATCGGATGTTTGGACACTAATTTAGAGTATTAAACATCCACTAATTACAAAACCTATTCCATAAGCTTGGACTGATTCGCGAGACGAATCTTTTGAGTCTAATTACGACATGATGTGGACAATGTGATGCTACAGTAAATTTTTGATAATTATGGATTAATTAGGCTTAAAAAATTCGTATTGTGGATTAGCTCTCATTTATGAAATTAGTTTTTTTATTAGTCTATGTTTAATACTCTAAATTAGTGTCCAAACATCCGATGTGACATGGGCTAAAAAGTTTGACCCATTTAAACACCCCCTTAGTATACATATGACAAAGAATTGTGATAACCTACGAATCTCTTCTAATTAATAATAGAAAAACACGAGCTGGGCATAGTTGGTCAGGTCAGAGTTTAATCAATCGTTTTTGGCATTTGTATTAGGGGTGCCAATATACCGAAATTTCAGAAACTCCGGTCTGAAATTATTTGATTTTCAAACAAAATTTAGTCAAATTTGAACAAAATATTGTCAAATTCACAAAAAAAAATAAAATGTTTAAAATTTTGGCCAAAATAATGTCATTGGGGGAGGGGGGGTCGATAAAACCAAAATTTTGAACCCAGGGTTAGGTTATGTAACCTGTCCATCCAATTTCACGTACTAGGACTTTACACAGATGCTCATATTTACAACTATTTATTCTTTTAGTGAAAGGTGGTATACCCTTCGATTGTACGGGTCATGTAGTGACTTTATCAGTCTTAATGTATGTCGGCTCAGTTTTTTGGATGTGTCAATAGGAGTAGGATGTGTCATGTGTATGGGCACGTTCAGGATGAGTGTGCGTGTGCATACGAGTGTTTGCATTTATACTATGTTCTGAAAATAATAATAATAACTAGAAAATGTGCATCTTACATAATATTAGGATAATTTTAGGTTGGATTTGTGTCAATGTGGATTCTCCCTCTATCCTATAATAAACCAATATTTGAATACGAATTTGGGCATTACCAATGTCTACCTTAATATACAAAAGTTTTTTTTTTCTGAAATAAAGAGAGTGTTTTTCGCAAACACAAATAAAGAGAGTGTTTCTTAGCCTAATTGACGTATACGACCTTATCTAGTGTAGGTATGCCGCCCATGAATAATTTTTTTGGTTTCTTCATATTTCGCTTAGAGCGAAGGTAGATTATTTAGCCAAAAGAAACCGGAGGGGGAACAAGTTGTTTTTGTGCGTCAGGTCTTATGGTTAAATAGAAATGATATTGTTTTTATAAGAAATACATTTTAAAATTTTTTAAGCTAATACTTAATTAATCACGCGTTAATTCATCGCTCCATTTTGCGTGTGAAGGGAGGAGTTCCCAGCCCCTCCAAAAGAATACGGCCTAAAAAATTGACACAGTATCCATATAATCCAATACGGAGTATTATCGTACTAGGCACTAGACTATATAGCATTCTACACCCTACTATACGTTTGAATTATACATTTGAATGTGCAGTTGAAATATCATGGTGCCATCATGTGCATTTGTTGAGATGGCAAGAAACAACCTACGAGAGTCCAAGGGCGTCCAAGGGCTATGTTTAGTTTCGTGGCCACGTTTTGCCTCATCTTGCCATAAAAAAAGTTAGATAAGTTTAATCAGGTTAGGCTATATGTTGTCACACTTTGCAGCAAGATTCATTCCTCATTAGGTAGGCCCCATATGTCAATGGCACAGAAGAATGTGGCAATGTTATCTTCCTTTAGCTAAAGTGTGTGGCTCCATTTTTACCAGCCAAATGTTAGGCGTGCTAGTAAAAAGAAAAAAATTATGGCGTGCTTAAGGAAATAGGTGTGCCAACCAAGCAGATTGTTAAGAAATATTGGATCTTTATAGGGTCAAAATGATATCGAAATATACACGTAAAAGAGATTCCGTTAGTAGAAACCACACCCAACATTAATACTTGTACAATACACAATTATAAATATGACGACAGCCGATAACGACATACAGTATTATATACACATATTTACTACTACCACTTAATTATACTATAGACTGCGGCGGTATAACTAGGCAGGAGGTTAGTCGGCCCCATGCCCTAACCTTTCTTCACTCCCATTGGTGGTACTCCATCTATCCTAAAAAAAAGACAAACTCTGGGTTTCCGTGTCCAACGTTTGACTGTCCGTATTATATGAAATTTTTTTATAATTAGTATTTTCATCGTTGTTAGATGATAAAACATGATTAATACTTTATGCGTGACTTGTCTTTTAAATTTTTTTTTATAATTTTTTAAAATAAGACGGACAGTCAAACGTAGGACATGGAAATTTAGGGTTTGTCTTTTTTAAAAAAAAGTACGGAGGGAATATACCCAATGTACAGTCTCACCGCGTACTTCAGCCAGAACCGGCCGTCGGAGACAGCGAGGTCGGCCGGCGGCGGATCGAGGACTGACGTGCTAAATCGTCAAGGCTACAGGAAGGAAGAAGGAGCAAGCTGGCGAGTGCGAGGACTCCGTTCATTGCAAATCCCAAAATAAATCTAATTGTAGGATGAATGTGGACACATATGTTTTTTTATTTATCGTAGGATTGGATTTATTTTAAGGCAGAGGAAGTACTCCCTTCGTCCCAAAATAAGCGCAGCATGAGTTTCCGTGTCTAACTATAATTATCCGTTTTATTTGATTTTTTTTAAAAAAAATAAAAAAACATAAATCATGCATAAACTATTATTCATGTTTTATAATATAATAACAACAAAAATATTAATAAAAAAATTCAAATAAGACGGTCGATCAAAGTTGGACACGGAAACTTATGCCTACTTTATACGTAACTTATTTGTAAATCGATTAGTATTTTTGTTATTATGATATGATAAAATATAAATATAACTTATGTTTTTAAATCTTTTCAAAAAAAATAATAAGATGGACGATCAAAGTTGTGCACGAAAAATTATGGCTGCACTTAAAATGGGATAGAGGGAGTAAAATAATAAGATGGACGATCAAAGTTGTGCACGAAAAATTATGGCTGCACTTAAAATGGGATAGAGGGAGTAAAATATTCTATGTAACAGGGTGAAAAGTTTTTGCATGGGAGCTAAACAGGGTCTAAGGTAACAAACTAAACATGCATGCACTTGCTATCTCCACCTTACCAAAGTTTGAAAGTTACAGAAATTTTCTATCCAGAAAACACTAACAATTTTTAATTTTAAAAAGGTTCTAAACTATGCATGTCTAACGCAACCAAAATTTGATAACACCAAAGCGTGCCAACAAATTGAATTGCCAAATGTTGGTAAGGGTGATTTTAACAATAAAGTAAATAATACCTTTGGTATATATGGTGTAGTTCAGGGCTGCACGACTAAAAAAAAAGTTAAATCCTGTCAAACAAAATTACCCAAACACGTACGGGTGTATTTTCGTATGAATTTAACAAGGCTTGTTCGTGACCGTTGGCTTGAGCTTATGTTAAAAATGTGTCACACTTGCGTGTGGTTTGCGTGCGCACCTTTTGTATAATACGTAAACAAATTAGGAGGAAACAATGGAAAACTTAATACATGTTCCACATTACTTTCCATCCCAATCGAAGTATAACTTATTATATGACTCGCGGTGCTCATAAATCGCAAAATAAGCAACTTATCCAAAGCAACCTCTTAAATTGCCGTCGACATCTCATTGACACCGACTGCAATCCCATTTCTGAAGATGAAAACAACACCTTTAAATAAGGATAGCACGTTTTACATGTGTAGACATAGGAAAGTTCTAGAACCATGCAACAAAAAACTTAGACTCATTCAGATTTGAACTTTTCTCTATCTATATATATTTTTAACCGGGTCCAATCTATTTTTTTTTTGCGAAAAATCTAAGAAAGTGTGAACTGCTCTCTAGCCTAGATCTAATAGAATGATGGAAAACCTTACATTTTTTTTTTTCGAAAGAAGTAGGTGCGGATTGTATCCAACATTTTGCATGAGCATGACTTACAAAATGAAATCTAGAGGCACGATTGGAACCAAAGAATTTACTTTGTTTTAACCATTTTGGAGCTTTATCCAGCATAGAAATGAAAACTTACAGCTTGCTGTCCATTTCATTTGCTCCTGATTATTTTCTTCGTTTCTTTTCTGCTATAGGAGGCATAATACTCGACTAGCTAGTCAGAACTGTTCTTGGGAATCGCGTGATGTTTGCAGAATTTGTTTTGTACTAAAAAAACTTATGCAAAAAAAAATCCCAATAAATTTTCACTGTACTTTCTCTGTCTAAAAAAAACTCAACAAAATCTGATCAACCCTTTATTCAGATTTATTACACTAGCTCTCCTAAGTTAATTTTTTTAAGGACGGAGGAAGTACAGGGGCTTGTTTAGGGGAGCTTCTAGCTACCGCAGCTTCTCCTAGAATCAGAAGCTCCCCAAATAGTTCAGTTTTTTTTGTCCAGATTTTAAGAAGTTGTAGTTGCAGAATCTAGAAAATGAACAAGAAGCCGGGAAACCTAGCTTTTCTAGATTCTCAGCCAACCAGTTGTTTCTCAGAATTTTAAGCTCCCTAAACATGCCCTAGGTTAAGGAGGACCGGAGGAGGAGGAACTCACGGAGCGATCGTTTCGCTTATTCGTGGAATAAGCGAACGTTATATTTGTAAAAAAAAAGTAATTTGTGAATAAAACTTTTATATACGTGTTCTTAGCGATCTAAAAGCAAAGGTTGAAAAATAAATTTCGATGAAAAAAACCTTAAAATTAGCTCTAAATTGAAGGTTAAAAATTTAAATTTTGGCTGATAAGTATAAGCATAAACGAAAAGACGAGACTCTCGTAACCCTAACTAACCCAGAAGGGATCAAGGGGCTCACGCAGCGCCACGTCACGTCGCCCCCCCCCCCCCCCCCGGGTAGGCGCGATCCGGGCCGTCCGTTTTGTCGTGGGGGAGAGACATGGACGGCTCCGAACCAAACACCAACACACGCACACACCCGCAAGCGCAGCGACACATCACACGGGCTCAACAGTGTAGTTGGTGTTCCTCGCATCTGCGCCCATGGCAGCCGCAGCTGCAGCAGCAGCATGATCGCCACCACCACCACCTAGCTCCTCCTCTCCCCTCCAGATTCCCAGCACTCTCTCCCTCTCTAGACCCCTCTCTCTCTCTCTCTCTCTCTCTCTCGCTCTAGGCCTCTAGGGGGTTGTCGGCGTGCGCACGCGTACACGCGCGCGCGGGGGGGGGGGGGGGGGGGGGGGAAGAGGAGAGGAGGCCTGCAAAGCTGGCGCCTGCTGCTGCTGCGCCTGCGCCCTGCCTCGCCCAAAACAGTGGAGATTCCCGTATCCATTTCCCAATTATGGGGCGGGGCGAGGAGGCTAGGAGGAGGATAGGGTGAGGCGGCTCTTCACTTCTTCAGAGGTGGCAGGCCATTCTGCTTCTCTCGCCATTGGAGTGCTCCGGGTGAGGTGAGGTGAGCGGCTCGAGATCCTGCCAAGATCAGCTCCTTGGCCTGGGGGTGGAGGACAGGTGGTATCTTGTGCCGTCTTTCTTGAGTTCTTGCGGTGGTTTTCTTTTTTTGAAGTTTGTTGGTTTCTTTTCTTCTTTTTTTTTTTGGGTTGGTTCGTGATTTTTTTGTTGTTGTGATGGCGGCTGAGTTGTTTGTTTAGTCTGTTCTTGATGTTTGCTTAGTGGTGGTACTGATGTGTGGGTAGGGTTCGTGTTCTTTTTTTTTTGCGTTTATCTTCGCTTTCCTTTTTTTTTTCTTCTTCCCCTTTTGAGATTTCGATCGTAGCATTGGTTAGCGTGTTGGTGGATGTAGTTAATCAATCCCCTTTTAGGTGCCAAATGTCATGGAAAGCGAGCTCTTTGCCCTTGTTTAACCAAGCTTTTGATCGCAGCATTCAAGAATTGGCTCCATCTCCCCGCAAAAAAAAAAAGAAAGAAAAAGGAATTGGCTCCATCGATTCAGTAAAAAAACCCGAATGCCGCGGAAGTTAGCATTGCTCATCCGTGGATTCGACGCTGGCACACTGGTTTCTTGGCTAGAGAGAAACAACGATGTGCTTGCTGTTTCAGCCACCAATTTCTTCCCGGCTTGTGATTTTTGCCTTTTGTATCTGCTTTCTTTTTCCTCTTTTGAGAAAGTACACGATTCCTTTGCCTACCTTCATTTTCAGTGCCGATTACTAAATTTGCAGTAGGTCCTACTCTCTCGCCGTGGTGTTGGACTATCATTGGGAGTAGTTGTCATGTGGATTTATGCCCATTTGCTGCGATTAAAGAGAGAATATGTGCTACGCCTTAACGTTCATGGACCTGATTTCTTGAGGTCGCTGTAACTGTTGCCTTTGGAGAACAAGAGGAAGAGGGTGTGAGTGTGTGGAGACACTAACCGTGGCTTTTGCAGATTCCTCTTATCTGTTTTCCTTGCATGGCAGTTGTGCCATACATTGATACAGATGGATCATATTCTTCGTACAACCGGATTGGAGTATGCTCGATCTGTCATCCGTGGAGAACCCGAAATTCAGATTGCTTTTGTTTTGCGTGGCTCTCCTTTGCAGTTCTTGCGGGAACCTATTCCCCCAAGAATATCATGCTACTCCACATCTTGTTGTTTATTCTACTGATTCCATCTTTTCGTTCGGGCCAGGCCAGCTAGCTAGCCGCAAGCGCTGACTGTCTTGATCATTGATTCCTCCTTCCACAATAACTCTAAAAGATTGGAAGCACATTTGCATGATTGATGGTTTTCCCGTCGCTTTCGGCATTCGTTATCTACCTGTCCATTAGCCTTCAGGATCATGCTTTCTGACTTGCTTGTTCTCATTCTTAGGGCCATAACTTCAGCTTCTCCCATCTATAATAGGTTCGCAAACTGTTCAGCACAATGAAGCCTTCGGACGATAAGGCGCAGCTCTCCGGTTTGGCGCAATCAGAAGAATCGTCACTTGATGTGGATCACCAGTCATTTCCTTGTTCTCCATCAATCCAACCGGTTGCTTCTGGGTGCACACACACAGAGAACAGCGCAGCATACTTCTTATGGCCGACATCCAACCTACAGCATTGTGCAGCCGAGGGACGTGCAAACTACTTTGGAAACCTTCAGAAAGGATTGTTGCCAAGGCACCCTGGTCGGTTGCCCAAAGGTCAGCAAGCAAATAGCTTGCTTGACTTGATGACTATAAGAGCTTTCCATAGCAAGATATTGCGGCGTTTTAGCCTCGGGACAGCAGTGGGATTCCGCATCAGGAAAGGGGATCTAACAGATATCCCTGCAATCCTTGTCTTTGTTGCTCGCAAGGTTCATAAGAAGTGGCTTAATCCAGCACAATGTCTTCCTGCTATTCTTGAGGTGCGGAAACTTAATCTCCATTGTTGTTTGAATTTGGTTTGGGACGGTCTAAGTTTTTCTGCTAAATCTTTCACTTAGTTGGATCATTAACAGGGTCCAGGAGGTGTTTGGTGTGTAGGAATAAGTCTTGGCTGGTTGGTCTTGGTCTTGTGGTGCCTTTTTCCTGCTTTTCAGCTTTCTAGGACAGCATCTCTACTTTCAGTTTGGATGCTCTAGGACAGTTAGGACAGCAGTTTGTTGAGATGCTCTAGGACAGTTTGTTGGGATGCTCTGCTCTAGGACAGTTTGTTGGGATGCTGACAGCACCCTCTTAGACTAGCATGGCTGCATGGCTGCTACAAGCAGCTATAAATATGTATCCAATCCTCTTTGGGAGGACATGGCTTTTGTGTTTAGTGAATGAAGAAAACCAGAAAATTGCCCCATCTCGAGTGCCATCCTCTTCTCAATGAGAGTAACCATTGAAATTCTAACATCTGGTATCAGAGCCACACTTTCCTGTAGGCTAAACATCTCTTGTTCCACCCCTTCCCAAGCTCGGTTGAGCTCTCAGCCAGCAGCAGCAGCAGCAGCACCGGTTGCCCCTCCTTCCCCTTTCCCTTCCCCCTCTCCACACAGCAGCCCCCCGGAGGTGCGCCATGTCCGACGCTCGGTCTCGGCGTTCGGTCGCCTCGAGCACTCGGCGTCAGCAGGACGCCGAGCTCGCCGCAGCAGAAGAGCGCAGGCGAGCAACGGCTCAGACCGCTGCAGCAGCAGCGAGGGCGGCCAGACTGGCGGCAGCGGAGTTGGCAGCAGCCAGGGCGGAGGCGGAGGCGGAGGCGGCGGAAGATGCGGCACGTGCGGCGGAGGTAGAGGTTGAGACCTTGCGCAGCAGCATCAACGGCTCCATCGCCGGCGACATCACCGCTGACAGGGAGCTTGAGGAGCTGGCAAGAGGAAGGGCACGGGAGCGAGCAGAGCGGTGGGCAGCAGCCCACCTCCACGGCGGCGGCGGCGGCCCAAGGGACCGTGCGCCCGCCGACGGGAACCCAGACGGGCGCGGGCGTGCCGGCGGCAGCCCGGAGCCCGCACGCGGCCCTCGCAGGCGGCACGGCTCCCTCTCCCCTGACCGGCGCCATGGTCACCACGGCGTCCAGACGGTGGTCAGGGATTTTGGTCCCGGCGGTGGGTGGCCTACCCTCACCAAAACCAACTACATCGAGTGGGCCGCGGTGATGAGGGTGAGGCTCCAGGTGCGGCACATGTGGGAGGCAGTCCGGTACGGTGACGTCGACTACGACGAGGATCGGCGGGCACTGGATGCCCTCATCGCTGCAGTTCCGCCCGAGATGCAGTTCTCGCTTTCCCAGAAGCGGACTGCCAAGGAGGCCTGGGACGCCATCGCTGCGGCACGCATCGGCAGCGACCGCGCCCGCAAGTCCACACTGCAGGCACTCCGCAAGGAGTGGGAGAACCTGGCCTTCAAGCCAGGTGAGGATGTTGATGACTTTGCTCTCCGTCTCAACACTCTCTTGCAGAAAATGGTGCAGTACGGCGACGACACCTACGACGAGGAGAGAGCTGTCGAGAAGCTCTTCCGCTGCGTCCCTGAGAAGTACAGGCAGATCGCTCGCTCGATTGAATCTCTGCTGGACCTCTCCACGATGTCGATCGAGGAGGCGTTAGGTCGCCTCAAGGTCGTCGATGGTGATGAGCCACGGCCTCTCTCGGGGCCCATCACCATCGGCGGGAAGCTCCATCTCACTCGGGAGCAGTGGGAGGCCTCTCAGGGTGACGGGAGGAAGGGGGAGTCATCTTCCCCGACAGGCGGCCATAAGCCGCGCAAGGCGCGGGGAGGTGTCCAGCTACGGTGGGCGCGAAGACGTGCCGAGGGTGGCGCCCGCAGAGGCGCCCAGGGCGTTGCCACCGGCAACCACAAGCCGGCACGAGACGACACCTGCCGCAACTGTGGCAAGCTTGGCCATTGGGCCAAAGACTGTCGACAGCCACGACGCGGCCAGGCCCACGTCGCACAGGTGGAGGAGGAAGAGCCGGCTCTGCTCCTAGCTCACGCAAGCATCGAGCTACCTCCAGCGGCACCGGCCGCAGCGGCTTTCCTCCACCTTGATGAGCCGAAGGTACTCGTCTCCCTCTGTGACGGCTCCAGCAACGACAAGGCTGATGGGTGGTACCTCGACACCGGCGCCACCCATCACATGACCGGCCGACGGGAGTTCTTCACCGAGTTCGACTCCAGCGTCCGAGGCACCGTCAAGTTCGGGGACGCCTCCGGCGTGGAGATCAAGGGTGTTGGCTCCGTCACCTTCACCGCCAAGTCCGGTGAGCACAGGCTGCTCACCGGAGTCTACTACATCCCCGCGTTGAGGAATTCTATCATCAGCGTGGGACAGCTGGATGAGAACGGCTCACGCGTGTTGGTCGAGGACGGACTCATGAGGATTTGGGATCGCCGTCGTCGCCTTCTTGCCAAGGTAACCAGAGGCACTAATCGACTTTACATCCTCAGCGCGCAGGTCGCACATCCAGTTTGCCTCGCCGCTCGTCGGGACGACGAGGCGTGGCAGTGGCACGAGCGCTTCGGGCACCTCCACTTCGAGGCCCTGAAGCAGCTCAGTGCCAAGGAGATGGTGCGAGGCATGCCGTGCCTTGACCACGTGGAGCAGCTCTGCGACGTCTGCGTGGTGACAAAGCAGCGGCGGCTCCCCTTTCCCCAGCAGACGAGCTTCCGAGCCAAGGAGCGGCTCGGGCTCGTGCACGGGGACTTGTGTGGCCCAGTGACACCGGCCACACCAGGAGGACGACGTTATTTCCTGCTGCTCGTCGACGACCTCTCCCGCTACATGTGGGTGATGGTCCTCGGCAGCAAGGGAGAGGCTGCGGACGCCATCAGGCATGCGCAGGCTGCTGCAGAGGCGGAGTGCGGCCGCAAGCTGCGCGTGCTGCGCACCGACAACGGCGGCGAATTCACGGCAGCTGAATTCGCGTCGTACTGCGCTGATGAGGGCATTCAGCGCCACTACACCGCGCCGTACAGCCCACAGCAGAACGGCGTCGTCGAGCGGCGCAACCAGACGGTTGTGGGGATGGCTCGGGCCCTCCTCAAGCAGAGGGGGATGCCGGCCATCTTCTGGGGGGAGGCGGTGGTGACGGCCGCCTACATCCTCAACCGCTCGCCTACCAAGGCCCTCGATGGCAGGACACCGTACGAGGCTTGGCATGGGCGCAAGCCGGCGGTCTCCCACCTGCGGGTCTTCGGCTGCCTCGCGTTCGCCAAGGAGCTTGGCCACATCGGCAAGCTCGACGACAGGAGCACCCCAGGGGTGTTCATCGGCTACGCGGAGGGCTCGAAGGCCTACCGCATCCTCGACCCGGAGACACAGCGTGTGCGCATTACGCGCGATGTTGTGTTCGACGAAGGGCGAGGGTGGGTATGGGACAAGGCGGTGGATGATGGTTCGACTCCGACGTACGACGACTTCACCATCGAGTACGTCCACTTCGAGGGAGCTGGGGGAGTAGGCAGCTCTTCTTCACCGAGCGTGTCTACCCCAGTCCCCGAGCCTCCACCGACTCCAACACCAACACACCCTCGGGCCACGACTTCGACTACGACGAGCTCTTCGTCGACACCACCCCAGCCGGTGTCCCCACACGCTCCAGCACCAACAGCCACTCCTCCGGGCACGTCTACTCCGACGCCAGCTCGTGTTGAGCGCAGCCCGGTGGAGTTCGTTACTCCGCTCTCCCACGACGGGGAGCGCATCGACGCGTACCATGACGGCGAGCAGCTACGGTACCGTACGATGGAGGATCTTCTCGGCGACCAGCCGGTGCCGGGACTGGTGCCTCGCAACCTGGAGGCGCAGTTGCACCTTGCGTGCGACGACGGTGAGCCTCGGTCTTTTGCAGAGGCCGAGAAACACGCGGCATGGCGTGCCGCGATGCAGTCGGAGATGGACGCGGTTCAGGAGAACCGCACCTGGGAGCTTGCTGACCTCCCTCGTGGTCACCGCGCGATCACCCTTAAGTGGGTGTTCAAGCTGAAGAGGGATGAAGCCGGAGCCATCGTCAAGCACAAGGCTCGCTTGGTGGCACGCGGTTTCGTGCAGCAGGAGGGGATCGACTACGACGATGCCTTCGCTCCCGTGGCACGGATGGAGTCCGTGCGACTCCTTCTTGCGCTGGCTGCTCAGGAAGGCTGGGGCGTCCATCACATGGACGTCAAGTCGGCGTTTCTAAACGGCGACTTGAAGGAGGAGGTCTACGTGCACCAGCCGCCGGGATTTGTGATCCCCGGCAAGGAGGGCAAGGTGCTACGCCTGCACAAGGCCCTCTACGGCTTGCGGCAGGCACCGAGGGCGTGGAATGCCAAGTTGGATTCCACGCTCAAGGGGATGGGCTTCGAGCAAAGCCCGCACGAGGCGGCCATCTACCGGCGGGGCAATGGAGGAAATGCCTTGCTGGTGGGTGTCTACGTCGACGACTTAGTGATCACCGGCACCAAGGATGCAGAGGTCGCGGCGTTCAAGGAGGAGATGAAGGCCACCTTCCAGATGAGTGATCTGGGGCCTCTCTCCTTCTACCTGGGGATCGAAGTGCACCAGGACAACTCCGGGATCACGCTTCGACAGACCGCCTACGCCAAGCGCGTCGTTGAGCTGGCTGGGCTCACCGATTGCAACCCAGCTCTCACTCCGATGGAGGAGAGACTGAAGCTGAGCCGCGACAGCACAGCGGAGGAGGTGGATGCTACACAGTACCGACGTCTTGTGGGGAGCCTTCGCTACCTCACCCACACACGGCCGGACTTGGCCTTCTCCGTCGGCTACGTCAGTCGGTTCATGCAGCGACCGACGACGGAGCACCAGCAGGCTGTGAAGAGGATCATCCGCTACGTTGCGGGGACTCTCGACCACGGTCTCTACTACCCGAGGTGTCCTGGCAAGGCACACTTCGTCGGGTACAGCGACAGCGACCACGCCGGCGACATCGACACCAGCAAGAGCACGAGCGGGATTCTCTTTTTCCTCGGCGAGTGCCTCGTTAGCTGGCAGTCAATCAAGCAGCAGGTGGTGGCCCTGTCCAGCTGCGAGGCCGAGTACATGGCAGCATCCGCCGCTTCGACCCAGGCGCTCTGGCTTGCTCGACTGCTTAGTGATCTCCTCGGCAGAGATACTGGAGCGGTGGAGCTCAGGGTGGATAGCAAGTCCGCTCTGGCCCTGGCAAAAAACCCCGTTTTTCACGAACGGAGCAAGCACATCCGAGTGAGGTACCATTTCATCCGAAGCTACTTGGAGGAAGGGAGCATCAAGGCGAGCTACATCAACACCAAGGACCAGCTTGCGGATTTGCTCACCAAACCCCTTGGGAGGATCAAGTTCCTTGAGCTTTGCTCCCGGATCGGGATGGCTCAACTCTCCCACAAGACGGCGCACAAGACTTAGGGGGAGAATGTAGGAATAAGTCTTGGCTGGTTGGTCTTGGTCTTGTGGTGCCTTTTTCCTGCTTTTCAGCTTTCTAGGACAGCATCTCTACTTTCAGTTTGGATGCTCTAGGACAGTTAGGACAGCAGTTTGTTGAGATGCTCTAGGACAGTTTGTTGGGATGCTCTGCTCTAGGACAGTTTGTTGGGATGCTGACAGCACCCTCTTAGACTAGCATGGCTGCATGGCTGCTACAAGCAGCTATAAATATGTATCCAATCCTCTTTGGGAGGACATGGCTTTTGTGTTTAGTGAATGAAGAAAACCAGAAAATTGCCCCATCTCGAGTGCCATCCTCTTCTCAATGAGAGTAACCATTGAAATTCTAACATCTGGTATCAGAGCCACACTTTCCTGTAGGCTAAACATCTCTTGTTCCACCCCTTTCCAATGTCTTCCTGCTATTCTTGAGGTGCGGAAACTTAATCTCCATTGTTGTTTGAATTTGGTTTGGGACGGTCTAAGTTTTTCTGCTAAATCTTTCACTTAGTTGGATCATTAACAGGGTCCAGGAGGTGTTTGGTGTGATGTTGATGTTGTTGAATTTTCGTACTACGGTGCACCGGCTCAAACACCTAAAGAGCAAATGTTCAGTGAGCTTGTTGATAAGTTATGTGGCAGTGACGAATGTATTGGTTCAGGCTCTCAGGTACTCGTGTTCTTTCCCTCTCTGTGTGTGTGTGTATGTGTGTGTGTTTGCAAAAATACCATGTGCATTAAGCACAGCATGCCATCATCTGCACAATAATTGTACAGGACAATACCATGTACTAGCAATTGTACCCTTCATGTTGTAAGGGGACCGTTCAAATTTGTCAAGATTCATCGCAAGATTTGCTAGTACAAAGTGGATAAATTTTCATGGCACTCTGAAGATTATGCCAAAAACTGACCGTTGGTTTGTTGGTTAGTCCTAACATCTAAGTTTGACCAGTTGAGCGGTGGCCACAGCTAGTTTGAATGCTACCAATGTTCATTACATCAAAGCAGATGATCTGATCGGAGATTGGAAGGAGTTTCTCCTTCTAAATCATATCATATCATTTGAGATACTGCATACTATATGTTGGTTCTTGTGCAGATTAAAGCTTCTGGATTTTACACAATCCTCCTACCGTTTACCAGTCAAACCTTTAACATGTTGCTGTGCTCTTTTTGTGAAATTTCAACTTAGTAATAATATTTTGTGACATGCACTCAAACTACATACTCCCTCCATCCCAAAAAAATCCAACCTAGGATAGGACAACAAATCTGGACAAACACTTTGTCCAGATTTGCTGTGACCTATCCTAGGTTGTTCTTTTTTGGGACGGATGGAGTACTTCTGAAGCGTTCGTCCTTATAGTTCTGTTTCATTGTTTCAGGTTGCAAGCCATGAAACTTTTGGTACTTTGGGTGCAATTGTGAAACGGCGCACTGGCAACAAGCAGGTTGGTTTCCTCACTAACCATCATGTCGCGGTTGACTTGGACTACCCTAATCAGAAGATGTTTCATCCATTACCACCCAATCTTGGGCCTGGCGTTTATCTTGGAGCTGTTGAAAGAGCAACTTCTTTCATCACAGATGACGTTTGGTATGGAATCTATGCTGGAACAAACCCAGGTAGAGCAGTTACAAATTAGCTGGTCAGGGCTTTATCTACAATTGTTTGTCTATTTAAAAACAATGTCTTAAGTAACATTAAAAGACACTTCAACTCACTGTATAAATATAAAAAATAAGTTTCCTGCTTCCTAGTTCCCATCATTCATATTAATGCCGGATTGCATTTTTTACTAGTTAGAAACAAATCAACATTTAGTTTTGATTGTAAAAAAAACATACTATGTTTGTGCTTTTCTGGTCATTTAACACATTTACCATTTTATTGATTATTCCAAATGATGTATATACCAGTCTAATTCCCAAACATATATGCCGCCCCATTATGGATTTGCAGAGACATTTGTACGAGCTGACGGTGCATTTATCCCATTTGCTGATGACTTTGACATTTCCACCGTCACGACTGTAGTTAGGGGAGTCGGTGACATTGGGGATGTCAAGGTTATAGATCTGCAGTGTCCGCTCAATAGCCTCATAGGGAGGCAAGTATGCAAAGTTGGCAGAAGCTCTGGTCACACAACTGGGACTGTGATGGCCTATGCCCTTGAGTACAATGACGAGAAAGGAATATGCTTCTTCACAGACATCCTTGTTGTTGGTGAGAACCGCCAAACATTTGATTTGGAAGGTGATAGCGGAAGCCTTATTATCCTGACTAGCCAAGATGGTGAGAAGCCGCGTCCAATTGGAATTATATGGGGTGGCACAGCAAATCGTGGGAGGTTGAAGCTTACAAGTGATCATGGCCCTGAAAACTGGACTAGTGGGGTTGATCTTGGCCGTCTACTCGACCGTCTGGAACTTGATATTATCATTACCAATGAATCACTCCAAGGTTGATTCTTTTCCCTCTATTCATTTGCATTCATCTTCAGATATTCCAGAAATACGTTGGACTATCCAATTTACTTGATGTTTTCATACTACTTTGTATTGAATCTGTACACTTTTGCTCCATTACAAAGCTGACAGAATTTGCCTACTATAAAGATGCCGTGCAGCAGCAAAGATTTGCTTTGGTGGCCGCCGTTACCTCAGCTGTTGGGGAGTCTTCCGGGGTGCCTGTCGCCATCCCGGAAGAGAAGATCGAAGAGATCTTCGAGCCATTGGGGATCCAAATCCAGCAACTGCCTCGCCATGACGTGGCGGCCTCTGGAACTGAAGGGGAGGAGGCATCCAACACGGTGGTCAATGTGGAAGAGCACCAGTTCATCTCAAACTTCGTCGGTATGTCGCCCGTGCGCGACGACCAAGACGCTCCGAGGAGCATCACCAACCTGAACAACCCCTCCGAGGAAGAACTCGCCATGTCGCTCCATCTGGGTGACCGAGAGCCCAAGCGGCTCCGTTCGGACTCCGGATCAAGCCTTGACCTGGAGAAATGAAGTGCAAAAAGTGCTGGTTCTGAATTTCTGATTCTGGTTCTTCAGAGTTTATTGTCATTGTGGACAGCCAAAAGTAGTAGTAGATCAAAAGACCTCATATGCAGTTCAGAAAAATTGAACCTGCAGTAAGCTTCGGTGAGCTTGAATGGCTTTGGCAAGCATATCATGTAACATGATGTATTATTATTACTACAATTGATTCAGCCCCTTGTAGGATGTTAGGTGCTAGTCCTGCAGTTTTGCTGTGCTCATGATCGTGAGACCTGATATACACCATTGCCGGATCCCTTCCTCTTTGTAGAAGAAGAAGAACAATGTGCAGGGAATTATGATAATGATGATCTTTGATCTATTTCCCCCTATTATTATTTACCAATTATCAGGTTTCAATTATCAATCAGTCTGAAATCTTGCATTTGCATTTGCATTTTGTCAACCAGTCTTTATCTTATTAACTCGGGATGATCTGTTGCACTGTCACTGACATGTGGGGCCCCTACCCCGCGCCGCGTCGCGACATACCTAACCGTATTAAACTAGATCACCTCCGAGTCTTTTGTTACAAAAGGACCAGCTACCCTCAGTCAATGACTAGGTGGGACCGGAAAGTGTGGGCCACTCCTGTCAGTGACACAGAGGAAGAGGCGTAAGTACGGAGCCGCGTAGCCGTCGCTCGCTTCATCCGGTTTGGCGTACGGATACGGGATTGCGAATCCCCCACGCATCCGGAAATCGGAATCCCACCCGGTTCGGGAAAAGGATAAAACCACCCCGGTTCGGGAAGATTCGTCCATGGCTGCCCTGTCGTCCACGCGACCGAAGAAGCAAGGCAAGCCCTAGCCGCCACTCCCGATTTGCTTCCCAGCCCTTGCGGCTCCTGCGATTCGATTTGGCGGGAAATTGCTCGCGCTCTCGCTCGCGCCATCGGTTCTTGAATCGGAGGGATTGGGAGCGGGGGGGAAGGTTTCTTGCTTTGCAGCCGAATCTTGACTGGTCCAGTTTCGTGACTTACCTAGTGCCCATTCTTCCCGTTTGAGATTTAGAAGCAAGCTTTGGATGAAAAGCATCATCTTTAGCTTCTTTGATTTGTTGGGTGAAGGGGGCTCTCAATTCTTTCGAGCCATTGCTGCTCATTCGAGAGCTATCCTTTCACCGGTTGGATTGGAGGAGCTAGTCCATAAATTTGTATAGGAATCTGAGGAAAGGGCGCTCTTTACGGTGCCCATGGCTGTGCTGGAGGATTTGATCAGGGCGATTGAGCTCTGGCTGCGGATTGCTAAGGAGCAGGTACCCTTGGTGGATCCAACCCTTGACCCGGTTCTGCTTGTCCCCGGCATAGGCGGCTCGATTCTTGAAGCCGTTGATGAGGCCGGGAAGAAGGAGAGGGTGTGGGTGCGCATCCTCGCTGCGGATCATGAGTTTCGAGCACATCTCTGGTCCAAGTTTGATGCTTCCACTGGTATGAAAAAAAGGAGAAAAAGAACTGATAAATGCGATGCCTGTTCTGACTTATGAATAGTGTACACTTAGCTGTTTTACATTTATTTGTTAGAAATATCAAGTAGAGTAGAGAATGGAAATTGGAATGCTTCATATATTAGAATGGGTGGTATACTTTGATAAATTGCAGGGTCTTTCAGTAAGACGCAGAAGCTGAAAATATATGATAATTAGAGGACAAACATCTAGAGATTTATATCTTGTTTGCGTAGACAATTAGGGAACTCCATATGGTTTTGTTGCCTTTAATTTAGTTCTTAAACAACTGCTAGATGGTCTTCACGGATGGCCTGCTGATTTTCCACCTTCATTCCTTTGTACTGATTCAGTATAGTATTCTCTTTCTGTGTCATTTGATTCCAAATTATTCTCATGGAGCAGGGAAAACTGTCTCTGTCGATGAGAAAACAAATATTGTTGTCCCTGAGGATAGATATGGACTATACGCTATTGACACTCTGGACCCCGACATGGTAAAACATTATTTCATATATTTGGTTAAAGCTCTACCTTTTACTGTTATTAATTTCCAAAGGTTCCTTTAACCATCGATTATATTCAATTCTGTTTAACTTCTGTCTATTACCTTCCACTCCGCGACTGCCATATCAGTATTGTTTCTATTTAGTGATTCCTTGCCGGAAACATTCACAGACCATCCTATTCTTGTTAAAATAGCCACTAGTGATGATTTTGTGTATTGTCTTTCTGATGGCTGAACAATAACTTGCAAGTGCTTACACTCTTTAAAGCCAATTTATTGTGAACCTGTACCTTCACAGCTCAACAAACGCAAATCATATACTGCAGTTGCATACCTGATCTGCACCACTTATATTACAATTTGAATTAGCAGATCATTGGCGATGATAGTGTTTGCTACTATCACGACATGATAGTGCAAATGATCAAATGGGGATACCAAGAGGGGAAAACATTATTTGGATTTGGTTATGATTTCCGCCAGAGTAACAGGTGAATTGTGCACTTCTATTCCTGTTTTGCACATACAGTTCTGTTTATACTTTACAATTCTTTAGTGTTTGCTCAACTGTGCTATTATAATTATTTATGAACACACTTGTGAAGTTGATCATTCTTTCTGTTGGTAGAAGTGAGTTAACAGTTCTCTTTTTAATTCTCCTTTGGCTCAGGCTTTCAGAAACACTTGATAGATTTTCCAGAAAGTTGGAGTCAGTTTACATAGCTTCCGGAGAAAAAAAGATCAATCTCATTACTCATTCAATGGGAGGATTGCTTGTCAAATGCTTCATGTCCCTCCATAGTGATGTGGGTATTTCTCTGTATATTTTGGATCTTTACCTGAGATTTGTCATGCTCAGCATCTTCGCTACCTGAAACTGCAAGGCTATAATGTTGCTCCCTTTCTATAGGTCTTCGAGAAATACATAAAGAGTTGGATTGCAATTGCTGCACCATTTCAAGGTACTGCCTTTTGGGGCCCCTTAATTTTTAAAGAAAGAAATAGGGAGATTATCACATATTTGTGTGTTTTAGTATTACATGATGATTATATTCTGTACATGATAATCTATTACCTTCAATGTATGGGAGCAACTTTACATGGCAAACAACTTGCTACTCTATGACAGGTGCACCTGGGTACATAACTACTAGTCTGCTGAATGGTATGTCTTTTGTCGAAGGATGGGAGTCAAGATTCTTTATTTCCAAGTGGAGTATGCAGCAATTGGTATGTTTTGGTAGCCATACATTGATCCTGTCCTCAAATATGTTCATGCAGATGACATTACTTTTGTCTTACAAACAAAGACTGAAACTGTTTCTTTTTTTTGCTTCAGTTGCTCGAATGCCCATCAATTTACGAATTGTTGGCTAACTCGACCTTCCAATGGGAAGATACTCCATATCTGCAGATCTGGAGACAGAAATTGGATACTAATGGCAAGAAAAGTGCCATGTTAGAGTCATATGAGCCAGATGAAGCAATAAAAATGATTAGAGAAGCTCTTTCCAAGCATGAGGCAAGTCATTTTATTTATACATTTACATTGCAATATAATTTACCCAATATAATAAGCTGTTTTCGAAAAAAAAATGATGTTGGTATATTGCAGATCATTTCTGATGGTATGCACATTCCATTGCCCCTTGATATGGATATATTGAGATGGGCAAAAGAGACACAGGATGTTTTGTGCAATGCAAAGCTTCCAAAATCAGTGAAGTTCTACAATATTTACGGAACTGATTATGACACTGCCCATACCGTTCGGTAATTTTCCTATCTGGACACCTGTAATTTTAGTTTATCTTTTGCTTCCAGACCAATCAGAATCTGGCATTGGTTCAACTTAATTAGATGGGCTCATGAATTTATGTACATAAATGGCTCAATAGATAGGAACAAATGAGAACTTCATGCTTACATCATGTTAGTAGTGCTTAACTCAAGTTCAAAATTGCTTGTTGCAATGCAATTGAGTGCTTCTCTCTCTATCCATTGTGCAAAGTAGGATATGGTTGTAAAGATGTGTTTCCATTTAAATGCAGCAAGGAACTATGCAGTCAAGTTAAACTAAAGATTTTTATGTTGATAGAAATATCCCCCAAAGGCATGATAACACCATCTCTGCATGGTGTTTACTACATAACTAAAAGTTTAGTACTGTATGTGTCAAGTTACTAATACCCACATCTTTCGCAGCTACGGGAGTGAACACCATCCAATTTCAAATCTCAGTGACCTCTTGTATACTCAGGTTAGTTCAATTGGTAAATGCTACTATGAATACCAATTTTGTGGCTCTGTGGAGTACAAAATAATCCCACTGGTTTTGTGCGTTAACTATGTTTTACTTCATTCAGGGCAACTACATCTGTGTTGATGGTGATGGATCTGTCCCTGTAGAATCAGCAAAGGTATGATATTATTAGTGTTTTGGTTGAAAATTTCTTTCAAAAAGAAAAAATGAATCAGGAGAAAAGTTTACATTGAGAAAATTGAGAACCATCAACGACTTTGCAGGCAGATGGCCTCGATGCAGTGGCAAGAGTTGGGGTTGCTGCAGACCACCGAGGAATCGTCTGTGATCGTCACGTGTTCCGGATAATTCAGCACTGGCTCCATGCCGGTGAGCCTGACCCATTCTACGATCCCCTCAACGACTACGTCATACTCCCAACAGCCTTCGAGATCGAGAAGTACCACGAGAAACACGGGGATATCACATCGGTTAGAGAGGACTGGGAGATCATCTCCCATCGCGATGACGAAAGCAAGAGGCCAGCCGAGCTTCCTCCTATGTTCAACACGCTATCGGCGTCCCGCGAGGGTGAAGACGGCTCGCTGGAAGAGGCGCAGGCGACGATCTTTGTTCATCCAGAGAGCAAAGGGAGGCAGCATGTGGAAGTTAGGGCAGTTGGAGTCACCCATGACGGCTAGTCAAGCCAGTCATACGAAAACACACGGTTGTCAACTAGCTAGTCTGCACACTCCAAAGCAAAGTGGACAATGTAAATATAAGACGTCCCTAGCTATGAACTACGTGTAATTTTGCTGCCTTGTAAATACCAGAACTGAAAATATACTGCCACTGGATGATGATACGAATAGAAAGGAGAAAGAAAAGGATGAACTTGATATGTTAAAATTGTATCAGGTGCTTGAAATGTTGTTACTGGAAACTGATCATCCTGACTCGGTTGATCAAGCGATGAGACCTCCGAGTTATCATTGTCTTATGCATCTTTCTAGTCCTTGTTTAATTCATCTTAAGCTTGTTGGCTATGTCAAATCTTTGTTTGGGCATTGCAGTTTCTTGCTGCGCTCGTCATCTCTTAAGCAAAAAGGTCAAATTTGTTGCAAATAGTCTGCAGTACTTCGCCGTTTTTTCCAATGGACAGGAATGTGTCCTGATATTTGGCATCCTTGTCCGTGCCGTGCATTGATTTTTGAGGTTGCAATTTTCATTGACAAACATACAGTAGAATTAATCCAATCAATAAAAATTAGTGTGATTCATAATCATTAATCCGATCAATAAAATTTAGGGTGATTCGTATAGTACTAAAATCGAAATCATTGATAAACAGAAGTGTCCCAGATTACGATGAATGATACAAAATGGATCCACTTTTGAATTTGACAACACATGAAATCCAAATGATCCAAGAACAGTAACTACATAATACTAGATGCACACATCTCACCACATACTTAAAAAATCTCGATCATGACACAGCACAAATGATGTGAAAAGACGATCACAAGCTGCTCTATAAGTAGAGTATCACATCATCCTTGATGCCATCTTCTCATCAGAAGCACATGTCGAGCAGGCAGCAGCAGCAGAGAGCAGCACAACTGCAAAAAAAATCACATCGACAGAGACAGAAGCTTTAGAGGCAAGAACACTCACAATTATCCTGATAAAAAATGGATCGATGTTTTGATCTTCTCTTTTGGTGTGTGGTTTCTTTCTTAATTACCATCCTTTCAAGAAGCCGTCGCCGCGGCTCTGCGAGTCCTGCGGCGGCGGCGGCGGCTGCTGCTGCTGATACCCGCCGTAGTCGGCGGCGACTGGCGGCGGCGCGCCGTACGCCGGCGGTGGGTACCCCGTCCCCGGTGGCGGGTACGCTGCAACAGTAGATAATCACACATGCATCAGCTGATGAATTTGTCCATCAAAACGAACTCAGAAAAAAAAAATAAAAAATGTCGGGATGCATGTATTTTCTCCTAATCTTAATAAAATTTGGTCGCGTTTCTTCCCGACCAGGCAAAAAAAAAAAGAAACAAAGAAAAAAAAAGGAGACCTGACACACAACTCTCACAATTATTTTCTCTGTGCTAAATCACAAACCAGGGAGTTCTCCAATCAGATCAAGAAACCAAGAGATTTCAATACCTGCAGTGCCGGGAGGAGGACCTTGGTAGCTCATGATCACTACTACTCAATAGTAGTAAATCCTCCAAAGAGCAAGAAGAGATGCAAACCAAGAACAAGAATGCAAGATAATGGAGATGAGAAATCCAAGCTCTCCTCAGTTTATTTAACGCTGGACTCTCTATCTCCTAGCTATATATACTCCTACATATATAGTGCTACTAAACTTTATTTATTTCCTTAGCCGCGTTAATAATTAATTAATGACAAGAAGAAAAAGAACGCCGAATGGCTGCTGCTTATCCCACTCTTCTGAAAAACGCGTTGTTTTACGTCGTTTACGCTACATTTATTTAGACGTACGGCATCGGGTTCTCCATCTCTTCTACATGCCTTTTTCATTTTTCAAATTGAAAAATATTGAAAAGGCGTCGTTTTTAGATTGTTTGAACATGCACTATGTGTCTATATGTACTGCCTTTTCAGTTTTCAAATGTTGATCAGAGATGGCGGGGAACTGAAGAAGGCTCGTTTGTCAATTTGACAGAATCTTCTTCTAAGCAATGCAGGGATAAGCTAGCTAACTTAACCTCTAAGCTTTCCATTATTCCAAAATAGTCATGCAATGAGGAGTAGTTCGTTCGATTCCCACTGCTCTAGCTGGTTTAGGGCCTGGGAATAGCAGGTTCGTCAGCTTGCATTTGGATGATTATGGTTGAGAAAGAGTCTGCTTCGAGTTCATCACCATTTCGAACTGCTCCACTACGATCAGGTTAATTCCACAGTTGAGCGAACGTCCAAACGAATCGTGTTCTATCGGTTAGGTGAAGATTTTGATCGAAATATTGTCTTTTATGTGCTATTTTTGCATAGAAAATCCTTTTGGCATGCAGCTATAGCGCCAATAAATTCTTGCTGCAGGTTTCCTTCAGCTTTGTCCTTTTTCTTTCCTGGTCAAAGTTGGTTGCCTGTGAACCGTGTCGTTGGTGTTCATAATCTTCAGTAGTGCTTCACCAACCATAGTCCAATAGGCAATTTTGGGCGATATTTTGGTAAGCTGAAAGATATTTTAAATTGAGCTAGAACGATTTTGGGCGCATTGAGAAAACAAAAGGATTTTTTTTTCAAACTGGTTGATATATTTGTGCAACTACTATATTTATTTCAAAATATAGTAACCTAGAGCCAGATAAAATTCATCTATTACTACGAATCTGGACACTGAAAAATCATTTTGGCATGTGGCCATTAGCCAATAATTCTGGCTGGTTTCCTTCAGTGTGTCCGGGGTCCCTCTTCTTTCCTGGTCAAAGTTGATAGCTTGTGCATGTCAATATCGTTTTGGTATTCGTAAGCTTTAGTGCTACTTCACCAACAAATAACCCTAGGCCAGCTGATATCAGATTAAAAGACATATAGTACACCTTTTAGTTGAGCTTGAAAGATAATTTTGGTGCGTAGCTAGAGAAAATAAGGGCGCTTTGATTTGTAGGAAAAATATAAGAATTTTGGAGGATTTCAATCCTATGAAAAAAAATCCATTGAAGGCCTTTGAAACAAAGGATTGAATCCTATCCAATCCTTTAAAATTCCTATGGAATGGGTAATCCTATGCACATTTTGGAGGAAAATTAGTAAGAGGTCTAACCTCTTGGAACATTTCCTCTAAGTCTATCTCTCTCATCTGATTCCTGCGTTTTTTCCTGTGGTCCAATCAAACGGTCATTCCTGTGTTTTTCTTGTGTTTTTCAATCCTTTGTTTTACAATTATATTCCTGTCAGAATGTGTTTTTCCTATTCCTCTGTTTTTTCATTCCTACGATTTAAAGGAGCCCTAAAAGGGAGAAGAAATTTTACCTGAAAAAAAAAACACTCGTGGCTTCAGTTTGCAGGCATCCAGCTATCGATCCAGATTGTCTCATCTTTCTTTTCTTTTCATTTTTATATAAAATCCTTTTTGAGAAGAAGATCGCCCTTCTTTGATCTTGAATTCCTGACTGCTAATGCACAATATACATGAGTGTGTAGTAGTGGCGGTGTACTACGTATGTTTTTTAATAGATGATCTAGTGATCTTTTAAGAAAACGTTAGATCATTTATCTCATTAAAAAATAATATAAATATACTAAAATATAAGTCATATTTCAAGTTTCTTTAATAATAAAATAAATAACATTTATGACAAACGATCAAACGCCGTGCAAGTCAACAACGTCATCTATTAATATAAGTCTGGATGGGCCCAAATCGTTTTTAATGGGTGAGCCCAAAAGTTTGAGGATGAATGTCATACCATCAAGCTAAATGGGCCAGAATTTACTTTAAAAAAAGGAATAAGTTTATCTAAGGTCCCTTAACTTGTCGACGAATCCGATTTTCGTCATTCAACTGCAAAACCAGATACAGCGGGTCCATCAACTGTCAAAACCAGTGCAGTAGAGGTCCCTTAGCGATTTAGACAGTGATTTTGGCTGACGTGGCGCCTACTTGGCTAATTTGATTTGGTCTTCATCTGACGTGACAATGACGTGTCGCTTACGTGGCAATTTGATCCAGAAAAATAATAAACCTCGTGGGACCCACATGTCAGTGCCACATACAAATTAATAAAAAATTTAGTGGGGCCCACATGTTATTCTCAGCCCCCTTCTTCCTCCTCTCTCCCCATCTCCCTCACTTTCAACTCTCTCTCCCCTCTCCTCTCTCGCGACGGAGAGACAGCGGCTCGCGGCGGCGGAGGCAAGGCTCTGGCGGCTGTGGGCGGAAGAGCCGCACCACGTCGGGGAGTCCAGGCACGAGGAACGGCTCGTCGTCCGACGCGACGCAGTCCTGTGGGGCGTGGAGCAGCAGTGCTCGCTGCACCGAGAGCGCGAAGCACCCCATCCCCGTGAACGCGTACCGCGGGATGCGGAGCCCAGCCGCCGCGGTGGCAGCCCACGGGAGGACGCCGTCGAACACCACGGCGTTGGCAGGTCTATGCCGCAGCGGTGAAGAGCGGCGCGAGGAGGTCGACGGCGACGGCGAAGGGCCCCGCGAGCCAACCAATCTGCTGTTCACTGCGATTTCATCTAAACAACAAAATGCATCAAATGTACAACACTCCCAGCTCACCCTCTCCACCAACTGCTGTTGCGGTTTTCCCAGCAAGTACGTCGTTATGGCCTGAGAGCCAAAGGCCATCAAAACCGACACACTCTGTGCTGCAGCCACTAGCAAACCAAATGCAACCACGGCATCATCAGTAACCAAAGGTTATCCATTAGTTTCATCAGGCATTCACCAATGTCGACTAAACAAGAAACAAGAACAGCAAAATCAGATGTATCATTACAGTTGTTCGTCTTCAGATCTTTGGTCGCAGCGCGGCCGGTCGGAGGGGCCGGCCTGGCGTGGAAGATGTCGACGAAGGAGGGGCTGGGGTTCGAGGAGGCGGTGGCGGAGGTCGCGCCGGATGAGGGCTGGGGGTTGCGGAAGAGGTAGAGGCTGCGGCGAACATCGTCGAGTGGCGGTGAGACGGGGATGCGACGCGGCGGGGAGGAGGGAGGGGTGGGCCTGAGGTGGCCGTGGCTTTCGGCGAAGGGGGAGGAGAGCTTGGTGGTGCGCTGATCGGCGGATGCGGGGTCAGACGTCGGAGCCGGGAATTTACCCTCGCCGGAGGAGGCCGCCACCGCCGACGCCCCGCCGGAGAGGGCGTGGCCGTCGTGAGGGCTCCGCCCGGAGCCCCTCTGCTCCGCCCCGCCACCGCCCCTCCTCACCCGTGCCACCGTCGCAGTAGATGAGAAGGGAGAGAGAATTGAAGAGAGGGAAAATGGCTTGTGGGGCCCACATGGCCCCACCAATTTTTTTTATTAATTTGTGTGTGGCACTGGCCTGTGGGTCCCATGAGGTTTATTATTTTTCTGGAACAAATTGCCACATAAGCGAAACGTCATTGCCACATCAGCTGAAAACCAAGTCAAATTAGCCATGCAGGCGCCACGTCAGACAAAACCGCTGTCCAAACCGCTAATGGACCTCTTCTGCACTGGTTTTGACAGTTGAGGGACCCACTATATCTGGTTTTGCGGTTGAAGGATGAAAATCGGATTCATCAACAAGTTAAGGGACCACAGATGAACTTATTCCTTAAAAAAAGAGATATACATGGGCTGGAATTTGGACCCGTAAAACGAGGCCTATTTTGGCCGTGGAAGGAAAAAAAAAGGGAGAAGTCCATTTTACACCCTCGAACTCTTATGCTTGTCCAAAATACACCCCCGAACTACAAAACCGGGTATAATGCATCATCGAACTTTCAATACCGGGCACTTAACCCCCACGGGATGTTTTTACCGTGGTTTTTGACACGTCGGATCCACGTCAACCCTCGTCACGTCAGCCCACAAAATAATATGGGCCAAGCCCATATTGTCTCTCTCTCTCCTTGCTCTATTGTGCTTCTCTCCCTCCTGACTGTCGGCGGCGGTGGCGGTGTTGAGCTGTGAGGGCGGCGGCTGCTACAGCGGCGTGAAGCGGCTACGAGGGCGGTGGCGGCGGCGGTGTGGAGCTGCTGCGAGGGCTATGGCTGCGGCATCGGCATGGAGCTGCGGCGAGGGCGGCGGCGTGGAGCGGCTGCGAGCGCGGCGGCTGCGGCGGCAGCGTGGAGCTGTTGCGAGGGCGGCAGCGCTACCAAGGTTGCGGAGGCAGTCGCCAGCGGAAGCCTTTGCGTGCAGTCACCGACGAGGAGAGCAGCAACGGCGGTGGAGCTTGCTGCCCCGCGCAGAAGGGCGGACCTCGCCGGAGCCACACGCGTCCCCAAGCCTCATCGCCTCCGCCGAACTCTATGTCCCCAAGCAGCTCTAGCTCCACCGGCGAGCTCGATTTTATGGAGAAGATAGAGCTCCTGGAGGCGGCAGGAGAGACGGACCTTGAGCTCAGGCTCGCCGGCGGTCCGCGCGGAAGGGAAGACTAGATATGTGCTTGAGCTTCGTCACCGCAATGAGTCCCCTGCTCCACGAGCTCAAGAATGCCATTGCTGCTTCTCTACTGCTCGGGGAGGAAGAAGGATAGAGAGAGAAAGTGAAGAGGAGATGAGGGAAGAAGAAGAGGTGGTCTTCATTTTTATTTTTATTTGATGACTAGGCTTCCACATCAATGCCACGTAGGCGAAAAACCAGTTGAAAAACCATTCGAGGGTGTAAAGTGAATGGTATTGAAAGTTCGAGGGTGTATTATACTCGGTTTTGTAGTTTGGGGGTGTAATTTGTACCAGCATAAGAGTTCGAGGGTGTAAAATGGACTTATCCCAAAAAAAAAAAAAATCTCTTCTCGTCGTCCTCTTCTCCAACCACGCGCTCACGCCGCCAGCCGGCCACCGCTTATCCCCTTCTCCAGCCGAGCGCGCCGTCTCTCTCCTCGCCGCGCCGCCGCGCTCTCGTCGTCGCCGCCGGTGGCTTCCGGACCTTCCTGGGTGGGTGAGGAGATCCCCCACCTCCTCCGCCGCCGCTCATCCTGCTGCTTCCGCCGCATCCGTTACGCACATCCTCTTTCCCATCTCTCTCTCTCTCTCTCTCTTTACCCACGCATTTTTCTTCTCGAATTTGCGTTAACCCTAGCTTCTGTTCTAGAAATTTGCCTTAACCTTAATACTAATAACAGTTTGATGGCTCCCAAAAAGGTTTGGGGGTTCAACTGAGCAGATTCTGTTCTTGTTTTGGCGTGTATGCATGCATGTGCGGCGTTTTTACCAGTTTTCAATCTCTGAAATGGATATGTGACCTTTATTTCTTCTGAAAACAGATAGCTAAAACTGTCCGTACGCATTGTCCGTGAGGGTAATAGATGATTTGCTAGTTTGGTGAACAGGAATTTGCAGTGATTTTTTTCATGGAGATACTTCACAATAACGGTATGTTCATTATTGTTTCAAATAGCCTTGCTTTCTTTGTAGTTTCATTTGTATAGCTGGTTTCTTATATTCAACTTTGGATCCTTAATTCAGGTTTTTGCGTTAGCTTGATAGACATCAACAGAATCAGAATGAACAAGTTAGTGAAGGTACTGATTCTATTCTATATTTAAAGTTAATTTTCTTTCAGTTACAACAGGGTGGTACTTTGGCTTGAAAACAATTATGAAATCATGTGTAGGTTAGCCATATTAAGTTCTTGAGTATCCTCCACTTTGTAAAGGAAGTTACTGATCCTACTAATTGGTAACCATCAGAAGTGCAGTTATAACCTGTAGCATAACATGTAGGATTGTGTAATTTCCAAAAAATGGCATATTCTTAAAAATCATGAAAATGTTAGATATCTCATTATTGATATGTCTGCTGAAGAATCAAGGATCTTGATTGACCTAATGAAATGGTAGCATCAGTTAACACATGCTTTATTTTAACTTGAAAGCTCTTTGTCCTGCATCCACCCAAATATGAAGATAAATGATGCATCCTTGTCATTTTCCATTGCTGATGTCTCAGGCAGTTGGGCCTGTTATTATTGTTCCCCTTCAGCCTGCACATTATTGTTAACTGTTTTATTAGCAGATAATCTCACAGAACTAATTGAAACTATGTTCAAGAAGCTAGTATTCTCATAAACAATCCTATTACTATGGTGGCACTCAATACTGAATATCACATAATGGAGAAATTCCTAGCAGTTGTTCATTATTCTTTCTTGTTTGCAGTAAATCACTGTTGCAATGGAAAATGTTTAAGCGTATTCTCTTTGTTCAAATGCTGTGATCAGTTATAAATTCATCCTTTATTTTCTTGTCTCAGGTAGGATCCCGTCCTCGTCAAATTGCTTGGGGAATGTCAAGAATATGCTGTGAGCAGTCTCCTGGTACTTCCAGCAAGAGATATGAGAGGTATCAAAGACAACCACAGAATGTTGATCTCCCAGAATTGCTCCCAAAGAAGAAAAAGAAGCCATTTCCTGTTCCAATTAAGAAGATGTTGCAAGCTTCTCGACAAGATAAAAGGCTTGCGCGAATGCGAATAGAGAAGCCTCTTGAGCCCCCAAAGAATGGTTTGCTTGTTCCAGAGCTTATTCCTGTAGCTTATGAGGTCCTTGATAACTGGAAGGTGCTCATCAGAGGTCTCTCTCAACTGTTGAATGTTGGTACAGTTTATGGTTGCAGGTAACTAAGGAATGCTAGCCTGTTCCATCAGTTGTTTACATGTGCAATGATATTTGTATTTTCTTGTACATAGGCATGCTTTAATATCCCTGTATGATGGTATATTTTGCCAAGTATCCTGAACTTATGTCATCTGGCTGGTGGTTTGTAGAAAATGCCCCCAAGTCCATGTTGGTCCAGTTGGCCACCAGATCCAAGATTGCTATGGAACAGGAAGCCAACGTCGGAATAGCCATCACTCTTGGGTCAGAGGATCCGTCAACGATGTTCTCATCCCGATTGAATCTTATCATCAATTTGACCCATTTGGGTGGAGAGTCAAGCATGAAACCAGGTTTGACTATGACAGGATTCCAGCCATCGTTGAGCTATGCATTCAAGCTGGTGTTGAGTTGCCACAATACCCCTCAAGGCGACGAACTGCTCCTGTCCGGATGATAGGCAAGAAAGTGATCGACCGTGGTGGGTTTGTTGACGGGCCTAAGCCACACCGTTCAGAAGACTGCATATCTCTGCTTGCTGAACTTGACACATTCAGCAACCAGCAAGGCCAGTCATCGACGCCATCAAATGTGGAAGAGCTCGCGGAGAAAACACTGAAAGCATACTTAAATGTCCAGCGAGGTGTTGCACGGTTGATGAGGAAATACACAGTAAAAACATGCGGGTATTGCTCTGAGGTTCACGTTGGTCCATGGGGCCACAATGTGAAGCTCTGTGGGGCTTTCAAGCACCAGTGGAGGGACGGCAAGCATGGATGGCAGGATGCAGTGGTGGACGATGTCATCCCGCCAAATTATGTGTGGCATGTCCGTGACCCCACTGGCCCTCCTCTCAGATCCTCTCTAAGGAGTTTCTACGGCAAAGCTCCAGCCGTGGTTGAGTTGTGCGTGCAGGCAGGAGCTGAAATACCTGAAGAGTACCGGCCGATGATGAGAGCTGATGTCGTCATCCCAGACTCAGAAGAAGCTAGGTTGGCTGCATGACTACATTTTTCTACCCTCTGCACCTCTTCAGCTGTCCAGAGTCCACATAGAACCAAAGGGCTGTATAATATAATGGTATGACTGAACCATTATCAATCAGAGTTGCAATAGATCCATATATGTGGTAAAATAATCACACCAAAAGGTGATCCTCGAATATCCTGTCTTTTGTCCGCCTTTTCAGCGATACTGTTCAATCATATATTTCTTATGAGCCATTGGTTCGTCACTTTGCAGGTTAAACGCATGAACCGAGGATGCGCGGCGACAATGCTGAAAGTGAGAAAGGATGGCCAATGGAACATGTATGATGTACATACCCATTTTGTTTAATGGTTGAAGCTGCTTTATTCTTTGCCTATGCTAGACTGTGAGGCACTTCCGATGGCTCCATACTTGGCCATACAGATGGCCTCCCCTTTGTCTGCTGGTACTATGCTTAATTGTCAGCTGATTCCTTGGATTAAACTAATCACGGCGATTTGTTCGGGTATTTGTGCGCTTGGCTGTAATTAATCATGGACTGAAAAAAGCAATGCACTTGTGCCCGTCCCCAGATCAATCCGGAGTATGGCTACAGCCTGCATGTAGGAGTACATCAGGTTATCAGTTTAGTGTGCTGCTACTTGCTATGTGTACTACTATGTATAAAAACAAGTCAGGAGCTACTTGTACTGTTGTACTGTTGCTACTCAGTTTGAAACAGATCATTTACCAGAGAGTAAATTTCACTTTGGACCATCTTTATTGACCAAAATTTCACATTGGGCTAGGGCTAGGCTCATGTTTTTACTTAACACCATGTATAATTACCATTGTTTGCACTTTGGACCTGGTTTTATAGTTACCATTACACGAATTGTTGTCTAGGTGCTTAGCATTTTACAAGAAACAATGATATGGAAATTTTTGCCATACAAATATGCTTAGCGCAAGAACAATGATTGTAACATGTTAAAGGATATGCTATCAGATTAATGGGACTTCATTACTACTACATATGAACATTCACAACCCTTATACTAGAGACAATTGGAGAAATATTGAGTTTAAGAACTATTTTTCTAGAAAAGATATTACATGTTTTACAATACCCAACTGTAGTGTTAGTACAAATTGTTGAATTATAAGTTTTCTAACACAAAATAGAAATGAGATCAGATCTACAATCATTATACTATGTGTAATTTGTGAAACCCGGTCCAAAGTGCAAATGATGGTAACTATATATGGTGTTAAGTGAAAATATAAGTCTAACTCTAGTCCAATGTGAAAATTTGGTAAATAAAGGTTGACCAAAGTGAATTTTACTCTTTACCAGATTATTGTCGTTGATTATCTACTTGATTATAAGGATTACTTAAATATTTTGAGAAATAGCTTAGAACAAAACAATCCGTGGTAATAATCCGGTGAATAAGCTCATGTTCATGCTATGTTGAGCTACATGTATCAATTGGATGGTGAAGAAGCGATGCAAAAGATCGATGGTATCCCTGAATAACACTTTTTTTTCTCTAAATAAGTTAAGTACTGCTTCCATGTTCTTCCTAGAAGTAAATTGCATGAACCCTAAAACCATTTGCAATTACAGCTTCTGCAAACCAGTTTGCCAACTGCCCAACTAGGTCTGCTTCCAACTTAAAACTAGAGGAGCAAATAGGCATTGTGATGAAAGAACAACCTTCTGTTGCAAACCCCTTGATGCTGGCACAAGATGTCATCAGGACATGGTAATCTCTGATGCTGGCGCAAGCACACAGAAATGAGAGGAGAAGAAAAGGAGAAGAGCGGCTGTGATGCAATGCAATGCAAGTACACATGATTGAGTTGTCGCGGTATATACCTCCTCCCATGAGCTAGGGTGATTAAAATAACACAAGTAAATACAGCTAGGAATAAGATCAATGGACGCTGGGCGCATGGCCTTGGTATCTGATTTTTTTCTCCCCAGTTGCAGAAAAGCTTCAGAGGTAGCCTGTAGCCAGGCCGTGTATAAATACAAGACAGCAACAGCCGAGCTGCCTCAGCATTCAGCTCAAAATCGAAAATTGAAATCACTCTCTCCGGAGCTCCTGCACCGTAGTCATCATCACCATGGCTAGGGAAGAAGAGCTCAAGGTAATAACAACACCAATCCAATCTTGCTGAATTTAATTCTTTTTCTTTCAGTGATCCATTGATCCATGTTGCTAACTGAGATAAATTGCGTTGCATTTTTTGTCCATGTGCAACAGAGAGTTGATCTGAAGGTGAACGTGAGCTGCTGCGAGGGATGCAGGAGGAAGGTGATGAAAGCCATAAGCCTGAAAGGTATCGAGTTCGTTCACTTCTCCTGTGTTCTTGTTGTTGTTCGTCAGAGACGCTGATCGAATTTGTGTTTCGTCAGAGATGCTTAATTTTGTGTTCGTGTGCATGGATTTTGTGTTTCGTCAGAGATGCTGAATTTTGTGTTTGTGTGCATGGGATGTTGCAGGCGTGCTGAGGACAGAGATCAACCCGTCGCTCGACAAGGTGACCGTCGTCGGCGACGTGGACAGCAGGGTGCTCGTCAAGAAGCTCTCCAAGGTCGGCAAGATCGCCGAGGTGATGGCGCCGCCGCCGTCGTCAACGGCGGCGCCTTCGGAAGAAGGCAAGAAGAGCGACGGCAATGGCGGCGAGAAGCCGACCTCGCCGGCGGACGAGAAGAGCGCCGCGCGCAAGGACGAAGGCAAGGACGGCAAAGGCGACAAGTCGTCGTCGGCGGCGGCGTGCAAGCAGGAATGCAGCAAGTGCACGGCCGGGAAGGAAGCCGCCGACGAGGCTGGCCGCGCCGGTGGGAAGACGGCGTCGTCCAAGGACACGGTCACAGCCAAGAACAGCGACGACGTCGACGGCGACAAATCCGAACCGGCGGCGGTGGCGGTGGAGTACCAGTACCACCACCACTACAGCCGGCCGGAGCCGGCCATGGTGGTGCCGGTTCACCTCCCGTACTACGCCGCGAACGCGACGCCGTACTATGCCGGAGGATACTACCCGATCCCGCCGCCGATGCCGGCGATGCTCCGTCACCCTCCTCAGCTCCGGCCGCAGCCGTCACGCTTCGACGAGGACTACTTCAACGAGGACAACACCGTCGGCTGCCACGTCATGTGAAACCGCAAAACACGCCAAGCTCCTCCTGGCTCCCGCCATGTACAACCGATCGATCACCAAGAAATCAGCGACCACCATTCGTTTCTTCAATCTCAACACACACACACACACTCTTCAGAATGCATTTGCCGTTTAATCAAATCAACCAAACAAACAAAACAGCAATTAACTCGAATTCGATCATCCGTCATCTTCTTCCTCCCTCTCTTTCTACTCCTTAAAAAAAAAGAAAGAAGAAGAAAGAGAGGAGGGCGTCTCGGGTGTGTTCGCTGCTGATGGATGGAAATATATCATCTAACCATGGAAAACAGAGCAGTTCATTAGCGTGTGATTAATTAAGTATTAGCTATTTTTTTAAAAAAAATCAATATGATTTTTTAATTAAATTTTGTACAATTTTTTTTTATAAAAAACGTACCATTTAGCAATTTAAAAAACGTGCACCCTTGAGTCCGAACACACCCGAATCAATCAACCAACCGGCAACCGACCGACGAAAGAACAAGCCAGAAAGCCGGCTGTTGCACGATTCCGTCACTGCTGCTGGCGTCCTGGCCTACTCTGTACCCGGATTCGTGCATGCGATCCAGGCCAGCAAAGGACGAACGGCCGGCGACGAGCGAACGCCATATGGTATATGAAAAAGATCGCCGAATATATGATGCCGCGCTCGCCCGCCCGCACGCACGCGCCGAGCCTTTTGTTTATTCGGTGGACGGCGTCGCCACCGGCTTTGCGCTTGCTTGCGCGCGGATGAGACTGGAGAGTTGATACGAGCCAAATTTCGCACCTCAGATTATCAATAGCGACAACCAAAATTTCAACTTAAAAACAGTAAATTTCATAAAACTGTAACTATAGTGATAAAACTTGCGACCTATTTCAGTTTACTGCAACGATAGCGCAAAAAAATATCATAAAACTGTAACTTTTATGTGACCCAAACTTAAAGTTGACACATACATGTCTTGTAGTAGCACTGGCACACCACATAAAAGCTACAAATTTGCTTATCGTTGCAGTAAACTGAAATATGTTATTAATGCTGCAGTAAACTGATAGTCTTATACAGGTTTCTGCAATTTACTCGTTTAAAAACCTAATTTTATAATTGATATGATTTTATGATTTTTTTTAGCTTTTAAGACGAAAAAAACTCGTATGTGGAGTATATTTTATCTATAAATTAATTTTAATTGTTAATAAGCGTTACGGCTTATGAGTGAAATTATAGGCGAGGCGAGCGATAAAGTTGGGCGAGGGGGGGATCAGGGGTAGGTAGCCCGCTGCTGCCGCCGCGCTGCTTTTTGCCGAATTCTCTCTGTTGGCTCATTCTACGCTCGTACTAGCTCGGGATTCCTCCACTGAAACTGGCCATGAGCTTAGCTGCAAAATTCGACGATCTCTGCACTCCAAATTCGATGATCTCTCGCTCGCACGAATGATTGAATTGACCCGTCGATTTTGCTGTTGCAACGACCGGAATAAAGCGTGTGGGGGGCGGCGGCAAAAACCGGGACCGCACGTACGTTGGTACACAACACCTATAGCATAAGTCTCTCCCAGATGTACTAAATTTTCTTTGAGAGGGACTAAAGTCGCTCCTTCCCAAACACCACATAAGTTTAAGTATGTTTTAGTTTCCAACTTTTTCTTCAAACTTTTAACTTTTCCATCACATCAAAACTTTCTTACTCACACCAACTTCCAATTTTTTTATTCAAATTTTTAATTTTGGTGTGGAACTAAACACAACCTTAAGCTAAGTGGGCGGTTTTCTGAATTTACAATGGGGGTGGTGCTCTGTGGAGGGAATGATGATGATAGGTTTAGGTAAATTTAATCGGGATACTAGCAGATTTGCAGGGAGTCAAGGCGTGATCGCATCAAATTCGATCCAAAAGCTGGGGACTTGTTAGTGAAAAAAAGAGATTCAAATCAGAGCATGGAATTTTCGCATAAGAAATTGCATGGTGTTCCAGGAATTTCTGTAGTGCGATTGTTTAGGTGAACAAAATAAACGCTTAAGTTAAGTCTACGCGTTTTATAATTAAAAAAAAACAGTCTAAGGTTTTTCTTTTCCAGGTTTGGTACTCCTTCCGGATGGAGGGAATTTTAACAGAATTGTTCGCTGTAATGGAACAGATTCTTGTAAATGTTTTTTGAAATTTTTGTATTCTTAAAGATCCCTTGTTTGACATACAGTAATGTTTGTTTAAAAAGACAGAAATTACGTAAACCATCTCAATTGTCATCCTTATTTTGAAATTTCACCTCATAATCCATTTTATTTTTTTTAAGAAAACACCCTCCACATTGCGAAGCTGAAATTACTCTCCACCCCCAGCTACCCCTGCACATGTGTAGCTGTTTTGGCCTATTTTTTCTAGCTTGGATCCGTGACAGGCCATATCTATGAGGTCGGGCTCATCTAGCATAGCAACATCATTCTTTAGATAGCTAATATCCACTGGATATCTAAAGCTCAAATGCAAGTATGATATTTATTATCACTCCTAAAACCTATATGCAAATATGTCACATCAATCCATTAAACACATAAAAACATGCAAGCATATAGTAATTATATCTACAATTTATTTCATTTTAGAACTAACATATACATGATAAATCATCATTCTTAAGTCATTTTCATAATATTTTAATCCAAATTATTTCATTATTTCTCCTATATCTAACATATATCCTGTAACAAAGCACGGTGCATCATCTAGTTCTTTAGATAAGAACAAGCTTGACTTAGCTGATAATGGCCTGCGACATATCCACGTCGAAAGAAATGAGCCGAATCAACTACTGGTGGGTAGGGTTTTGCAACAAAATAAGAGTGATGGTTTATGTAATTATGTCTTTTAAGAAAAATTGCATGGTGACCCGCGCATATTGCACGGCTAGCATCGTTATATTTTTTATACATATATATTTACATTTTATTATAAAAATATGTTAAAACGGTAACATAATTCTAAATTTTGTACTATCTTGATCAAACTGACCAATGTGTAATTGTATATACGTGAGAGTTATTAATTATTTTTAATTCTAAATTTTAGTTATTTCTAAATTGTATTCTGATATGGAATTTTTTTACAAAATGTATGGCATGAGTATTAAAAAAGTATTGTGTGATAATGATCAGAGGAATTGTGTGATTGGTTGAGAAGAGTATATGAAGGAGAATAGTTGTGTCCCAAAATATAAGTGAGAATGATCGAAGAAAGTGTGTGATCGATTGAGAAGATAAAGTATCTGAAGGAAAATAGTTATGTCCCAAAATGTAAGATTTTTTAGGTTAGCACGAGTATTAAAAAAATAAATAAGAATGATTGGAAGAAGTGTGTGATTGGTTGAGACGATGAGATAGTTGAAGAAATAGTTTAATTTTAAGACAAGACATTGTGCTAGAATTAATAGTATCTTGAGATATAGGTAGTAACTAGTATCTTGACACGGTCTTCGATATGCTACTTTAACCAACAATATATTAAATAAAAAGAGTTGCATATTATAATAGTTTGTTTAAGATAAATCTAGTAACATCAATTTTATATGATTGATATATTTTTTTCTATTAATGGTCAAAGTAAAAAATATTTGACTTGTCATTATGCTAAAAATGCTTATATTTTGGGCTGGAGGAGTAATAAATACTCCCTCCGTTTCACGATGTAAGTCATTCTAGCATTTTCCACATTCGCATTGATGTTAATGAATATAGACATATATATATCTATACTAGATTCATTAACATCAGTACGAATGTGAGAAATAATAGAATGATTTATATTATAAAACAGAGGAAGAAGCAGTAGATAGCTTTTGTTCATCTGATTTAATACCGCTCTGGCGCTCCCCCATCCAGGGACTGCACCGCTGCACGGCATGTACATGGGCCCAGCGGCACAACCCCTGTCAGCTTGAAAGCCTGATAGAGGCCCAGCTGTAGCCCAACCTAGCACGCCACAAAACCGGCGGCTGGAATGCCTGCCGGTGGATAGCGGCGGATTAGGCATCGCTCGTAGTACAGTACAAGTAGTGTACCGCGCAAGCTTATCCAAAAGGTTAGCTAGCTTCCCATCGAAGAAAGAACTTTCTGGAACACGGCAGTTACACGAGACTAGTACTCCAAGCTGGGCCCCACCATAGGTAGGGTCACCATGGCCAGGAAAGCCGGAAGAGGAAACAAAAAAAATCTTTTATGAAACCCTACAAAAAAAAAATCGTCACTCTCCTCTTTTGGCTCTTTAGTTTCCCATTCTGCCCCTCGAGTCACTTGGAGAGTTTGGTGGCTTTCTTTTGCCTTCGCTGCGAAGGACCAAGGTCAAATCAGGTACCAGAAGGTCCCCAGTTAATTACGGCTGATTATAAGCCAGCTTATTAACGATAAAAAAAATGTGAGTAAAATTTTGTATACGTGTGTTTAGCGACTTAAATATTAGTGCTGAAAAAAACTATGTTAAAAAGATTAAAATTAATCTTAAAATATAATTTTAAATATAAATTTTAACATTCATCTTTAATATAAGTTGCTATGTGTTTCTACGTGCTTTACTACGGCAATTACTAAGTAATAATATTTAGTGTTCTTGTTGATAATAATTGAGCTTAGGAGTAAAAATATATTAGTTATTAACAACAAATAAACTGGATTACCAAACCAGGTTTGGAGAAGTAAATTAGTACACTTTGTAGGAGATTGTAGATGAAAAATATTAGGTTTTTGTCGGCTAAATTTTGCATCGTAACTCTGTAAGAAAATTTTGATGAAAAATCAATATTTATTAGTACTAATTACAAAAAAGAACAAGTATTATAAAAATGATAGATTAAATATGTTTGAAATATTGTGAAAATAATACGAGAGGTGATGATTGGATATGCTTACACGTTGATTTGTACATTTTAATAAATTATAGATTATGTTGTATAACTTGCGTGAGCTTTGATACGTAATTATTGTTAGTGGATGATGAGTTGACATGTTTGTAGGTTAAATTTTAGATTTAGATTTAGTTGTTTGGGTGTGTTCGCTATTACTAGTTCCAGAACCATCCGCACGAAAAACGGAACGGTCCATTAGCACGTGATTAATTAAGTATTAGCTTTTTTTCCAAAAATGGATTAATTTGATTTTTAAACAATTTTCGTATAGAAACTTTTTGTAAAAAACGCTTAGCAGTTTGAAAAGCGTGTGCGTGGAAGAGAGAGGGGTTAGGAAAAGGGGTGTCCGAACACACCCGTTGTCACTATCCCAACTCACTTTTCTCGTATTTTATGTGCACGTTTTCTAAATGGCTAAACATCGTGTTTTTTTTAAAAAAAATCTATATAAAAGTTGTTTTAAAAATTATATTGATTATTCTTTAAAAAATACTTAGTCAATCATACGCTGATAAAACCGCGTGTGAGGTTTGCTTTATGGGAAAATATAGATAGCGCGTATATTAAAGTAAATTGCGAGGACATTGCTTAATTGCCAAGTTATTCTTTCCTGTCCTTTTGAATCTGGCCCTGCACCTGCGATCAGCGATCGAGCAAGCATCGAGCTGTAGTAATGTCCTCTGCCGATTTGACGTGCTGTCGTCATCGTCAGTTCGTCATCATCACCTCTCTTTACTACGGAGATTTCGAAGGATTTTCGCTGAATTTGACATCGCCGCTGGATCAGATTTGTGGTGAAAGCTGATAAAGGAAAGCCATGTGTCGATCAACGGACAGTGGTATACTCCTCTCGTTAGAGCAAGTTTAATAGTACAGCCAACTACTAACTCTAAATTATCTATAGCCAATTCATATAATAGTTGTTTACTATCCAATTAATACCTGGTTCCACCTGTCATACACATATATTATATCTTGGAGTCCGTACTGCAGCTGGCTACAGATCTGTAGCCCGCTGCTCTTCTCTCTCTTCCTTTATCTCTTTAAAATATATTTATAGCTGGTTTATAATCCGTTATTGTACTTGCTCTTACTGTTACATCACCTCGTAGTTGGACTCGATAAACAGACGAGATTTTGATTAAAGAGGAACTAGTCATTTCAAAAAAAAAAAAAATCCCTGACCTTCGTGGTAAAACAGAATTAAGAAATCTTCAATTGGAAATGCAACATAGGCTGTGTTTAGATCCAAAGTTTAGATCCAAACTTCAGTCCTTTTCCATCACATCAACCTGTCATACACACATAACTTTTCAGTCACATCATCTTCAATTTCAACCAAAATCCAAACTTTGCGCTGAACTAAACACAACCATAGATAAATGTGTGTCTCTCCAGCCTGATTTTGTGTACCAACAAGAGAAATGCAGAAACAATGGATTAAAATAGTGCCGCATCTTCAAATTGCTTATTGCCTGCTCAAACATTTTTATTGCCTTATTAACATTTATTTCTTGGAATTAGGGTTTAGGGTTTGCTTTATCGTGCAAACACCTAAGCTGATAAAGGCAAAGGTAAGAAGGGGAAGGGAGTTTCTATGGTTCTTGCTGGTGCCGTTGGCGCACTCCCACGCTGATGAGGCCAAGTGGTGTGTGCTGGAGAGGTGGCAGTGGGGCCAAGCTCGAAAAGTTAGGTGTTAGGCCAACGGCGAGGAGAAGAAGAGGAGGCGACGATTAGAGTTTGTGTGTTTGCATGAAGTGTTTGAAACGAAAATTCACAAGGTATTCTAGGTTTTTTTTTCATATGTAGAGTAACGCTAGGGAGTGACGGCGGAGGTGGTGGGGTCAAGTTCAAGATATTGGGAGCTGTGGCGGCGGAGGAGGAGCGGGGGACTAGGGTTTAGGTGTTTGCACGAATTCCAAAGCGATCCGACGTTTCAGAATTCACAAGATATTTATGGGCTATTTTTTTTCTAAATGTACAATAGTCAGTTACTTCATTTATTCGTCTCACATTCCTAATTTCCAATTAAGACAGGGACCTAACAGCAAAAAGGCCAAACCCTCCCGCGACAGAACGGGCAGTCGGGCACGACCGAGACCCTCGCGCCCACGCAGCAACCTCCGTACACACGTCGCACTTGACTTGCGTGGACTCCAACTTCCCATTTTACCCCTCCGTGCTCAACCAAATTGCCACTAAACCGCTCACCACTCACTAATCTATCAGGGGCAAGATCGTATTTTGCCACTAATCCCACTAATCCCCCTGCGCGCTTCTCGTATAACTACTCCCCACTGCTCTCTTCGATCCCCTCTTCTGCTTTTTAGCGAAATCCGAGAAAAAAATTGCCTGCAAAAAAAAAAATCGAAACGTCGTTCTGATCGATCGGCCGTTCGAGTTCACGGCGGAGATGGAGCACGAGCGCGGTGGCGGTGGCCGCGGCCGCGGGAGGGGTCGCGGTGGCGGGCGTGGCGGCGGTGGCGGCGATGGTCGCGGAGGCGGTTATGGTGGTGCTGGTGGTGGTGGTGTCGGCGGGCGCGGTGGGCGTGGGCCTCCTGGTGGTGGTGGTGGACGCGGGTACGAGCCCGGCGGCGGGCGTGGGTACGGTGGCGGCGGCGGCGGTGGTGGACGTGGGTATGGCGGCGGAGGCGGCGGTGGTGGGTACGAGTCCGGCGGTGGGCGTGGGTATGGCGGCGGTGGACGTGGGTATGAATCCGGCGGTGGGCGTGGACCTGGCGGCGGCGGCCGTGGGCACGAGTCCGGCGGTGGCGGTGGCCGCGGCGGGAACGTGTGGGCGCAGCCGGGGAGAGGGCGCGGAGGAGCCCCCGCCCCGGCGCCGGCGCCAGCACCAGCAGCGAGGAGGATCCAGGACGAGGGGGCCGCGAGGTCGTCGGGTACCGTTGGTAAGCGTCTCACCAAGTATAATTGGTGCTTCTGAATGTACCATCACTTTTTTTTTTGTTATGTCACGAAACACTGCAGGGAAGCATCTAGGATTTAGAAAGTCCCTAGGACGTTCAGTTTCTTACTTGAAAGTGCATCATGAGCAACATTTGCTCTGTCATTTCCATCTGGGAAGTCGTTTTGGAAAAGCAAAATTTCTAGGGGGGACTACAACTTGTTGATCCATTTTGTTCTAACTGCTCGTTAAGTTGCTGATTTTGCTTACTCCTATGTGAACTTGACCTGTTTTTGTTTCTAACGGTTCTTCATTTTCCTTCAGAGCGCATTGCTTCTACTGAGGTTGTAAGAGTACAACCACCTGCACCCCCAGTTGCTGTGTCTCGTAGTGGCACGCGTGTGCCAATGCGAAGACCTGATGGTGGAGGCTCAGTATCGAAAGCCAAGGTCAAATTGTTGGTGAACCATTTTATAGTTAAGTACCGACAGGCATCAACTGTTTTTCACTATGACATAGACATCAAGCTTGATATAAGTTCCCCCAAGGCTTCAGACAAGGAGCTATCCAAGGGAGATTTTCTTACTGTCAAGGACGAGCTCTTCAAGGATGAGAGCTTTCGGCGGCTTTCATCAGCTGTTGCTTATGATGGAAAAAGAAATTTATTTACTTGTGCTGAGCTACCAGATGGTTTGTTTCGTGTCAAAGTCCGTTCACGGACTTACATTGTATCTGTGGAGTTCAAGAAGAAGCTTCCTTTGAGCCAACTCTCGGAACTGCCTGTGCCCAGAGAGGTCTTGCAGGGGCTTGATGTCATTGTGCGTGAGGCCTCTAGCTGGCGCAAGATTATCATTGGTCAGGGATTTTACTCGCAGGGCCGCAGTGTGCCCATTGGGCCGGATGTTGTAGCTCTCAAAGGAACCCAGCAGACCCTGAAATGCACTCAGAAAGGACTGATCCTTTGTGTGGACTATTCGGTTATGCCGTTTCGCAAAGCTGGACCTGTGTTGGATCTTGTTCAGAAGTCTGTGAGATACCTTGACTACAGGACAACACTAAACAAACACCAATTGGACACTTTGAAGAATGAACTCAAAGGCCAGCGTGTCACTGTAAATCATAGGAGGACAAAGCAGAAGTACATTGTTAAAGGTTTGACTGATAAACCTGCAAGTCAGATAACTTTTGTAGATTCTGAATCAGGACAGACCAAGAAGCTTCTTGATTACTATTCGCAGCAGTATGGCAAGGTTATTGAGTATCAAATGCTTCCATGCTTGGATTTGAGCAAGAGCAAGGACAAGCAAAACTATGTGCCGATTGAATTGTGTGATCTTCTTGAAGGGCAGAGATACCCAAAAGCAAGCTTAAATAGGAATTCTGATAAAACACTGAAAGAAATGGCTTTGATCCCTGCCTCAAGTAGGAAGGAGGAGATTCTGGAGTTGGTGAATGCTGACGATGGGCCTTGCAGGTAACTGTTTCAACTTTTGAGTTCCAACTCTTTCCACTGTTTGCAAACGCCTAATTGATCTTGAAACTTAACATGTTGCTATGATTAATTAGTAGTAGTGGTGGTAGTACAACTATAGATTCGTGGATTCAATGGAAATACTTCTCTGCGTGAACGACCTAGTACCACAAAACTTGGGTTAATATATGTGTGCGAAACAACAAGAGACTTAACTACCTCAAATATTGTATGGGTCAAATGGTTGACTCATTGTTCTCCTTGTCACATTTGTCTTTCTGATATTTAACTGTTATTACTCATTTTTTTCCTTGCTAAGGGAGAACATAAACTTAACTGATCTTTGTCATTCGGTTTTGGAGAAAATTAATGAACTACTCTTGATCATTTTAACTTCAGAACTAGAGATAACTGATGTTATCTTATCATGTACTAATTACTATTTTTATTCCAGGGGTGAAATTGCTCAGCAGTTCGGGATTTCTTTGGATGTACAAATGATGGAAGTCACTGGTAGGACCCTTCCTCCTCCCAGCCTAAAACTTGGCACCTCCAGTGGCCAACCCCCCAAATTCAATATTGATCAGCCTAACTGCCAGTGGAACCTTACGAGGAAAAGACTAGCAGAGGGCGGGGTGCTACAGTGCTGGGGCGTTGTGGACTTCAGTGCAGATTCTGGGCAGTACGCCCTGAATGGGAACATGTTTATTGACAAGATTGTCAGGAAGTGCTGCGACCTTGGCGTACAGATGAACCGTAACCCATGCATTGTGCAACTGTTAGATATGGAGGTGCTATCCGATCCACATCAGCTCTTCGAGGAGCTTAACAAAGCTAAGCAGGCGGCAGCCAGTAAGAAACAGAAGCTGCAGCTCCTCTTCTGCCCAATGTCTGATCAGCATCCTGGGTACAAGACGCTGAAGCTTATCTGCGAGACGCAGCTGGGGATCCAGACCCAGTGCTTCTTGAGCTTCCTCGCGAACAAACAACAGGGACAGGACCAGTACATGTCCAACCTTGCTCTGAAGATCAACGGCAAGATTGGAGGAAGCAACATCCAACTGTTTGGTGAATCGCTCCCGCGGATCTCCGGCGCGCCATACATGTTCATCGGCGCCGACGTGAATCACCCATCGCCGGGGAACGTCGAGAGCCCGTCGATTGCAGCAGTGGTGGCCTCGGTGGATCAAGGCGCCAGCAAGTACGTGCCAAGAATCCGCGCTCAGCCTCACCGCTGCGAGGTGATCCAGCACCTCGGCGACATGTGCAAGGAGCTCATCGGCGTGTTCGAGAAGCGGAACCGCGTGAAGCCCCAGAGGATCATCTACTTCCGCGACGGCGTCAGCGACGGTCAGTTCGACATGGTGCTGAACGAGGAGCTGGCGGACATGGAGAAGGCGATCAAGACCAAGGACTACTCCCCGACGATCACCGTGATCGTGGCCAAGAAGCGGCACCACACCAGGCTGTTCCCCAAGGACCTGAACCAGCAGCAGACCAAGAACGGCAACGTGCTCCCCGGCACGGTGGTGGACACCGGCGTGGTCGACCCGGCGGCGTACGACTTCTACCTGTGCAGCCACAACGGGCTGATCGGGACGAGCCGGCCGACGCACTACTACAGCCTTCTGGACGAGCACGGCTTCGCCTCCGACGACCTGCAGAAGCTGGTGTACAACCTCTGCTTCGTCTTCGCCCGCTGCACCAAGCCGGTGTCGCTGGCCACGCCCGTCTACTACGCCGACCTCGCCGCCTACCGCGGCAGGCTCTACTACGAGGGCATGATGATGTCGCAGCCGCCACCGTCTTCCGCGGCGTCGGCGTCGTCGGCATCCTCCTCCGGCGCCGGCGCTTCCGACTTCAGGAGCTTCCCGGCGCTGCACGAGGATCTGGTGGACAACATGTTCTTCATCTGACGACAGCCTTTCGTCGCATGGTCCGGTGGTCTCTCTCTGTTCTTAGTTTACCTCTTACTGCGTGGAGTCTCAGGTCATAGACTCATTAGTCACAGACTCACAGGTTGTCTATCTTTTGACTTTTGTTGACCGTGTCGTCGGTCTTGGTAGTTGGTAGTCTTATACATACTGTTGAGGCTGCATTATGGTTGCACAAGAAAGTTTAAGAGTACTATACTGGTACTCTGTATTTTGCAATTCTCGTGCGGATGCTATGGAGTAGGATGTTTCTAGAACACGGCTGTTCCGCTACTGACTTCGAGACGGGGCCCAGAACGGAGTCGCCACGGCTAGGAAAGCCGAAAGCGGGAAAAGAAAATTCTCGTTTTGCTCCTTCCTACTGTAGTCCTTTTCCATTCTGCCCCTCCGATTACTTGAGTACTTTCTTTGTTTCAAAGCAAATATAAATATACGGTTTAAATTCGTAGTACTAGAACGTGTCACCTTCTATACTAGTTTTGTTCATTATGCGATAGAGTGAGTAGTACATACTAGGAGCTTTATCGGTTTTTTAAAAAATAAGTCAAAGCAGAAATAATTTTGGAGTTGATTTTTAAGATATTTTTGATGTAGTTTATTTTTTTATAGACTTTTAAGTTATTAGAAACATATATTAAAATTGTATACGTACATTATTTTTTGGACATTAATAAGCTCTTATGATTTGTAATTAACTTTTAGACAACTGATGAGACTCTCCTGCAAGGCTGCAATCCAGGCCTGTAAGAAGAAATGGTTCAAATTACTACCTAGATAGGCTAGATTGCTTATTGCTACCTGCTCGAAATCGAATACAGTAGCTCATTAGTACTTTGCTTGTGTTACACGTCTTATTTTCCAATTTGGACATAACACGGGGATCTAACAGAAAAAAGGCCACATCCCAAATTCTGGACTTCCCAATTATTCCTACCCAAGATGACTCCACGCGGCAGGTTGCCAACGTCCACTTGACTCGTGTAAACTCCTCATGTCCCACTTTGTCCCTCTTAGCGCAACAAAATTGCTGCCGGAGCACACAGAAACTTGCCATCCGTCAGGGGCAAAATCGTATTTTCGCACATAATTCTCGTGCCCAAGCAAAATTCACCTGCGCGCCCTCCTCCTATAACTACCCCTCGCTGCCATCTTCGATCCCCTCCTCCTCCTCCTCTGCTCTAGCGAAAGCCGAGAGAGAGAGAGAAAAAAATCCGTCACGAAATCCACACGCTTCTGAGTTCTGATCTGTGGGTTCGAGTTCACGGCGGAGATGGCCGGTCGCGGTGGCCGCGACCCCCGGAGAGGCTACGACGGCGGCTACGGGTACCCGAGAGGCGGAGGAGGGCAAGGGGGTACTAACCGGGGAAGAGACGGGCAGCGCGGTGGAGGAAGAAACGGGCCTCGCGGAGGACGCTTTCCCGGTGGAAGAGGAGTCGAGCCTCGCAGAGGCGGCGATGTTCTGGGAGGAGGCCAAGGCGGTGGGCGGGGGACTACTGCTGGTGCTGGTGGTCTTGTGCGAGGAGGGTCCGAGCTCGCAGTGGGAGCGGAACTGCGGCGGCGCGTGCCCACCTGCCACGTGAACGACTTCCCGGAGTTGGGGATTGGGGGGACGCCCGTGCTCGTTCGGCGATGGCGCCCGCGCGACCACCGAGACCAGCACGACCACCAGAGCCAGCGTCACCACCACCGCCACCACCACCACCAGCGCCAGCGTCACCACCACCACCACCAGCGCCAGCAGCGAAGGGGATCCAGGACGAGGGATCCTCGAGTTCGTCGTGGTCCGTTGGTAAGTTCCTCTCCTGATTCAATCGGTGCTTTAATTTTGTGCGGTTTGGCATGTTTGCTCTGTTCCTTGGCATTAGGAATGTTGGAAACTGATCGATCAAGTGGTCGATCTGGGGTTTTGCACTTTCGAGATAGTATATTAATCTACGCAGAGTTTGATTTCGCCTATTCATGCGAGTGATCTGGGTTGTGTTTTCTGCTGTTTCGATGATTTTTTTTCGAACAAGATGCTGTTTCGATGATAAGAGTAGAAGCAGAGGGATGCCGATTTTGCACTAGAACGGTCCTTGTGCTTCTGAATGCATTTGATCACGATTTTATTGCTGATGTCACGAAACACCGTAGGGGAGCATTTGGATTTCAGAAATTACATAAGACGGGTGTTATTCTTCCTTGAATGTGAATCGGATGCAACATTTACTGTCATTTTACTTTGGGAAAACGTTGTGCAAATGCAGAATTTCTAGGGGTTTTTCACAGCTTGGTGATCCATTTTTTTTCGAAGTTCTAACTGCATTACTGCACGTGAAGTGCCTCTCCTGATTCAATCGGTCCTTTGTGCGGTTTGCAATGTTTACTCTGCTCCTTACTAGCATTATGAATGTTCGAAACTGATTGATCAAGTGGTTGATCTGGGGTTTAGTTCTTTCGAGAGGGTTTAGTACTTCCGACATTGCATATTAATCTGCACATAGTTTGATTTCGCTTTCATGCGAGTGATCTGAGCTCTGTTTCCCGTGGTGTGTCGATGAGACGATGATAGAGTAGAAGCAGATCGAGATATGTTGATTTTGCACTAGTATGATGTGAATCTGAATGTACGATCAATTTTTCTTTTGTTGATGATGTGTCGATGATAGAGTAGAAGCAGATCGAGATATGTTGATTTTGCACTAGTATGATGTGAATCTGAATATACGATCAATTTTTTTTTGTTGACGTCACGTACCATCAACATTTTTTTTTCTAAAGGCAGGGTTGCATTTAGATTTCAGAAAATTCATAGGAAGAGTAATTCCTTGCTTGAATGTGAATCATATTACTTTAGGGGGAATATCGATCTACAGTTTGGTGATCCCTTCTGTTCTAGTTTTAAGTTTAACTACACGTTGAGTTGGTGGGTTTGCTTGTGTAAACTTGACATTCTCTGTTTCTAACCACTCTTCCGTTTCCTTTAGAGCGCATTCCCTACGGTGAGGATGAAAAAGAAGAACCACCGGCAACCCCAATTGCTTCCAGTAACAAGAATAAAAGAGAAGAACCACCTACCAAACATAGGCCAATGGCAAGACCACCTGGTGGTGGAGGTCCATTATCTAAAGGCGAGGTCAAATTGTTGGTGAACCATTTTTCAGTCGACTACCCAAAGGAATCAACCTTTTTTCACTATGAAATACGAATCAAGCTTGGTGACGGTCCCAACAGAAAGCTCTCAAAGGCAGAGCTTCTTACAGTCAAGAATGAGCTCTTCGAGCACGAGAGCCTTCAGGAGCTTTCGTCAGCTGTTGCTTATGATGGAGAGAGAAATTTATACACTTGTGCTGAACTACCAGAAGACTGCATAGTCCCTGTGAGCAAATTCCGTGTGAAGGACAGTTCACGGACCTACATTGTATCAGTGAAGTTGAAGAAGCCGCTGCCTTTAAGCCAACTCTTGGAGCAGCGGCCTGGGCCTAGAGATGTCATGCAGGGCCTTGATGTCATTGTGCGTGAGGCATCTAGCTTCGGCAAGATTGTCCTTGGTCAGGGATTTTACCCGCAGAGCGGCAGTGAGGCCATCAGTGATAGCAATATTGTAGCTCTCAAAGGAACCCAGCAGAGCCTTAAATGCACTCAGAAAGGGCTGATCCTGTGTGTGGACTATTCGGTTTTGCCATGTTGGAAAGCTGGATCTGTGTTGGACCTTGTTAAGACTATGAAGTTCATGGAATACCCGCTCTTGGAAGACCAATTGAAAAAATTGAACAATGCGCTCAAAGGCCTGTGTGTTACTGTAAGTCACAGGAAGACTGAGGAGAAGTACACTGTTAAAGGCTTGACAGATAAACCTGCCGACCAGATAACTTTTAAAGACTCTAAATCAGGACAGACGACGAAGCTTATCGAGTACTATAAGGAGACGTATAAGAAAGAGATTGAGCATCCGATGCTTCCATGCTTGGATTTGAGCAAGAGCAAGTCCAAACAAAACTATGTGCCGATTGAATTTTGTAATATTCCTGAAGGGGAGAGGTATCCAGTGGCGAGGTTAGATGACAAGAAGTCTGATAATAAGGGCGAACAAGAGAAGCCATCTACAAAGACGACACTGAGAAAAATTTCTATAAAGGTTGCCTCTAGTCGGAAGGAGGAGATTCTGGACTTGGTGGGGAATGCTCAAGATGGGCCTTGCAGGTATCTGTTTGAGTTTCGACCCCTTTCCACTTTTTGCAAACGTCTAACTATCGTCATCCCTAATATTAACATGTTGCTACGATTAATGAGTAGTAGGGTCATATACTCAATGAGAACTTCTCTGCATAAACAACCTGCTACCACAAAACTTGTGCTGAACTGCTGATGCTGTAATTGTGTGAAACCTGATCTTCGAACAAAGATATGCATTTGCTTATTCCCGTAAACTCGTGCTGATGCTATATATCGGTAAAAGAAACAAGAGACTTCAACTGCTTACTGTGTTGGGGTCAACTCGTTGCTCTGCTTACCTTTATCTTCATGATATTCAACTGTTCAACTGATAATTAGCTTAATTTTGATCTTTATCATTTTATTTTGGAGAAAATGAGTTGATCTTGATCTGTTTAATTTCAACTATAGAACTATAGAGAGAGCTAATGTATCTTGTCAGGCGCTAACTTACTGTTTTAATTCCAGGGGAAAAATAGCTCAGCGATTCAGGATTTCTTTAGATGCAGCAATGATGGAAGTCACTGGTAGGATTCTTGCTCCCCCCACCCTAGAACTTGGCACTGGCACCTCCAGAGGCCAGACCTTCAAATTCACTATTCATCAGGATGACTGCCAGTGGAACTGGAAGCTTAAAAAATACGATAAACGAGTAGTAGCACATGGCGGGACTCTTAACTGCTGGGGCGTCGTCGATTTCAGTGAAGGCGACCTAGAGAGCAAGTTTATTGACAAGGTTGTCAGGAAGTGCTCCGCCCTTGGCATGGTCATGACCCGTAAACCATGCTATGAGCATGTGTCAAATATGGAAGTGCTATCCGATCCAAAGAGCCTCAGAGATGCGCTTATCGAAGCGAAGCGTGCCGCGGAGGAGGAAGACAAGAAGCTGCAGCTCCTCTTCTGCCCGATGCTCAACCGGTGCCATGGGTACAAGACCCTGAAGTTGATGTGCGAGACGGAGCTGGGGATCCAGACCCAGTGCTTCTTGAGCACCGCCGCAAAACTCGACGAAAAACGACAGGACCAGTACATTACCAACCTTGCTCTGAAGATCAACGGCAAGATCGGGGGTAGCAACATGCAGCTCGACCCGGACTCGATCCCAGTGGTGTCCGCCAAGGATTTCATGTTCATCGGTGCGGACGTGAACCACCCTCCGCCTGGGAATGTCAGTAAGGACATCCCGTCCATAGCAGCCGTGGTGGCCTCCGTTGATAAAGGCGCCAGCAAGTACGTGACAAGGATCCGCGCCCAGTATCACCGGTGCGAGATGATCCAGAACCTCGGTGATATCTGCAAGGAGCTCATCGGCGCGTATGAGAAGGTAAACAAGAAGAAGCCTGATAGCATCATCTACTTCCGCGACGGCGTCAGTGACGGTCAGTTCGACATGGTGCTGAACGAGGAGCTGGCGGACATGGAGAATAAGATCATGGTGGGTGACTACCCGAAGATCACCGTGATCGTTGCCAAGAAGAGGCACCACACGCGGCTGTTCCCCAAGGACAGGAACCAGCGGCAGACCAAGAACGGCAACGTGCTCCCCGGCACGGTGGTGGACACCGACGTGGTCGACCCGACGGCGTACGACTTCTACCTGTGCAGCCACAAGGGGGAGGTCGGGACGAGCCGGCCGACGCACTACTACAGCCTTCTGGACGAGCACGGCTTCGCCTCCGACGACCTGCAGAAGCTGGTGTACAACCTCTGCTTCGTCTTCGCCCGCTGCACCAAGCCGGTGTCGCTGGCCACTCCCGTCTACTACGCCGACCTCGCCGCCTACCGCGGCAGGCTCTACTACGAGGGCATGATGATGTTGCAGCCGGCGGCGTCAGCGGCATCTGCCTCCGAGGCCATGATGCCGGCGGCACAGCCCCAGGCGGCTGCGGCTGCGGCTGCGGCAGCGTCGCCGTCGTCGTCAGCGGCATCCTCATCTGAGGGCATGACGGCGTCCCAGCCCCAGGCGCCGGCGGCGGAGGCGGCATCCTCCTCCGCGGGAGCTGCCGACTTCAGGGAGTTGCCTCCGATGCACGGGGATCTGTTGAACAACATGTTCTTCCTCTGACGACAGCTTTTCGCCGCATATGGTCTCTCGTTGCCAGGTACTCCTCGTATGGTCCTGGAACTTGCGTTTGATTTTCTGGTTGTGATACCTGTCCGTGTCCCGGTGTCTGTTCTTTAACTGCCTGGAGTCTCTCATGTCTTTGGGTGGTTTATCCATAGTAAATTTTTGTCCGTGTCATATCTTTTGCAGTCCTATACATGCTGTCGGGCTGCATGGTTGCACAATAAAAGTTTCTTCTTTTGCAATCTTCATTATTTTGATGTGCGAACAGTAAAATGTATGGTCCATTGCCAAAGTTGCTCAGCTCAGTCCAGTACACCAATTTTTCACTGAATCTTTTGGTTGTTACACTTCACCTGTGATCACTTCATGCCGCCAGCGCTAAGGGCGTCGAAATGTAGGACAAGTAACAAGTTCTGTCACAATGTGTTGTGCGTTCCTGGGAGCAAACCTGATCTACAATTTAGCCAACTAGTATATACAAAAGCTCCCTTTGGAACGAGCAACTGATAATTTGTACACTGAATTTCACTATGACATTTTCTCTATACAAAACGAGCTCGTAGTTGTCAGAATGGATGGCAGAGACTCCTAAAGTCCCAATTATTAGTTAGGGATTCTAGCAGTCCTGTGTTCTAGCTGCCACTTCCATGACAAATGAAACACTGGTAACTGGTAAGCAGGAAGCCATCACTGATTATCATATCTGTGCTGCTGCATGCTTGTGATAGTAGTGCATCAGAGAAAATCCCACACTGGTATTGATGACTGCCCCTGATCACCATTCTGATGCTCCATCTGGGGATTTGCCCCTACAAACTGTAGTGCATGCATATCACTAGGATAGCCCTGCAAGAGTGTGTAGATAGCAGTTCATCAAACATGGCTACATAGAATCTGCAGCATGGTTGCACTCTTAGCTTTGACCTTAGGCTATTACTTCATTAGTGGACAAGAATGTCAAATGCTGAAAAAAAAGGCATAAAACTTCTCGACAACGTCGATAGTATATAACTCACTTGGGTTAATTGATTGTTTCCGGGAAATGCCTGCTGTTGCATGGTTGGAAGTGAGGAAGCCTACAGTAAGCCACAAGAAGCTGATGAATACGATACTTCAATAGAATGAGATATATTTTTTAAAGTAATAGATGATCACATACCTGACCAAACTGATTCAAATTGTTATGAAGATTCTCTGAGGTACCAAGCCCATAGCTCTGACCAAGTATATAATGCCCCTGAACAAGGAAATCAACACCTGTAATAAATAACTGTTCCACAGTGATGAAAGGAACATCTAAAAAAAATACTGTCTTGAAGAAAAATCAACCTGCATTAATTGATCTGGGAGGAACTGATTTGGAGAATTCCTTGCTTCTGACTGCCTGTTGTCTGGTGTCATATTCAGTTCTCCATCTCTTGTTCCAGTGGCTGCTTCATCAGGGTGCCTTGTGTCTAGCAACAAAAGAAAATTTACAAATTTAATTTTGCAATTATAAACAGTTAGAACTTGAAATCCACAAAAAAATTGGAGTCCCACCTTTTCTTGTTTTCTGCATTTTATTAGTTACCACAGCACTTTTATGGCGATAAACTTCAGTCTTCTTCTTTCCAGTAGATTTCTCAACTTCATTGCTACTATTAAGGAGATATTCATTCTGAACCATACTAGTTAACTGGTTCTTAATGGAAGGGCCTACGGATGACTTATTCGCCAGTGTAGATTGCAAAATCCGTTCTACTTCTTCAACAAGTCGATCTGATTGGCTTGCCATCAGTGCAAATGTCTCTGCATTCTCTGCAGCCTTAGCAGCTATCTTGTAGAACGAGCGGCACAGAGCTGCATAGCGTTCTGGAACAGAAGATTTTGTGCCACTATCAAAATTAAATCTATTAGTTTCATCGGTGGACCCCACCTTTGCATCTTTTCTCCATCTCTTAAGAAAATACTGCGGCCTGATCTCTTTAACATTCCTCAGCTCATATACCTTTAATATATGGCAACATAATATTCCAGCATTTTCAAATTTTTTACAAGTACATGCAACTGTGCCATCTGATGAGTCAAACCGCACAAGCTGGTCTTTAGTTTTATTCTTAACAGTGATCATGTACTCAGAAAGAGAGCCAAACTCCCCACAACTATAAGCCATACAGTCCATACACAGTTCATATTCCTTTCTAAATAACTCAAAGATGATTGGTGTATACACTTTTGCAGCTTGCCATAGCAGTGGCAGAGATATTCTTGGTGCCCCTTCGCTGGCTTGGTAATCAGCTTGTATCTCTTCTTGCCTCCTCTTCTCCATTGAGCTTTCAAAGAACATAAAAAATTTAGAGAGATCTTTCTCACAATCCAAGAACTCTCTCAGCCCAACGCAAGAAGTTTCTACTTGTAACATCCCTTTAATGTCCCCAAAGAATATTTGCCGGTTATATGGCAAGGCCCAATTTTCCCGATCTTCATACAACTTAGTTAACCATTCCTCTCCTTTGAGGCTGTACTTCTTGATTATCACATTCCATATCTCATCAAACTCCTGGTCATCCTCGATATCAAACATGCAGTGGTGAAAATCATGTGTGAATTCCTCAAGAGTATTAAAAACATGTTCTAAGGACTTAAAAGCATTCTGGTATATTTGCCACACACAAGAACGGTGAATTGTACCAGGCCAGGTGAGACTCAGGGCTTCCTTCAAAGCAGCAGATCGATCTGTCAATATCGTCTTTGGCTGTTTCCCACACATGGCACTCTTAAAGGTCTCGAGAAGCCACTTGAAAGATTCAACAGTTTCATCATACAGAAAAGCAGAGCCAAATATGATTGTTTGCCTATGATGGTTCATACCCAAAAACAAAGCTAAGGGTTTTCTGCAGTCATTTGATCTGTGTGTTGTGTCAAAGCAGATCACATCACAGAAATAATGATAGTCTACTATTGATCTTGCATCAGCCCAGAAGACATTTGTTGCTTTATCATTTTCATCCACCTGAATGGCATAGTAAAAAGAGGGATTATCACTCTTCATTCTTCGAAAATAATCCATTAGAGCTCCAAGGTCCTCTGAATTCATGTGTGTTGAAGACTTGGCCCGAATGTAATTCTTGCATCCTGGAGGAATGTTACTAGCATTTCGGTTTCCTGGTTGAACCTTGGTCAACACTCTCTCTGACTTCAGCATATCTATATCAAATGGTGCAGCAAGCTGGTGATTGTGATCTTCCACAAATTCTGCTACCCGGTACTTGCCATTGGATACCAATTTTATAGCTATCCGTGCAGGACAACCTGTCCTAGTCTCTGGGCGAGGTCTTTTGGCCTCATTCTTTGAGCGAAATCCCTCCCTAGAGCATACAAAGACCCTTGACCTAGCAACATTTTTCACCGTTTTATCCCACAATCCTTTTCGAACACTGAATCCTACATTTCCAGCATAACTAGCATAATACTCATATGCTTTCTCTTCATTCTCGAAAACCATTCCAACTATGGGCACTCCTCCAGCGTTAGCAATAACTTCTGGCGGCACCTCTGGATCTTCTTCTGGTTTATCTACAGTCTGGGAGGAAACGATAACGTAAGTGCAGACAAATACACAATGTCATACATCTACCACAGCATCAAAGTGCTTCTTGGTCATTTGTACCAAGAATGTTTTTCCCTACCGGTATTCTGTAAAAATCCTAAAATCAGACTCCATTTGACATGATTGTGCACCAATGCTACTAACTCCAAGACATGCTGAACTCAATGCGCATCTACATTAGCCTACTTGACACTTGCAATATCCAACCATGAAAGCCGGGTTTTCAGAAGCCGTTGGTGTTGGTGTAGAAGCCGGGTTATATAAATTCCCATTATCTAAAAAACAACCATGAAATGCGCCACATGGAACACACGAAATCTCTCAAACAATTCTCTGAGAAATCAATCAGAAACCATGGATCCCCGGTCTATATACCTTGGCGCCCTCCTTGCCGAGGAACTGCCCTCTCGCACCCCGCCGCCGCCGCTCCGCGAGAGCCTGCCTCGATGGGGCCTGCAGCCAACAATGGCGCCATCAAAAAATAATACTAATAATGATCAAATTTCTATCCATCTTTAACCTAAACTCAAACGCGAATTCTTCCTTCTTGGCGATGATATGGATCGAGGAGCTCACCTTGGCGGTGGCGCGCTTGACGCCCTGGCGGCCGCTCCGCTTCTGCATGTAGCGGAGGACGATGTCGCGGCGCTCCTCGTGCGTGTAGCGGGAGACCCGGACGCCGAGCTCGCGGAGGAGCCGCGTGGTCGTGGGCTGCGCCGCCGACGATGGGGTCGCCGCCGCCTTCCCGCCGCCGTCCTTCCCGTCTCCGGCATCGGGGGCGCCTTGGCCGGCGGCGGCGGCGGCGGGCTTGGGGTGGCTCTTGGGAGCGGCGCGGCGCTTCTTGGGGTTGGAGGAGAGGTCGAGGTAGGTGCGCACGATGTGGGATATGCGGGACGCCGGCTGCCGTGGCTGCGCGGATGCTGAGGACGACGGCGTGGGCTCGCCGGCGGCGGCGGTGGGGTCGCCGGAGGTGGAGGCGGTGGCCATGGTGGTGGTGGTGGTGGGATCGGCCGGCGGAAGGGGGGGAATGGAGCTGGGGCCGTGAGGCACTCATCTCTCAGGTGTATGACATGTGGGGCCTCGACTTCAGTGCGCCTACGGCGAATCACGTGGGACCGACATGTCAGCCTCTTATTATTTAGACTTTGTTTGGAGCTTTTCAGCTAGGTATACATCATACGAGAGGAGTCATTCTAGCAGGATTAAGTGAGTATTAACTATTATTGCTACAAGCTTAAAAATTAAATTTACTATTTCTTTTAAAAAACTTATATATAAAAAGTTTTTGCAAAACAAAGGAAGTTGCCAAAACTTTGAGTTGAATAGAAAAATGATTTATTTTGAGGTGGAGGGAGTAAATTGCATCAAGATCAAATTGAAACTTACATTACGAAGCCAAGCAGACACGCATTGGTGAGTATCAAGATCAAATGTTTAAGATCGTGTTTATGCTTGTCTGTTGTAGATTTTATTTGTTGATAATTACTTCATACTTCGTATTGGGGATTTAGGACTTGCAAAATACTTGAACAACATTACGTTCTCTCAGTTGACATCACTTTGTAGTTCGTCATATATAGGAGTATGCCTATGTAATGTTATAGTTTATGTAAAGTATAGCAAGATTTGTCTTGGTTCACACACACTAAACAAACTTCATGTCAGCCTCTTGTACGACTTTGTTCTAAGCTATCCGTTAAGTTTATTTTTTTAAAAAAATATTTAATTTATTCATATAATAAAGTTGAAAATCCATGTCAATAATCTATTTCAATATGACCATTCTTCACAAAACAAAAATCACAACTGCAATCAGTGCAATTCTAGCAATTACTTTGTTCATCAGACAAGGAGAACAAGCAATACATACTATCATTGCCTGAACTCTTTTAAGGCAATACATGTTTTTTTGACACGGATTAAGGCAATACACCGTGTCAAAAAAGAGCAGTTTAGTACTTGTTAACACAGATACAAAAGAGCAGTTTTTGAGTATTATACAACTTTCTGCATGGAGGACACCTCAAGAAATCCGCAGGAACACAGGAAGTGCTACAATGGAATGTGCATGTATGCTTAATTACACAGACCAAAATTTGCCATAGGTGTAATATTTCAGTTCCCAGATCCCTGTTTTGGGATGCATGACTGGGTCCATTTACATAGTGATATTGAGGATGGCCAGCTTAAATTATAATGATCTATTTACAAATCTCTGGCAATTTGTTGTTTACGTCTATGAAAGAACAACGATTATCTTCCAACAGTTACATACTTCCTGAAAATAAGTGGCGTGAAATAGACATTGTTAGTCCATCAGAACATGAAATGCCGCCTTAACAGAGAAATCAGAATTCGGGAGTAAAACAACCTGCTTGTTTAAGAGACAAAAATAGACTGAAGCCTGTGACAAGCATTCAAGAATGGTTGCGGTTAAGCATATTCTGGAAAGAAATGTACAAATCTTTATGTTCTGTTCCAAAAATCTCTTCTGCCTTTGAGAGAGTGTCCTGCGCAAATTCATCAAGTACAACAAGAAAATCATGTTTACATATTTTCGCAGAAAATAACCAACTGAAAAGTCAACAATTATAAACGGGCAATATGCTACCTCTCGTGATTGTTTCTGAGCATTGAACTCCTTGATGTTAGCTAAAAATGCCCCAAATTGCTCATACGAAAGTCGTGTCCTGGGATTTGTGTCCAGAAGTGTTAGGATGGAATCGAAATATTAATTTTCACATAAGGTGAACAGCATAATAACCAACCGTGCTTGCCGGAAAAATTCCTTTCCGTCTATACGGGGCCGCCCTGGAAACATAAAAGATTTTGTATTATCAGCATATGCATGTTCAACAAATCTCCCCAAATGAAAATAAGATTCAACAACTCCCAAACCTGCGAACGAACGATGCTGAGGAGGGGAGGTGGGTGCTGAATACTGATGGCTTGACGATCCATGCCATGATGAAAATGTTGAGTGGACTTCTGACAGAGATTTTGTAGGTGATGTTGGACCAGATAAGAACTTAGGTGTTGAACCAGGAGTTAATTTAGGAGCTGTGTATGGTGTGACTGAGAACTGATGTTCTGTAAATGTTTCATAGCAAGTATATGCTGATATAAGATGTGATAAGTTGATAATATTCAGGTGTTCGATAAGAGTAAGTTATTATAACCACCTTGGGCTGATTCAGTCATTGTGGATCTGCTGGAACTATCTGCAGAAGTGCGACTACTTGAAACTTCATCTGCCAAGTAAAAAATAGTGAAACCAAGGAAGATGCATGCAATTCTGGCTATTACTTGAAGAAAAGACAATATTATAGGATTTCCGATGAGGTTGAACAATACCTTTCCAAGAGGGAACTCGAGCAGTCAAATTGTTGTTTGCATCAAAATCACGGTCATCACCTATTTCTGACAATTGCTGCAAGATTATGCAAATAAAATTATTTACGCACATGAGCAACTTCAGAAAAGCACAGCATGAAATATTCAACATATAGAAGCATTTTCATAAGTAATACTCACTAATAAATTGTCTTCACTCAGTGACTTCATCAACTGCTTCTTAAATGCTTCCAACTGCATAGAAAGAGTGATCTTCAACAAGCAGCCAACTAACATACAAATTTTTTAATGCTGATAAAAAAAAACTTGACAAACTTCATGTCGATTAGCATTCTGACAAAATCATACCAACAAATATGACCATTTAGGGCAAGAATTCGAGAATAATTTGAAAGCCACAAAGGGTGGGTAAACTTAGCAGTTATAGCTTCCACACCACAGTGAGTCAGTGACAACAAAGCATTAGTTAGTCGTTGATCCTGTTCTTGTTTCTTTTGAAGTATAATATCTGGCAAAAAAGGGTGACCTTCTAGAAACTTCTTTTTTCATAATTGTGGACTCTTTAACACCAAGTCATTCTGCTATTCCATTGTAATGCACACCAAAGATTATACATTTGAACAAAATTCCTGACTCACTATTAATCTACAACTAACAATTAAAAGATATTCCATCTGATCCCATAAAACTTCGGTACACGGTTGACCAACCTATGCAAACTGCCTACTACTATGATTCTAGGAACACCTGCAAGAAAATCACATATCTAGCAAGCTAGCAAACTAACACTGAAAGTACATGGGTTGAGACATGATTCCAGCAAGTTTTGCACGAAATAAACAGGCGAGCTATCAATCAGAGCACGGATAAAAACCCACTAGCTCCCTAGTATAAGCAGCAATTGAAACTTGAAACCGAACACCATGTTGAGAAATCACAGAATTCTCACTAAAATTGGGATAATTGAGTCACCTTCGCCAAGTTCCTCGCCATCTTCTTGGCCGTGGAGGCGAGCGAGTCCCTCTCCTTCGCCAGCTTCGCCTGCACACCACGAATCGAACACAAACCAAACTGAGTACGCATCCCAATTCTGCTGCCGAAAGCATCCCAGCGACGCGAGGTCCCAGGGGCTCACGTTCTCGTCGAGGGCGGCGAGGAGGCGGGCGTCGGAGTCCGCGAGGCGGGCGCGGAGGTCGGCCTCGGCGCGGTCCCGGTCGGCGAGGTCGCGGCGGAGGCGCGCCGCGTCGGCCTCGAGGCGGGAGACGCGGGAGGCGATGGCCATGGAGGTGATCTTCCGCGCCACGTCCAGCTGCTCGTACGGGTCGGTGGGGATCACAGCCAGGATCTCGTCGGGCAGGTGGAAGTCCACCACCCCGGCCGCCGCCTCGTGCCTCCCCATCGCCGCCACGCGCGCCCCACGAGACGGAGCAGCTCGGCCGGTCAGTTCCTGGACGGCGGCGGCGGCGGCGGAGGTTGCTGCGGTGGTCGCCGGCGGCGGCGCAGAGCAAGACTGGAAATTAAAGTTTTTTTTTTCTGATTTTTAATTCTTTTTGGGGATTTGATGGGGATAGGATGGCTGTATATACCTGTATACTGCGGGGTCGTTGAGTTGGGACTTCCAAGTCATTTTCTCACACATATATGCTCTTCATTTCCTCTTATTAATTCTCCATTTTCTAATTTTATTTTTTTTTGTTCATCAATGTGATAGTTGAGGGTTGGTACTTGGTAGGAGTGACCTGTATAAAAAAAATATAGAGAGAGAGTATATGCTTTGATGGCTCTTGTCTGGAATTGTGTTAAATTAAAGGTGTACTAGTAAGAGATACTCTTATAAAATAGTTATATCTTTTTAAAAAATGAAATGCACATGAGAATACCAGAATATTTTGTCTTTTCATACATGATATGGTAGTATACCTTTTTTTTTTTTTTGGCGAGAGGTAGATACAGGCATACTAACCTGACTGAAAAGAAAAATAGAAAGAAAGAGAGAAGAATGGGCTACATCATTTCTCGTTGCAAACCACATTTCTGGGCTAGGGCCCAGTATGGTTGGTGGGCCTAACACATTCGGCCCGGTGCGTCAGAGTGAATGCGCGAGGTGTTGGGAGCGATTAGTACCACCTCGCTGGTTTGAGAGGAGTTGGAGTCGACGGGTGGCTATAAAAGGAGAGCCTGGGCGACTTTGGGGCAGCACGCAGCTGCGCGTTGAGCATAAAGCGAACTATTTTTTCGCTTTTACTTAGGCCTTGTTTAGTTGGGGAAATCTTTTGGGTTGGGATGTACGCGCCGCAAATAGCAGCATACGCCAAATTTTGGAGGGGATTCTCCTAGGAGGGCCTCTACAATTCTCAATCCGAACATTTACGTTTTTACGAATGATTATTTGAAAGTTATCTTTTTTTTACGAATGATTATTTAATAAAAAGCAATCTAGAATGTTCGAAACCTTAGGCTTAAATGAATCTTCATTCTGTTGCCCCATAATGTTTTAAATTTAAATTTGGGGTTTGCAAGTTTTTCGAGACGTAGAATCGTTTGTGGCTGTGGCCGGTACGAGACTGGGCATTCTGCTTCATTATTTACTTTTGATTACGATTTACATAACTTATCCTTTTAGTCCATTATTTACTTATGTCTTTACGATTCACTAAACTGGTCCTTTGGAGCATATCAAACTGGCTGGTTCATAACATGAGGTAATTAAACGATGTCCCATGACAACACAATGTTGTCAATTTAACTGAAATGAAAGATGTCTAGGAAATATTATATAGAGTAAAGTTCATCACCGGTCCCTAAACTTATACCGCTGTGTCATCCCGGTCCCTAAACTCGCAAATCGACCGTTCAGGTCCTCAAACTTATACCGCTGTGTCATCCCGGTCCCTAAACTCGTAAATCGACCGTTCAGGTCCTCAAACTTGTTCAACTGTGCCATCCTGGTCCCTAAACTTGCAGATCACTCGTTTAGATCCTCCAACTTGTTCAGTTGTGTCACCCCGGTCCATAAATCCAAACTTGTATTTGAATATCATCTGGGTCAAATAGGACGGTCTAAAGACTTTATATTTAAAAATAATTCATAACTTTTTCATGTGAACTCTAATGAAGACAAATATTATATCAAACTTGTAGCCCTCGATGCGATCTACAACTTTATAATTGATTTTTTTTATTTTAAGTCATTTTTTGTCCCAAAATGTAATTTTAAAATTAAAATTTCAAAATCTATAAACATGCAACAATATTTTGGGACCCTAAACAGTTTTAATTCAAAAACTTTTTAACTACAAAGTTGTAGGTCGCGTCGAGGGCTACAATTTTAATATAAAGTTTGTTTTCATTAGAGTTCACATGAAAAAGTTATAAATTATTTTTTGATATAAAGTTTTTAGACCATCCTGTTTAGGAACCGGGGTGACACAACTGAACAAGTTAGAGGACCTAAACGAGTGATCTACGAGTTTAGGGATCAGGATGACACAGTTGAACAAGTTTGAGGACTTGAACGGTCGATTTGCGAGTTTAGGGACCGGGATGACACAACGGTACAAATTTAGGGACCGGTGATGGACTTTACTCTATTATACAGTACATATGGAACAAGAATGTGCATGGTAGGCGCACAGGCGACAAGAGAGAACACTTTTGATTCTACGATGGACCACTGTTAGTTAAATTCCAAGGATTTCTGTACATCAGTTCCCTACTGTAATCCTTCCCTCATTTCCTCCAACCTGCTCAGCTCAGACTTGGGGATTTGCCAGCCAGGTTTCAAATCCTGAAACCTGCAAGACAATCAAACATTCGTGAATAAATAAGAATGAATTGCAACGCAAACTTTAGTGTTAGTTTGATTTTGTGAAAATTACCTGAACTTCTGTTCACAAGATGGGACCAGTGAATTGTGTATCTGTGTTACCGGTGATGCTCCTCTGAGTTCCGGGCTCCCGGCTAAACATGAACCGACTGGTATGCACTTGTTCATCGCAATAATTCAGGATGTGAATGAGCAATAGAGCAAGTGAGACCTCAGTTAGTAGTGATGCTGTCAAAACATTATCCACAGACCATAATTTTATTGGTAAACTTGTTTACTTCACAGACCGCACACCGACAGTTCTGACTTTGAATTTATACTGAGGAAGCTCTTCTTCCTCTTCATCCTCATCTTCACTTGAGTCATCTTCAACTTTGTCCCATTTTGAGTAATCAAGTCCTGAATGTCCCTTTGGTTTTGCGATGGTCTCCCACCCTTGTGGTTTTTGAGGCAGACTGGGAGGCACCTCAACCTTTGGAGGTTCAGTTGCATGTTTCTTTTCAAGAATAAGTTCAGTTGCAGGTTTCTTTTCAAGAATCAGTTCAGTTGCAGGTTTATTTTCGACAATAAGTTCTGTTGTAGGTTTCTTTTTGAGAATCATTTCAGTTGCAGGTTTATCAGACTTGGTAATACAAATCTCGATATTTACATTTCTCTCTGGAGGCAACTCTTGCTTATCTTCTTCAAGATATAACGATTCCTCTTCAGATTCTGGAATGGGAGCTAGTGCCTATAAAGGTTAAAATAACACAGATAACAGGTTAACAGGCAGTAGGATAATAAGTAAACAAGCTAAGGTATAGTTTCTTTCATTCAGAAAACATTTGTAAATAAAGGGGAGAAGTTATGTGCTGGTAGCAACTAAAAAGCATATTTGAATTATGTAAGGATATTTGTTGTAGTTATATCGAATGAAATTGCAACTAGAGTAATGCCGATGCAAGAAGCTAAAGCAAAGTGAATCAATTAGCACAGCAAAGAGAATGAAAAACTTACAAGCTGTGTCTTCAGTCGTGCATGAAGGTTCCGATATACTTCAGATGACGGATTTATCTCAATCAGCCTGTTCACATCAAATAGAGCTGACTGGTAATCCTTCAGAGTGACAAGTGTCTGTGCACGTAACATGAGAGCTCCAGCATGCTCCCTATCCAACTCAAGGACAGATGTGCACTCTTCTGCAGCCTACAGAATTTTGAAAAGAAGAAAAAACACGCTGGTAAAAGTGATGATAACATAGAAAAATAAACAAATGATGTCAGGTGCCAACTTATTCCGGAGAAACACACAGCCTACTGCAGTTTTCATCAGACCATCAAGGCATCAACTACCCCACAAGTATTTCAGATGAAATGAACCGTAATTTTGTCTCATTAACTAATGCTGGTTTCTAAAGGGAGCATGATTTTGCCCCTGTATATAGTTGGTCATCAAAACAGAGGTTTAATTATCCTACAAATTTGGATGCCGCAATTAAACTTTCTCCATAGAAATCATGCATTCTATAGACTATTGAAACCTACCAGGATTATTAGAAAGTTCATTCAAATACTCAATAGTAGCCTAATCATTCGCCAAGTGGTTCACTACATCGAAATCGATCTGTGCCAGATCAATTTGAACTACTATTATTGGGAAGGAAACACAGGTTTTTCACGAAGCAAGGCATTAGGCCCAGTACATGGATTGCAAAGTGTCACTCAGCACGAAATTTAACAGGATTTGAGCTCAATCTACAGACCACCACAATATAGTAAACAAGCCACGATTGATGAGAGTTCGTGTTGGCTATAATCGAATCTCTCATCCAACCGAACAGATTCCTGAATCTGCTTCTCCTCCCGACCTCCCCAAACCAGAGTTTGCACAGGTAAATCAAAAACCCCGCCGTTGAACTGGAATCACAAACCACGACTAGGCATCGATGACTAACAAATTAAGCCTTTATTACTCTAAACAACACTTGGAAGCGGCAACGGGCGCTCAAATCTACTCAAGTCAAAGAAGAGAGAGAGAGAGAGAGAGAGAGAGAGAGAGAAACAGAACCCTCGAGAAGCGAGACCTTGTGGAAGTCGTGGAGCTTGAGGTAGCACGCGGCGCGGTTGCTGTGCAGCGCGATGCGCTGCGCGGGTCCCCGCGCCGCCGCCAGCGCCGCCGTGTACAGCTCGAGCGCGTCCCGGTGTCGCCCTCCCCGGTAGAGCTCGTGCGCCTGCTCCACCGCCGCCCCCGCCATCGCCGCCGGCGAGGAAGCCTCGGTGTGCTGATTTCGGGGGAGGAGGAGGAGGATTAGATGAGAGAATCGCGAATTTGGGGGAGATTACGAGGATTGGAATGGAATTAATTGTGGAAATTCGGATGAGGAGCGGTGGGGAGATTTGAATGTGGACGGACGGATCGGATGGATTGGATACTTTAGCGGTGCGGGTTGTCGGGTTGCTGCCCGCGACGGATGCGGGTTACTCCCCTCCTGTGAATTGACGGATTTGCCCCTGCCCTCCTTTCATGCAGGAATGACGTGTCGTGTAACCGTGTATAAAGCATTACTTCAGTGGGAAAAGAAGACAAACTCGTTTGGCTGATTTGAGGAAAAAACGAAAAGTTGTATTAATAAATGAAAAATAAATTTATGAATAAAGCTTTTATAACGTGTTTTTAATGATTAAAAGTAAAGGTTGAAAATAAACTACGATGAAAAAAAAATTCCAAAAATAAACTCTGAATTTAAGATTAAAAATTTAAATTTTCTGATAATTATAAGCGAAAAGATGAGGACATTTGTTTCGCGGCTATCTTAGAAATTAGAACGTGTAGAATGCCATAAAAAAGTCACTATCTCACCAAACCGACACCTAAATAGTACCGGAGAAACATTGCAACCAGCAGCTTAGCTAACAGTATCATCAGTCCTCGTGCTTCTAATGATGATATTAACAAAAGAATATTTACACAAAAGCAATTGCTACTTTGTTAGCCCTTCATCTGCGTGGTGTGTACTGTGAAAAGGGCACACCCTCTTGCGCATTGGAGGAGAAAAAGGGAAACAAAAGAACAAGGCCAAAGGGAAGGAAATTAAGCAAGCAAAGCGCACGAGGCACGCTCATGAACTCACACCACCTAGGTCAACCCAACAACACGGCTCGACCAAATTCCAGCGAGGAAGCGATGCCCAAACACCTGTAACACCATGTGATCCCGTGCGTGATGCACGGGCATACCAGACTGCTACTACTTCGTTCCAAAATATTGTACCTAGAATGTGATTTGACCGATCCTAAAGATAACGAATCTAGACAATCTCTATTTCGATTCATTATCTTAGGATGAGTTAAATCACATTCTAAATTACAGTATTTTAGAACGGATTGGAGGCAGTAGATGCCTTAGATCGTTCAATCACCTACTCCCTCTTCCTCCTACCCAAGTCAGCAAGTGATGAGACCGCCTTTGTATGAGCCGGGAATTTAGCTCCAAGCCTTCCTTGCCCTGCTTCTCGGTTATCTTCACCTGCCCTCGTCGATGATGGAGGTGAACAATGGCGAGGGAGTCAGCGGGCTGCCTTCCCCTGCGCCCTGGCTACTCGCCTGGCCGGCGCCGCCATCACCGGAGGACGGCGGCGTCGACGCCGAGCCGACCTGGCTGCTGCCCGTGTGGTGGCAGCTCCCGACCTTGATCTGCCACTCCGTGATGTAGCTCGGCTTTGCGGCATCTTCGGTTATGTCGGCGTCTCCGGTGAGCATGGAGACTACCTTCGACATTGGCGGCCGCTTGTGAGGGGAGCCCTGTGTGCAGAGGAGGGCGACGCGGATGACTCTGATCACCTCCTCGCTGTTGAATTCCGAGAGTTTTGGGTCCACGAAGTCGAGCGGGTGCCCGTTTTCATACAGCTCCCAGACCTGAAACATTGAGAATTTTTAGCAAATTATACATTACAGACTTACAGTGTATCGACATGTATGGTTTGCAATGTAAAGGGGAAAAGGATGAATTCAAGGTGCTCTGTGGATGATGAATTCTGGCCTTACCCTTTCAAATATGTAAGTTCTGTCTTCCTCAAGTGTATTCTGGTAGTTTGATTCACCAGCAACAGTCTCCAACGCGACCACGCCGAATGCAAACACATCAACTTTCTCAGTCATATGACCTCTCATGGCATACTCAGGTGCAAGGTAGCCACTGGGCAAAGTGAAGTCGACCAATGGCAGTTAGAACATATCCGTCAATAGCACAGTAACATAGAACAGTCAGGTGATAGATCACTTACAATGTGCCAGCAACTTTTGTGCTGACGTGAGTTTTCTTGTTATCATAGAGCTTGGCAAGCCCAAAATCTGAAATCTTAGGGTTGAGACCGGCATCTAGCAAGACATTACTGGCCTTTATGTCCCTGTGCACGATGCGGACGGTAGAATCCTCGTGAAGATAAGCTATACCTCTTGCTAGGCCTAAGCATATCTCAAATCTTGTTGGCCAATCCAGGTTCAAGCTTCCCTTTCCTGAAGATAAAGTTTGATGTTTTAAAATTTTGGCATTTAAGTAAAATTCCAAGTCATGTAAAACCAAATAAACTTATACCAAACAGTGCTTGGTCAAGGCTTCCATTCTCCAGATACTCATAAACCAACAGCGGCGTATTGCTCTCAAGGCAGCAACCATACAATGTCACGAGGTTACAGTGTTGTACTCGAGATATAGTTTCGATTTCTGTAGCAAATTGCTTTTTCCCCTGATTAGATGACTGAGAGAGCTGCTTCACTGCCACCGCCCTTCCATCACTTAATCTACCCTGCAAGAAAGTTGCACTTGTCAACTATGCAGGGCATTTCATAATTCAGGGAGTTAAACAAGTTATGCCGATGAATGCACTTGAAAAGGCACTAGTTTACAATAAAAGGCATATCTCTTGAGTTTTGACTTTCCTGTGTACTAATATTTAAATTACCACGAACTTGCTTTCGGCAACCAAATTCAAACATGGCATGCAAATCCAGAAATTTACTACACAAACAGACCTTGTGAACCAATCCATATCCTCCTTCACCAAGTAGGTTACTAGAACTAAAATTTTCCGTAGCTGACCTTAGCTCATTATAACTGAAGACATTTGGTCTTCCAACTATGTTGTACAGCTCTGGAGATTAAATCACAACAAAACTTGTTAGCATAACCTCCACGTCAAGTTGAAGCACACAACGTGACACTGGTATATGAAATACCTTCTAGCTCCAATAATATCTTTCTCTTCTTCTGTCTCCATATAAAGTGTCCAGCAAGTGCAGCCAATGCAAAAACTGCAACACCAACCATAACTACAATGATCACAGCAATTTTGCTCCTGCTCTTGTTGTCTGCAGGGCTACGGACCGTTGGGATGAAGTCTGGAGAAAGCTAACTAAGTCAGAGCATGAAAAGGTTCAAATAAAACTTAAAAAAAATAATATGTACAACTACAAAACATTGATCATGTGTGTTTTGATATTTATATGCGTTTGAAACATATTCATTCAACTTAATTCATCCATAAATTTAAGAGGGATATTTATATATTGGTCTTATAGCCAAATATTTTGCTGGCACAGACTGCTAACTTCATTACAGAGGCTTTTGATCATTCACTTTAGAATTGCATATTCAGTTAAATCTTTAAAACATGATGGAAGTACCTCTAGCACCAAACATGGTGGATCATTGCCCAAAGTTTTTTTTTAGAAAATATCAAAGCATGCATCAGCATGTCACAGTGATGATTTTTTTTTTCAACCAGAAGAGGTATACCGATATATCTTAGATGACTCCCAAATGGCGTTGTGAACAGTTAGTATAACAGAAATATAGAACGAAAAAAAATTCTAGTTTAGATCAGTACTTGGAGTAGCGCTCAAAGCTGATATTGCAGGCCCATAGTAGCCTTGATGAGGAATGCAGCAAGTACCCTTGCCAGCCCAGAAGAGATGAATCTCAAGGAAATTTTTTGTCACAGGGACAACATACTGCTTCTTAACAACAGTGAAAGATTTCCCTCCTGCTGCCTTTCTTATGTCAAAGTTCTGCTCCTTACGCTCCCCCTATACAAGATACAAAAATGAAGAAAAATAGTTTTGATCAGAGCTAATGAGCTAAAAGCATCAAATACCAGAGAAATTGTAAGTTTGCAGGCCACCTGAATGTAGATGTCAAAAATCCTCCTCCCTCTGCTCCTCCAAGACTGCACATCAGGGAAATCCACCTCGGCAAATTGAAGTGTTACAGTGTAGTTCCCATTCTCGAGTCCAATGCCATAGTATCTCAAAGATGATGGTGACATCCTTGCTGTTTGGAACAGTCCAGAATCTAGTGTTTTATCGAACTGGCGTGAACTGTAGATTATGTAACTTCCATTGGGTGGATCCATGAATCTTCCAGTGGTGCTAACACCCCACGTAGGTGTGCCTGCCACATAGTATGATGCAGCACCAAGATTGGCGTTATCAGCCTGATACATGGCATTATCTGAGCCTGATATGGTTCTACTACCACCACAGTCCACCGCGAAAGAGGCAGCTGGAGGAAAAATATCAAATCAAAAGTCTTAGTAATCTGCAACTACGATTTTATAGTTTTGAATTCTCTGAAGTAGGCATATGCACAAAGTTACAGAGATGAAGGCTTACACTTCGGAGAACCGAGAAAACAGGGGGTATTCCGCTGAAGACAATTCAATCCCCATGGCAGACCACTACAGATAGAATACATCACTATTTTAAATTATATTTACAACTTACAAGCTGAAATGAATATAGTGTTTTACCTAAAGGAGCTAATGGTCTTAATAAGAAAAAAAAATGGTAGCAACTGGCAAGTACCTCATATCAGTGCCATCAATCACAAAGTCATTTGCCACCAAATTCCTTAGAAAATGCACATCAGATATCACTTTTAGATTTTTCTGTCTTTGTAATTTGTATATTCAATCGTAAAGAGGTATATACAGAAGTTTCAAGCCATGAAACATACAGTTGTAAATCTTTCTGGGCAGTCCAAGAAGGAAAGTTTCCTGAGAGGTGGTTGTATGAAAAATCTCTGAAAAGTAACATGGGATATTTTAGAATTAGATCGATACATATTTTGATCATTGAAACAAAATGGGAACATACAAGGAAAATATGAACATACAAATTTGAAAGCAGAGGACTTTTCATGGCTGGCAGACTTCCTGAAAGGCTATTATTCCCAAGAAATCTGACTCAAACATGTTTTGGAATAAGATATTTGCAAACATCAGCACACAGCAAAAAGAAAAACATTGTTGCAAAAACAAGGTTAGAATCCCTGCACCAGCACTTACAGAAAAGTAAGAGAAGGAAGATTCACGATTGACGGAGGAATTTGACCTGTGATATTGTTAAAACTCAAATCCCTGCACCAACAATAATGAGTTAGACAACGGCATGGAAAACTTGTCGGAGATTTTTGTGATAGGTGAAAATTCTTACAGTAGATTTAAACTTCCAAACTTGGAGAAGTCCACTGATGCAAGTGAATCAGAAATCCTGCTGTTTCTCAAGACACTGAAAGACAAAAAGTTAAATTCTTAAGATCTTAAACTGTTACGAGAAGTAAAGTGGTGTGAAAGTGCCGTACAGATCACCCAAAGATGTCATGCTTCCAATGAACGCCAGTGAAGAGCTTCCATTTACTATATCCCCTATTCTTCTGTTAAATTGGGACAATCAATGCTTCTATCACTGCCATAAGCTTATGTTTGCAACAAAAACACAGTCATTGTCACTGAAACACTAGGAACTTACAAGCTTCTCAACTTGACAAGATTATATAAGCTTCTAGGAATAGGACCTTGAAAAGAGTTCCCTTGGAGCCTCCTAAAAATAGACATATGTTTGGTCATAAATAAGCAACGCGGACTATTCTAGCTCTTCTTGAGAAACAAGATGCATTTCACATAAACATTTCATGCTAGCAAAACATGCACAGCATTTCCTTGCTATTTGTGCCAAGAGAACAGTTAGAAAAAAAAGGGGTTAAATATCGGTAATTGGCCAAAGATAGATCTTACAGTTGGGTTAAGTTGGTCAAACTCCCAAGATAATCAGGTATTTGCCCAGTGAAATTATTATCCAATGCCCACCTGGATGCACAATGACAATGGTGTCCATAATTATTTGTTGAAATTTCATGAGAAACAATAAAATCCCAAACACTGCTTTGCGAAATTATAAGGTGGACAGGTTCGTAAGTTGTGATAAAGTCGTTGGTAGAGGACCACTGAAGTCGTTACTATCAATGTACCTACAATTCAGACATACAACTTCATTCAAGCAGATGATTATCACCTCTAAACAACAAACAAAAACTGATGATCATATAAAATAAAATGAAAACAAGACCAAACGGATAACTTACAGCTGTTGAAGTTTTGTCAATTTACCCAGCTCATCGGGAAGTGATCCATTAAAATTATTTGAGCCCAATGCCCTGAGAGTATAAGATTTTAAATAGGTTAGCTCCAGGAAAATATTCACAAGGAAGTGCTGATTTTTTTTTTTAAAAAAAAGGTTGGTTAATATATGATGAGAAAGGCATATTATTGTGTCAGGCTCCCTCTTCCACGATATAGATTTCAATTTTTTTCACGAATGGAAAGACACATTAACAAAAATAAAATTCATTGCTACATTCGCCAACTATGTTGGAGTGTTACCCTATTAAAAAAGCTTACTGCTTATCAGAAGTTCAGAACAGCAAGATTGAAGCTTACAGCGATACAAGATTTGTAAGATTGCCAAGCTCCTTGGGGATAGGTCCAGACAACGCATTGATGCCCACAGTACTGTTGATTTTCAAGGAAAAAGAATGTAGGATTGGTGTTGAAAGCAAGACAAGAAAATTGAAATGTAAAGAGCAAATAATTATACTATGAGCTGTAACTCTTACATGTACTTGAGAGCAGTCAGTTCTCCGATGAACGCTGGTAATGGCCCGGTGAAATAATTCTTCCTGAAGTCCCTGAAATCACAATACCAGATACCAGCGACGTTAGTTACACACATCAGTCACATCTTATACATCCTACAAGCTTTGGTTTTCCCAAGCTGTTCACAAACTCAGCTAGCTAGTAGCTACTGATATGCAGTGTTCATCCCCAAGTAGAACTCGATGACGACCTATCATAAACTGACGAACCGAACATCATAACTCGATGCTGACCTAATTAACTGACGAACCAAACCACCCAAAAAAAAAAAACTGACGAACCAAACATCAAAGTTCAAACAGACAAAATTGGGGAGCGCGAGAATGTGGTGGTCGCAGGAGCAAGGCCAACAATCGCAATGGAGGACACTGCCTAATCTGCTCCTAATACGATCCCAAAACGGATTGGATTGGGAATAAGATCGAACACCATCAATCCATCATCACCTCCGCGATCTCGACGCAGCCGCACGTCCCAGCGCACCGCTGGCTCCGAGGCGCCATGGCGCTCGAACTCCGCAACGCCAGCAACGGTCTCCTCCAGGCCCACGAGCATCGGCACGCGGCCGGCGACGACGGCCGCCGGCCAGCCAAATCTCCGGCGATAGGGCGGCATTTCCGGTGAGGCGGCGCGTGGAAGCGGAGCGTAGGTGTGGGCCGAACGGGGTAGGTTGAAAGATGCAAATGGGCTTTTTTATGTGGGCCGGAAAAAAGGCCCAGCTACTTCCAGGAGATATTTACGAAAAAAGAAAATCCTAACATGTGTTTCAGCTTGAAAAAACCATCATAAATCTCGTCTAAAAAAATCATCGTAATTTATTTTGAACAAAAGAAATGGAAGAAAGATGGTTTGAATGAACACAAGACCACATTATGCACAATGATCAAGCTGAGCCGAGAAAATGCGCAAAAATAAAAAAAATTGCAATTGTTGCTCAAGCTGAAATAATTAGGTTACAGGCGGCTTACAGCTTGATGAGGTGAGTGAGGTTCCTGAGCTCTTCTGGGATCGGGCCGACCACATCCAGCGTGTTGATTTTCCTGATCCATCAAACAAATCAACGAGACGAACACGATGAACATATGAAAATTCCTCAATACTCTCTCCATCCCACGAAAAACTAATCTAGATGAAAATGGGACACCACTTAGAACAACGAAATCTGTACATCTAGATTAGATTTGTTGTTCTATATGGTAAACCATCCTATTTAAGTTAGGTCTTTTTTAGGACGGAGAGAGTAAGGAAGAAGAAGAAATTTCATCAGTTTCATACATACAGTCTGGTGATGTGGCAGAGCGTGTTGTTGTGATCGGAGCAGTCGCACTTGATGGCCGGGTTGAAGGCCGGGTTGTCGTCCAGCGGCGTGTCGTCCGTCGCGGCGCCGCTGCACGGGTCGCTGCTGATGTTCCACGACGGCGGCGCGCTCAGCCCCAGCCTCGCCATCATCGCGTTCAGCGCCGCCGCTGCACTCACGCACGCCGCCGCCACCCAAAACCAACACAAGAAATTAAACTAACTGACAGATCAGCCTCACCTCACCTCGATCTCCTCGCTAATCAAACGCCATTAGATTGCGTGGTTGTGTACCTTCGGTTGGATCAGTGTGAGGTGGTGGTTGCTGAGCCTGAGCATCTGCTGCTCTCCAAGAACACAGCAGCAGCACAAGCACGCAGAGACAGCCATGGAGGTAGCAACAGTAGCTCAACCTAGGATCCATCTCTCTCTCTCTCCCCTTCTTCTTGGATTTTGCTCCGAAGAAGATGATGGATCAGAGTGGCTGACAGATGATGTGGAGCATTAATTAGCTAGGCAAATGCAAACAAGGATGCAATCAGATGAGGGAGAGTAATGAGAGTATTACGTAGTGTTTGTTTCAGTTTAAGATTATTGTAATTTAGATTATTAAATCAGATTACTCTAAACTGGATTATAATAAACTAATATAAAATAAGCTACGAGTTGTTTGTTTCTCTAGATTATTAGAGACATCTAAGGGTAGTTGTTTTTTAGCCACTCAATAATCTGGAAAAAGCTCCTCTAAAGGAGATTATTGGATTATAATAATCTGGCTTATAGATTATAATAATCTAGCATAATAATCTACTTGTTTGTTTCAGCTTACTTCTAATAATTCAGATTATAATAATACTAAGCTGAATCAAATAGTGCCTAGGCAAATGGAAACAAAGATGCAATCATGCATGGTGATGCTGCATCGCAGCACGTACTAGTAGTACCACTTCTGTTTTTGTTTATGCTATACCAAAGTGGGAGTTTTTTTGGAAATAATATTATTTTAATGGAAAATCGCAAAATTATAGGTCAGTTAGACGAAATCGCAAGTTTAGCACCCTGTCGAACGGAGGCAGTTCGAAAGGGTACCTGTCGAACTTCCCCAGTTCGATAGGGTACCTGTCGAACTGCCCGTCGAACTGCCCCAGTTCGACAGGTAATAAAATAACATAAAAAAGGAAAAACACTGTAGCGACACTGCCTATCGAACTCCCGCTGTTCGATACGTCCATGCCACGCGCCCTATCGAACTCCCCCTGTTCGATACGTCCCTATCGGGCACTGTAGCAAGTACTTTTTTATTTTTTTTCTTGGACAACTAGCCTGTCGAACTAGGGCAGTTCGACAGGGGTTCGACAGAACCCTGTCGAACTGCCCCAGTTCGACAGGGGTACCTATCGAACTGTCCCAGTTCGACAGGGCGCTAAACTTGCGATTTCGTCTAGCCGACCTATAATTTTGCGATTTTCCATTAAAATAATATTATTTTCAAAAAAAATTCCCAAAGTGGCATCCCAAAGCTGCTAGCAACAACTGTTCTGATGACCAACTAATGTAGCCGATGGAGTGTGTGTTAAAGCAGCTAAACATGCATGCGTCGTGTTGTTGCCATCACATAGTACATATGATTCAGCAGATGGCTAGCTTGGAATGACATTTTATACTGTGCTCTGATGAAGCCAGAAGACTTTTCTTCGTCCAGTGTTTTCGTGAAAGAGATTTTCTAATCAATGGCCTGGCCGTGTTTAGTTCTTTGGCTAAAATTTTTTTAAGTATATGGACAGACATTTGTAGTATTAAACGTGGACTAATAACAAAATAAATTATAAATTTCGCCTGTAAACTACGAGACGAATTTATTAAGCCTAATTAATCCGTCAATAGCAAATGTTTACTATAGCATTATATTGTTAAATCATGACGTAATTAGGCTCAAAAGATTCGTCTCGCAATTTACATGCAAACTGTGTAATTGGTTTTTTTTTTCACATTTAATGCTACATGCATGTGTCCAAACATTTGATGTGACATTTTTAGCCAAAAAATTTTGGGATCTAAATACACCCAATGATTAATGAAACTGTTCTTTTTTTTTTCTTTTTTCACATTTCTCTTTGAACTTGTAGTAATTTCTAAATTGTTGTGCTAGATTTCTACATATGTGATCTAGTATACATTTCATGAGGTGTACATTTGTACTTAGTAGTGTCTTGGATTAGATATTTATTAAGGAGGTCTCTTAACTGATAGTACTACATGATGTATGGTTTGATGACGTTGTCCCCTCTTGGTTGTACTGTTGGAGTGTGCCAACTTGGACTTCAACGTCGTCATATGGTTGTTTTGTTTGTTTAATTTGTTTTTGCGACGGACATTTACCTCCAAGAATCAAGACAGAGAAAGAGAAAGCAAACGTCATTAGCCACATAAATATCAAAGTTAAAATCTTGACACGTCAATGAGATTATATGCATAGTATTACACTTTGTTTTTGATATTATTTTTATTCAAAAAAGATATCCTAGCTGCAAAATAGCTAGCACAGGTAGATGCTGGCGCTGCCCTCAACTTGTCCAATTATTAATTAGGACAAGGGAATAACTAATTCTCCACGCATTAGTGGGAGTTGGAAAAGAAAATAAACAAAGTTAGTTTTATTAAGCCGATGCAGACATCTGTCCCAACATCTTGCCCAAATGCCATGAACGAAATGAAAAATCGTCCCTGGCAGTTGCATTTTCAGCACATTTCACATATGCCAAGATGCTTGTTCAAGCATAAGGTCGTGTACCCTAAAAAAATAATTAAACGTCACTACACATAACTAACAGCCTCAGACTTTTTTTTTCTTCAGAATGTGCAGCCAAAGTTGTGAAAGTGGTTTGCTTATCGTGTTTTTTTTTTGTGAGAATTGAACTATACATAAAACAGAAAATGAATTACTAGCTACTTCCTCTGTTCCTTAAAAAGCAATTGTTCTGCCTAGTCAAAGACAAATTAAGTAAAAGATTAAAAGACTAATATGTCCTTCATTAATGTAGTGAGTAAATAAGGAGGGGTACTATTTTAAAATTGAAGAAAATGATAAATTAGTATTAACAGATTTAATGGACTCCACTCTGAAAAATCGTTTTTATATGATAAATCTTGAAGCTGATAAGACATTCCTTAGGGATGGATAGAATAATTAAGGGGTTGTTTAGATTGATGTTTCAAACCAGTCATTTTTTTTTGGTAAATTTGCTAAAAATGTGCATACATTTAGTTTTTTTTTAACCAAACTTTGATAAATATATAAGGAATCCTACAAAACTCGATAATATTGTCAACTTACCAAAATTTTGGCATTGTCAACATTTGGTAAGGCTTATTTTGGCTACAATCTAAACAGCCTCCTAAGTACTTCACAATGTATATCAATGTCTTGATCAAATCTTTCCAAGATGATTTTGGCATTATCAACATTTGGTAAGGCTTATTTTGGCTACAATCTAAACAGCCTCCTAAGTACTTCACAATGTATATCAATGTCTTGATCAAATCTTTCCAAGATTTAGTCATGACTCTATGGTGAAATATCCTTTTCTTTAGGAGCAGTAATATTTTTTTCCATGGACGACTTGTATATATGGAAAAGGGGGTGGGGGGGGGGGGGAACAGAGGAATAATTTCAATGACAGACGTCAGCAGCTTTGAATCACTGTGCTTACGTGTTGAGATTTAGCTCTGACCAATGAGTTAAGAGTCAATTGAGCAACACGTCTGAACCACATGCGTTTTGACTCACGAACCGTGCACAAAGTCGAGGGGCTTAAGGTAGGTAGGTATAAAACAGCATCCAGGAATTGGAGGGATGATTTCATATCTATCCACTGTATATACCTTTGGAAGCATCCTTCATATAAATTTAGTGTGAATGATTTCAAAATTTTAAAAAATGAATTGGAGGGATGCGAGAGGACGGACTCTTTCGGCATGATTTCAGGACCAAACTAAATGAACCACAGTAAAAGGCCCAAAATCTTATTCACATTCAAATAGGGCAAAGCACATAAGCTATTCGATCAAAAATATATATACTCAAACTTACACTGTACAGGTATGAAACAAACTGAACATAATTTTTAAAAACGCAACCGGCAAACTGTAAAGAAAAAAAAAAGAAAAACGAGACGACGACCTGCACTGCAAAACTGACAGTCTTGACACCATTTGCCCTTCGCAACGTGTATTCACAATCACAGCTCCACAAGACGAGATTATCATCTGCCACTTGAGGAAAAGTTGATCCGATCAAGCACCGGCGTGAAAATCACCGGCCTTCCTGGATGATGGAGTTCAAGAACACCGACGAGGCTTGCTGCGACGTCGATCCTGGCGCCGAGCTCGACTGCCCGCGGACGGCGCTGTTGGCGAAGCTGGTGTTGCCGCCCTTGATCTGCCACTCGGTGATGTAGCTCGGCTTCATCAACACATCGGTGACCTCGGTGTCGCCGGTGAGCATTGACACGACCCTCGACATGGGCGGCCGCTGGTGAGGTGAGCCCTGGGTGCAGAGGAGGGCGACGTGGATGGCCCGGAGCACCTCCGCCCTGTTGAATTCTCTGAGATTTGGGTCTACAATGCCCAGAGGGTTGTTGTTCTCGTACAGCTCCCAGGCCTGAAGGTATTGAGAATTTGATATGGAAGCATTCAGACCATAGGGGCAAAATCAGATAAATTATGCTTGTTTTGATTTTGATTTAAAAGGGGTAAATTAGAGGGTCTAACTGTAAATCATATGATGGCATGTGTGTTAATGTTATCAATGTTAAAGTAGAACTTTCGGGTATATTCTGCCAATAACACGACTAAATTATAATTTGAATTTCCTTGGGTTAAGAGTTCATCACTGAGCTACTGAGCTTACCCATTCGAAAATGTAAATCTTATCTTCTTCAAGTGTATCATCGTAGTTCGGCCGTCCAGCTAAAGTCTCCAATAAGACCACGCCAAATGCAAAGACATCAACTTTCTCAGTCATATGACCTCTCATGGCATACTCAGGTGCAAGATAACCGCTGGACAAAGGATACCCAAAAATACCATTAACATAAATATGATTGTAAACATAAAGGTGGAACAGATGGAATGTACTTACAATGTACCAGCAACTTTCGTGCTGACATGCGTCTTCTTGTCATCATAAAGTTTGGCTAGCCCAAAATCTGAGATCTTAGGATTGAGATTGGCGTCAAGTAAGACATTGCTGGCCTTGATGTCCCTGTGCACGACACGGATGCTGGACTCTTCATGAAGATAAGCCAGACCTCTTGCAATGCCTAAGCATATGTCAAAACGTGCTGGCCAATCTATGTTCAATTTCTCAATTCCTGCAAATGGAGGGTTTAGATTTTAGGTTACAGACTATGATAAACCTAAATTATAAAATCCCAATTGCATCAAACTGAAATAGCTTGTACCAAAGAGTGCTTTATCAAGGCTTCCATTTTCCATGTACTCATAAACCAGCAGTGGATTATTGCCTTCAAGGCAGCAACCATATAACTTCACAAGATTACGGTGTTGCACTCGGGATATAGTTTCTATTTCCGTTGCAAATTGCTTTTTTCCTTGATGAGATGTTTGAGATAGCTGCTTCACTGCCACTACCCTTCCATCATTTAACTTACCCTGCAAAGTGGAATTCACCAAAATGCAAGATTCAAGTATTGCAATGCCGGACATCTTCTGTAATGGATACATTGGCATATATTTTTTTCTGGTTTATTCATATGCATCATTTGTACAAAAGCTAGAAAGCACAAAGAGTGTAACCAATTAATTATCCATAACGAACAACAAATTATATAATCACTACTTATCTAGATTTTAACAAGTTAATTCACAGGAAAAGGTTACAGATGACTAACCTTATAAACTGCCCCATATCCTCCTTCACCAAGACGGTTGCTGGAACTAAAATTTTCAGTTGCAGACCTTAGTTCACTATAACTGAATACATTAGGTCTTCCAACAATACTGTATAGCTCTGCGAACATAAAAAGGAACATCAATTTATTAACTTCTTGTTTGCCTGGTCAAGGATACAATGTGAGCATAGTGTGCCATGTACCTTGTTGCTCCAGTGTCAGTTTTCTCCTTTTCTGTCTCCACATAAAAATTCCAACAAGTGCTACCAAACCTAAAACTGCCACACCAACCACAACGCCAACAATAACACCTGTTTTACTAGTACTCTTGTTTTGTTCTGCCACGATACCCACCGTGGGGGTGAAATCTGACAAGAAGTTCACTTGTTAGAAAAAAAATGTGATCTTAGGCAGAATGGTACAACTGACCCTAGAAAATACATCATTTTCATATTGGAACCATTATCTATAGTTAAGGTGAGTACCTGCAGGGGTTACACTCAAAGCCGAGATAGTGGGCCCATAGTAGCCTTGACCAGGAATGCAGCAAGTGCCCTTGCCAGCCCAGAAGAGATGAATCTCAAGGAAGTTTTTGGTCACAGGAACTTTATATGACTTCTTAACAACAGTGTAAGATTTATCGCCTGCTGCCTTCCTGATGTCAAAGTTCTTCTCCTGACGTTCACCCTGCAGAAAAAACATGACAAGAAAATCTTGAATTGATTGTAAGCTAAACAAAAAAAAAAGTTTATAAGCTAGACAAGAACCAACCTGGAGATATATATCAAAAACCCTTCTCCCTAGGCTCTTCCAAGTCTGCGTGTCTTCGATCCCAAACTCAGCAAATTGAAGAGTGACTGTATAGTTTCCATTCTCAAGTCCAATACCATAGTATCTTAAAGATGATGGTGACATCCTTGAAGTCTGGAACAGTTCTGAATCTAGGGTGTTCTGAAACTGGCGCGAGCTGTAGATTATGTAACTTCCATTTGGTGCATCCACAAACTTTCCAACATTGCTAACACCCCAGGTTGGTGCTCCTGTGACAGAATATGATGCAGGTCCAAGGCTGGCATCATCAGTTTGATACCTCAAATTATCTGAGGCTGATATGAGTCTATTGCTACCACAGTCCACAGCAAAGGAGGAAGCTGCAAACAAATTAGATCAATTAGTATTAGTATTGACTAAGTAAATCTGCGGTTGCAGATTTGGTGTTTATCAACTAAGCACATTCATGGTATTGCAAAGGGTGAAAGACTCACACTGTGGAGAACCAAGAAAACATGGCGTATTTCTTTGAAGGCATGCAAGCCCTGAAGGTAAGATACTGCAGATGCAAAACACCAACATTTTGCATCCAATTAGAAGCTTGGAGAACCTAATAATTATGCTTGAGTACTTGATGAGAAATTACAAATGTGGACGCACCTGTTATTGGAGCTATCAATCACGAAATTGTTTGCCACCAAATTCCTAAGTAGAATTAGCAGAACTAAAATTAAAAGGCTTTCCACACTTCATATTTCCATAGCATATTTAGAGCTTGTTTGGTCTAGCTTGAAAAAAAAGCTATAAAAATATTCAATTTTGAGCTAAGTTGTAAGGTAAGTCTCATTTCCACAAAAAATCTTAATTATAAGTGCCCTATAGATGATAGATCCAAAAATTTGTTAAGACATATAAACTAGATGCATCAAATACAGCTTTCATATTTACCAAATGTGCTAGGTCGTCACATGTGTATGCTACACGCATAAATGCTGGCCTAACATAGGTCAGACATGCCCTTATATTTCAGGGAATGAAACGTGCCCTTTCATTGGAGCTAATGGATAGATGTTTCAGAAGTTGGTACTTACAATTGTAAATTTTTCCCACTAGCCCATGGAGGAAAATTTCCTGAGAGCTGGTTGTAAGAAAAATCTCTGAGATCAGGGAGATGCCAGATCATCGTTAGAAATAAATTAAACAAATATTCATCATGTTATTCAAACAAACTTGGATCATATGAACATACAAAGTTGAAAGTGAAGGTCCTTTTGAGCTTGGAAGGCTTCCTGAAAGACTATTATTCCCAAGAAATCTGGTCAGGCAAAACTTGCAAACATTAGTAAGACACATAAATGGGTCTTTGGCTCCAAGAAATAGGCTTTTGAAGTCAAGATAATCCATACAAGGAGTTCAGCAAATTCAGACCCAACAGGGCTGTTGGTACTTGACCAGTGATATTGTTAAAACTCAAATCCCTGTAAAAGTAAAAAAAAGGGTGGCAAAGAGGTCATCAGACATTGTACGGTTCATAGAAATATATTTCACAAAAGGCGCCTGATTACAATTTATTGTAGAAATAAAATCCTTACAGTAAGTTTAAACTTGCAAACTTCGAAAAGTCTATTGATGCAAGATTATCAGATATCTTACAGTTCCTCAAAATCCTGCAAAGAAATATGTTATGCATTATAAGATCAATCAACTTGGTTTGAATTACATTAATATTCTGAGCAGTAGTACGGCCGTATGAGTAATTAAGTGGATTAAAAGTTATGCATACAGGATGCTCAACGATGTCATGTTACCGATGAATGCCAGTGAAGAAGAGCTTCCGTTTTCAATATCACCGATTCGTCTGCACCATATAAAACAATTATTCGACTTTTCCCTTCTACATTCTTTATATTAAGAATACCATATTTATTGGTAGTGTTAGGCACTTACAAGCTTGATAGTTGGACAAGATTAGAAAGAGCAGAAGGAATTGGACCTTGAAAAGAATTGCCTTGAAACCGCCTACAGATCATAGCTGTAACTAGTCATTCAAATCATCTTTTTTACTGAAACATCAAACTAGAAATGATAGCAGGAAGAACTCTTTGATTAAAAAAAGGAAACTAAACTAATGAAGCTAAAGTACAGATTCTTTCACGGTGAATACATAAATATTGTAAAATATATTCAAAGCTGAATAATGCTTTTCAAGATTGGAAGCCATCTCATCATGAATAGTGACAGAAGAAAGATGCATCATTTACCAACGCTCAACAATCATCCAAACTTAAATAAAGAGACCCCTATAGGGTGATTCAGCACAGTCAAGTAAAAAGATACTCTAGAAACGAGAAAAACAAACTATCTTTCACAAATCACATGAGCCAAGTAGCTTTAGAATGCATCTCATGTTCACACCTACAATTTTCCTCGATTTAAAGCCTGACTTGAATAAAGTTATTGAAAATTGTACCCATATGACCATATTATTTAAAACAATATGAAAACACAACATTCCTATTGTCTAAATAATTATCTGTTACAAAAATTATTATGGCTTAATGAACGGAGGATATAGGATTCTTACAGGTCTGTCAAATTCCAGTTCCCGATATAATCTGGTATTTGTCCAGTAAAATCATTATCTGATGCCCACCTGAAGAAATAGGAGGATAAGAAACAATGTTTAATGGCACGGAAGAATTAATGTCAACAAGAAACACATCCTTTTGTAATCCTACAATGTTTGCATTCTTGTAAGCTTGGAAAATGATGATGGTAGTGGACCACTTAAGCCAGCACTGTCAATGTACCTGCAATTGAGAGATAAGAGTAGCAGCAAACATTGAGCTGAGTAGTCCAAGAATCAGAATGGTTAGGTAGACCAAAAAAAAGAAAAACGAAGTCCCAACTAGAAACGTACAATTCCTGAAGCTTGTCCAGGTTCCCCAGTTCTGAAGGAAGGGAGCCATTAAACCTGTTTGAGCCTAAACCCCTGAAAATTCAACCCAAAAGATGATTTTAGTCACATAAAAATTGTCAATTGCAACGAACACTATCAACGGAAAAGTTTGCCTTCAATTGAGTTTAAATCCAAGTCTTAGTAGTACACAAGAATACCACAACAAATGAAGATGCTATTTGTGCATTCATCACAATTTGGAGTCCTTCATCATTGAATAGTGCAATTCTGAGGATGTTGCCATATGTTCTCAATTTAAAGTGTGCTTCATCTCATGATTTTTATGCAGATGATCAATTCAAGGTGCGAGTTCAAAGCATAAATATATCTATTATTTCTCACGGTCATAAGTATGGTAGAGTTGTATGAAGAATAAGGGTCACGAAATCATGGAATATAGTTCTTACAGTGATACAAGATTCGTAAGGTTACCGAGCTCCTTTGGAATAGGTCCAGATAATGAATTGATGCGAAATGTCCTTGTGTGTTCAAGAGAGAAAAGGTGAGATTCAATGCAAAGCAAAACATTTACTAAAATGATGTTTGTGAGTTCTAAATCTCACATGTTCTGCATATTAGTCAACTCCCCAATGAATGATGGCAAAGGCCCTGTTAATGTATTTTGCCCTAAATTCCTGAAATAAGACCACACCAGATATCAGCAACATTAATATTGTGAAATACTAAAATAGATTTATTTCCAGTTATATTCATCATTTCATAGCTGAAATAAGAGAAGGTAGCCTTTTTTTCTTTCAGAAAAGTAAATAATAGAAGTACCCTTTTAAGTTTTAACTTACTACTACAATGCAGCTTATAAGAAATAGTAGCCACTATGTTAGATAATGATAAGTGACCGACCAAATTCTATAGGAATGCAAAAGAGGTACTGTGATGACAACAGAAATACTGGAAGGTGAATGGCATTGCGGGACGGCAAATGGAAAACTTTGCCATTGCATCTATCAATCAGCCGTATGGTGTGCTTCAAATGCAATAGTTTCTGGACCATAGACAATCCAACATAAGGAAGTTGAGAGAGAGAGTTCATTCGTACAGATGGGTCAAGCGCGTGAGGTTCCGCAGCTCTTGTGGTATCGTGCCAGGCACATCTAAGGCATATATTTTCCTGCATCACAGCAAAAAAAAAAATCCCATTTAGCGCATCGGGCGCCTCGGAGCTCAGGCAGGCAATTCGTCGAACACCTGGCGCGCGCGCGCCAAGAGAGGGACGGCGACACCTACAGCTTGGTGATCCGGCAGACGGTGTTGTTCTGGAAGGTGCAGTCGCACTTGATGGCCGGGTTGAAGTTGGGGTTGTCGTCGATAGGGGTGCCGTCCGTGGCGGCGCCGGTGCAGGGGTCGCCGCTGATGTTCCATGTCGCCGTCGACAACGACGCCTGCTGCCCGAGCTTCGCGAACACCGCGTTCAGCGCCGCCGCTGCAAATGCAAAACACCAACCAACCACGCTATAACTATGAGCATATCCTTGGAACTTCTCCACCGTCCGATGGCCTGGGTCGCGACGATCGGACGGCCAGCAATCGGTCAAGACGCCGAAATGGCTCGAGCTTGAACAAACATGCCATGGTTTCAGACTTAAAAAACGAAGGTCAACGGCCAATAATTAAAAAAAGTTCATGTCGATCGGTGGGTGACGAGTGACGACGGCGTCGTGAACTGAAATTTTTTGGAAGGACAACTCAAGAACAGGATCATCATGCTTGCAGAGTTGCAGGCTTCAAAATTAGGATGCAGGTGTTCTCATGGCAAGCTTCAATCCAAGCTCAACAACGGAAAATCTTCAGCACAAGCCAAAACGGAGCAAAGCAGAGATGGATTATCATCAAGTGATTATCCCAAAAAAAAACAAGAATCTCAAGGCAAGAACTCCCGAAAAGGCGGATTTTTCCAGTCGAATTTGAAGGCGGAATCCTTACAGTCACAGATTCTCATAACTAGCTCCATCAGGACGAACCGCTTCTCAAACAAACCCAAAAAAAAGAACTCTCGTTTCATTCAGAAATCAGAATCGAAGCAGGCGGGCACGCGTGCTCACCTTCAGTCGGATCAGTCTTGGTTGCTACCCGCTGAGCCTGAACAGCCGCCGCTGCAAGAAGCAGCAGGAGCACACCGCCATGGAGGAGGAGATGGCTCATCACCCTCATCGTCTCCCTCCTTGAGCCTTCTGCTCGCCTCCTCCCCCTCTTCTCCGTTTCTGGGAGAAGAGAAGCTGTGAGCCGAGGCGGTGACGACGGGTGAGATGGATGATATCGTCGGGCGTAGAAAGGGACGCGCGCTGCGACGAATACTGGAGACAATATATACGCACGCAGCACACAATACACAGTCAGCTATTCTGAATTGACCAAAATTGTTGTACTGCTCATCAAACGGCGACGCTGCTGTCAACTGTATAAAAAAAAAAGAGAGATTCTACTGCCTCCCTCCCTCTCAAATTAAGTGCAGCCGTGGATATCCGTGTCTAACGTTTGACCATCCGTCTTATTTAAAAAATTTATAAAAAAATTAAAAATATTTAGTCAAACATTAAGTACTATTCATATTTTATCATCTAATAGCAATAAAAATACTAATCTTCAAATAAGATAAACGGTCAAATGTTAAACGTGAATAGTGTAAAACAGCAGCGAGCGAGCAAGAAGCAAGAAGCCCCAGCTTGTCCCAGATGCAACGCACGGCCAACGAGAAGTGGCTAAACTAAACATGTGCGCGGTTGTTGCAATATTAAACTAATGATTAATCCGTATTTTGGGTTTTGTTTGGAACGGGGATGATGGGTCAGGGGTCTCTCTGTCCACATGAGGATGCGGGTTGCGGCTGTTGAAGAGGAGGGGAAACTGGGGAAAGAGTCAAGCGTTGGCAAAAGATAAGCTCGTGCGCGGGCGCGTGCGTGTTCATGGTCATGGATGGGGGTAAGTAGCTTTTGACACTTGATTGCTGAATGGGAAATGGTCTTGTGTAGTAGCTTGTAACTTGTGGAGTTGTGGTGGACAGGTTCTCCAGAAAGAAAAATCCTACTTTCACTTTTTAGCATTATCAATATTTATATAGATGTTAATGGATCTATGTCTAATCTTATAATATGAAATAGAGGAAGTATTATGAATTAATCTCGAAATTTGCTCCACTATGATGGAATAGATCTTACTCTCTTCATCTATTTTTGATAGTCATATTTCCAAATCTGAAAAATCTATCTTTGATAGGTATATTTCAATCCAACAACATATCATCTTAATGACTTTATGGAATTTAATGCGTGACTCTTCATTCTTTCACACAAGTTTGGCTCCATGAGCATCGAGAAATGTAAATAGTACTCCCTCCATTCTAAATTGATCTACATCTAGTTTTTCTGGGGTTATTCCTAAATGATCTACATATTTGTGTTTATTTATTAAGTCTATTCGTTATTTGTGCATTGGAGTAAATGGATATTGATGCATGTATCCATGCACACAAGTATTTATAGCACATATGTAATATCTTGATTTGCTATTGGCTAGAAAATGTTGGGGATGGTGCATGTATCGAGTTTGTTGCTAGAGTAAATATAGTATGAGAGAGTTATTAGTTTTTCTTGGTCTTGGTGTACCTATGAAATATGTAGATCAATTTGGAATGGAGGGAGTAATGAATCACTTGTTTAAATGGATGATAAGTAGAATTAGTTGTCCTTGGTGTGTGTGCTAAGATGATTTTAGGACAAAAGAATATTGATTTTGATAACTCCGTTGATTACAGGCTTACAGCATAACTCGTTAGGGATAAGGTGCTGTTAAATTCCGCGGTATCAGATGATTATTTTGGTACGGCTATACAGTACGTGTCACTCTCATATGTGACATCTACACCTCAAAATAATTTTCTACAGCTCAATAAGAACTAAAGGTCAGGATGCTAATAACTTAGGGAGTTTTGGCTAGAGTGACTCTCTAAGGGTAGAGCATGTGCATATCAAAGACTGTATATGGTCATTTTTATTTAACCCCGTATCCTATAGCGGTTCTGTTAAGAAGAATAATTATACTAGGATATGATATATTTAACCAAAATCTATTATATTAGAGTACGAAGGGAGTATCTTTGTCTTATCCATCTCTAGCTCCCACCACCATCTCCACCTTCAGTTGTCATCAGAATCGCTGGAGTGCCCCTGCTTCATTAAATTCTGACCCGATGGTGAAATTGTTCGCTGCCTTGTTGCCCCTGCTTCATTCTGGTCCAGCGGCATATGTGGCTAAGGCACGTGGACACGAGAGAGAAACCGGACTGGGAGAAGCTCACCAGCGTGGGAGAAAAGGAACTCAGCGGTGCCTTATCGATCAAGCTTCAGGTAGTGGTAAAAATGGGGGTGGCTGGGGCGGGAGCAGAAAGAGATAGAGAGGGTGGTACAAAGTGCAAAAGAGGTAAACATACCTAGTTTTATGTGAAAACTTTGAGTTAGGAGTAGTTCAAAGTGAAACTTAGGGTCTGTTCACTTTGATGCCATTTTTAACCTTACTAAATTTTGGTAATGTTGCTAAAAAAATGGCTATATTTAGTTTGCTATCAAATTTTAATAACTACATAAAAAAGCTGGCCAAAATTTTGACAAGTTGCCAAAATTTTGGTAACTATGCCAAAATTTAGTAAGGTTTTTTTTATAACAAAGTGAACAGGCCCTTGGTAAAAAGGAAACGCCCAAAGCTACCATTTACACCATCTATTTTGCGATTAATGGATGTAATTCACGCTAGGGCTATAGCCGAGGGAGGAAAAAATGAACCTTTTTCATAAATTCTAGCTAAGTGAAGCCTAGTCATTATTAGGCCTAGATTTTTGGGATGATGAAGACATCGGAAGGAATAAGTTCAGTTTAGGTCCCTCGTCTTGAACTTGAGTTTGAATTGCCTTCTTGAACTACATCTTTTCCCCATTTTCCCGACCAACCCCTCTCGTTTTCCGCGCGCATGCTTTTCAAACTACTAAATGATGTGATTTTTACAAAAAAAAAATTTCTATATGAAAGTTGTTTAAAAAATATATTAATCCATTTTTTTTAAAAAAAGATTGTTAATACTTAATTAATCATGTAATAATATGAGCTTTGTTTTGCGTGCCGGGAATGGGAAGGAGGGGTTGGCCAGTGTCCATCAACTCCCAAAATCAGTGCAAATGGTCCAACGATAGTTTAGATAGTTGTTTCTTCTATGTGACACCTATGTGGTTGGGTCCTTGTCTCACGTAACGTTGACGTATCATTTATAGTAAAAAAAAAAAGTTAGGACCCACATGTCAGTGAGTGTCCGATAAAAATAAAAAAAATATTACAATGGGACCCACATTGTCCCCCTCTCATCTTTTCTCCCTTCCTCATCTCTCTCCCTTTCCTCGTTGCCGATGCAAGCTGCCAACTACTAGCTCCAAATCATCTATAGACAATCTAATCGCTTATTCATACAATAGTTAAATATGGTGATGTGTTTCTCGCATGCAAGTTAAATATGTGTTTCTCTCTCTTTGGTCTTGCTGCATGGAACAAATATGATGATCAAAAGAGAATAAAGGGAGTACTTCGAATATGCACCTTACGCGACACAGTTTGGAAGAACATGCACACACAATAAGATCGTGTGCCACTCTCAGGACAAGTTAAATCCGATGAATGAAGCACCTGAGCGCAGCGCGAAATCACCATACCTCTCCCTACTCCACGGAGCTCAAGAACGGCGACGAATCCTGCGGCGAGATGATCTCCCTCGGCGCCGAGCTCGACCGCCAGCTGACGTCGCTGCCCATGAAGCTGGTGTTGCCGCCCTTGATCTGCCACTCCGTGATGTAGCTCGGCTTCGTCACCACCTCGGGCACCTCGACGTCGCCGGCGAGCATCGTTACGACCCTCGACATGGACGGCCGCTGGTGAGGTGAGCCCTGGGTGCAGAGGAGGGCGACGCGGATGGCCCGGAGCGCCTCCTCACCGTCGTATTCTGTGAGCCTTGGGTCTACGACGCCCAGAGGGTAGTTGTTCTCGTACAGCTCCCAGGCCTGAAAGTATTGAGACGGTCAGTATTCAGATCGTGGGGACAAAATCAGATAAATGTTGCTTGTTTCGATAAAACCATATGATGAGAAGTGTGTTCAATGCTTGCTACCTCAGTCCTAAAATATAAGAAAATTTAGAATTGGACGCATGTATTAAGGAAGTTGGTGAAATTAAATAGGAAAAAAATATGATTGGTTGAGAGTAACAATGTAAGTAGGGAAACTAAATAGTGAAATGTTGTTTTTGGTTGGGAAAAGAATGTAGGTGGAGAATTGATTATATTTTAGGATAAATTTAGATGCTATAAATTGCTATATTTTGAGACGGTGGGAGTATTGCCAATCTTTAGTAGAAAATATCGAAGTATATTCTGTCAATAGCACAAATATCAATTGAAAAAAGCAGAGAGACCATTATTATATCTTCTTTACATTGGTTAAGATTTAATCATGAGCTACTGTACTGAGCTTACCCATTCGAAAATATAAATCTTGTCTTCTTCAAGAGCATCATCATAGTTTGGTCGGCCAGCTAAAGTCTCCAATAAGACCACGCCAAATGCAAAGACATCAACTTTCTCGGTCAAACGACCTCTCATAGCATACTCAGGTGCAAGATAACCACTAGATAAAAGAAAAGCCATAAATCCCGTTAGCACAGGTACGAAAATAATTTGTAAACATGAAGGTGCGAAAGATGGAATGAACTTACAAGGTACCAGCAACTTTTGTGCTAACATGCGTCTTCTTGTCATCATAAAGTTTAGCTAGCCCAAAATCTGAGATCTTAGGATTGAGATAAGCGTCAAGTAAGACATTACTGGCCTTGATGTCCCTGTGCACAACACGGATACTGGACTCTTCATGAAGATAGGCCAGACCTCTTGCAATGCCTAAGCATATCCCAAAGCGTGCTGGCCAATCTATGTTCAACTTCCCAGTTCCTGCAAATGTAGGATTGAACTTTTAGGTCTCTATAGACTACGATAAATCCAAGTTCTCAGAATACCAGTTGCATCAAATTGAAATAACTTGTACCAAACAGTGCTTTATCAAGGCTTCCATTATCCATGTACTCATAAACCAAAAGTGGGTTATTGCTTTCAAGGCAACAACCATACAACTTCACAAGATTACGGTGTTGCACTCGGGATATAGTTTGTATTTCAGCTGCAAATTGCACTTTCCCTTGATGAGATGTTTGAGATAGCTGCTTCACTGCCACTACCCTTCCATCAGTTAACTTACCCTGCAAGGTGGCATTCACCAAAAATGCAAGTTTCAGGTACTGCAATGTCAAACGTCTTTTGTAATGTTTCTAAAAGAACATCTTTTGTAATGGATACGGTGGTATATGCATTCCCATTTTATGAATATGCATCATTTATGTGAATAAATAGAATGGAAAACGAATATAATCAGTAATAATACATAAAAGAAAAGGAACTGACACAGTCATATGCAGCTTTTTTGCAATATACTACTCGTCTAGATGTTTATAAGTTAATAACTTCATTGAAAAAATGTCATAACTCACAATCTATATGCTATAGATGAAATTACCTTATAGACTGCCCCGTATCCTCCTTCACCAAGAAGGTTGCTGGAACTAAAATTTTCAGTTGCGGACCTTAGCTCACCATAACTGATTACATTGGGTCTTCCAACAATACTGTACAACTCTGCAAACATAAAAAGATACATCACTTTATGAGCTTCCCATTTACTCGGTTGAACCTAGTGGTCCTGTACCTTGTTGCTCCAATGATAACTTTCTCTTTCTCCTGTTCTGCCTCCATATCAAAATTGCAGCAAGTGCTATCAAACCTAAAATTGTTACACCAACTACAACTCCAACAATTACACCTGCTTTACTAGTACTCACACCTGCTTTACTAGTATTATTGTTTCCTTCTGGTGAAATGCTAGTACTAACCGTCGGGGTGAAATCTGAAAAGAAGTCCATTTGTTAGAATAAAATGTTATCTTACAATGAAGGCCTACAATGAAACTCAATAGTTGATCACTGAAAATACATTGTTTTCAAAATGGAACCATGAATTGTTGTTCAGAGGAGTACCTGCAGGGATTAAACTCAGAGCCGAGATAGAGGGCCCATAATTGTCTTGAGTAGGAATGCAGCAAGTACCCTTGCCAGCCCAGAATAGATGAATCTCAACGAAGTTTTTGGTCACAGGAACTTTATATGACCTCTTAACAACAGTGTAAGATTTATCACCTGCTGCCTTCCTGATGTCAAAATTCTGCTCCTTACGTTCACCCTACAACAAAAACAAGACAAAAGAAAATCTCAACTTGATTACAAGTTAAATCAAAAGGTATAGCTTATCAGCTAGCTACGCAAGAACCAACCTGGAGATATATATCAAAAACCCTTCTCCCTAGGCTTTTCCAAGACTGTGTGTCTTCAAACCCAAACTCTGCAAATTGAAGAGTGACTGTATAGTTTCCATTCTCAAGTCCAATACCGTAGTATCTTAAAGATGATGCTGACGTCCTTGTATTTTGGAACATTTCTGAATCTAATGTGTTCTGAAACTGGCGCGAGCTGCGGATTGTGTAACCTCCATTTGATGCATCCATGAACCTTCCAACAGTGCTAACACCCCATGTTGGTTCTCCTGTAATATAATATGATGCATCTCCAAGATTGACTTCATCACTTTGATACCGCAAATTATCTGAGCCTGAGGTGAGAGGGCCACCACAGTTCACAGCGAAGGAGGCAGCTGCAGGCAAGTTACATCAATTAGTATTAGCATTTACTAATGTTCTAAGTAAATGGTGTTTCTCAAGTAAGCATATTCTTGATATTGAGGGTTGAAAGGCTCACTCTTTGGAGAACCAAGAAAACAGGGTGTACTTCTCTGAAGGCAGTTCAGGTACTGCATTGAAGGTAAGATACTGCAGATGCAAAAGATCAACATTTTGAATCCAAACTAGAAGCTGTGAGAATCTATTGATTATACTTGCGATATTGAGGAGAAAATGGACGCACCTATTATTTAATTCATTGTCCACAAAATTGTTTGCCACCAAATTCCTAGGTAGAATGAACAGTATCAAAAATTAAAAGGGTTCTTATACTTCATGTTTCCATAGCAATATTTAGATATTGTCTAGTCTAGCTTGAACAAACATAAACTTAAGCTACAAAAATGGATTTGTTTCTGTGCTAAGTTGTAAGGTTAATTCTCATTTCCATGAAGATGCTGCAGAAGAGATAAATTGGGGATTGAACTATTGCATTGACCTAGGCCCAAAAGGCAAATGTATGTTGTACAGAAGAGATTGGAAAATCCCCAAAATACCCCTTAACATCTATACCCTTAACAAACTATTGCATTGATGATGTGAAGTGGATCTTGCGCCTTCACAAACTATTCTTCAGCCCTCAGTACAAAAAGCCCTCACAAATTGTTCTTTGGCTCTTCATTGATTCAGAGACAATGACGATGATGATGAAGGCCATTCACAAACTGTTCTTCGGACCTTCACTGAATGATGATGATACCAACTTCGACGGGAAGCTGGTGACGTGATATACCAACTCCGACAGGGAGTTAGCGATGATGATAGGACATTGATGATGATAAGGTGATGACGATGATGGTGATTGACAGGAATGACTTCGATGAATTGATGATATGCAATAGACTTTGGTGAACTCAATGGATAACAAAGGAGTTGAACTAGTAGACGACAGTAGCACGGCAGTGGACACTGGACACCTGTGGAAGAACACGTGATGCATATCTCAGATGGACATGGACTATACTCCCAATTGAGACCATTGCAACTAACTAAACTAATAACCATTTGCAAGTTGCAGCTACTAGTTCAGTGGACAGTGGTACTGACAGGTGCAAACTAAACTAGCTAGCACTAGCAAGCATGCACTCTAGATCCATGGCAAACAAGTGCACGCTTACTGATTTTCTGGCAGCAGCATTTTGAGGAGGACGACTGGACGAGCACCATGGCAGTTTGATGCGTTCCTGATTGAGGTTTTGGAAAAGAGCTGCAGACCAATTGCCAAAAACAACAAAATCCACGAAATCAGCAGAGCAACAGAGAAGGCATTGACAAGATCCGCGGCGGGAGCATGGGACAACGATGGAGAGGATGGGTTGGCCGGCGATGGAGGCGGCGGCTCACAGTGATGGGCGACGAGACCGACGACGATTGGAGCTGGATCTGGAAGGGATACGAAGAGCTGCTGTTGCTGCTGCTCGTTGTTTGCTGCTTGAAGAGATACGACTGCTAGTCTGCTACTGCTGCTGCTTCTCGATGCTCAGATGGACGACGTGCTGCTGCTTGATTTGATGAACACGAAGACGACGAACATTTTGCTGCTGCTGCACAGATCGACGAGCGCTGCGACCGGACGGCGATGGACGGCGGCTGCCCGGCGGAGAAGAGCGGTGTCCTCGGATCCGCGAGCAACCGGCGGCTGACGGACGAGGAGGACGGACGGCTGCAGATCCGGCCGGGGATGGCTGGGCGACGCTGGATCCGGTAATGTTGAGCCCCGGCAACGACCGATGTGGCCGGGGATGACCTGAAGATGTGACCGGCGAAGGGAGATGGCCTGGTGATGGTGCACGGCGAGGATGGACGACGACGACGATCGCTCGCCGGCGGGGAGCCATGCCGGCGATGTTGGAGTTCGGCGATCTTAGGAAAGCAGTTGTTGCCTAACATTGCCACAACTCAATTTGCCATAGGTGTGTAATGTTTGGCTAGAAAATAAGTATATGATATGTAGGACTACAGAAAAAAAAAGTGTGGCTTGCCATAACTGAAATAAGCAACCAAACGTTAAGCTAACAATATGTGGCATGTGTAACATGTGGTGTGGTAATATGTGGTACTTAACCAAACAACCCCTAAAATTTCACTTTGGGCACCTTTATTACCGGTGTTCGTTTCGAATCGCATTCTAATCAATAATTTTACTTTAATTTGGATAATCTTATCTTTGTGTCATTTTGAATCACCCTTTTGTTTATGCACATCATGATATGTCAAATAAATTATCTATATAAAGCGGTGGGAGTTTAGTGACAAATCAGAGCCGGCGTAACGGATGTTCATATGAAGAGAGTTAGAGTAGTCCAAAGTACAACAAAGATAAGATTATCTAGGCAAAAATGAAAACATTGGTTAAAGGGTAGTATAAAATAAAACACTTGGTAATAAAAGGTGGCCTAAAGTGAAATTTACTTTAAATTTAGTGAAGAAGAGTTAATTGGGAATTGAACTATTACAGCAAAGGTAAGATTATCTGATCCAAAGTAAAAACATTGGTTAAAGGGTAGACCAAATCTGAACATCTGATGACCCAAAGTGAAATTTAATCTAAGTTTAGTGAAGAAGAGTTAAATTGAGAATTTAACTTTTGCATTCACATAAACCTAAAAGGCAAATATGTGTTGTACTCTGTATAACAGAGATGAGAAAATCCCCAAAATACCTCTTACTCCCTCTGTTCTTGAATATAACAAGTTTTAGAGTTGGATATGGTTATTAAAAAAGTAGGTAGAAGTGAATAGTGCAGGGTTGTGATTGGATAAGTAGTGGAGGTAGGTAGGAAAAGTGAATAATAGAGGGTTGTGATTTGTTGGGAAGAAAATGTTGGTGGAGAAGTAGTTATATTTTGGGACAAATCCTGAGGAGTAAAAGTTGTTATATCTTAGGATGGAGGGAGTAATAGTTAGTATCAACTCCCTTTGTTTTAGATTATAAGTCGTTTTGACTTTGGTCAAAGTCAAACTCCTCTATGTTTGATCAAGTTTATAAAAAAAGTAGTAACATTTTCAACCAAGATAAATATATTATAAAAAATGTATTCAATTATAGATTTAATGAAACTAATTTGGTGTTGTAAATATCACTATTTGTCTTTAAACTTGGTTAAATTTAAAGTAGTTTGACTTTGAACGAAGTCAAAATAACTTATAATCTGAAAGTATACCCTTAACAGAAGAATCTGAATCACAGATGACATTATAGATCCAACAACTTTGTGAAGACCTATAAGCAAATGCATCAAAAGTAATCCTAATACGCCAGTTCAAAAGCCTAATAATAGGCCAAACATGCCCTCAATTTGGCTGAAGTTAGTTAGTTAATGGAGGTTTCAGAAGTTGGTACTTACAATTGTAAATCTTTCCCACTAACCCAAGAAGGGAGATATCCTGAAAGCTGGTTGTAAGAAAAATCTCTGCAGAAAATAAAATGCCAAATCATCATTAGAAATAAATCAAACACATTTTGTTGTTACAATAAATGAATCATATGAACATACAAAACTCTGAACGAACGTCCTATTGATGTTGGAAGTTTTCCTGTAAGACTATTATTCCCAAGAAATCTGATCATACAAAATTTGCAAGCATTAGCTAGATAAACAAATAACCCTTCTATTCCAAGAAATAAGCTTGGAAAGAAAGATAATCCGTACAAATAGTTGAGTGAATTCAGATTCAACAGGGCTTGCGGTATTGGGCCAGTGATATTGTTAAAACTGAAATCCCTGTAATATTAAAAAATATTGAGAATGGCCAGAGGTCAGTGCTTGATCCACAGCAATTCGTCTAATATCTTGGACAAAATACACTTGCCTATTGTTTACTATAAATATAAAATACTTACAGTAAGGTTAAACTTGCATATTTTGAGAAGTCTATAGATTCAAGACTATTAGATATCATACAGTTCCTCAAAATCCTGCAAACAATGATGCTATTTAATTATAGTATTTAACAATTTGGTTTGAACTACATTAAAATCTGAACCGTAGTTTGAATCGTGAAAGTGAACAAAATTTTTGCATACAGTGTATTCAAAGATGTCATGCTACTGATGAATGCCAGTGAAGAGGAGATTCCGCTTGCTATGTCGCCAATTCGTCTGCACCACAGAAATAGGTTGTTAATGTTTCCCTTGATGAAACCTTTGATATTTAAGAACGATGTATAAACATTCTTGCCAGCAGTAGGCACTTACAAGTTTGTTAATTGGACAAGATTAGAAAGAGTGGCTGGAAGTGGACCTTGAAAAGAATTCCCTTGCAACCGCCTAGAGATTCATAGATGTAGAAAGAGTAGTTTGTTAATTTAAATTATCATTTATTCAGTGGCAAATTAAACTAGTAGTGCTAAGAAAAAAGGGCAAACTTACGTAGCTAAAGCACAACTTCTTTTCCAGTGTAAATAGAAATGATATAAACAGAATCAATGCTTACTAACACTAGTGCCTTATTCAAAACTAGCATCAATCTCTTCATGGATGGTGAGTCAGCAAGATGCATTATTGAGGATTTATTTATTAAATAAAGAGATCTCAGGCGATTCAACACACCCAAGGTCAAGTATGAAATACCAGTAAAGACTTTTTGTGTTACCTTAAATCTAGTCTTTCTCTCTCAAACTAAAGCTCAGTGTAAAACTGTAGCAAACTGTACCCATATTCTTTAGAATTATATGAAAAGTTTTTAACTCCCCTTTGTGTTCATTGATTTCATCTTAAAAAAATAAATTACTGTACAATATAGAGAGGCTAACAGCAAACTTACAGGTCTGTTAAATTCCAGCTCCCAATGTAATCTGGTATTTGTCCAGTAAAATTATTATCCGATGCCCACCTGAACAAGTAAAAGGATACACAGATATCATGGAATCTGACATTAATGTCAACAAGAACATGTCTTTTGAAAGGTCTATACAATATTTTCATTCTTGTAAGATTGGCAAACGATGATGGTAGTGCTCCACTTAAGCCAGAACTGTCAATATACCTGCAATTGAGAGATGCAAATAGCAGAACACGTTAGGCTCAGTAGTCCAAGAAAATAAAATGGTTCGATAAAAAAAAACATAGCGACAAATAATTAGTTAAACGCACAATTCCTCAAGTTTGAACAGGTTTCCCAGTTCTGAAGGAAGGGAGCCACTAAAATTGTTTGAGCCAAAACCCCTGAAGATAAACCCCAAAAAAATTCCATGTCAGCCACATAAAGTTGTATTGGAATTTATATTCTATGAAGAAATAACACTGTCAGCATAGCTATTCTTCCAACTGAGTCCAACTGCAATACCCAAATAAAAGAATGTTGCAAAAATGAATATGCTATTTGCTCTCCGGCTCAATATTTTGGAATCCTTAATTGAATAGCATAAACATGAGGAAATTGGCATATATTCACAATTATGCTGTGCTTCACTGCTTCTTTAATGATTTTTACATTATAAGCATTTCATGATAGTAGAGTTGTATGATGAATTACGTCCACGAAATAATGTAAATACAGTTCTTACAGTGATATGAGATTTGTAAGGTTACCGAGCTCCTTTGGAATAGGTCCAGATAATGCATTGATGCCAAAAGTCCTAGTGTGTTGAAGGGAGAAAAATGTGAGACTTATTGCAAAACAAATGCATTTAATGTAATTATGTTTTGAGTTATATATCTCACATGTATTGCATATTAGTCAACTCCCCAATGAATGACGGTATAGGCCCTGCCAAAACATTTTGTGATAAATTCCTGAAACTTGACCAAATCAGATATTTACAACATGTTTTGTTGAATTTCTGAAAGAGATGAGTTTTGAGTATAGATGATTGGTTGAGTTGTAAGTTCCATAACACCTTTTCAAGTTTTTTTTTTCTCGAAAATGCAAGAGCCACGCGTTTCATTTCATTAAGAAGAAGAGAAAATATGTACAGCAGAGCGCTTCACAAAGAAACACTCTGAAAAAAGAGAAAAACACAAAAAGGCGTTGCTGAACCTTTTTAAGTTATAGCCACTATGAAATATGATGGTGATTCTGTAAACACCAACTGGACTATGTAGAAATCCTCTAACGAAGTAAGTCCTGATGGGAATAGTAAATCAAGAACGTCTATATTTTGGCAAAAACTAGAATTATATGCACAATGCACTATCACACAGCAAATTATCCCAAGGTTTCTGGACAAAAAAGAAAAATCCCAAAACTAATCAAGCATATGCGTGAAATGACCACTCCACGACATATGAGTTAGTAACAACATTATAGTTTAGGATTATGATCAAAACAGCAATATAATGACATTTTTGTTATTTTGATATCAGAGTGTGTTCCAATATGTCCAGAACCATGAAAACTATCAATATGTAAATATAGTGTGAATGTCTACCATATAACTCCGATTAATCGTTGGCCATATTCTGATAAATTGCCTGACGGTATATCCTATTCGTTCGAACACCATATTCCATCTTTTACACCACTAAGGTAAGAAAGCTGAGAGGTCATACAGATGGGTTAGGTGCTTGAGGTTCTGCAGCTCTTCTGGTATCTGGCCAACTGCATCTCTGGCATATATCTTCCTGCATCATCAACACGCAAAGCATTAGCTTTCGCCTTCTCAATTTGTCGCTGACCATATTGGCCAGACAAGAGGACAAACCACCGAGTCATCCGATCGACGCTTTGCAGTTGGAACTGTCAAGAGAGCATCAAAAGAATTGTGTTCGCATCGCAAGCTAGGCAATCCACCGAACACCTCGTGTACGTGGAGAGACTAGAGAGAGAGAGGGGTGCCAAACCGTGGGAACACTTACAGCCTAGTGATATGGCACACGGTGTTGTTCTGGTCGGAGCAGTCGCACTTGATCGCGGTGGTGTTCTGGTCGGAGAAGTCGGTGCCGTCCGTCGCCGCGCCGGTGCACGGGTCGCCGCTGAGGTTCCATGACGCCGCCGCTTGCTGCCCGAGCTTCGCGAACACCGCGTTCAGCGCCGCCGCTGCAAATGCAAAACACACGGGAAAACTGTTTAACAGCTGAGTGAACGTCCACCCATTTATTACATGTCATCTAAATGGTTATAAAAAATTTAAAAAATAACAAGATAAATCAATATATAATATATTAATCCACAAACATACAATTTAAAATTCAACTTCTACAAATTATAATAAAAATAACAAACAAAACTCAAATTACTATATGTATATTTACAATTAAATTTGTTATTTTTGTTACAAGTTATAGAAGTTGAATTTGAACTTGTATATTTATGTAATGATATATTACATATTTATCTATCTTGCCAAAATTTTTTAAAAAAATTTCGCAACCATCTAATTAATATGTAATAAACGGTGGACGTTTACTCGAGCTATTAGTATCCATCTCCCAAAACACCACCACACCAAACCAAGTAACTATCCACGCTATAACTATCAGCATATCCTTGGAACTCCTTCACCGTCCGATGGTCTACGATGGTCTAGGCCGAGAAAATCGGACGGCCAGGAATAGGTCAACACGCCGAAATGGCTCGGCTTGAACAAGCATGGTTTCAGACTTAAAAACGAAGGTGGCCAATAATTAAAAAAAAAATCATGTCGATCGGTGACGACGGCGTGTGAACTGAATTTTTTTTTTGGATGGAGAAAGATAGCGAACTTGCAACAGTACAGCTCAAGAACAGGATCATCATGCTTGCACCTTGCAGAGTTGCAGGCTTCAAAATTAGGATGCAGGTGTTCTCATGGCAAGCATCAATTCAAGCTCAACAACTCAATACAACGTAAAAATCTTCAGCACAAGTCAAACGTAGCAAAGCAGAGATGGATTATCATCAAGCGATTATTCATTCCTGACAGGCTACAGCAACAGCAACAAAAATCCCCAAAAACAAGAATCTCAAGGCAAGGACTCCCGAAAATGCGGATTTTCCCCTCTTGAATTTGAAGACGGAATCCTGTTAGAATAAATGGGGTAGCCTAATTTATTCCTAATAAATTTTATGGGATTATAATTAGTGTTAAGGGATTAATGCCACGTTAAAAATTTATATGGAAAGATCTCAACTTAAATAAATTATTACTACTGGAGAGCACTTGTTGACTGGTTGAGATTGTGGTGGGACTACCGCACATGCGCGCCGAGTCAGGCCAGGGCGAGGGCGATCAGAAGATTCGACTGTTACTCGAACAACGGTTAAACGATTCAAACCCGAATTGATTCCTCTTCCCCTCACACACTATGTAAGCCCACCACCGAATTAATTCATGCACTATATAATCCCACCACCGAATTGATTCACGCACTATATAAGCCCACCAGCGAATTGATTCCTCTCCCTCTCACGCACTATATAAGCCCACCATCGATAGACCTTGAACAACAGATAAACTTATCGAAGGACCCTAATTGATTCCTCTCCCCCTCACGAACTATACTATATAAGTCCATCACCGATAGACCTCACAATGGATAAACGATTCAATCCGATTTGATTATCAAAGGACCCAAATTGATTCATCTCCCCCTCATGTATTATATAAGCCCACCACCACTCATGCACTATATAAGCCTAACACCAATAGATAGAGGAAATACAACTATGATCACGTGCACTATTTTATCATCGGTGGTATGTCTTCTTCTGTTCCTGTGTTGCACCTCTGCTTCCCCAGTTCGGAGCACTTTTGCGTGCACAAGTGTTTAGGAGAGTATCTATACGGGTAGGCAGGTGATCAAATTTTTGGGGAGCGCTTCCTAGCGCGACTGCTCTGCTGCGTCAGTTCTGCACGACGTCGTCTTCTTCATCTGCATCGTTCACTTTGACTACTTCCACTACAACGGCATGTCTACTGGAGGAGGAAATGATAGAGGCGCTAGCAGCAACGGCACACCTGGAGGCGGTAACAGCACTCCTATTGGTGACGAGAACATCAACATCAATGGAGGCAACAATGCCTCATCCAGAGCTAGAGTGTTATTCAGGTATATCGCATTTCTAACTATAGTGTTAAATGTTTCTAGATGATGCTTTTGTAGTCATTAGCATGATCATGTTTAGCACTTTCACTAGATCAATTTCCGTTGCACATGTCAAATTATGACCATATTTCTAACATTTTCAACTAGCTCCATCAGGACGAACCGCTTCTCAAACAAACAAACAAAATTAAAGAACTTCCGTTTCATTCATAAATCAGAATCGAAGCAGGCAGGCACGCGTGATCACCTTCAGTCGGATCAGTCTTGGTTGCTACCCGCTGAGCCTGAACAACCGCGGCTGCAAGAAGCAGCAGGAACACACCGCCATGGAGGAGGAGATGGCTCACCCTCATCGCCTTCTGCTCGCCTCCTCCCCTCTCTCCGTTTCTGGGAGAAGCGAAGCGGTGACGACGATATCGTCGGTCGTAGCTAGCAAGGGACGCGCGCTGCGACGAATACTGGAGACAATATATACACACACAATACACAGTAAGCAATTCTTGCATTACTATTCTGACCAAATTGTTGTACTGCTAATAGTAGTATAGTACCAGTACTCATCAAACGGCAACGCTACTGCTGTCAACAGTCAACTGCATAAAAAAATAGGGCAGAAACAGCAGCGAGCAAGCAAAGCAAGAAGCAACTTGTCCGAGATACAACGTACGGCCAACGAGCGGTGGCTTGGGGAGTTTGATCGGCCAAGAGCAGGTACAGTAGATGAATTTTACCGGCGATACTGTATGCATGCAGCCTAATATTCTGAGTTGGCATCGAAATTTGAGGAGAGAGAGGGTGAGCCGGCGACTAATTAGTCGCCGACTCCACGCGTGTGCCGAGGCAAGAAAAGCAACAGCATGCGTTTTCTTACTGGACCATGCAGTTGTGGGGTCCACGTGATTTGTAGTCTGTAGATGAGAAGATAACACGTGTAGACATGACACTATAAAAAAAAAAGAAAAGAAAGGTTTTGGTATTGAGTGGAGGCAGCTTGTAGACTATTGTTGTACAGATTAGCTATTTGGTGAAATAGTATTTTATTATACTTGTTAGGTTTTGGAGCTGACAGCTTACTCCTCTATTAAACTTGCTCTTAAGCGCGGTTGTTGTAGTATTCATCTTTTTTTTTTTTTGAGCGGGAGGGGTCAGGGGTCTCTGTCCACGTGGGTTGCGAATGTTGAAAAGGAGGGGAAACTGGGGAAAGAGTCAAAGCGTTGGCAAAGAATTATCTAAAAAAAGCGTTGGCAAAGAGGTGGTTCATGGTCATGGATGGGGGTAAGTAGCTTTTGAATGGGAAATTGTCTGGTATAACTAGTGGAGTTGGGGGTGGACGACAGGTTCTGGAGCAAGAAATATACTAATGGTTTTTTCTCGCTAATATGAATTAATTTTCAAATATGCTCTGCTAGCTGGTTTTGATTTACTGATTTCGACAACTCTATTGATTATACCATAACTCGTTAGGTGATTATGTGTTGTTAAATTTTGATGCGGTTAAGACGATTATTTTGGTATAGGTCTACTTTTGGACACATAGAATACATTGGCAATACTTGTCAACCTGAAGGGAGTACTTAATATGAATGTTTTTTTATCCCGCATGCGCTCAGTTGTTTGCTTGACCATTACTATTTTTTTAAGTGACCGTATCCCGCTGGTTCATAGTACCAGGGATTTTTTTAGTTAAAGTTAACTCTTTTGGGGTGTGGCCAAATCACCCAAATCATCAAAATATTCTAACTTTTAACATTTTTAAAATTCTCATCAAACTTGAAGGCATTTACTTTCTTTTTTTTAATTAGTGAGAGCGATCTCCATGAAAATGGCAAGCTGGCTAATAAGCTCAAAAGGGAAACAAGAAAAGGACAGCGACCTGCACTGCAAAACTGACAGTCTCGCACACCATTTGCCCTCTGCAACGAGTATTCACAAGACGAGATTATCATCTGCCACTTCATGAGACAAGTCAGACCCGCGCGAAAATCACCGGCCTTCCGGGATGACGGAGTTCAAGAACAATGACGAGCCTTGCTGCTCCGAGGCCGATCCCGGCGCCGAGCTCGACTGCCCGCTGACTCCGCTGTTGGCGAAGCTGGTGTTGCCACCCTTGATCTGCCACTCGGTGATGTAGCTCGGCTTTGTCAGCACATCGGGCACCTCGACATCGCCGGCGAGCATCGACACGACCCTCGACATTGGCGCCCGCTGGTGAGGCGACCACTGGGTGCAGAGGAGGGCGACGCGGATGGCACGGAGCACCTCCTCCCGGTTGAATTCCTTGAGCTTTGGGTCTACGAGGCCCAGAGGGTTGTTGTTCTCGTACAGCTCCCAGGCCTGAATGTATTGAGACGGTAAGTATTCAGATGATCAGAACATAGGGGCATAACTAGATTTTTTTTTGCATGTTTAGATAAAATTGGATGATGGCACTTGTGTTTAATGTTATCAATCTTTACTAGAAAATTTCAGAGTATATGCTGCCAATAACACAAAGACCAGATTATAATTTGTCCTTCCTTGGGTGAGAGTTCATAAGTGAGCTGCTGAGCTTACCCATTCGAAAATATAAATTTTGTCTTCTTCAAGCGTATCATCATAGTTTGGCCGTCCGGCTAAAGTCTCCAATAAGACCACGCCAAATGCAAAGACGTCAACTTTCTCGGTCATATGGCCTCTCATGGCGTACTCAGGTGCAAGATAACCGCTGGACAAAGGAGAGCCAAAAAAGCCACCGCCAACATAAGTATGAAAAATTGTAAACATAAAGGTGGGAAAGAAGGAATGTACTTACAATGTGCCAGCAACCTTCGTGCTGACATGCGTCTTCTTGTCATCATAAAGTTTGGCTAGCCCAAAATCAGAGATCTTAGGATTGAGATTGGCGTCAATTAAGACATTGCTGGCCTTGATGTCCCTGTGCACAACACAGATGCTGGACTCTTCATGAAGATAAGCCAGACCTCTTGCAATGCCTAGGCATATCTCAAAACGTGCTGGCCAATCTATGGTCAATTTCTCAGTTCCTGCAAATGAAGGGTTAAGCTTTTACGTTGTAGACTATGATAAACCTGAATTATGAAAATATCAGTTGCATCAAACTGAAATTGCTCGTACCAAACAATGCTTTATCAAGGCTTCCGTTTTCCATGTACTCATAAACCAGCAGTGGATTATTGCCTTCAAGGCAGCAACCATACAACTTCACGAGATTACGATGTTGCACTCGGGATATAGTTTCTATCTCCGTCGCAAATTGTTTTTTCCCTTGATGAGATGTTTGAGATAGCTGCTTCACTGCCACTACCCTTCCATCAGTTAACTTGCCCTGCAAGGTGGCATTCACCAAACAGCAAGTTCAAGGGATCGCAATGTCAAAGCCGAACATATTTGGTAATGGATACATTGGAATGTTTTTTTTTTTCTGATTTATTAATATGCATCATTTATGTGCAAAATATAGAAAGCACAAAGAATCTAACCAATTATCCATAAAAGAAATGAATTCATACAATCATATGTATTTTTTAGCTGTACACTACTTGTCTAGACGTTAATAAGTTAATTCGTAGGTAAAATTCCATAACAAGTTCGAAACTTCGAATATATATATGTACTTACAGATGAACTAACCTTATAAACTGTCCCATATCCTCCTTCACCAAGGCGGTTGCTGGAACTAAAATTTTCAGTTGCAGACCTTAGTTCACTATAACTGAATACATTAGGTCTTCCGACAATACTGTATAGCTCTGCAAACATAAAAATATACATCAATTTATTAACTTCTAGTTTGCCTAGTCAAGGATATATTGTGAGCCTAGTGTGCCATGTACCTTGTTGCTCCAGTGATAATTTTCTCCTTTTCTGTCTCCACATAAAGATTCCAACAAGTGCTACCAAACCTAAAACCGTCACACCAACTACAACTCCAACAATTACACCTGTTTTACTAGTACTCTTGTTTTTATGTGCTGTATTACCCACTGTAGGGGTGAAATCTGAACAGAGGCCACTTGTTAGATTGAAAAGAGAAAATGGGATCTTACAGAGGTATGCAAAAATTGATCCTAGAAAATCCATCTTGGGACCATGATTTGTAGTTAAGGGGGGTACCTGCAGGGATTACACTCAGAGCTGAGATAGTGGGCCCATAGTATCCTTGAGTAGGAATGCAGCAAGTGCCCTTGCCAGCCCAGAAGAGATGAATCTCAAGGAAGTTTTTGGTCACAGGAACTTTGTATTGCTTCTTAACAACAGTGTAAGATTTATCGCCTGCTGTCTTCCTGATGTCAAAGTTCTTCTCCTTGCGTTCACCCTGCAAAAAAATAAAATAAGAAAATGTTGACTTGGTTGTAAGATAAATAAATATATAAATAAAAAAAATAGTTTATAAGCTAAACAAGAACCGACCTGCACATATATATCAAAAACCCTTCTCCCTAGGCTCTTCCAAGACTGTGTATCTTCGATTCCAAACTCTGCAAATTGAAGAGTGACTGTATAGTTTCCATTCTCAAGTCCAATACCATAGTATCTTAAGGATGATGGTGACATCCTTGAAGTTTGGAACAGTTCTGAATCTAGGGTGTGCTGAAACTGGCGGGAGCTGTAGATTATGTAATTCCCATTTGGTGCGTCCATGAACTTTCCAACGTTGCTAACACCCCACGTTGGTGCTCCTGTAACATTATATGATGCTGCTTGAAGATTGACATCATCAGTTTCATACCTTAAATTATCTGAGCCTGATATGAATCTATTGCTACCACAGTTCACAGCAAAGGAGGAAGCTGTAAACAAGTTAGATCAATTAGTATTAGTATTTGACTAAGTGAATCCGCGGTTGCAGATTTAGTATTTCTCAACTAAATACATTCATGGTGTTGCAAAGGGTGAAAGGCTCACACTGTGGAGAACCAAGAAAGAAGGATGTATTTCTCTGAAGGCATGCCAGCCCTGAAGGTAAGATACTGCAGGTGCAGAGCATCAACAATTTGAATCAAATTAGAAGCTGAGAGAACCTATTAATTATGCTTGAGTTCTTGTTGAGAAATCAGAAATATGGGCGCACCTGTTATTGGAACTATCAATCACAAAATTGTTTGCCACCAAATTCCTAAGTAGAATGAACTCTATTAGAGCTTGTTTGGTCTAGCTTGAAAAAACTTAAGCTATAAAAAAGTATTCGTTTTTGTTCTATGTTGTAAGGGAAGTCTCATTTCCATGAAGACTCTTAATCATAAGTGGCCTATAGATGATAGATCCAAAAATTTGTTAAGACATATAAACTAGATGCACCAAATACAGCTTTCAGATTTACCAAATGAGCTAGCTCATTACATCTGTATGCTATACGCATAAATGCTGGATGACAAGCCTTACATAGGTTAAACACGCCGTTATATTTTAGGGAATAAAACATGGCTTTACTTTGGCTGGAGCTAAGTAATCAATGTTTCAGAACTTGGTACTTACAATTGTAAATTTTTATCACTAGCCCAAGGAGGAAAGTTTCCTGAGAGCTGGTTGTAAGAAAAATCTCTACAAACAGGGAAATGGCAAATCATCATTAGAAATAAATTAAACATTCATTATGTTGTTAAAACGAACTTGGATTGTATGAACATACAAAGTTGAAAGTGAAGATCCTTTTGAGGTTGGAAGGCTTCCTGAAAGACTATTATTCCCAAGAAATCTGGTCATGTAAAACTTGCAAACATTAGCAAGACACATAAATATAGGTCTTTCATCTTTGGCTCAAAGAAATAGGTTTTTTAAGTCAAGATAATCCATACAAGAAGTTCAGAGAATTCAGACCCAACAGGGTTGCTGGTACTTCACCAGTGATATTGTTAAAACTCAAATCCCTGTAATAGCCAAAAGAAAAAAAAATGGTAAAGCAGTCATTAGACAATGTATGGTCCATCGCAATACATTTAAAATATATTGCACAAAAGATGCTTGACTACAATTTATAGTAGAAACAAAATGCTTACAGTAAGCTTAAACTCGCAAACTTTGAAAAGTCTAATGATGCAAGATTATCAGATATCCTACAGTTCCTCAAAATCCTGCAAAAAAATAAAATGTTATGTGTTATAAGATCTAACCAGCTTGGTTCAAATTACATCAATATTCTGAGCATTAATTTGGTTAATTAAGTGGATGAAAAGTTATGCATACAGGATGCTCAATGATGTCATGTTACTGATGAATGCCAGTGAAGAAGAGCTTCCATTTTCAATATCACCGATTCGTCTGCACCATATAAACCAATTATTCACTTTTACCCTCCTACATTTATGTATTACGAATACCATATTTATTGGCAGCACTAGGCACTTACAAGCTTGATAATTGGACAAGATTAGAAAGAGCAGCGGGAATTGGACCTTGAAAAGAATTGCCTTGAAACCGCCTACAGATTGATAGATGTAATTAGTCATTCAAATCATCATTTAATTATTGATACATTAAACTAGTAGTGATAAAAGAACAGATCAATTCTTTGCTTAAAAAAGGAAAACCATCTCATGAAGCTAAAATACAACTTCTTTCATGGTGAAAACATAAATATTGTACAAGATATTCAAAGCTGAATAATGTTTTTCAAAATTAGAAACCATCTATTCCTGAATAGTGACAGAAGAGAGATGCATTATTTAGCAATGCTCAACCAATAGAGACCCCTATAAGGTGAGTCAGCGCAATCAAGTAAAAAGATACACTAGAAACAAAAAAAAAACAATCTCTCTTTCACGAATCACACTAAGCCAAGTAGCATTTAACTTTTTGCCACTTTTAAGATGTGGCAATTAAGGATTTGCCACTCGCAGTCTATGACATGTGGGTCCAGTGGCAAATCCTTAATTGACACTTGTAAGAGTGGCAAATAGTTAATTATTCCTCAAAATGCATCTCATGTTCACATCTACAGCTCTCTTCAATTTAAAGCCTGAGTGCCTAACTTGAAGGTAGTTATTGAAAATTGTATACACATAACCATATTATTTGAAACAATTGAAAAATGTAACATCATCCCTATTGTTTAAATATTTGTTAAAAAAATATTACTGCTGAATGACCAGGGGCTAATAGGAATCTTACAGGTCTGTCAAATTCCAGCTCCCAATATAATCTGGTATTTGTCCAGTAAAATTGTTATCTGATGCCCACCTGAACAAATAAAAGGACATATAAGAAACAATTTTTAATGGCATGGAACATTAATGCCAACAAGAAGACATTTTTTTGTAGTCGTACAATATTTGCATTCTTGTAAGCTTGGACAATGATGATGGTAACGGACCACTTAAGCCAGCACTGTCAATGTACCTACAATTAAGAGAAACCCAACATTTAGTTTAGTCCAAGAAAACAGAATGGTTTGGTACTTTGGTAAGCAAAAAGCAAAACAGAATCCCATATAGAAACGCACAGTTCCTGAAGTTTGATCAGGTTCCCTAGTTCTGTAGGAAGCGAACCATTGAAATGGTTTGAGCCCAAACCCCTGAAAATTCAACCCGAAAAACGATATTAGCCACACAAATAAAAAAAACACCGATTGGAATTTATGTTGTAGGAAGCATGAAACACTATTAGCACAGTTAGCCTTCCAACCGAGTTTCAATCCAAGTCTACCAGTATAAAAGAATAGCACAACAAATGAAGATGTCATTCTGCATTTACTCACAATTTGGAGTCCATTTAAATATTGCAATCTTAAGGATGTTGCTATATGTTCTCAATTTAAAGGGTGCTTTCTCTCATGATTTTTATACAGTTTATTAAATTCAGGGTGTGAGTGCAGAATATAAATTGATCTACATATTTTCTCATGATTAATAGTCTGGTAGAGTTGTATGAAGAAATAGGGTCAAGAAATCATGGAATATAGTTCTTACAGTGATATAAGATTCGTAAGATTACCGAGCTCCTTTGGAATAGGTCCAGATAATGAATTGATGCCAAATGTCCTTGTATGTTCAAAAGAGAAAAGGTGTGAGTCAATCCAAAGAAAAACATTTAGTGAAATGATGTTTATGAGTTGTAAATCTCACATTTTCTGCATATTAGTCAGCTCCCCAATGAACGATGGCAAAGGCCCTGATAATAAATTTTGTCCTAAATTCCTGAAACAGATCAGATATAGCAACATTAATTCCGTGGAACATTATAAAATTATTTATTTCCAGTTTTATTCATTCCATAACTTAAGTTATCACCGAGTTGTACTGTTGTAAAAGCTAACACTATTTTAGCAGAGAAGTATAAAATGCCTTTTGAAGTTACTAAAATAGCTTATAAGAAATAGTAGCCACTATGACGAATTGACAGATAATGGTAAGTCGCGGACCAAACTGTACAGGAATGAGGTAGTAAGGTGACAATGCAAATACTGAGACACATAAACTCGGCAAAAATGATTGATGGCATAATGGGACAACAAAGGGCAAACTGAACTTGCCATCACACCCAATACATATCAACCATATGGACATAAAGCGTGCTTCAGATGCAATACTTTGGATCATAGACCATCTGACTTAAAGAAGTTAAAACTTATGAGAAAGTCCATTAAACATACAGATCGGTCAAGCGCGTGAGGTTCCGCAGCTCTTCCGGTATCGGGCCAGACGCATCCACGGCATGTATTTTCCTGCACCAGCAAACACCCACCCCATCAGCTGCACTGCATTGCGTGACTCGGGGAGCATGCAGGCAATTCATCGAACACCTCGCGCGCGCGCGCACTTACAGCTTGGTGATGCGGCAGATGGTGCTGTTCTGGAAGGTGCAGTCGCAGGTGATGGCCGGGTTGAAGCTGGTGTCGTCGATGGCGGAGCCGTCCGTCGCCCGGCCGGTGCAGGGGTCGCCGCTGAGGTTCCATGACGACTGCGCCTGCTGCCCTAGCTTCGCGAACACCGCGTTCAGCGCCGCCGCTGCAAATGCAAATACACCACCACATCCCAAGTAGTAAGTGATGGGGGCATATGTCTTCTCGACCGTCCGATGGCCCAGGCCGAGATGATCGGACGGCCAGGAATAGGTGACTGCGCTAAAAGCTAAAAGCCATTTTTTTTTGGAAAAAAAATACTAGTACGAGATGACGGCATGTGAACTGAAAACTTTTCGAAGAAGACAGATAGCTTCTTGGAACAGATAGGCATGGATGGTAGATCGTGAAGCATGCAGAGTTGACTGGAACAGTAGAACGCAAAGAACAGATCATCATGCTCTGAGTCTTGTAAAATGATGCAGATTTTGTGAGTCTCAGCAATTCAAGTTCAAGAAGGCAGGAATGGGGAAATTTCAGCCGAAATCAAAACAGAGGTACAGAGCAAAGCAGAGATGGGTGATCATCCAGTAAATTATTCATTCCAACAGCAAAAACTCCCCCCCCCCCCCAAAAAAAAAAAAAAAAAAACAGAATTCTAAGGCATTTTCCGGCCAAATGTCAAGCCAGTTCCCCACGGAATTTCACACCCCTAGCCCCTAATTTCATCAGGACGAACAAGTAGTTCTGAAAACAAAAAAAAAACTTCCATTTCATTCAGAAATCAAATCAGAACCGAAGCAAGGCTCACCTTCAGTCGGATCAGTCCTCGTCGCCGCCCGCTGAGCCTGAACAACCGCCGCTGCAAGAAGCAGCACAAGAACACAGCCATGGAGGAGCCGACTCACCGCCATCCTCCACCCCATCTTCCTCCTCGAGACCTCTCCTCCCCTTCCGGGAGAAGAGAAGCGGTGAGCCGCGAGACGGTGACGGCAGTGGAGCTGTGGAGATAGATAGATAGATGAAATCCTCAGTGCCTGGAAGAAAGTGACGCGCGCCGCAGCGATTCCTGGAGAGACATACAGTAGTACTAGTATATACAAGCACGGCAATTCTTCTGCAATCTGCATGCGAGCGCAGTGGCGACCATTTTGATTGACCGTATCGCTGAGCTCATCACACGCAGCCGACGCAGACGTTGCTGTCAGCTACAGTGAATACAAGAAGAAGCAACTTGTCCCAGATGCAATGCAATGCAACGCACGGCCAACGAGGCGCGGGGTTGGTCTCGATCAGCTCAGCAACATGTGCGCGCGGTTGTTGCGGAGCGGGGGGAGAGGGGGGTCGCCCTGCTCCCGTAGCCGCCGCGGCGCGAGGGGGGGATTATTGTCCGCATGCGGCCGTTGAAAAGGAAGGGAGTCTTTTGTGTGTGGCAAAAGGTGTGGCTCGTGCATGTGTAGCTTTTGACGCTTTGATCGCTGCAAAGCGAAATTATTCTCGGCCATCGAAGACGTTTCCTTACTGTATGCATATTGCATATGTTAGGTTATGAAAGTTTTTTAAAAAAAAGTTTTATCAAATAGATTAATACGTAATATATCACTTCACAAATATGTAACATCAAATTTGACTTCAATATATTGCAACGAAAAAAATAAAATTGATTATAAATATATGTTAACTACTTATAGTTTAAATAAAATTGACTATAAATATATGTTAATAGTATATATTTTACAATTTTTAGGGATTTTTTACACCTATAAAAGTTTTATGAAGTGATATATCATATATTAATATATATGTAATTCTTTTTTAAATTTTTGGTTTATTTGATTGACATGAAAATACCGAGAGGAAGACTTTAAAATCCACTAGCTGAAAATGGCAAATTGGTCTTGTAGCTTGTGGTGGACAAGCTGTAGAGCTGGAAAGATCATAGTTTGGTGATGATGGCGATGGCGATGGCCAATTTGGTTAGAAAGGGGCATGCATTCATGGAGTTTTGGAGTGGTAATTAAGCAGAATAATTCCTCTTGTGTATAAGTGAACAAATAAAATAGTCTATCATTATCCAAAAAAAATTCTATAGACAGTAGCACAGTGCACGGCCTGTACTTGGAAAGCAACTTTCACAGGCTGTCAGCCTCACGGACTGACAGTTTCGACACACAAAAAAATTATCTGCTCCTCGCAGAAGGGAAAGAATAACAAGTTGTCTGCCACTTTCAGTTTAAGGGGCAGTTGATCCAACGAAAATCACACGCCATCCTAGTCGACGGAGCTCAAGAACGGCGACGAGGTCCGCGGCGAGGCCGGTCCTCCCGGCGCCGAGCTCGACTGCCAGCTGACTTCGCTGTCCAAGTAGCTGGTGTCGCCGCCCTTGAGCTGCCACTCCGTGATGTAGCTCGGCTTCGTCACCACCTCCGGCGCCTCGACGTCGCCGGCGAGCATCGTCACGACCCTCGACATTGGCGGCCGCTGGTGAGGCGAGCCCTGGGTGCAGAGGAGGGCGACGCGGATGGCACGGAGCACCTCCTCCCGGTTGAACTCCTCGAGCTTTGGGTCTACGAGGCCCAGAGGGTTGTTGTTCTCGTACAGATCCCAGGCCTGAAAGTATTGAGACGCTCAAAATCAGAGGCAGGTTTAAATTATTTGTTTTGAACAAAAAAAAATTCATATGATGGCATGGCACGTGTGTTTCATATTATCAATATTTAGAAAAATGTTGGAGTATATTCTACTAATAACAAAGATCAATTGTCGAAAATAAACACGAAGACCATATTATATTGTTTTTCCATGGTCCATGGGTTAGGAGTTCATCATGAGCCACTGAGCTTACCCATTCGAAAATATAAATCTTGTCTTCTTCAAGCGCATCATCATAGTTTGGTCGGCCAGCTAAAATCTCCAATAAGACCACGCCAAATGCGAAGACATCAACTTTCTCAGTCATACGGCCTCTCATGGCATACTCAGGTGCAAGATAACCACTGGACAAAGGAGAGCCAAAAATCTCATTAGCTTTAGTACTCCGTAGTTTGTAAAGACAAAGGTGAGAAAGATGGAATGAACTTACAATGTACCAGCAACTTTCGTGCTGACATGCGTTTTCTTGTCATCATAAAGTTTGGCCAGCCCGAAATCTGAGATCTTAGGATTGAGATTGGCATCAAGTAAGACATTACTGGCCTTGATGTCCCTGTGAATAACACGGATGCTGGACTCTTCATGAAGATAAGCCAGACCTCTTGCAATGCCTAAGCATATCTCAAAACGTGCTGGCCAGTCAATGTTCAATTTCTCAGTTCCTGCAAATGAAGGGTTAAGCTTTTTAGCTCTCTATAGACTAATAATAAATCTGAGTTCACAGAATCTCAGCCATATCAAACTGAAATAACTTGTACCAAATAGTGCTTTATCAAGGCTTCCATTCTCCAAGTACTCATAAAACCAGCAGTGGATGTTTGCCTTCAAGGCAGCAACCATACAACTTCACAAGATTACGGTGTTGCACTCGAGATATAGTTTCTATTTCAGTCGCAAATTGTTGTTTCCCTTGATTAGATGTCTGAGATAGCTGTTTTACTGCCACTACCCTTCCATCAGTTAACTTACCCTGCATGGTAGAATTCACCAAAATGCAAGTTTCAGGTTTTGCAGTACTGAACATCTTTTGTAATGGATTCATTGGAATATATTTTCCAATTTATTAATAAGCATCCTTTATGTGCAGAAGAAAAAGCACAAAGAATCTAGTCATTTATGCATAACAGAAAGGAATTCATAAAATCATATACTATCTTTTAGCTGTACCCTTCTTATCTAGAAGTTAATTTATCTAGAACTTATTTCATAGGTAAATTTATAACCAATTCATAATCATGTATACTATAGATGAACGACCTTATAAACAGCCCCATATCCTCCTTCACCAAGGCGGTTGCTGAAATTAAAATTTTCAGTTGCAGACCTTAGTTGACCATAACTGAATACATTAGGTCTTCCAACAATACAGTACAGCTCTGCAACATAAAAAGGCATGTCAATCTATTAGCTTCCTTTTTGCTCGGTTAAGGATCCATTGAGCCTAGTATACCATGTACCTTGTTGCTCCAATGATAGCTTTCTCCTTTTCTGCATCCACAGAAAGATTGCAGCAAGTGCTACCAAACCAAAAACTGCCACACCAACTACAACTCCAACAATTACACCTGTTTTACTACTACTCTTCCTTTGTGCTGCAGCACTGCGCACCGTAGGGATGAAATCTAACAGGAAGACAAGAGAAAAGAATGTGATCTTACAATTAAATGCAATAGTTGACCCCAGAATATAAATCATAATCATATTGAAACCATGATTCGTAGTTAAGGGGAGTACTTGGTTTTAAACTCAGAGCCGAGATAGAGGGCCCATAGTAGCCTTGAGCAGGAATGCAGCAAGTGCCCTTGCCAGCCCAGAAGAGATGAATCTCAACAAAGTTTTTGGTGACAGGGATGAGGTACTGCTTCTTAACAGCAGTGTAAGATTTACCGCCTGTGGCCTTCCTGATGTCAAAGTTCCTCTCCTTACGTTCGCCCTGCACCAAAAACAAGAGATAATCATGACTTGATTATAAGCTAAAGTATACTTTATCTTTTTGCCGGGTAAAAGTATACTTTATCAGCTAGGCTGGAACCTACCTGGATATATATATCAAAAACCCTTCTCCCTAAGCTCTTCCAAGACTTTGTATCTTCGAACTCAATCTCTGCAAATTGAAGTGTGACAGTATAGTTTCCATTCTCAAGTCCAATACCATAGTATCGTAAAGATGATGGTGACAGCCTTGCAGTTTGGAACAGTTCTGGATCCAGTGTGCTCTGAAACTGGCGTGAGCTGTTGAATATGTAAATTCCGTTTGATGGTGCATCCATGAACTTTCCAATATTGCTAACACCCCATTTTGTCTCTCCTGTAACATAATATTGTGCAGCTCCAAGACTGACACCATCAGCTTGATACACGTAATTATCCGAGCCTGATATGGATCTGTTGCTACCACAATTCACAGCAAAGGAGGCAGCTGGAAGCAAATTAGATCAATAAAAATTAGTACTGGGTAAGTAGATATGTGGTTGCAGATAACATGCATCTCAAGTAAGCACATTCAAATGGCTGAAGGCTCACAATGTGGAGAACCAAGAAAGCAGGGCGTGTTTCTCTGAAGGCACTCCAGCCCTGAAGGTAAGACACTACAGATGAAAAACATCAACATTTTCGATCGAAATTAGAAGCTGAGAGAATCTGGATTTATGCTTGAGTTTGTGAGAAGAAATTCGAATATGGATGCACCTGTTATTGGAATTATCGAGCACAAAATTGTTTGCCACCAAATTCCTAAAAAGAATAAACAATATTAGAATTAAAAAGGCTTCCTCATACTTCATACTTTCATAGAATAAGAGCATTTTTGGTCTTCCTTGAAAAAATGAACTTAAACTATAAAAATTGAATCATATGTGGTGTATTCTTGTGGTAAATTGTAAGTTTAAGTTTCACTTCCATGAAGAACCTGAAATCATAGGTGGCCTATAGATGATAGATCCAAAAAATTTGTGAATGACTTACAAGCAGGATGCATCAAATACAGCTTTCAGATACACCAAATGATCATATGCATTTACTAAGCATAATACACTGGTTCACTAGTCTAACATGTAATTAATGAACGTTTCAGAAGTTCTTACTTACAATTGTAAATTCTTCTCATTTGCCCAAGAAGGAAAATTTCCTGAGAGCTGGTTGTAAGAAAAATCTCTGCAAACAGGGAGATACCAAATCATCATTAGGAAAAAAAAAACAACTCTTCATTTTGTTGTTCAGACAAATTTTGATCATATGAACATACAAAGTTGTAAGTGAAGGTCCTTTTGAGCTTGGAAGGCTTCCTGAAAGACTATTGTTCCCAAGAAATCTGATTGTGCAAAACTTGCAAACATTAGCAAGACACATAAATAGGTCTTTGGTTTTAAGAAAGAAGGCAAGATAATCCATACAAGAAGTTGAGCGAATTCAAACCCAACATGGCTTCTGGTACTTGACCAGTGATATTGTTAAAACTCAAATCCCTGTAATAGTAAAAAATAAAAGAGATGAGAAAGAGGTCATCACTCAATGCATGGTCCATAGCAATAGATTTAAAATGTCTTGCACAAATGGCGCTTTAATAAGTTTATTGTATAAATAAAATGCTTACAGTAATT